ATCAGCAGCTCTCTTTATTTTGGCCATTTACCATAAAACTTTGAATCTCGATATTTCGAGAATGGTATCATTTACAGTCATCACATTTTGACCAATTTAATTCTTTACTAATTAATAATTCAATTCAGTTTAAAAACTTTTCATTGCCGCATTTCGGCCATGATTTTTGGGTTGTAAATGATCGAGGAACAGCTTATTTAACAAAACAAACTCATATAAACCCATTCCTTGATGAATAAAGCAATTTTCTGGTTAAACTTGCAAATGCTATGCAAAGAGTACTGCCAAATGCTCGAGCTTTTTAGTCAAAAGTTAAGACTTACTGCGTTTCTAGGGACATAAGAACTGTACCCATTGGTACTATTAAATAATTGATCCGATGAATAGTTTTCGAGAAAATCGCAGGCAAATTTGAAACTTCGAACGCCTTTTGTACATTCATGGAACCAGATTTTTTCATGAAACTCTATTTAACTGATGTAAATTTTAATGGGTAATCCCACAATGAACTTATTTTTAGCAATAAAATTTTATGCTTTCTGTAAAACAGATAAGTTCGATTTTCAGTTAAACTGAATTTTTTCTGTGATCGTGAAAGTTAGAGAGTTGAAACTTATGATTTGTTTATGAAAATTGTTTTTGAACATCATGCATTGAATACTTTTGCCAATAGATCAACAGCTCTCTTTATTTTGGCCATTTACCATAAAACTTTGAACCTCAATATTTCGCGAATCGGATCATCAGCAATCATCATTCTTTCGTTAAACATTAGATTCCACTATGAGGCTATAATGCATTGAAATATAAAGCCATTCAAGATCCTAGAAATAAAGTTATACCCTTTTGATATTTAGCTTGTCAGATTTGAGACTTTGATTTATAAAGCTAAACACAAATCTTATGCGTTAGAAGGATCTTCATTATTAAATGAATTTGTTCAGATTTTATTGGGTGTTAAGTCATATGCTGTTGTAGCTCATAGTAAAATCTAATGTTTAGCGAAAGAATGATGATTGTAGATGAAACGATTCTCGAAATATCAAGGCTCAAAGTTTTTAGGTCTATGGCCAAAATCAAGAGAACTGTTGATAAATTGAAAAAAATATTCAATTCATAGTGTGTACAACCAGTTTTTATCGTCAAATTATGAGTTTCAGTTCCCTAACTATTATGGTTAATGAAAAATGTCGGTTTAAATGAAAATCGAACTTATATGTTTTAAAGGAAAACGAAAATTTTATTGCTCTAAATAAATGAATTTTCTGGTTCATCATCAAAATTTACATCAGTTAAATAGAGTTCCATTAAAAAATATGCCTCCATAACGGAACAAAAGACGTTCGAAGTTTCAACTTTAACTTCGATTTTCTCGATAACTGTCCATCGGATCCCTTATTTATTAGTACCAATGGACTCGGTTTTCCTGTCTCTGCAAATGCCTCTAAGTCTCAAATCACAACTCAAGTGTTCGTGCCTTTGGTAGCATTCTTTGCATTTCATTTGCAATTTTAACCAGAAAATTGCTTTATTCACCAAGATATGGGTTTATATGAGTTTGTTTTGCTAAATAAGTTGTTACTCGTACGATTACAGCCCAAACATCATTGTTCAAATGCGCTAATGGAAAGTAATTGAATTGTATTGCATTATTAATTAGTAAAGAGATAAATTGGGGCAAGAATGATGATTGTATGTGATGCCAGTCTCGAAATGTCGAAGCTCAAAGTTGTGGATCTAATGGTCAATATCAAGAGAACTGTTTGCTATTTAAAAAATTATTCAATCCATGATGTGAGGCAACAAGTTTTTAGGGACTAACAATGAGTTTCAGCTCACTAATTCTTACGGTCTTAGAAAAAGGCCGGTTTAACTGAAAAAGGAACTGATCTGTTGTAAAGGAAATCGAAAATTTTATTGCTCAAAATAAATGTATTTCCTGGTCGATCATTAAATGTTGCATCAGTACTATTAGTTTCATACAAAAAATCTGCTTCCATAATTGTGCAAAAAGCTTTCCAAGTTCAAACTTCGAACCTCATTTTCTCGAGAACTGGCGATCAGAGAGATCTTTAAATCGCGCTAACAGATTCATTTTTTATGTCTCTACAACGCCATTAAGGTTGTATTTGAAAGCAATTAATTAGATAGCTCTGCGAGCGATCTTGTTCCCATCAACATCCCAGATGATCTTGTCTTTGAATCAAACCAATTTCATTGAACTCTTAAAAATTTTCATCATTTATCATCGCTCAAACATTTGTTCAACTCTCCTTTGATAGCAATGGCAATGAACACAAATATTGCTTGATTTTCATTGAAATCTATTATTAGAGTATGTTTTTGCAATCGCTCAAGTTTATCGTCCACAATGAATCATCACATTTCAAATGAATTAGTTGATTTGCTGAATAAAATTAAGAATCGATGGAGCAAATTAACTTATTGACACTAAATGTAGCTAGGAACAGAGTGAAGAGATTCTTTTGACTTCATCATCAGAATATTGAACATGATTGAGAGAGAAGAATTGCTGTTTTGAAAATATCTTTCGACCACAAATTCAATCTCTAACTGTTCAGTGCTTCCAGAAAATGAGTTGGTCAATTGTAATTGTTTTTGTTCAGTTGTTAACTTGTATAAAAGGTTACACCATTTGCAATGAATCTTGTCAAGTTAAAACTTACAGTCTATCAACCAATTATACAACCAAATGTACCAACAATTGTTTAATCCAAGCTTACATAAGTGTCATTGAACAAGAACATTTTGATGAATATTTAAACTTCACCCTAATCGGCTACAATATAAGTGAATTTGAATCTTCAGTAATTGGCTTGAAGCTAAACAAATCAAACTCAAATGTCATTTATTCGTGTTCCAAACAAAAGTCAGGCCTTACAAGTGCCTTTGTTGCTCAGGCCACCAAATCATACACCATTGGATCATCCATCTATCTAAATGGTAAACTCTATTGTTCCTGGATCATGTCCAAACAGGACGTTTCCTGGCCTCTTGTCGATGACGGATCCAAGGCTAACCTAGTCACTGACAATGGATATCAAATTTGGCTTCAATCGGGACAAAAGTTTATCCCAGTTGGTGAACACTCGAGCGAACTGCCCATTTATCAAATGAAATTCATCAAATGTTGTGGTTATCGTATTCGAGGAAACCACGAATATCTATTGGCCATCAAAAGCAATCCAACTTCAACCGACTTTCTTATGCAGGTCATCGGTCGAACTCCTAAAACTGTAAGAATTGCCTTGAACAATTCAGATCAACTCGGGATAGTGGCTGAGTGTGATTATGCCAGTGGCCAGTTGAACGGATATGCAACCATAGGAACCGTTTCATCGTCCATAACAAGTCAACTTGATCGGCCAAAAATTTTCGATTATCGATGCTCATGGTCACTACCTGCTATTGTCGACTCACTGTACGGCATTTTGGAGACTAAACGGACAATTTATACTCTTCAGATAACCAGAGACAATGTAGTTGTTTACAATGAGACAAATGTTGTGCTTAAAAATTTTGCTCCGCCAATCGTCTCGAGTTTTGTGATGCTCATTTCATCAGTTTCGTTGGCTCTTGCTCGTCAAATTGTGTAAAGTGTTGAGTGTCACGTTAACACCAAATGTAATTTTGTTTTGATGCCAGATGAAAATTAGCAAAATGATTATACATTTACATGCAAATGTTTCTCGATAATTGTCTCTTCGATGAATCCATTGTCCTTCCAGAAAATGCCATGATTGCATGACAAACCATTAATATTAATGACACTCTCAATGCCGTAATAATATCCCGCTTTTTGTCCCGTCATTGTTTCTGCTTTTGTTTCACCGTCAACTGCTGCATGCTCGTAATGTTCAACCAGCGAATAAAATTGATTTTTTCCGTTCAATTATTGGTTGAAATTGTTTTGCATTTTTTTTATCATAAATTGCACACATTTTGAATATAAACCTTTGTTTTTCGCAATGAACAAGTTCAATGATTTCCTTGAACTGATTATCGCAAAATAGCTTTACACATGATTTTGATTAAAGTGAATGTTTATTATTAATAGCCAATACATATTTGCCTGCAAACTTTGTTTAACGTCACTTGAATGACGCTTTTGGTGGTATTTTCAATGTTGGTTGTTATTTGCAAAAGATTATTAAAGTGACTTCATTCACTCTGTATTTGATATTTTTGGTGATGAATTATCTCGACTTGATAACTCCTATTTTACAACAGAAAATGCACTTATTTTGCTAAATAAAATTTTCTGTTTCTGTACTTTTGATCAGTTTGCTTTTCGCAGTCAGTTTTGTCAGTTAAACCTTTGGCATTCTGTTAGAGTTAGAGAGCTGGAGCTTATTCATTGATACAAATTGTTGGTACACATCAATGATCGAACACTTTTTTCAATTTATTGACATTTCTCTTGTAATGTTTGTTCAAAGAATGATGATTGTAGATTGTTCATTTTCTAGATATTGAGGTTCAAAGTTTCAGGCCAGTGGCCTAAATCAAAAGAACTGTCGATAAATTGAAAAAAATGTTCGATCATCTCTAACTCTTACGTTAACAGAATGCCGAAGGTTTAACTGAAAATCAAACTGGTCAAAAGAACAGAATCAGAAAATTTTATTTTGCAAAATAATTGTTTTTTCTGGTTTACCATAAAAAGTTAAATCAATGGAAAAAATGAAAAAATCTGGTGAAAAACTTGTGAAAAAGGTGATCGAAGTTTCGACCTTGATTTCTCGAAAACTTTCGACGGAGAAATTTTTAATAGGACTAATGGACTCAGTTTCAATGTCTTTATAAACCCACAAAGTCTCTACTCGTAACTCGAAAGTCAAAGTTTTGACAAAACTCCTTTTCTTAACAGATTTTATGGTGCTGCCACCTTATTGTGCACGTTTTAGTTAAAACTGACTAAAGATGAGTCTCTTTCTTTACTCTTTGAGTACGAGCTTCCATTTCGATTGATCGATAAAAAGTTCGATTGTCGATAGCCTAGCATCCAAGTTGAGCAGCTTTTTATTTGTTTACCTCTTAAGTGTCACTTGGTAAACTTGGTAAATAAGCTTTATATTTTGTCATTATCACCATAGTTTTTTATTAAATAACTTTCAATGAATGATCTTAAAGGTAAATTATTTATTTCTGATTAATTTGATTGTCATTTGCTCATGTTTTTAAATGTAACTCTTATTCATGTTTTCACTCTCTCATAGATAATCCGTTGTATATCTCATGGCATGATTCTGCTTGGATACCTCATATCAATCAAGCAACCGTTCTTGATTATTTTGGCGAGAGGAGTAATCCTTTTTATGACCGAACCTGTAATAATGAAACACTTAAAATGCAAAAGGCTAGTTTGGATCAATTAGAGTAAGTAGTAAAGCGCTGATATCTGTTGAAAGTCTAGTCTAAAATATTCTCTTCGTTTAGGAACATGACCGGCACTGAATATATCCTTCTCCATGTACAAGAGCCCATCTTATATGTCATTCGAAAACAACACAGACATTCTAAAGACCAAGTTACGCCATTGACAGATTATTATGTTCTTGCTGGATATGTTTACCAAGCTCCTGATTTGAACTCTGTTATAAACTTTCGTCTCACTACTGCTCTTCACCATTTATCTCAAGCATTTGAAGAAGTTCACTCTTTTGCCAGGTACCATCCATCAAAAGGCTATTCTTGGGATTTCGATAAAGATGGTAAATCTAAAGAAAAGAAGAGAGAGAGTGACAAAGAAAGTGAAAAGTTAAAAGAAGAGCCAATCTCCGCATTTCAGAGAGCTCGAGTTGATATGTTGATTCATGAATTATGTAAAAAATTTCCGCCTCCACAATCTAAGAAATGAGAACATACAGAATGCCTGGAACTCTATATGGGCTTAAAATTCACTTTGAGACTACTCATGAAAGTAAACAATCTTAATTTCTGTTTCGGAATGGAAATCGTTCATAGCAAAAATAAAGCCAGTCTTAGAGCATCGACTACTATCTAAAAAGATATTTTTTCATTCTCTGTCAAAAATATCGTGAACACATGGAGTTATCACTTTCAAACTGACATTGTAAAAAAGAACATGCATCATTTTAATTGCTGCGATTCAAACTTTATTTCTGTTCAATCATTTGATCATGGGATATTAAAAAAAGTATAATTTACTGAATTTAGTGAATTATTGTTTTTCTTTGTCGATTAGACGATTAAAAAACTTGGACTTAAGTAATAGTTGTTATGTATTCTTTATTTGTAAAAAAGTTAAGATACAATAATTACACGAATTTAAGAATGCTAGAAAGGATAAGATTGACAAATTATATTGAATTCCAGTCATGATTTTTTATTCAATAAATATTAATAAAAGATCTATCAGCAACTTTTGACCCATCAATGGTAGGCTACCGCTATTTTTAGTTTAATCTCATCTCACCAGTGGTCGTAAAGCATAATGACCTCATTGTAATTAACGTCTGCGTCTAGTCAAGATTAAGAAAAATTAAAAAGACCATTATGATAGAATCCCATTAATAATTCCAGAGGCGATCAAATTTTCAATTTAAGTATGTTCTTCGTCAGTGATTATGAATTAAAGTTCAACAATTTCAGACACAGAAATTAATATCAAAGGTCAATCTTAGCCAGAAAGCAAGAAAATTTATTCAATCAATTTACATCAGTACTTTTCCTTTAAATGATTAATTCAAGATTGTCTCATTTTACAATAACCCATAGACTTCAATTTAATCCAATATACGAATATGAAATTATTGATTATCAAGATGCAATGCTTGTGATTATTTTACAATCTTTTTGTCTAGTCCAAACTTGATCCATCTACTTAGGAACATGTCCAGAGACTTGGACGTAATGAATAATATTGAGTAATTTTAATGAAGCTGGACTTTAATTGATCAACAAACCTGATAGTTATGAAATACGTTTTACCAAATATATTGAATTATTACAACAATGTGTAATCTCAATCAAAACAACACTCAATCCATTCACTGTATGTTTGTATTACTTGTTTCAATACTCAAAGACAGCAAAACAATTGAAACATCTTCAAGGTTTTACAAGTTTCTACATTTTCCCCGATTCAATAGTTACATTATTATTTGGTACTATTTACTGACTACAATACAAATCGTGTTTCCCTCGAGGCCTCCAATTTACCGTAATCATCATTGTTTCTCAATGAAATCCTTTTCAAATGTGTATAAATGTGCATAAATGTTTGAAAATGTAAGACAACAGACGAGGCAGAAAAGTACGAATCACTTTCACCTTGTGTCCAACAAAACTCATTTTAAATAAGCTATTTAAGTTATTAAGTTAAATCAACATAATTTACTAGCTAATCTTTAATTTAATTCATCAATGAAATGATAATCACATCAGCGAAAGACAGCTTAATCAAAAGTCTTTCAATAATGGTGATTACAAGCATTTCAACCCTTGAAAATGGTTAGACTCTAAACTTGAATCTAATGTTAACATTGCCTTTTAAGCTTTACAAATTCAATGACCTCAACAAAGAAGAAAGCAAATCTTTTCATGATGATTATGATGAATAAGAAACTCTCCTTGAAAAAAAGAGGAAACTTCATTTTTCTTCTTGTTGGCTACTTTCTTTGGTTATCATCTCTGGTTTACCGGTAATGATGGTCTAAACCGGTTACTATTATTTATCAGACTTTAATTTTGCTTCAAGCTAATTTCAGTTTCTTATTCTTCAGATTAAGGTGTAATAACGGACTTCATCTTCATTTTTTCAAGCATCTTGATCATCATAATCGCCCTTTTCTTGTCTAGTTATACTTAATCAAATCACTTCACCTTTTCCGTTGTTTGTCTTGTTTACATTTACCTTGTGTTAACATCACTGGTTACTGCAACAGTGATTAACATCAAATTACAGCAATTAATTGTTGTGGCTTTCTGTCCAATTATTGTCACATCATTATGACAATCAGTTATCCCCGTAAGTGGCTCTCTAATCATCTGATCCAATTTAAATGATAATTATTCTATATTTCCAAGTTGATTGGTTTTAATAGATATTTAAAATCTGAAAACAAACAGAAACAAAAATAAGATTGATGGATTATTATTATTATTGTTATTATTACTATCATTATGGTTTGTTGTTGTTGTATTGATTGTTTGAGCTACCGGTTCATTCATTCAATCAGATAAAACACTTTCTCCATTTCCCTTTCAATTTAAGGTAAATAACAATAAACCATTTTCATTAAACAATAAAAAAATTTATAAAATTGAAGCAACAATCCAAACAATTATCAAGAGTCAACCTCGACCTCAAATGTACAACCTTGTTGATATTTGGTTCCTTAATCATCGCATTGTTATTCCTGTTTATCACCATTTCCTGATTCATCTTTAACACATTAATCCATCAGTAAATCGCCACTTCTTTGACCTTAACCAAATTAACAGCACAATCACACGTGTATTAAACTGTGCTGCTAATTAAAGATCAAGACATACGTAAGCCATTAGTTTCGTCACCCATTGGTTTAGGTGATCATTAAACCAACACACATTATTTGACAATCAAATGATGTGTATGTCATCTAATCACTGGTAAAACCGATTGTTGTTCCACCAGAAAATTGACAGCGCGAATCTGCTGGTTAATTGTATTCCACCAATCTTTATACATTGTTAATACCAACAGACGTAGACCCATGGATAATAAGTTGACTAGATAAAATTAAGAATAAAGAACAAAAGCAAATCAATATTTGATTGACATTAAAATCCAATGATGATGCTAATAATAATGGTTAAGGTGATCATGAGAAACAACGACGCAATAACTTGAATAGTTTACACCATCATTATCGCCGTAATATGACCCTTGTAAAATTGAATTGATTGACTTTGATGATGGTAATACAAGATAAATTAGAAATAACCAAATTGTCCATTACAAGACACCAATCAATCAGCCAAAAAAACAATTTGCTTACCACCAGAAAACAGCAGTTCAACAGTAAAATCAACAGGTAACAACAGCTATCATTGTAAAATTACTATCTAATCATATCCAATTAAATTTTGTTTTCATTTTATTTTCTCAGTACCAGGTAGTCACTAATGTTTTAACGAGTTATTGAAATTATCATCATTGACTTACAATGATAATTAATAATCATAATAAAAATATGAACAAAATTGAAAATGGTTTTTGCTACATGTTGTAACATTTTAAAAAAGCAGTTAACATAAAGACACACTCAATTGTCCAATCCAATGTCTTCCATTGCTTTTAACCGCTCAATTCAATTTTTAATCATTTGATTTCCCCAATTTTTTACATTAATTGTAATTATATTAATATTTTGCATTATTAATAAAAGGGTTGATCTCTCCTAAAGACTCCAAAGTCATTGTATCATTGCCTAAAGCATTTCCTGAATATTTTGTTCATTTTAATAAACATAATAATACACAGTTAAAACAGTGTAAACAGTTAAGGGAAGTTTGAATGTTGTTTAGTTTGATGATCATAATAATAATCAACCTGATGATGGTAATAATGATACTAGGGTCGTTGATAATAACATGTTTTTAATAATCAGCCAACCATATTAACTTTTCTCCATCTCTTTTCCCATTATTTTATGGACAAAATGGTTTAACAAAGAGATTTCTCGTACCAATGATTTGCTTTATTACCACCAAATTTAGTAAATGTTACCAATGTTTTCAACTCGACCTTTAACTGCTGCGAAAAACGACAAAATGGTACATTAATGAGATGGATTATCATCAAGAAACATTAAAAAATCAGGTTTACCTTAGTTGCCAGCTTCAACACTTTCCTTAAATCAGTTTACTTGCAGTTTCAGCTGATTTTATTGTTCCCAACTGATACATGGGAAGTTAAACCATAAAAAAATTTGCTATTGCAAAGGAAGATGTAAATTGGTTGAGGTTCATTATCTTTGACGTAAATGAACAAAGTAATTTACTAGCGAATACAAATAACGTGTGAAAGATTTTTACTAGAGAGGAATTTCGGATGAATCAGAATTGAACAAATACAGCAGCCATTATCACAAAAATTGCCATCAATATCGTTATAATCTTGATATTTTTGATGTTGGAATCGAGTCAACGAATACTCCATCTTTTCCAAATGGCCTTTGAAGCATATTGACCAATTCAAGACCAGTATTTATGAACTATGTCGTCGAGGGTCAATTTTGGCACCATTATAAAAATATATTTGACTGATTTTTTAGAAACTAAGGAAAAAAATTGTCTCTTTTGGTCTCTTTGTCTGAAATATCTTGTATCTTTTTTCTTGTATCGATCTGTACTTTGATTATCATAATTATCCCACCAGTGCCTTTAAATAAGCTACTTCTTGTTTTATTGTACTTTCAATTAATTTTATAAGCTACAATTCACCTTCAAGATCAATCAATGTTCAAACATGTGAACGAATTGAAATATTATCAAAAGCAACAATCTATTTATGGAGAAAAAAGTAAAACATTATGATTTTGAATATTGCGCTCGAGTCAAATTGAAAACAAAAGCCGCCAATACAATGTAAATTACATGCTTTGCAATACAGATAAAGAAATTTCAATCAAGTTTATCATGTGAAAAGGAAAGGTAAGTAATTTTAATGACTTAATTGTACGCAATGGTTTGAATGTGATTAGCAGAGGAAGGCAAATGTCTAAAAAAGTATATTCTTATTTTCATTCATTCATTACAGGTGTTGGGCTTTTTCAATGGCAACAACCTTCTCAAGTCCGGAAGATGGACATAACAAGAGCTGCTTATTCAGTTGACCTGGATGATGATAGACCAGATATTTTCTTCCTTTCCTCATCATCGCCACCATCATCATCATCAGCATTAGCATCATCAACAACAACAACCTTTAATCATTTTAAGTCCATTGTCAGTTAGCCATTGATAAAGGGAAGAAAATGAGAAAAAGAAAACGATTCAAATATTTTGCTGTCTCGCTTCTTCTCATCTTCACTTGAAATGAGAAGATTGAGAAATGATAAGGCTTGTTCATCAACAAGGTAAGAAGTATCATGAAGAAGATGATGATTTGATGAAAATACAAGATTAAGGAGTATCAAGATTATTCAGATTTTTCAAGGTTACCATTAGTGGTCATTCATCGGTGAAGAGATGAAAAAGTAGACTTTCATTCATCCAGAATTCACTCACATGTGAAGGAAAACTCTTTTTTTCATTTTTCTTCAATTCTTAATGCTTTTTCATCGCTGGTCTATTTAATTCCCACCTCTTATTATTATCTATCTATTTTTACCCCCTTTACTAGTCTGCCTATTCAATACCTACAGTATCATCATCAAATCACATAACTAGACTCAAGTCAAGAGGTTTCAATAGATATATCAATTTTTCTCAGCCATAATCAAACAGTTGAATCTGTTGTAAATCTGAATAAATTTGATTAAATGGTGGATCAGTAATAAGTAAAAGCTGAAAATTGATAATTTCATCTTGAAATACCTGTAGACTCGCTCAATTATAAGCATAAGGTAAGTTTGTTTATGTTGTTTTTTTTGTTATAAACCAGCAAAGCTTCACTCATCCACTAAATACAGGTTAAAAGTGAAGTAACTTTCTTTCACCATGATGATGATTATGATGACGATGACAAAGAAGTGAAAATTTCATCGGTTGGCTGATAAAAATCATCCTTTTTCATTGATATTTTTCACTTTTGTTGCTGTTCAAATAGTCACTTTTTTTTACCTAAATACCTTTACATGTTCACTTTTTTTGTCCCAAACTAATTGTTGGCTTGTTGCTACCAGAAACATATCGACATCATTTTGCGTTTTTTTGTTGCTAATTCATGTGATTGTTTATCCAGATAAACCCAAAAACCATAATAAAAACTCAAATATGAACCAGATTTTTGTAATCTATTATTATGGTCAGACACATGCATCCATATAGACTGAGTAGATAATGAGACAATCATGTTTTGTGTAGCATTTTCAACTCTGTTGACACAAAAGTATGAACTAAATTGATATTCACTTAGATTATACATTGTCATTATTTCCTCTCAGTGAATCAAGGAAATTGTCAATTGAATAAACCAACAATAAGCCACAATTAGACCAATGATGAACCATTGTTGTCCTGGTTTTAGGTTAAACCATCAACGCTTCAACATTGGATCACAAGGCTTTCGGTTCATCCTTTAAGCCCGTCTGACCATCATCACAATCACCTTGATTCATTATCAACTTATCACTTTTCCCGTCTCAATATGATCATTGTTTACAAACCTGATGATCCTTGGTTTAAGATGTTTACATTGTTTATTATCGTTTGCCGTGTTGTTCAATTAACTTGTTTTCTAATTACTATTGTTTTCTAATCAATCTTGCTCTTTCCACTTTCATTTAACGCAATATAATTAGTTGATTGACCATTGATTTTGTTTTAAAATGATCAATCAATCCTTAACTTTACTCACTTCTCGTCAACCTGTCAACCTACAAACACAAGCAAAATTAACATCCAAGCTTCACCTAGTTTTGTATTATTGTATTATCATCATCATTACATCTTGTAAGACCTTACCAAATTTAATTTGATCCGGTAATTATCTTTGACTATTTTGTAAAAGGAAGAATTAACAATAAAAAAATTAAACAAAATTATTGTGATATTACAAAGCCGGAAGATTTGGGTCTAAAATCAAGGTAAAAATAAAAGTAACTTCTCTCATTGCTTTTACTTGTTAAGAGTAAAACAAAGCTACAACTGATTTGATCCATAAAATTGGATTAATTTGCTTAAATGATGAAACTAAATCATAATTTAATCCAAATAAATTAACATAATTGTTATAAATAATGTTATTTGTACACAAAAATACTTCCTGTTTATTTTTACAAGGATCAAAAATAATTAGTTAACTGTCCCTCGAAATATTGCGCCCTTTTTGTTTTCTGTCAGTCATCTTGTTCATCTTATGATAATCCACTTTCCCTATCTCTACCTTTTGATTGCTTGTAATTCGTGTTTAACTGCTTGACCAACCCAAAATAATTGTAAATCTCAATCATTTAACTCGTGATAATCAAGTTTCATCCATTATTATCATCTAGTTTAATCTGAATAAGAGTAATTTAACCATGATCAGGTTACGTAAATCATACCCAACAGTCAAAAGTCACCGTAATGGATATAAAGAGTCTAGATTTTGGTTAGACCTAAGGATTTAACATGTTATCTTATGTACTTTGTCAGTTAAAGTACAAGTGAAATAAAATTGGTATGTATCTTGATTAGTACGTTATTGTTCATTTGAATTGCAATCTAGTGTACAATGCTTGTTCACTTTCTTTTTTATCATTTCTTTTTTATTCCTTACATCTCTTTGTATTCAGATTCTCTGCCAAAAGATTTTAGTTTACTTGAGTGAAATGCTATTAATAATTGAATGTTTACAATATATTTAACTTCCAAGGACTAATCATGATAATAAGTTTCACTCTATCAAGGTAAATTGGTAACTTATGAGATCATTTCTTTTCGCATTCTCAATCCTATGAAGGCTACTCTGTGAAGATGATTGTGGTGCTGCTGATGGTCTTTGCGATGGTGATTCAAAGGGGAATTTTATTTGTCTGATAGTCAAGAGTCATGATTTTGATGGTGATGATGGTGATAATAAATCCCATGAAATGTTAAATGAACTTTGGTTCCTGACAGGTTGGCGCCATTAAAGTATGTTAAATGTTTGACGATATGAGGAATATAAATTAGCCCCGGAAACCGAATCAAAATATCGCCAAGAGGGAAAAATTTGCAGCAAGGAACTGAAAGTTGCAGCTGAAGCTGAAGAAGAAGCCAGAAAGATGAAGGATCAGATGAAGATAAAGAAATTGATGGAAATGAAATCTTTGACTTCTTTTTTTTCTTATATTTTTTAATGTACGGGTTTTCAGATAAACTTGTTTTCTTCCGAGAAAAGTTCCAAGTCTGACCTTTTCCTACGGATCTTTACATTAACTTGTTTGACAACAAGTCGAACTATTCTCTTCTTTCTCATTTTCTTAATCCCTCTTTCTCTCCTTTTTCATCCTCATCTTCTTTTGCTGTTGTAGCTTCTTCTTGTATCGTGAAAGTTGAATTGATCACGTTGATGTTGTTGATACCTGCCAAGCCGGCTAAAGAAGCTAAGTTGATGTTAACTCACTCGGGTAGACACACCATTCATTGTTGGTAACTTCACAGTTAAGTTTGGCCTCTTATGGAGTCAACATTAGCTAACCACGCTCATCACCAACAACAACAACAACTACTACTACAAATTTATATTTTCAATATTTTTAACAAGGTAAGTACACTTGGATTGTTTAACAAGTCATCTTTCTCTTGTGTTATTCACCATACAATTTAATCTCTTAACCTTCAGTTTTTTTGAATTAGTGTGATAACTTTTAATTTTCAACTTCACCAATCATTACCATGATGATGATCCTTCTCTTCAACTTCTCTGAAGTTTTTGTTTAAGAATCGGTCAAGGACTAACTTTGATGGACCCTAATAGTGTAGCTTCAATTTTTCCTTTACCCTGTTTACCTGGCCAAGGTTTTCTGATTGGCCCTTGTTTTGAACCCTCAAAATTACCTTAGGCTAGTTGGCCTAACCTTTTACCAAAAAAAAGTATTCCAAAAACCAGTTTTTCTCTGTGGTCCTTCCATCCTTTTATTTATCTCTTTTCTCTCTGTGCGTCTTCCCCTCTCTTCTTCCTTTTTTTTGGTGTCCTTTCACTTTCTGTTAAATCTCTACTGCCATGCATCAACCTTTCTAGTTTTTCCTCCTTGTAACATGCTTTTTCACCTTCCAATCTAATCAAGATTGTTTTTTGACATATTCTTGGTGTACTGTGGTTTCTATTTCAATTGTTATCTTAATCATAAACTGTTTCATCAAATATCCTAATTGGAATCTTTTGTTTTCTTTGTTTCATCACCAATTTTTATATCAAAACTCACCTTTACCTTTGGAAACTTGATCTTTTGTGTGCTTCTACCACTTTTTTTGCTGTTGGTGGATCAATTAACTTTTCATTCAATATCAACCAGCCATTTCTGATTATTTGACAACAGATTCATTGGACGTCAATGGTATTAAATAAAATTGACAAGTCGATTACTTGCTGCTGCCATTATTTTGCTGTATTTCACCTAAATTGAACAAGAAAAAGTTATCTTCTATTTGCCTTCTCATTCTTTTTAACTATTCAACACAATTAATGAGTATCATAATGTAATTGCTCCAATGGTAATTGTCGGTTACCAATAAAAAGAAGGTGAGTCTATAGCTAATTGATAATTTTCATCTATCAATAACTTACCTTTATTCCCATTGTCTTGTCCCCTTTCATGTCAACCTTTATTTACGCAAAACAATTCTCCTTTCTGATATCAAGGCGTTAACACTTATTTGTAGGATTAGGTTAAAATCTACGCAGATTTCAATTAAACAATTTAGTTACTGCTATCAGTATATTTGTTATTAATTATTCTTACAACAACGCTTCTCTATCATCGGTTTTTACAGGTAAGTTGTTTTCGATTCAATGATTTGAGTTGAGTTATTGAAACTTTACAACAGTTTTATTGTAACTTTGAATTTGAAACTTTCAGTATTCAAATATTTCAATTCCTGGATTTCAATGTATTCATTTGCATGAATAGTTTTTCAATCTGTCAGTTATTGTTCAATATTGATAAATCTTTTCATCCTCAGAGGTGAACTTGTTTTACTTTCTCTCAAAGGTGTTTGATCTGAGAGATGAATATACTCTGGTTTTACAGGAAAACCTGATCAAATATTAATCAGTGATTGCCTCAAGGTAATCAAAATATAAGATAAGCCCACTAAGGCTAGTCTGCTAGATTTAACCTTGTCTTGTATCAGATAATAGTTTCTTAGCTTCTTGAATAGAGGTTGATTTTGTTAGGGACAAAAATTCCAAAAATATTCTCATTTTATAACCCTACCTGATTTTTGCCATTTTTTCCCATAAAATTTCTAATTTATTGTATCTATTTTTATTCCTTGCCACAGGTCTATCAATGATTAAATGGAGTTCATCTGAGACTCGTTATTTAATACAACTTTGGAGAAAAATCTTTGGTGAAATTCGTCAAATTCATATCAAATTTTCTTGTGATCAACAATTAACTAAACAAAATGATTTCAGCACAAAAGCGAATGTTAACTTTATTTTGTATAACTTTTGTATTGGCAACTTTAATGACCATCAGTCATTATGGAAGCCCGACTGGGATTGGAAACGGACGGAGATTAGTGTTAAATGATGTCGATAAGGAAAAATTGGTTGAAATGTTCAATTTAGTGCCTTATCAACCCTCACCAGCCTCACCAGCACTTGATAATACTAATCAAATTAGTAATAACAAACCTTTACTGCCTGTAAATGGCCTAGTTCAACAATCTCCAGGAAAACCGACCATTCCTGCCTCCTCTTCAGCAAAACCACCATCATATTCATCTTATGTACCTGTGATAAAATCTTCATCAATTTCTTCATCCTCTTCTCACTCTTCACCATCCTTCACCAATTTATCTCCTTCGCCGTCTCCTTCGTCATTTCCATCACGAAGACCTTTGTTTCAACTTTCATCGTCTCGCTCTCTCCCACCACTACCACCGTCATCATCATCATCAGCTACATCACCTGTAACAACCCCGAAACATTCGCCTTCCCCTGTTAACAACTTTGATTACCATTCTGTTAATGAAGTACCCAACCAGTCGCCATTCAATACCAGAAATGAAACTTCAAAAGAACCAGAAGAGCAAAGGCCGAAAGGGTTCTTTACAGCTGACGAAATTGCTTTAACTCGACAATTTTTAATTGACAAACCAAACTTCTGTGATACTGATAATGGAGCTTCCCTTGACCTGTTAATTTTGGTCAACTCTGCTGTTGGAAACTTTGAAGCTCGCCAAGCAATTCGTCAAACATGGGGAAAGTTTGCGGTAGAACGTGGTTCTCTTTTGCTCTTTCTTATCGGTAATTCGCGTGATGCGAACATTAACAGCAAAGTTAAAAAAGAGAATGAACAATATTCCGATTTACTTCAAGGTGCATATATTGACAGTTATTACAATTTGACACTAAAAACAATGTCAATGATGAAATGGGTCAGTGATAATTGCGATAAAGTTAAATTTGTTTTAAAAGTTGATGATGATATGTTTATTAATATGCAATTGCTTGTTGATTTCTGTGAAACCCGAACCTTCACTAATTCCATTATTGGTCATATCGCTAAAAAATGGAAACCCCATCGAGACACTAAAAGTAAATGGTTTGTCTCTCCGTCCGTTTTCAATGGTACCGTTTTCCCCAATTTTGCCACAGGACCATGTTACATGTTTTCTGGAGATGTTTCTAAACCATTAAGTGAACAAAGTTACAAAATGAAACCGCTTCACCTAGAAGACGTCTTCATGACTGGCATTGTTGCTGAAGCAGCTAAGGTCCGTCGATTAAATTATGCTTTGATGAAAAATGTTCGAGTTAAGGTTAATCATTGTAATTTCAAACGGCTCATGACAAGTCATAAGCACACACCTAAAGAAATTATCACCCTTTGGAACCAAGTTTATGATGAAATGGATAAACCATGTGAAAAACCAGTCTCTAAGCCAACAACAGCAGCTAAAATATCTAAAAATCCTGGAGCCAAAAAGACCTGAATTAGCTCCTTTTCTTAGTGTATAAAAAATTAACAATTGTAAAAATATTTGGACAAACAATAATACAATCTTTTAATTGTACCAGCCAATCGTTTCTGAATAATTTTCCATACATTTCTCAATTTTCTTTAATCGCCTGTGGTAATCTCCATCATCATGATTCATGACATTTAAAATTTAGATAGGTTTACAAAATTGCTATTCACTATTAATTTTAAGGATTTAAACAAAACAATTTGAGAGAAACATTTTTTTGTAATGAGTTAATGTTTGAGAGTTAATTTAAAACAATGTAGCTGTAATGTTGAGTTGAAACGTCATTTTCAGGTTTTAATAGTCGAAGTAAATTTGGTTAATACTTATCTTTATTCCAACTATTAATTCCTGGAATAGTTTTTAATTTTAGTTTTTAAATGACTTATTAGCAACTCGTAAGAGTTAATCGCTACAGATGGCGGTAAAAAGGAACTTAACAGAGAGCACACTTAAGTTGGCCTAATGGGTTAACCTAAGCGATAAGATTGTCTAACCTTCATATGTTGTTTCTTGCATCTTGGGGTTAGCGTTCGAATCTCGCCAAGTCCTGGTTGCGGGCAAAATACAGTAGGTCTTACCAGGGTTTAAGCCCCCTGGACTATCCACCTCTCCCTATCCCTTGGATTCCCAGCTTAGCTGGATAAAGCCTGGCGCTTAGGTGTAAAACACCTAAGTAGCATTGGGTTGACGGCGCCTTAAAAGCTGTCTCGGCTAGCCGGTCCACCAATACTTAAAAACACTTAAGAGAGAGACTACTGTAATCAAATAGTAATCGACTATCGAAACTTTATCAATCGATCATCGGAAAGTCACATGTTTATGTTTTGATGTGAAATTCAAATTTTGCTTTTCCTCAGCTTTAAGTATTTATTTAATTTTGATGTTAGATTAAATTGTTTCTGACCAATTCTTAATTGTTCAACTATAAGGGACAAGACTGTAGTTTATACCTTTGATGTTTCGGTCTTCAATTGGTGGTTTGAATTTTATCAATCATGTCTGTCGGATTACCAAAATGTTTTAGTTATCTGCAATCTAAAGGTTTTCTTAGTTTGAATTCTAGAGCTGTTCGGATTAAAGAATTGGATACTTTTGGTATTATAATTAAAGCTAACCTGAAAAGATGCTTAAACGATTATAATAGACTTATTGATAAATTCACTGTTTTCCCAGTTTCGAGAGTTGAAAGTATTAGCAACTTGAATAATCATCTTCTTTGTGGAAAGAAATTGGATAAATACGCCGTAAGTTTCGATTCTTCTGATCTCGTCGCACCAATCAGTGAACCAAATAATGAACTTTCTCTGTGGTCATCCAAAAGCTGCCTCAAAAATTTAATAATATTCTGTGATCCAAACAAGTCTCTTAATTTATTTTATTCCTTCCAAAATGAACGCTATAGATGGTGGAGAAAGGTATTTACTTGCGTGGTTCAAGAAATTTCTAGCAATTAATTCACATCTATTTTACAGCTTTCAGGGTGTCCATCTCATTTTCATCAATCTCAAATCGGAAAATGTGCAACTACTAAAGAAGAAAATGTATCGATCGATTTTAAATCACCATTAGTCGACGATAAAACTTTGTGTCTTGAAACAATCAAGTACATTACCGACCGAGACCAAATCAAAAATTCAATTGGTGTTGAATCATCTAGTCATATTATTTGGTGTAAAACTTTTCCAGATAATGCTACTATTTCTTATTTAATTGATGGATGTATAACAGACGACGAAGGGAGATTCAAAGTAAGTTTAATTCAATGTGAATTTAATATGTATTGTAGCTTTAATTGATCATTTATTTCATTTTCTGTAGGAAATTTGGTTCCATGAATCTTTAACTCCTTACCATGTTGCTATAACTATAAAGCCGTCACAAGATTCAATTTTGAACTCCAAACTAGTTGCCATTGCTGATTTTTTAATTAAAGAGTTGAAGGAATTTGGGATAACTGTATTTCCATTCAAGAATCAAAACAATGCTTTGGACGATAAATCATTTCAGTGGTGATTATTTTAACAGCAGCAGAATACTGCATGCAATAGACTTATTCATTATATTGTCTAGTTTAAACTATTGGAATTATTTCATTGTCATTTCAGGTTCGACCAGATTGGGATTCCGTATAGTATTTCAATTACTGAAGAAAGTTTGCGATTAGGAGTAATTGGTTTACGAAACAAGGATACTAAACTTGAGGTTTGTAGCAAGCTTTGATTTTATTGATGGCTTGAATGTGCAAATTTTTAATCATGATTCATGAACTACCTACTAATGATTATTTTAATTTTTTCTTCTATTTTCCTAGGAAGAAGTTCATGTCACAAGAGTTAAAATCAACCTCCTTTTATATCTCAAATTGATGAAACCCTTCGATATCAAGCTCGCAATAATGGAGTCCAATAAAGCAAGCTAAGCGTCCAATATTGAAGTTGAAGAAAGTAAAGATTAAACTGGCTCAAAACTCTAATGTAAATAAAACATGTGAGAATAAAAAATAGTGACTATGTGATGAATATGATTAATAAATCTAATTCATTAAGACTAGTCTTGCGTTACTATATAGATCGTCATTGTCATCGTCATAGTGGAGTCCAATATTTAAATTAAGCGAGCTAAGCGTCGAATATTGGAATTGAAGAAAGTAAATATTGAACTTTTTTCAAAAAGGATATAGTCCGTAATCAGTGGTACAAATTTAGATCAAATGGAAACATAATGTTTAATGTTATAAATAATTCTAATATATTTTAGCTACTCCAGAGGATGCTTACACTGTGTTCACTGCTTTCATTTGTTTGGATATTCAATAATCTTTGCAGGAGTGTATTGTCTGATATTGCCACCTGTAACTTCTGAATTAGGAGTTTTTCTTGGAGATATTTCTTTTGGTGGTGGTTTTGATGCACTTTCACGATCATCGTTTTCATATAAAGTCAAAACTTCCGAAATAATGGCATGAACTTTGTCTTTTGTTGCATTTTCACACAACGCTACTTTCCAATCCATGAGAGCTTCGTTTTCCAATGGGATTTGGATTCCGAGTGTTTTTATAGCAATCTCGATAATAGCTATAGCTACGTGAGATGCATTATGGTCGATGGACTTTGGATTTAGATAATAATCATTTAGCAATGACCAGCAAGTTTGAGAAAAGGCTGTTGAAGAAGAGTAATCTTTTCCAATCCATTCATTTATCGATCGTAAATAGTGAAGGAGAAACCGATGAGCTAGATCATTATTAACATCAAACTTGAGAACACGTAACATCAATAGTTCCAAACGAACCAATGACTCTCTCAGATTCCAATAATAATTGTCAAATTGTAATGGAATCATTTTGTTGGCTCGATTTAGGGTTGCATGGAAGACATTGATTAAATCTCGTAGCTTGATATGATCTTCTTCAACTTTACCAGCCAAGTAAATGCATGTTGCTCCAATCAGCATCGGATCAAATTGTTCAGGAGAGCATATTTTATAAAATTTATGGAAATAGATAGCTGCTGATGCAATTGTTTCCAGTTTAGCTTCGAGTTTAACACCACATTCATAGACAGTTTTGAGAGCCTGATGGAGTTTTTTGTTGAAAAATGAACTAGCTTGGGAAGATGCGCTAAAATTACTCATCTTCAAAGAAGCGATAAAAAGCGTAAAAATAAGGAAAAATACGTTACATAGGTGTATCTTACAATGTTAGTCATAATTGGAAATTTTGATAATTTATTTGTTTCAACAATAGATGAGCAATTGAATTATATTTACCCTTTTTAACGACTGTTTAAAGGATCCTTGTTAGAAGGCTCACAAACAGGTCAGAAAATTCAATAAATGATATTTGCAAGACTTCAAGGAAGGAAGAAAATGTTAAAAACAAAATGATAACAAAACATATCGATGAGAGATTGAAGCTCTTAAAAGATAGCTTAAGGCATTGCATATATTGGATAAAATAGAAGGCGTTTCGAAAGATATCGAAAGTTGAATAAATTACTCTATCATCTCAAGAAAAGATTCAACTAATTCAGCAAAAAAAGCTAAAGTTATCCAATATCTGAAGAGTGGTTGATTTCAATGGTAATAACATGAATGCATAAACCAAGGTTTGAGGCTTACCTTTGTCGATTGTAAGAGGATAAAATCAATAGATTCACAGTTCAATGAAATGAATTAACTGCTTTTAAAAACTCATGTTGAGATATAAAATATAATGATATAAACTAAATCACAATAAGAAATAGAAAGTAACAGAGAAGATATTTTTTAATGTAAATTAACCAGAAGCAAAATCTTTAAAAATAACACAATTGGCGCCTCTATCAGACATTATCTTTTTCCCATCTGACTCAAAATGTGACTGTAAACAAAGCCACTCACTTTTAACCCAACCAATTTTCATTTTTAAAACGCGAAAAGACATTAATTTAAATATTTTTACCAGCCACCAATAAAATATTTATAGTCAAACTGAAAATTGAAAATAAATCTCACATTTCAGTATTGCTGATCTATCAGATGTAAGCACAAGAAGTTGACTCCGACTATCCCGTTCTTGCTGTAAGTAGCAGTTTTCATTCAAAATTACTAGCATTTCGAGCTTCATTGCGACCCATTTTTCCAAAATTAACTAATGATAATCAAGCTTTTCATCAATACCATATTCAAGTTATTGGCCATCATGATTCCAAGCGATTTATTGAACAACCGAAAGTTTTCTTCGGCTTCAGCCTTTAAACGTTTATGTTTTTATTCAATGTTCGAACTCTTACTGTAAGGTACATCCGATATAGTCTAGTGGTTAGGATATCTGCCTTTCACCCAGAAGGCCCGGGTTCGATTCCCGGTATCGGAGTATATTTTTGGAGTTTTTGCATCGCGTCATTTACTAATCAGTTCAACTAATCAATGACTCGTACCTTGTAATGTCATTTTTTGGTGGCTCTTGGAAGCAAAATTGGCTGCATTTGTTCGTTAAAATATTCTGAAGTTCATAAATTTTTACGATTTGTATCAATAGTTGGGAGATTTTATAGTTTCATGATTTTATCTCCACTATTCTTACTTAATCTATGCTTTTGAATTATATTATTTGTTTGGAATATTCAGTTAAAAATCAATAACATTATCCTTTTGGATTCGGGTGCTGTTTACTGTTGGGTATGATTATGTGTATTGCTTGACGATGCTAATCTGATATTTAGATATTATATTTAAAACTGGAAATTTATTTTCTACTTTGTGAAATTATTCAGTTGGAATTTGGCTTTAATATTAAGTGATGTTTAATCATCAGAAAATCAACAAACTTTGTCCATAGCATGGAGATGCAAAAACAATGAAAAATAATTTTAATAATAAATGAAAAAAATGAGATCAAATTTCCTTAATTTTCTCAGTTCATAAGAATGGTTTGTTGCACGATTAGGTTAACACTTTACTCGTCATTATTCCTTGCATCAGGACTCATGATTAGGTTTAGAGTAAAGTAAATAAAATGGAGGTAATGTGAACCTTTAAATTTTTGGAGTTTCAAAAATTTCTAAGTTTAGTGTATAGTATAAATAATTGATGACTCGATTAGACCAATTTAATTTCTTTCAGGTCGTCAAGATCGTAAATACTTTTCCAGTCATATTTTGGTGTACGAAATGATTTGATACAATGCCAATCACAGAACTCAAATAGATTGCGAAGAATACCATAACTGTAATGATAAATGAATAAATTAAAAATTAAAATGGGGAAAAATGAAGGCAAAGGACAGAAACACTAGGACAATAACAATTAAGTTATTAGTTTAAAAAGATGTCTCAAAGTTTGAGACTCAGCGGTTAAAAAGACTTACTGGAAAGGACTGATTGGATCTCCTTGTGGACTTTTGATGAAATAATGATACCTATGACATTTCATTCTTTCATTGGTGGTCATTCCCAATATGCATAGCTAATGGAATAAAAGTTTCAAATAACTTGTTAGATTCCTGTTTAGAGAGGGATATTTGAAAGAATAAATGAAATAGCCTTACTTGATACAATTGACAAACTAATAGACTAGAAACCCAGATGAAATGAAGGACAGATAGAAAAAAGCCAAGAGTTACCCAGCCATTAGTTCTGAGGGCTTCTCCGACGTAAGAAAATCCGGAAATATCTGGATCAATATTAGATTCCCAAACTAAACATAGAGAAAACAGATGATTAGTTTTTGATAAATGTGAGCTTTACACTGGATTTTGATTGAACATTGTAATTACTTACAGAGGAATGATGTATAGATGTATATGGAACACATAGCAACTACTGAGGTTAAATACCACACAAAATATTTATGATTATCAGCTCCGACACAATTTCTGACCCATGGACAATGATGATCAAATTTTGCCACACAAACATTACAAAAAGTGCAATGTTTGGACCGTAAAGGTCTTCTTACAAGACAGGTATAGCAATACCAAGCCGCGTCAAAATCACTTTTCTCGGCTAATTCAATGATTGTCTGTAAATAAAAAAATGCCAAAATTCAATAAATTTACCAATTATTATTCATTGCTCGAACCTTACTCTAAATTTTTCTTCTCGGTTACTTAATATAATACCGGGATTACTTTTCCATGTTTTATAAAAGCTATAAACTAGTAAAGTAGAGAAGCCCAAACATGTTATTAGTAACCAAGAAGGCATATCTGCAAATAAATAAACAATAAATTAGAAAATTTATAGATTGATTAAGATTGAAATATCTTGACGATTACTTACAAAATATTAACCAAAAAACAATAGTAACATAAAGCCAAAATTTTGTAGCAAGATATATTGAAATGGGCCAAAAATGGCAAACATCATCATGATGACTTATTTTACATGTGACAAGAACCATAACAGACCAGATTATAGATTTCCAAAAATAAGTTAATTCTGAGTTTAGAACAGCTCCCAGAGTAAAATAAACTAAAAAAGGTACACTACTTAAAGCGTAGTTTGAAATTTTCTGCAAAGAAAGGACGAAATTGTATAAGTAAAATATGAACGCAAAGTTTGAAGCAATCAAAATTAATTATTACCTTATCTTTATACAATCTTATATACCAGGGTTTGGAAGGCAGTTTCTTTTCTTCTGCAGACTCTTCAATTCTCTTAGCTAACCAAGTAACATTCAAACGTCTAGCCATCTCTTGAGGAGTATCACCATGTACGTTTTGTATAAAAACATTGGCTCCGGCATTAAGCAGATTGGAGACAGCATTGGTGTTTCTTGAGTAAATTGCGAAGTGCAGAGCAGTATTATTCTCTTTGTTATCACATAAATTGAGACTAGCTCCAAGGTTTATTAGCAACCGAACAGGATCTTGTCTGCAGAAGGAGAAATAATTAGATTATGAGAATAAAATCATGTTATATGAGGGGAAATACTCACGTAGTGGTTCGAAAGGCTGCCCACATAAGTGCAGTTCGTCCAAAATATGCATCTGGTACATTGATGTCGACACCTTTGGCAAGCAGGTAGGCAACAATACCAGTTTTACCGAATTGAGCAGCGAGATGAAGACAATTATAACCCTCTGCACTCATAATTGTCGGATCAGCTCCATTTTTCATCAATAACACAACCATTTTGAGATGTCCCATACTGGTTGCCCAATGAAGTGGTGTGGACTTGGTTTCACCACCGATAGCATCAATGATCGCCCCTTTAATGATGAGAAACTTGACAATCTCGATTCGATTATTGATAGCAGCCCAATGGAGGAGAGTAACATCTTCATTGTCCCTTTCATTAACATCAAAGCCTTGTTCAACCAATTCTTTCACTTTATCCAATTCACCATAACGAGTTGCTTCAAAAATCATTGACGATGGTGAAACTGTGTCATCCATTGTCTTTGAAGAGAAATAATCATGTGAATTACCATATATGATTATTTCTCATAACAAGATACGATTAAAAATTGATTCAGTGATGATGCGAAGGCGATGAAATAAGTGAAACCTGAATGGCCAGATGAGGGATCGGATCCAGGAATCGATACTTATCTATTGAACATTGATGTTAAAATAATCAGAATTTAATGATTTCAATGATGGATGTCTTGAAATAAAGGACAAAATAATGAGTTGAAAAGAGAAAAAAATAATTAAAACAAAGCAAAGAGCGTGGAAGTTCAATCATTGGCAACAGTAATTTCGGATCCCAAAATTTATGGGCGGGTTGGACTAAAACCATGCAATAGAGTCAAAGACAGCTGAAGAACCAAAGAGCTGTAAGTTATCAACAATTTACTAATGGACTGACCTACAGTTTCTTACTGCAACGATAACATAACGAGATTCAGAATTTTCTTGCATTGCTGACCCTTAAAATTAGATAATTGGCCAGTGCAGTAAATGTAAAAGACGAAGCTTAAGGCTTACCTTTATCTAATGTAAACGGATAAACCAATATAATCACTGTCAATTTAATGAATTTTTTATCTTCATAGATTCTTCCGAATTATGAATAAATATTTCAAGCAAAATTACAATAAGAAACAGATAATCAGGAAGAAAAAGGATATTTTTTCCATAGGTTGTGAGTAATATTCAAAAAAATCTTTAAAAGGAAGCACAATTGGCGCCTCTGTCAAATCTCCAATATCCTTACAACATCTGATTTAAAAGCTGTCAACAACGCCTTTCTATTCAATTTCAATAATCAACAAAGATTATTGAATAACAAAAACAGTTATTTGAGTGTTGATTTCAACCTGTATCTTTTAGTTCACCTGATGATCATTGTACTGCTTTGGTTGACTGTTGACAAATTTGACCCTTAGCATTATAAAGAATCAATAATCAATATGGTTAACATAAATCAAGTTGATGATGATTACTCCTTTCTTCCGGTAAGTTGAATTATTATTCTTTATTCATTTTATTATAGTATTTAATTTTGTTTAACTGGGCACTCATTCTTTAATCGAAATAAGCTTGGAGAACAATTTGAACTCATAATTAATTCAATTCATTTTATGTCTTTCTAGGAGTTTGCTATGATGTTCATCACAGCAAATTTCGCGTTGTATCTTCTTGTTTTGATGTCCGATCCTGCTGGAGGTCAACCTAAACGTAAGCGTAGCAGCAATAGAAATGTTAATCAAGTTGCCGATGAAGGAATATCTGGAGTTAGCCCTCAAAGATTGGTTAATAACGAGGCACCAGCCGGTGAACACGATGAGGCTGAAGGTTCATCCTCGCCTGGATCTATGAATTCCGCCCAAAGATCAATTGAAGAAGAAGAATTGAAATACGGAGCTAGCCATGTTATCAAATTATTTATACCAGTTTCAATTTGTATGCTAATTGTAGTTGCATCGATAGGATCTCTCCAATTCTACACCAAGACCAATCAGTATTTGTTATATACACCATTTACTGACCAGAAAGCTGATACCACGACTAGAGTTTGGCACTCATTCGCTAATGCATTCATTTTTCTCATTGTAATCGTTGTCATGACTTTTGTCCTGATCCTTTTATATACATACCGATTCTACAAAGTTATCTACGGATGGTTGGTGCTGTCATCATCATTACTTCTATTCCTATTTATGTTCATCTATTTATCCGTAGTCTTACAAAAATATAATCTTCCAGTAGATTATATCAGTGTCTCTATATTCATTTGGAACTTTGGAATTTTAGGGATGATTTGCATACATTGGAAAGGTCCACTTATCGTCCAACAAGCTTACCTGCTAGTTGTTTCAGCTCTTATGGCTTTAGTTCTAATAAAATACATTCCAGAATGGACTGTGTGGGTGATACTTGCTGTCATATCAGTTTGGGACTTAGTTGCTGTTTTATGCCCGAAAGGTCCTCTTCGAATCCTGGTTGAAACTGCACAAAGCCGAAATGAGTCTATTTTCCCTTCTCTCATTTACTCCTCAGCAGTAACCTACTTCACAGGAATGGCAGACGGTGGAGAAAAGTCAGCTCTTACTAATCAAGAAGTCGATCAAAATCGTCCAACTCAACAAGACCAGAATATCAGAGAAGGACAAGCATCTTCATCATCTCAATCGCCTTCTTCAACCCAACCAGCCCAACCTGAAGCCGATATACCACCAATCTCGTTCCGAGGACAAGACAATCTTAGACCCGATTTAGCAGGAGTTGATGAATTTGAAGAAGAAGAAAGGGGAGTTAAATTAGGCTTAGGTGATTTTATATTTTACAGTGTTCTCGTGGGTAAAGCTTCATCATATGGCGATTGGAATACCACATTAGCCTGTTTTGTATCGATTCTAATTGGACTTTGCTTAACTCTACTACTTCTTGCCTTCTTCAAGAAAGCGTTGCCTGCTCTTCCAATATCAATATTTTTCGGGTTAACTTTTTATTTTACAACATCTCAGTTAGTGGCACCATTTTGTGACCGTCTTGCTGAACAACAGATCTTTATTTAATCCAAATTTAAAATAAATCCACTTTGTATTTACAAACACAAAGTCAGTACATGTTATCATTGTAAATCTTCCATGGTTTTCAATAATGTGATCAACTCATTTTTAAGCTTATAAAATTCAAAACTCTTTTTCTCTCCCTCTTATCATCCTATCCCTCCATTTCAACTGTATTCATCAAATGGTGAGATCAACACTCATAATAAACTTTTTTGGTCAATACATATTCGTGTAGGAAGTTTACAAAATTCAGTATGATTAAGATTTTAGGTTAAACTCGCGCAACTTTTTCTCCACCTACTCTAAAGAAACTTTCTAAACCCTGTAAACATTATCATCCTTCATCCGATGCTATTTATGGTAAAAGAAGATTTTTTAACATCTTAACTCCATTTTCCTGTTGATTTTAGTTTATAATTTTACTCATTATTCTCATCATTGAATTTATTTCTAAATTGTTTCATTCTCTGAATTAAAACCGTATTTCATCTCTAAATTTAACAGTAATTCATTATGGAAGATATATTTCACTGGTGCCGTGAAGGTAATGGTGTTTTGGTCCGAGTTTGGCTTGACGATACAACTCATGATTTAAATCAAGGGTAAGTAAATATAAATTCATTTCTTCAACTAATTCCCTTTAATTAATTGTTTAAAAAATCAATAACTACGGTGACCTAATTTTTTAACTTTTTCTTAACCTTTTCCTAGCATCCCAATAGTACTATAATGTTGTTTACATTTTTCTTGAACCTAAATCTAGTGATGATCATGGTTTCAGCCCTCTTCACTGGGCTTGTAAATCTGGAAGAAGACATATTGTTGAGATGTTAATCAATCGAGGAGCTCGAATCAATGCAACCAACATGGGTGATGATACTGGTCTTCATTTAGCAGCAGCTCATGGTCACAGAGAGATTGTTAATTATCTTCTTCGTCATAAAGCAGACGTTAATTCAATCAATGAACATGGGAACACTCCTTTACATTATGCTTGTTTCTGGGGATATCAGCAGATTGCCGAGGATCTAATCAACGCTGGAGCTCGAGTAAACATCATCAATAAGTATGGTGAAACGCCATTAGATAAAAGTAAAGGACAAATGGCTTCAAGTTTACTTGAGTTAGCTGAAAAGATGGGTCAAGATGTGTCCAAAAAAGTGCCTTACAAAGAACAAGGTTGGCTTGGAACTAAAACTCGCTCTCGAGATGCTACACTTTCTCGTCACATGGGTATAAAACTGGAAGATCTTCATTTACAGGAGAAAATAGCAATCACCAAATCTGGTGAAACATGGCGAGGCATTTGGCAAAACAATGAGATTGCTGCTAAATTTTTATCTCTTGGAGTGAAACCTTCGGCGGATGTTATTCGTCGAGCTTCCAGAAATTTTTCAGAGGAGTTCCCGCGTCTCAGAATATTTTCACATCCAAATGTTTTACCTGTTATTGGTTGTACCAATTCGCCGCCTAATTTGGTTGTAATCAATCAATTCATGCCTTATGGAAGCCTCTACCAAGTACTTCATCAACCCACAAATCTTGTTGTAGACCAAACTCGAGCTTTAAGATTTGCTGTTGATATCGCCAAAGGAATGGCTTTTCTACACTCATTAGAACCAATGATAATGCGCTATTTCCTCAACTCTAAACATGTCTATGTAAGTATTAGTAGTACAAGATATTTATAAGAATTTCGATAATAATAATCTTTTTTTCCTCTATCAGATTGATGAAGATCTTACAGCTAGAATAAACATGGCTGATACTAAGTTTTCATTCCAAGAACGCAACAAATATTATCATCCTGCTTGGATGGCTCCAGAAGTATTACAGAAAAAGCTTACAGAAATCAATGTAAAGGCTGCCGATATGTGGTCATTTGCTGTTCTTTTGTGGGAATTAGCAACTCGACAAGTACCTTTTGCTGAGCTTTCACCAATGGAATGTGGAATGAAAATTGCCTTGGAAGATTTACGTATTTCCATCCCTCCTGGAATATCCTCACACATGGGAAAATTAACCAAAATTTGTATGAATGAAGAGCCAGGTAAAAGGCCAACATTTGATCAAGTAATACCAATTCTTGAAAAAATGATTCATGCCTGATGTTACTTTTTACGCTAAACCGGATTGAAGGAAGAAAGAGCCACGCATAGAAAATTTATTATACAAATTATTATGAATATATTGACGATTATTCGGAAACTTAATATGATGGAAATCAACTTTAACCTCGCAATATTGTAATAAAACTCCTGAATATACTTTTTGGTTGTTTTTTCTCGATTGTGCCTTACATAGCCACTGATACTCTATTCTGGATTTCAATACGAATCTGTTTCAACGGATCATGATCAAATTGTATTTTATGAGTTTACCAAAGTATCAATGATCTGAGCTTAACTCTGATTTGTGAAGAAAGTTAAACTTGGAAGACTTTCACTGCCTTAAGATACAGCTAATAAAATATGTGAATGATATAAAAAAAGTAACTCATACTTTTCCGGCGGCTTATTATTGTTATTAATGAATCAATAAAAACATTATAAATTACATCAGTTTCGTTTTTTCAACATTAATCCACTCTCTTCAGATTGTTTCAGTTCAACTAATGTAGTTAATAGCAGCTCACAGTAATTTATTATTATGATCAACCAGATTCTACGAATAAGCTACTTTTGCTCAAACATGGCAAATTTTGCTCAAGATGTTTCTGGATTGGGAATAACAATAACAAGTTGTTTATAATAACAATTCCGTTGTTTTCCCATCAATTAATAGATCAAATGTATAGTAGAATTGAAAAAATGTCAAAATGAAATAATATTTCAAGAATAATCAGTTGAGACTTTTATTATCCGAAATTTACTCATCACAATTATCAATTGAAAGAGTTATATGCATAATTATGAAAAATAAAAGTTAAAATTGAAATAATGGTAAACTTGGATTGCAATCAAACAATAGATGCTGTGTGTGTTTAGGCAAGAAAACAATTAAGAGTAAATCAAATTGGTTGATTAGCACAATTGAGTGAAAAGAGTTAATGAATGACAATCATAAAGAGTCCAATTGAAAACAACAAACAAATGAGAAGATAATTGTTGATGATTTTGTTTGAAAACAAATTGTTTTCTGGTTAAACGGAGATTACAAAATAAACCTTAATTTAGTAGCTTATACAAGACTGATCCAAAATTAATAATAAGCTGACCAACTAATAACTGATAATAGCTAATTGTTTGTATTTGTGGGTGAGTTGCTTGTATTGGACTCGATTGGGATTGTTCATCATTTATGAGCGATTGGGATTCGCCTTTCATTTGATCCTTCGATTGCTGCTAATGGTGCTTCAATGGTCAGAATACCATCAGTTGATAATGTTGATCGAATCTGTTCTGGATTGACACCTTCAGGAAGCAAAAATTCACGATTGTATTCACGGAATACATGGCGATTCTCTGATTTCTCCTCGTGTTTGGCATGAACCTGCAAGTGAAGAGAAAAAAAATGAATGTCAGTTTTGGTTGAAATAAAGGAAAATGAGAAACTCTGAGAATGATTTCCCATTCTCAAGATGATTAATTAATCAACTTAAACATGTCTGATAGAGATGACTATACATAGAGTTACAAATTGGGTTCCGAGGGTTCTCTGAGTCAAACACCCACATTTTTACTGCACAGTTGTTGATAATTAACAACAATCTGGAGGAGGTTGAAGTTTCTGTTTAATTTTAACATGGTCTTAACTGAAACCTTGAAAATCAAATGTTAAGTCTTTTGCCTTTTTAGGAAATAAATAATCATTATAAGGCTAATCATTGGAAATTAAATGTTCACTGGATAAAATAAAAAGAGGAACAAAAAGCTGATGGTTTGTGAATAATGTTCAATGATGGAAATGAAATGCTAATGTATCAACGCTTGGAGTTGTGCCCACTTTGATAATGTCTATTAATAATGTTTATTGAAATTATGGTCAAGAGATCATTTTTGAATGTCAAAATGTAATTTTTCAAACTGTTTTTGATAGCGAGATTGGTCATGAAACTATTCATCATTTGGCTAACATCTATTATCGTCAAATGTCATGAGAAGACAAGGTTATCTTTTTGCTGAAATGATGTTATGAACGAATCAAGAAAATCTTTCTAATGTCTTCAGACAATGAGCTGGCTCATCTTTTGGACTGGGATTGAGTTACAATGAAACAATGTCAAACACCAAGTACACGATGATGTGTGTGATATGTTTTTTATTTTAATGTAATCTAGTTGATCTGGTTTATGGGAATGAAATGAAAATTGAATGGTGATGAATCAACGAAAAAAAACCTAAGTCATGATAAAATGGTAAACAAGAGGGTAAAAAAGTGAGATTCAAACATTCCATGAAAAATCTGGCTTCTAATCAAGTTTATCATTGAGCTAATCGAAAGTTATATTCAGCATTCATTTGCCTCTTTGATTAAACTTAAGGGGAAACCGGAAAAAAATTGTTGATTGATGTTTACCAGACAATCAACTAGAAATAACCAATCAAATATGACATTACAATAAACTACTGAAACTCTGTTTCATGTACTTTTTCAATATTACCCGGTGACCTTAATAAATATTGATTTTTCCTTTGGTTTCCCTAGCATCTAAGTATGGATTAATATTGATTAACATGGTTAACATTGGTTAAAAATAGCCTCATAGTTAGTGGAAATCTTGCGTCTTGTGGTTGTTTTTTTCAACAGCTAGACAATCATGTCATGACATTTCAACGGATATTGTATTTGTTTCAACAGATTTAAATCGTAGATTAATTTGACTTTCAATGAATGTAACATATTAAATTACACCAAGCATTTCAATAAGTCAAAACAAGGTCAATAGGCAAGTTCATTGGCTACAGGGTAAAGGCTTATTTTGCTCATTTTTACTTTGAATATAAGTAACCTTCAATTGAATTAAGAAACCTTATTTAGCCAAGAGTCTAATAAACCAAGACCAATTGATTGGAAAATATTAGAATTGGTTGATTAGTTTAGCTTGAAATATAAATTGTAGATAGTCAATATCTATTTTCGCGGTTCAATTTTCATAATGTGGTTAGATTTATCTAAATTATTGTTGATAGCTAGCATTATCGTAAACCATTTACTAATATCACTGGTTAACAACTGGGATTTGAAGCTCTGTCAGTGAGTTTTATGAGAATCAGTTAAGGGTCATTTAGCTATTCATAAGGCTATTTTACAGTGAACTTTATGGCTATTGTTGAATTTAATACCAAGTAATTTGGTGACTAATTTAGTAGGCAATATTCGAGTGAATACAGAGGAAGATGTAATTGTCTAAAAACTCATTTCGTTATTTTATCTGAGAGCCACTCAATTCCTAATAGTCTAAGTTGAAATGCAACAGTTTGATGTTAAGTGATCAACTAAATATACTATTTTGACTTTCAAGTTAGTCGAGATTGAAGTCGTAAAATGGATGAATCGAGGTTAATTTAGATTGACTGAGACTAAGAGGCTAAACCAGCTGATTAATAGATTGAAAATGGTTGTTCTTACCTTTAGTCTTCGATCAATTGTTTTGACAACAATGTCCTCTGGAGCATATTCTGAAACATCGTATCTTAACCTAACAATTTTACCATCAGGAGTGTCATGGACAAGTGAAGAATCATCTAACCATGAAGATAGTTCATTTCGACGGTTACTTCCCTCACTAGATGAGCTTATCCGAGAGGTTAAATGTGATCCACCAAAAAAGTCTCGCTCCTTTTCTTGAATTTGAGATCGAAATCGAATCATCTCGTCTTCCATTCTGGCCATCTCAGCTTCAAACCTTGCACGAATTGAATCAAATTCCTTGTCAATTAAGTTAAAATCAGATCTAAGAACAGGAACTTTTCGTTCAGAAGTCATCTTTGTCTTGTTTCTTTCCTTCTTAACGAATAACCAAAAGCAGCAAAAAATAAATACGCAGTAAACACCAGGAAGAGTAAGAAAAGTGAAAAAATAAACAAATAATTTGTTGCACGTAAAGTAAAATTAGTAAAGATAATCGAGTTTAATTGTTAGAATGATAATGTGGAAATGTTTTCTGATATTAAATACGTTACAATAGTGTTATCAACTAACTGATCAAGAGAAACATAACCGACTAACAATTTATACTAACCACGTTGATTGATTAAACGGGCGTGGGTATTGGCAACAAGGTCTAATGTAGGAGTTGTTTTCCTATTCTTAAGCTACTACTTCTTCACCAGTTCTCATCTTCATCATCATCATTAGTATCTTTTACTTTCTTTTTACTTTCTCTTAATTCACCTTCTTCTTCATTTCATCATCTAACATCTTCAGATTTAGGTGATAATAATCATAAACAAAGTAAAGTAATTGAAAACTCTTGTACCTTCTAGTTGTTTCAAGTAATTATTATTTTTACTCCGGTTTTTCTTTGTCTCCTTTCAATGGTACTTTTTACACTTGTACACTTGTTTGGGAACCACACAATTAAATATCGTAGCACACTGATTAACAAAAATAGACTGATGGTCTGTAATGATGATTGTACTGTACTGTCTGGAAGATGTACTGTTTGCACATGGCTGAGATCATGATGAGCAACTGAGTCGATCCTGGTATTAGATCATTGCAAGTTAATGACTTACATTTGTTGACAATTTAATGATTAAAAAGTCCTGGGTTGCTAATGTTTTGAATTATCATCCATGAGATGTTCAATAAAGACTAGAGAATAGCATGAATCACAATCAGGCCTATCATTAAAATATCGGTTATCTAAAACTGAAATAAATCATTGAATGTTAGTGGATAGAATTTAATATCTTGATAATTCTTGATGATAAATTAATAATTGCGAATGTTGATGATACATTTTCGATTATTTGAATGAGAGAATCGATATTAATTGCTATTTACTTGATTGGTTGATTATAAATACAATGGTAATCAAAGAGTAAAGAAGAAGAGACTGCGATAAATACAAATACAATTTGTTGCTGTATAATAGCACTGGTGGTGCTAGTAGTAAGAAACTCTTTCTTTTCTCATTCTTTTTTTAATCAAAATTGACCAATTTAATCAATTTAAAAAAATTGATAATTATTTAACTTGGAAAGAGAAAAGAAAGTGTTTCTTACTACTAGCACCACCAGTGCTATTATACAGCAACAAATCGGTATTTTATTCATCGCAGTCTCTTCTTCTTTACTCTTTGATGGTAATCATGTTTCAGAGACGTGATTGATTTTACTATTTCAAGCTGCGCGCCTTTTCGTTTTCAGGTTACCAAAGTAAAGTCATTTCAGTCATTTGATTTTGTTGTCTGGACCTACGACCTTCTTTCAGTAATTATTTAATTGTTTGATTTGTTTTGTTAATATTGTTACATGATGTTTCGAACTTTCATTTCGGCTAGAGCTAATTCTATCAATGCTAAAAAGTTATCAACGGTAATTACTAGAGATCTAGAGTCTCTAGTTAATTTCAAGGTAACCTCTCGTAATACTCGATTATATTCATCTTCAAAGCTAGCATCGTAAGTTGTTTTAATTATTTCCTTCTTACCATTTAATGTTAATTAAACCATTTATTCTCATATTTCTAGGTGCATCAAATTTGATAGGAAGTATAGCTTTCATTCTGGTTCATTATATGGTAGACCTTTGCAATTTACTAGTGTAAGATGTTTTTCATCTGGAGATTTACCCGAGCATACACCGGTCCCATTACCTGCTTTATCTCCAACCATGGAATTGGGAACTATAGTTTCATGGGAGAAAAAGGAAGGTGATAAATTAAATGAAGGTGACTTACTGGCGGAAATTGAGACAGATAAAGCTACTATGGGCTTTGAAACTCCAGAGGAAGGTTACTTGGCAAAAATATTGGTGTCTGCTGGAACCAAAGATATTCCGATTGGAAAAGTATGATCTTATTACAATTTCTTGAAATTTGAATCATTAGGATGTACCTTCCAATTTTTATTTTGGTACTTACAAAATTGCATTTTTAGAGCTTTTAAGAATACATAGACAATCATCATTAATTACCATTCTTCATTTTATTTAATACAGTTGTTGTGCATCATTGTTCAAAATCAAGAGGATGTTGCTGCCTTCAAAGACTATGTACCTTCAGAATCTTCTGTAAAACCCAAAGCAGCTGGAGAGTCGTCTTCACAGCCTCCTGTGCAACAAACTCCACAACCCGTGCCGCAGAATGTTCCACAACAGCCTGCATTCGCTGCTGGTGGTGCTCCAACCGGTGGAAGAATCTTTGCTAGTCCTTTCGCCAAGGCCTTAGCATCATCGAAAGGTCTTGATCTCTCAGCCATTGGTCAAGGTTCAGGTCCAGGAGGAAGAATTATTGCCCAAGATGTATTATCATCATCAACAACAACACCAACTAACGTGGCTCCAGTCGCTGGAGGTTCTTTCGTTGACATACCTCTTACTGGAATGCGTCAAACCATCGCAAAACGCTTATTACAGTCCAAGCAATCTATTCCTCATTATTACTTAACTGTCGATATTGAAATGGATCAACTCCTCAAGTATGCTTTGTTTGCCTTTTCTTATAATTTTATATTGACATTTTTATTCTTTTTTCTATAGTTTAAGGAAACGCGTTAACGAAATGCTCAACAAGGAAAACGTAAAGGTTTCAGTGAATGATTTTGTTATAAAAGCATCTGCTTTAGCATGCAGGAAAGTACCAGAGACCAATTCATCCTGGCAAGAATCATACATCCGTCAATATTCAAATGTAGATGTTTCAATTGCTGTAAGCACTGATAGAGGTCTTATAACACCAATCATCTTTAATGCTGAAAGCAAAGGAGTCAAAGAAATTAGCGAGCAAACTAAAGCTTTAGCTGCCAAAGCTCGAGACGGTGAGTCATTTTGATACCTAAACTGAAAATTTTATAATAAAAGTTTATTTTTTAAATGACAGGCAAATTGGAACCTCAAGAGTTCCAAGGAGGTACTTTCACCATCTCAAACCTAGGAATGTTTGGAGTGAAACATTTTTGTGCCATAATCAGCCCTCCTCAATCGTGTATATTAGCGGTCGGTGCTGCCGAGAAGAAAGTTGTACCTGATGATAACGGAGGATTTAGAGTAGCTAATGTTATGAATGTCACTCTGAGCTGTGATCACAGAGTTGTGGATGGAGCTGTGGGAGCTCAATGGCTTCAGCATTTTAAACGATTTTTAGAGGATCCTGTTACAATGATTATCTAAATTAATCACTTTTATCAGTTGCCATTTTCTCCCCGAATTGAATGAATTTAGTCCCGTATTTGATTTTACCTCCTATTTAATAGGTTTAGTCTGTTTGTAATTTATTTTAAATATTATTTGCTGTTAAACTTGTTAATTTGTCTTGATTTAACTGGTAAAACCATTTTCTTTACATTTGGGACACAGCTGAAAAAAAACAATTGTTTGTGTCACTCTTTATTTCCTTATTGGTCTACTAAGAACTCTTATTATAAAATAATTGATTTTCTAGACTACAAAGGAATCCTAGAAATAATAGAAAACATTCAGTGCTTTTTTCAGTCAGAAAACTCAATCCTTTTGCAACTTTAACTGAACATTATTTTATTTGCCATACCAGTTAATTTTTACACTCAAGTGTTCTTATCCAGACTGGGATGACTTAACCAGGCAAACCTCGAAAGGCAGATATGAAACAAATAATTTCAAAGAACTATCTAGATTATTGAACATTAAATATTTGTTAGTTTAAGGATATTAGTTGATTTGTGAACTCAATGAATTAAGTGCGCGAGATTAATGATAACAAAACTACAGGTTACTGACTTTAATTCAATTATTAATAATATCATTTGTTGAACCTCAACTGGTTTAGTAATTTTTGGCAGTGCCTTTGAATTTGGACCTTGATTTTAACTTGAAGTCAAAACTGAACTTCCAAATCAATAATAATGCTCAATTTTGTTGATCGAATTGAGCTAAAAACGGAAAATATAATATACAAACAAAAAATTTAAAAATAAAAATTGAATAAATTAATATCATAATTTGCACTACAAAAGGCACATCAAGCTCACAGATTTATCATTTAACAATTAATCTTCTGTATGCTGTACTTTTATATACAAAGCTCTATAGTTATTTTAAAAACCAATCATCGAGTTAATCGGTGGTGAAATCTTGCGTTGGCCGAAATAATTGACTTCCAAGGACTGGCTTAAAGAGACTGTCAAATATTGGCTGGAGTAAAATTCACACAGCCGTAAAGAGATCATCAAAGAGCGACAGTTAATCCCCTGATAAATGAGTAAAAATGACAATAAAATTTGGATTTTTAGTGAACTTACCCGAGACAGGCTGCACATCAATTCAACTTTGTCGATTCTTGGCCATTCAGTTGTGTGAAATAATCTGTAATTGATGAGTTCAAATTGCTGTGCAAGGTTGATAATGTTTTTGCAATAATGTTTGCTAAGATTTTTGTTTCATTTGAAAACTAGTCTAACGGAATCGTTCATTTTTCACCCCAAAGTATCAGCTTTATATCAAACAAGACTTCCTTTAAAATGCCCATTAGGCCAGATAAGCTACAATTCCGGTTCAGGTCATGTTTATGTCAAAATTTGACCTTACTTTTCATAATTTACTCGCCAGTTTCCGTGTTTATTACAAATTTGGTCTTGAAAGCAGAGAGATCAAAGTTCATGCATAAATAAAATTTTCAGTTGATTGTTCAAAGTCTACGAAAGTTTATAAAAAAATGTATCTTTATTAAATGTACAAACCATTTGGTCAACTAGCTTACGTTAAAGTGCATACGTTCGTTTACTGCAACTGAAACTGGAAGCCCAAATGTTAGAATGAAATAGATCATAATTTACGCTACTAAGAATCAAATCAACTATCAAATGCCCAATTAAGTTGACTTTTGTTGTTTGTCACTCTTCTTGTTTTATCTACCAGCCTTTTATGCATCCTTTCCAAACCAGAGAAAAATTTTTCAGTTAACTCAACGAAAGGCACAGATACAGTTTCAATCACCGAATTACGGGTTTTGATGATTTGCTCAAAAGCGACGTAAAAAAACTTCATCGGTAAAGAAAGATCACCTGTAATGATATGACAAATAAGCCACAATTAATTAAGTCATCTAGTCCATAAGAGCAACATACTCATGGTAATTTTCAAAATATTAACTCACCGTACTGGAAACAGAAAATGCAAGGAAAAAGTCGTGGTTCAACTTTGTCATTTCTTGACCATTCAGTTGTGTTATGTTTATCTGATGTCGACGAGTTCACATTTGTTAGTAAAGTTGGTAAAGTCGATGTAACTTGTAGAGGAAGCGATGAAACAAATAAAAGGTTACTTTGGCACAAAAGACACAAAAAACAAATGAAACGACTTGGTGAATGTAACTTCATTTTTGTTGAGTAAAGTTAAGATTCGGGCAAACTAATTAGTTGATTCAAATAGTTGCCAATGTTGATCATGAAATTTTGGAAAATTTTCAAATAAATGAATATAAAACATATCTAACGGAATCTGGCATTATTTTGAAAGAGGATAAGAAGTAATAGTTGACCAGCTTTCCATCAAAAAGGACTCTCTTTCAAATTTCATTTCATTTGGGGCAGCAAAACACAAATCCGGTTCCGATCATGTTATTAAATATAACCTGACTTATTAAAATATTTCCTCACCAGATTCAAAATTCACATCAATTTGCTGTTGAAAGATGAGTAAGTCTATGAATACATGCAATTTTCATTGAGTTATTTAATAATTTTCAAAGCGACATAAACGTTAGTTTTATAAAAATTTCCTCTTTATTCAGACATTAAATAGAGTTTACATGTAAAATGTGAAACAATAAAAAGTTAAATGACAGCAGAAACAAAATTGTTTCATTGAATAAATTTTATTTTGATAATGAAATTATTCACAGATCAAACTAAGAATAGTTTTCCTTTATGTTTTTCAAAAATTTCCTAAAACGTTGACCAATGAATTTGACCGCATTTAGCTTCGGTCGATTTTTCTCAAGAACCTCTTCAACAACTTGCACTAGAGGCGTCATACGCAGCAAATTTATCGGAACAGTGAGCCCTGAAAGATTTGAATATTTTTATTAGAATAAGTTTGTTCAAACTTCATTTGTTACACAGCTTCTTAAAATTAAGTCAATGACTATTATTCTGTCCTAACTTTTGCAAGTGAAACTTGATTATACTTACGAAAATAAGAATTTATAAGAAATTGTCGGAAAGGAGATGCGTTGTGAAAATCGTCGAACATATATCTACCTATCGAGTAGGATATTACACTTAATATTGATGGTTCAGTTCGTGGTAACGGAGCAGACCAAACAATTGAAGTACAATGACATAGCATCAGAATACTTGTGATACTCATTTGTTGGGATGTCAACATGTTTTGGTTGTTGTTAATAACTTATCAATAACTGTAAGTTGAACATATAAAGATGAACCTAAACGGAAGAAAAGTCAGAATCGCTTCATAGCTACTGCATAAGCCTATTGATAATTTACTATAAGTGGCACTAAATTTTTAATTCAACTTTGAAATGCACATAAGACCAGATGGAATCCGGTTTAGGTCCTGTTATCAACAAAATTTGGCCCTGCCTTTAAGATTCACTTACCAGGTTCTAAATTTCTTACCTTCAACTTCAAATTGAAACATTTTCCATCTTGAGTTTATGAATAAATACAATGCTGATTGAGTTAGTTGTGAAAACCACGACTTATTATTATTAATAATTTGATGAGAAAACATATTCGCTTCTTTTATGACAAATTTTCCTTTATTTCATTTTTCGATGAAGGTTTACACGGTCCGAAAATTCAACCGATTGGATACAACTTGCCCAAACCAGCGAAAAATACTTCAGTTGCCAAATTGAAAGGCAGGAAGATAGTTTCGACTACACTATTATAAGCTCTGATCATTCGTCCAATACCATTTGCAACAAGCTTACCAGGACTTAAATTGTCTGTAATGATACAACGAAGCACATAAGTTAATAGTCTGGTCAATGGAAGCTAATACTTTGATAATTTAGATAATCATCGAAATAACTTACTTTGGTCGTCAGGAAACTCATCTCGTCGTTCAACTTTGTCATTTCTTGACCATTCAGTTGTGTTAAAATTATGTTGAATCGATGAGTTCACTTTTGTTAATGAAGTTGGTAATGTGGATGTAACTTGTAGAGGAAGCGATGAAACAAATAAAAGGTTAGTTTGGCACAAAATACACAAAAATAAAATGAAACAACTTGGTGAATTTAACTTCATTTTTGTTGAGTAAAGTGAAGTACATTGAATCATTAGTCGATTTAGATAGTTGAAATCTGTTAATGTTGAGATTTGTGTTTCATTTGCAAATATGAATAGATGAAAATAAAAACTAGTCTAACGGTATTGGGCCTTTTGAGGTAATGATAACAAGTAAATGTACAGCTTCCCATCAAAAAGGACTCTCATCTTCAAATGCACATTAGGGCAGAAAAATAGAAATCCGGTTTCGATCATCTTATTGACAAAATGGTTGACTTTACTTTTCATGATTTTACCATCAGTTTCCAGATTCCATTGCTTAAACTTGACATTAAACGATTTCGAGTTCTTGCATTGAGATAATTTTTCATAAAAAGCATTTAGTTTTACATGAAATGTATCTTTATTTGAACCTGCAAAAAAGGTCCACATGTCAAATGTGTATGTAATAGGTTATGAATTTCGAGTCTTTCATCTATCAATTCTCAATCGATAAATACAAGCTTTCGGGAGATAAATAATCCATTTCGCCAACCATAATAATACGATAAGATGAAATGCACAAATTCGTGGACTTTGCAAACTGTCCACCAAAATGTTACATTTTTGCCTTGAGATTCACAATTTCATCAATCGAAAGTTTATGAAGAGCAGATTATGCATCACAGTCCAAGAGTGGAGCATCATAATTTACGCTACTAAGGGTCATAGGAACTAGCAACACCACAATTAAAATTAAGTTGACATTTGGTCTTTGCCATTCTTCTTGTTATATTTACTCGCACTTTATGCATTGTTTCCAAAACCGTGAAAAATTTATCAGTTGACCAAACCAAAGGCGCAGATACAGTTTCGATCACCGTATTACGAGCTTTGATAATTTGCTTAAAAAACAAGTAGAACATTTGCCAAGGGGCAGAAGCAGAACCTAATAAGGTAATATTTAAAAAAGGCAACAGTTAATTTTTGGTTCAATAAGAGCAACTAACTCATGGTAATTTTGAAAATATTAACTTACTATAGTCGAAACCGCCAAGGTCCCATCGTGGTTCAACTTTGTCATTTCTTGACCATTCAGTTGTTTTATAATTATCTGGAATCGATGAGTCCACATTTGTTAGTAAAGTTGGTAATGTGGATGTAACTTGTAGAGCAATCGATGAAACAAATAAAAGGTTACTTTGGCACAAAAAATACAAAAAATAAATGAAACAACTTGGTGAATGTAACTTCATTTTTGTTGAGTAAAGTGAAGATTCAAGCAAACTAATTAGTTTATTCAAATAATTGCGCGTGTTGATCATAAAGTTTTGGACAATTTTCAAATAAATAACATAAAATTTATCTATTACCTGAACTTATTATTGCTAAAATAAGGTAATAACTGAATCAGGCATTTCTTGCTATAAGGATAGCAAGTGATAGTTGAACAGCTTTCCATCAAAAAGGACTCTCTTTCAATGTACATTTGGGCAAAACACAAATCCGGTTCAGGTCATGTTATTTACAAAATATTTCCTGACTTTGAAGATTCAATAAACAAGCCACAAATTTCATACCAATTTTATGTTGAAGATGGGAGAGCTTAATCCCATGTATAAATGCGTTTTTTATTGAGTTAATTACAAAAAGACACAAGATGATACTTTAATAACAACTTTGTCATCGAATAGAGTTTACATGTAAAAATTTGAAACAATGAAAAGTGAATCACGGGTAAAGCAATGTTGACTTGATTATTCCATCTTGTGTCTGTTGATCCATTGTCTTGTTGGTCAGATAATTATTACATTTCAATAGTAATTAGTCTTGTATTGCGACTTGACAATAAACATTGCTTCTAATTGCAGTGGCAAAATATTGAACAAATTACATTTTGATCATTTTACTATTCACAGAATGAACTAAGAATTTGAGGTTTCATTAATCCTTTTCAAAAATACTTGGAAACGTTCAACAAGGTACCTGCTCGCATCTAGACTCGGTCGATTGTATCTGAGAACATTTCTAACGATTTCGAAGGGAGGTGTCCAAGACAGGAGAATAAGCGGCAAACCAAGTACAATGAGCACTGAAAAATATGGATATTTTTATTGTTATTAGTTTGTTCAAACTTCATTTGTTACACAGCTTCTTAAAATAGAACCAATCAATATTATATAATATCATTAATAACAAGATTTCATGTGTTATGAGTGAATACAAAATAGGATTTCGATAGGCTTTTAGTTACTTTTAAAACTCAATACTAAAATACTTTATTTTACGTTTTTTATGTGACATGAGCTGATGAAAAATAGCATTTTTGACTTTTGAACTGATAAATAAACTTTAATATACTTACGTTCTGAGGAAGATCGGGCCTCGCTGAGTTGAGATGCACTGACATTTTTGGCCTTTGAATCAACCAAAGTAAAAAATTTATCTGTTTTATTGACATTTGATGAACTTGATTCTAATGGTACAAAACGTGTTAATGAACCAGACAAAACATTCAAAGTACAATCGGCTAGAATTAGAATACTGATAATACTTATTTGCTTGGATATCAACATGTTTTAGTTGGTTGTTTGATGCTAATTGTTGTATCACCGAAGAAAAGTCAACATCTTTTAACGGCCGCTTGCAAAGCCTATTGATAGTTTAATATTAATGGCACTAAATTTTCAATTCAACTTTGAAATGCACATGAGTCCTAAACTACAAATCCGGTTTAGGTCCTGTTAAAAAATTTGGCGCTACCTTCAAGATTCACTCACCAGGCTCTAGATTTCACACCGATTTGCTGTTGAAGATGTAACATCGCAAGTCAATGAATAAATTTCCGTAAGTTAACAGTTTCATCTTTATTCTTATAGCAATGAGACTTTACATGCAAAAATTAACATTAAAAGTTAAATTACTTGCACATCAGCATTAGCTGATTATTTCATCTTGTGTCTGTTGATCCATGATCTTATCAATTGGATAATTATTACATTTCAATAGTCTTGTACTTCGACTTGACAATAAACATTGGTTTTAATTGTAGTGGTGAGATATTGAACAAATTTTATTGTGATCGAGTTATTTCTCACGAATCAAACTAAGGATTGTTTTCATTGATGTTATTTAAAAATGTGTCAAAACGTTGCCAAAAGTATTCGATTGCATCTTTCTTCGGAGGATTCGCTTGCAGAACTTCTCTAAGAATGCCCACTGGAGGCGTTAAAGACAGGAAATATATCGGAAAAATAGACATTGATTTAAGTAACATCACGAGTCCTGAGAAATATGAATATTTATATTAGAATTAGTTTTCCCAAACTTCATTTGTTACACAGCTTCTTAATATAACGTCAATGCATATTATATCAATAAGTTTCTCATGTGAATGAATATATAAAAGGATTATAAAATTAGGATTATTCTGGACTTGGATTATACTTACGTCTTGAGTGAGATGAGCGTAACGATCGAGATTCACTGAGTTGAGATGCACTAATATTCGTACCATTAGAATAAGCCAACGGGAGTAATTCATCTGTTTTATTAACATTTGATGAAGTTGGTTCTGATGATACGGATCGTGTTAACGATACAGACCAAACTATCAAAGTACAATGGCATAGCATCAGAATAGTTATAATGTTTATTTGCTGAGATATCAACATGTTTTAGTTGGTTGTTTGAATGTAACTGTAAGTTGAACACACAAAGATGGATTTGTAAGAAACGAAAGAAAAGTCAAGATCTTTTACTGCAAAAGCCTATTGATAATTTACTATGAATGGCACTAAATTTTCAATTCAACTTTAGACTACATTACAAACTACAAATCCGGTTTAGGTCCTGTTATCAACGGAATTTGACCCTACCGGCTTTAATTTGGATCTTGAGTTTATGAATAAATACAATGCTCTTGTGTTAGTTATCGAACCGTTGATTTAATTTGACAAAAGAACGTTCGCAAAAAATATTTTGGCATAAAAACTGAGTGCACCAGGGTTATGAAAAAGGAGAATAGCCAAAATGGTTCGGCTCAAGATTCAGAATAAAATGAACCACATATCGATCGAAAGCTTATTGAGAAGATTCGCTCAATACCATTTATAAAAAGTTACCAGCATTTATACCAGAGCTATTAGCTTTCATTTCATTTTTACTCAAAACTGAACAGGCAAATTTTTATTGATTGCAGATTAAGAGTAAAAATTAAATAAGTTAGATCATAATTTACACTACAAAGGATCATAAGAACTATCGATTTCACAGTTTGAATTCAGTTTACATTTAGTCTTGGCCATTCTTCTTGTTAAATTTACTCGCACTCCATGCATTGTTTCCAAACCAGTGAAAAATTTATCAGTTGACCAAATTAAAGCAAGCAAATTTGTTGTCAAAACCAAGCCTTATCAAAATACTAACAACAAATTAAAATGAAGTCGATGTTTTTCTATGAACCTGAGTATCTGCAATGATATGCCGAGAAAGCAACATTTAATTAATTATCTAGTCAATAGAAACAACATACTCATAATTTTAAAAATCTTATCTTGTAATTGGAAAGAAAAAGTACATAAAGCACAAATTATCAGATTTTAAAAATAATCACTCTTGACAGTCAAAGATACATCATGGACATAGCGAGCCTTCAGTATGGCGAAAAAGTGACAATAAATTAGTGTGAAATTATTAATTTAATCGTGTTCAAACATTGAATCGATAGCAGTTGCATAGTAAGTGCTTGAATTGGTTGCATCAGGTGTAACTATGGCCTTACCTTGAATATCACGTAATTCAATAATATTATTTTTGTCTGATCGTTTTACTTTATGAAATAACTGTGATCTCTTAACTAACAATGGGACTGACTTGAGATGTACATTTTTTACCTTATCGACATTTGTAAAAACATTTTGAGAACTGTAGTGTGAGTATTCCAAAAAAACTGCAAATATCTTGTCATGTCCACAGCATGTAACGATTTCAGGAATAAGTACAAAATATTGGATTTCTCCATATCGCTTTTCCAATGTGGCCTTTTCATTGTAATGAAAATAATAACTAGCAGATGATCTTATGTAGTTATATTTCTTAGAGTGATAAATTGTATGATTCTTTTTAACTCTTGTGTAAAATGAAAGCTTATCCAAGTCAAAGCGGCCGAATCGAGCACGAAGCATTCTGAGTATGTTTTGTTGAACTGGCTCGATTTTTGTTGGTTTACCAATTACATGTGATATTGTGTTGGCGTTCCCATACTGTGGCCATCTACTTTGCGTGCTTAATTCATTTTTCAGAAAAGCTTTTGAACGCAAATATCTATCTGCCATTTGTGAATTTTGACCTCGATTTCCATGTATAGTTTTCTTTATTTTGAATATATTGTCTTCGAAGACAAAACTTGAAGAACTGCTCAATGATCCCATATACTTGACTTGTTCTGATAAATGACTCAAAAGATGAATATTGAATCTCATTGTGTTTTCTCCATTAATTTCTTGGTATGTGCTCATGAAGATCTTGATCAAATCATCAGCTATGGAAATATCATGGTTGCAAATATCCTTCTTTACAAGTAAACGCAATGATACAGTCAGACTCATAATGAGATGAAAGTTTTCACTTTCTACACAATTTTTCAGTAAAGGTGTCAAAAAAAACAAAAATGTGCGACACTCGCTTGCCTTCCAATAGACAAGATCTGCAACGCTTCTGAATTTTCTAGAAAACTCATGAGGCAAGCATACTTTATTGCCTATTTCATCTATTTTTTTTAACAGTTGCGTGCAAATTGAATGGTTTCTGCCTAAAAGGTTTTGAAAACACTTCAAGGACGCAATGCATATAATCTATCGGAAAGCTGGTAGGAAAACTGAAAAAATCAGATAAAGCACATGGCCCTTTTACTCCCATGTATGTACTACGATCTTGCGAAGCTTTTATTCCAGCTGACAAGTAAAAATCATGGTCCTTCTTTTCAAAATCATGACCTGGCCATGGGTAGCACATTGTTGATCCACCACGGTCTGTACTCATTGATTGACCAGGATGTTTACAGTATGGACAACCATACGATCCATTGTACTGCATAATATTCATGAGTTTTGGCTTTGCTACAGAGTCAGCAACGATGGCACCTATTCTAACTTTGCAGTTAACTGTTTCTCCATGCAAATTTATGCGAAGCGTGAGAGTATCCTGTCCATGCATTTCTTGAGTTACTGAATGGAACCAAAGATCTTCATACTTGGCCTTGACATGGCCCCACCATAAGCCAGACATGAAAACATTAGCTTTACAATATCTTCGGTGCTCTGGTAACTCAGCTATAACAAATGAAATCGGAGTAGATGATGTTCGTGCTGATTTTACGAATGAAGCATCGTCAATATTGTAAATAAGAGTGAGCCTAAGCAAATTGTCACCATCAGTGTCATTCCAGATATTTTGATATTTAATGGAGCCAACAAAATTTCCATTACAAGAACATGGTATGGAAATTGAAGGCGCAAGATATTCTTGGTTGAAGCTTATTGCTAACACTATGGTGTCTTCAAGGTTGAACACGATTAACTGGCCAAATGAGCACACACACTCACAACGCTGAGTTTTCAAGCTGAAAACATTACAAATATCACAAAAAATGTACTTTTTATGACTTATTGAACTTGCTTGTTTCATGCGCTTCAAAAAGTCTTTAAATGGAGGAAGAAAGACTCTTTCACGTCCAATTAGACTAAACAAATTGTATAGCTTTTGTTGCGTTGAATCACAAATATTGATTTCATCGAAAAGCTTGGCAATTGTGTAGACATAATCTTGTTGATTTATTGATATGGCCATATTATTTCCATACTGCTCCTCATCAACTGGAACATCATGAACAAGTTCCGATTCTGAAGCACTGTCACTGTCTGTTGGAGGCTGTCTTGAATCTACATCGGCATTGATGTTTTCAATATTTCCTGAGTGTCTCGAGTTGTTTGGTACTTTTCTACGAAGATAAGAACTTGAGATGAATCTACTATGTCGTCTTTTTCTTAACATCTTACACAAAAAATACTGAGGCACAAGTCTGAATAAAACATGTTTACTATCCAATTTCCGTTAAATGTGGTTTCATATGGTAACTTGGTAACATGTTATCAATACACTAACCAATAGCATTTAACTTGATCATGACACATCTATTTCATTAGTAATCCACATATGGCCATATCATATCTCAAGAGATTGATACCATGTATATAAGTGGAAGTCAAGATTCATACATCAGTTCATTGGTAGTCAAAATGACAAAAATTGTCCCACATATTTCCGATTGTGATTTCACTGTAGAAATAAATGGTGAGTCAGCTAATTTCAATTCTTCAGAGGATTTCAATTTTGTTTGCTTTTTGTAATTAGATGCTCATGTTATTGTTCAAGACAAAGATGGAAATAGTGATCCTTGGATAATGTCAGCAATTTTTTTCGCGAAAAACCGTGTTGATATCAGTGCGAAAATCACAAATTGTGTCGACATAAAAAATCCGAATGGTGATTCAACTATTGTGAACATACTTTTCTATTCAACTTTAGATCTCTGTAAAGAAAAACTTCGTAGAATAAGTTCTGGACCATTGATATTGGAAAATTCAAGAAGAAAGGGAAATCGAAGTGGCCATGATACTCCCATAGCAAGTACATCACAACAATCCAGAAATTGTGACAGTTATCCTCTCGATTCTAACGAAGTTACATCAAATTTGAATATCTTGAAAAGATGTGTTGATAACCTTGCTAACAAAATCGACACACTGATGAAGAATTTGATTGAAAGATTAAATCATATTGATGACAAACTCGATAGTAACTCATTCAGCTCAAGCATAAGGGACCCATCACTTAATATCACTGATCATGCTATGTCTGAGATAGCAGCATGTAGAAATGATTCCAAGGTGAGTAGTATCCTAGAAACTCATTTATGTGTATTCATTAAGGCTGGATGATTATTTCTTTAGTGGCGGCGTCGGGTCAAGGCCATGGTATGGCCGCAACTGGATGATATTCAGAATGAAGCGTGCCGAAAAGAGCTATTGAAAGGCAATAAATCGGCGTCAAAAACAGTTATATCACTTGCAAGAATCATTTATGGTGATAAACTTAAAACCCATTTACTTGGTGAAAAGGGAAGGTTGATCAGAGCACCAAGAGAAGGTGAAAGAAGCGAAGTAATATCAGCGGAAGATGAAGAAATCTTAAGAGGTAAAAATGATGAATATGATTTAATGTAATTATTACTGAAATTATTACTGTTTACTTTTTAGAAATATTATCTCTATTTGGAAATGATCTTTTCAATGACCCAACAAATTGGGAAGTTCTTGTTAGAGGTCCAGTCAATCAATGTGGTAGGGAAAGTAAACGAAACAGTAATAAAGTTAACTCTAATTCAAAGCGTGACTTACTAGAAGCTAATGTAACACAATTGGAAAGCTCAACACAGATGGTTACTGAACCTGCAAAGAAGAAACAGAAATTGGATAGTGAGGTAAACGATGAGGAATTCGAAGATCAATTGACTGAATAATAAATCTTGTTAACCCATGTTAATTCCATGCCAATGCCATGTTAAAAATCTAAGAAATAATTATTTAAATTAACTTAACCATTTGTAATTTTATAAGGATTGTAATTTTTCAATGGTCCCTCAAAACAAGAGGTTTTCTCTTTAACGCATTTAAAGCTTAATGTTGTAGTTTATTTGTTACAAATACAGTATTTTTTTCATCAATTATTTTGTATTTATTTTGATTCAATACATCAAGTTTTATTAATAATGGAACCTGAATGTTCTAATTTCCTGAGTGAAGAAGGTAAGTTGATTATTATATCAATTTTATTTTGCCTGTTCTAATTTTCTTCTTTCATCTTAAGCAGATCGCCAAGACACGCTTGAAGAAGCTGTCAAGGATCTAACTCAAAGAGTCAATCTTTTGGAAATGATTATCCAGCAACAGAATCTTCGACTAGTTAACTTGGAAGCTGCTAGTCAAGGACACGCCATGGCCATGATTAACCCAGAATATCCAGTTGAATGGTCGTTAAAATCACCAAATGATTACATTCGTTACGCAGAGAAGAAAATACACAATTTACAGCGCGATAATGAGGTATTTATAGCTATTATCTATTGATAATTTTGAATAATTTCAATCTTATATTTTTATTCTCAGTGGCGTATGAATTTTCTCTCAATTCAATTCGATGGATTGACAAATAGCTCTAAAGAAATAATTTTGAACGCGATAAACAAAACAAGGATTTCTGTTTCAAGCATTGTCAACGTTATAGCAAAAGAAATATTAGGAGTTAGTCAAATTACAGAATTTACTGTGGGCTGCCATGGAATGCCTGTGGCCACAGGTACACCTCAATCTCATTCACGCATTCCACTAGATGAAAAGGAAGAAAATAAGCTACGTGCGATCTTAGGATTTATCGACAAAATATTTGTCTCGAAAAAAGGATGGGAGTATTTGGTAAGACGACCAGTGAATCAGATGGGTCGTGAATTCAAGTCTGGTAAGCGTTCACAAATTCAACCAAATATATCATCATATTTTCAGCAAAAGTCAACAAGTCTTCCAAGCTTGAATTCACCAAGACCCACCATGGCCATACATGCTCAAAGTTCAACAACTGAGGATAACTCAAGCGAGAATTTTTCATCTAGCGACGCTCTCGTGACTTCAATTACGCCATCATTGCCAAATATCAACAGAGTTCAAAGAAATGCACCCTACCCAACCAGTACACTAGACTCCTTTTTAGGCCTTACTCCGAGACGACAAACAGCAGAAGCTGCGGAAAGGGAAAAACGAATATTGGGTTTGATTAACCATTCTTAGGACGAAGATTACATTTCCATGATGTCTACTCAATATGGCCATGGCTAAAGAATATTTTTTTGAACAATTTTATCAACAGGAGAAAAGCAGAATTCTTACAATTTCATGTTAAAATGTAAACCAAATCATTACAAGTTCATATCAAATCTTTTTATTTTTTCAACGCAATTCTTTTCATGAAAATAAAGAAATTTTAGCAAATTTATTCGATCAGAGTGCTAATATCGTGATTTATTTTGAATAGCTTGTTTTCAATTCCCTATCAAGATAATCCAAAAAATTTACTATATTCAGAGTGTGTTCTTATACAATTTTTATCCCAACTTTTTCAATTTCATTCATTTTCTTCGGTATTATTTTATTCAACTTTGACTGCTTCCTTGTTAATCATCATCTAACCTGAGTTATGAATATGATATGATCATAACAACTAAAGATTGATTACACACCATGTCCATACTATGTCACCTTGAAATCTGATGCAAGATATTGTATTGGAATCACAAAATTGTCGACAATATGCCACTCTGTTTCTATTTCATTGTTGGCAACCTCTAGCTTTATGCGTTTTATGGTCTTGAACTAGATTTGATATGGCCTGAAAGATCCCATACCAATCACATGACAATAAATAGCACATCCAAATGCATAAATTGAAAGTATCATGAACAGTTCTTATCATGTGTTTAAATTGGTTTTGCCAATAGCTTCTATCTATTTTGCTATGGAAGAAAGTTAACGCCTTGTTATGAAAATGCTCAAAATGCATTGCAATGTGTTACCAAGAAAAATAAGCATGTCCACAGCAAAATCAAGCTACATTTTTAACCCGGGTACTCGCACTCCATGCATTGTTTCCAAACCAGTGAAAAATTTATCAGTTGACCAAATTAAAGGGGTGGATATAGATTCAATGACCGTATTACGGGCTTTGACTATTTGATGGAAAACAAGGTAAATAAGACTCCAGGGGAGAGCCTGAGTATCTGCAATGATATGCCGAGAAAGCAACATTTAATTAATTATCTAGTCAATAGAAACAACATACTCATAATTTTAAAAATATTAACTTACCATACTTGAAACAGAGAAGGCAAGGAAAGAATCGAGGTTCAACCTTGTCGATTTTTGGCCATTCAGTTTTGTTATATTTATCTTGGATCGATGAGTTAGCATTTTTTGGTGATTTCGGTGTAACTTGTAGAGGAAGCGTTTGAACAAATAGGAGGTTAGTTGGGTACAAAAAAATAAATGAAACAACTTGGTAAATGAAACTTCATTTCTTGTCATTTTCATTGAGTAATATTATCAGTTCACTTGAGTTTTTTGACTGCAACTTAAGCATACTTACCTATCAGGGATGAAGAAAACGTTCGGGCCTCAGTCGGTTGAGATAAATCGGTATTTTCGGCCTTTGAATCAACCAAGGTGACAAATTTATCCGTTTTATTAACATTTGATGAAGTCGATTCTGATGATACAGATCGTGTTAACGAAACAGACCAAACTATAAAAGTACAATGGGATAAAAACAGGACAGTTATAATGCTTATTTGCTGAGGTATCAACATTGTTGGTTATTTGAATTTAACTGTAAGTTGAACACATGAAGATGAATCTAAACAGATGAAGAGTGATGCTTCTCACTTGCCTAATATTATGAAAAAAATCTATTGATTATTGAGTAAAATTGCCACTAAATATTGACCTTAACTTGTTCAACCTGATCTGGTTCGGTCATTTTTTCCAGCTTATTTGAACTTTAGTTCCGATCCTAACTTGCAGTCAATTCATGTAGTTCCTATTTTCATAAATTCTGAAAAAATGCAGAGACAAAACATTTGTTCGAAGTGAATTGAAAAAGAGATCTCATGTACTGTATCTCATCGAGATGGTAAGAAGCAAAATTTAATAAGTCGAAGCATTATTTATCAAACAAAATGATAGTTTAGTTTTATAATTCTAAATTTCAACTCGAAAATGAACTATGGGAATCACGGATCAATTAATCAATCTCAAGATAAAGATTAAGATTGTAATTTTACTAGATACATCAAGATGTAGGTTAATCAAGTTCACAGCTAGAGTCTTGTTCACATTTAGACTTGAACATTTTCTTTGTTTTGAGGATGAGTTTCAAAGCATGTCCATATAATGTTTCCAAACCAGTGAAAAATTTATCTGTTGACCAATTGAAAGGACGTGAAACAGTTCCCACTACGGAATTACGAGCTTTGATGGCCTTCTCAACGACATCCCAAAAACACCTCGCGGGAAAAGAAAGTTCACCTGTTATGATATTCCAAACAAGCAAAATTAGAAACAACATACCTCTGATGGTTTTCCAAATTTCCACTTACCATACTCTAAACAGAAAATGCAACCGATAGCAAAAACTCGAGGTTCAACTTTGTCGATTCTTGGCCATTCAGTTGTAATATAATTATCTGAAGTCGACGAGTTTCCATTTGTTACTAAAGTTGGTAATGTCGATGTAACTTGTAGAGGAATCGATGAAACAAATAAAAGGTTACTTTGGCACAAAAGACACAAAAAATAAATGAAACAACTTGGTGAATGTAACTTCATTTTTGTTGAGAGAAGTGATGATTCAAGCTAACTGATTAGTTGAATTTAATGGTTGAAATTTTTGTTAATTTAAGGTTTTAGTATCATTTCCAAATAAATATAAAACTGAGTTGGGCATTTTGCTGCAAGAATAACAAGTATGCTTGAGGACTCACCTTTGAAGACACATTAGGCCAGTTAAACAACAAATCCGGTTTAGATTATGTTATGTACAAAATTTGACCTGCTTATATAATTAATAATTTACTTACAAAGTTTCGACTTTGTCTTATCCATACCAAACATGAGACTTTGCAAGATCGTAAATTAAAATTACTCGAGTTAATTCAATAAAATTTAGCTTTTATACCAAATGTGTTTTTATGAATATTTAAAAAAAATTACAATCAAAATTCTTAAGAAATGAAAAGCTTAAACATTTGATTCAAGCGGTTCAATCAGAATTCATTTTCGATTTATTTCTGTGAGAAAAGAAACCAATAGATTTTTCATCGGTTAAATCTGTTTTGAAACATTTTAAAACTGGCAAAAGTTTAATAAATCCTAAGTCTCGTGTATACATGATCAGACTCTCGATTACTTCGGAGTCTCAAGTCTAAAGTTCTGATAATACAATTACATTTGTTTCCTCTTGTTTGCATTCAATGCAATGAAGGATAGTTAATATCTGCAATGTTTTGCCAATATTTATCACGACGCTTACCAAAGTATTTGATTGGACCTGGACGCATTGGGTTCTTCTCCATAACATTAAAAATGATGAGCCCTGGTTTGGTAAATAACAAAACAACTCGAGCAACTAAAAAATAAAATATAGAAATTAGTTAATTATAAGTATTGCTTAGAATATTTGAAGATTATTATCAATTCGTTAAGTAATTCGGTACTAAAAAAAATATCGATAGACATTTGAAACTAAAACTTTAGTATACTTGCGTTCTTTGGGAAGGTGAACCAATTCTTTCACGTATTTACGTGCATGATCAATCAAGATGTTTTCTGTAGCAAAACATATTAATAAATTAAAATTTTTAATTTTATTTGTAAAACAGTGTTTACAATTAACTAAACATTATGATTTCATAAAGAAGTAATTATAAAAAATAGGATTCCACTTGAGTTTTAAAACTAAAACTTAAGCATACTTACCTTTTAGGGATGAAAATGTTCGAGCTTCAGTCGGTTGAGTGATATTTTTAAACTTTGATTCAGCCAAAGGAACAAATTTATTAACATTTGATGAAGTTGGTACTAATGATACAGATCGTATTAACGAAACAGACCAAACTATCAAAGTACAATGGGCTAAAATCAGAGCAGCTATAATGCTTATTTGCTGAGGTATCAACATTGTTGGTTGTTTGAGTATAACTGTAAGTTGAACACATGAAGATGGATTTGAACGGATGAAGAGTGATGCTTCTTACTTGCCTACTATTAATATAAAAGCCTTTTGGTTATTGAGTAACATTGCCACTAAATAATGACCTTAACTTGTTCAACCTGATCTGGTTCGGTCTTATCTATCAGTTTGTCTGTTTTAAAGTTTAGTTCCGATCCTAGCTTAAATTCAATTTAGTTCTTATTTCTGTCCAATATTTTTTCATTAATACTGAAAAATACAGAAAACAGAACATTTTCCTCGAAGTTGTATTGAATTGTAAAAGAGATCTCCTGTACTGTATCTCATCGAGATGGTAAGAAGCAAATTTAATAAGTTGAAGCATTATTTATCGAACAAAACAGTTTAGTTTTATCATTATAAATGTCAACAGAAAAATAAAGTATGGGAACGGATCAATTAATCAATTTCATGATAAAGATTAAGATTATTTGGCTTCAAAGTTAATCAAGTTCACAGCTAGAGTCTTGTTCACATTTAGACTTGAACATTTCCATTGTTTTGTGGAAGAGTCTTAAAGCATTTGCACCTATTGTTTCCAAACCATTGAAAAATGTATCAGTTGACCAATAGAAAGGACGTGAAATAGTTCACTTATTTCGCTAAGTAGTTCGCTTATTTAACGTTTCATTCCGATGCTAACTTGAAGTCAAACTTAAATTATATGAAATATTTTTCTATTTCATTGATTAAATCATTGTACCGCCGTTAAAACAAATTACCGAAAATCATAAATTGTAATCGAGGTTATAAATCAAGCGATCATCTATCACTTGCCAGTCGAGAAATAATAGGCCTTCGAAAAATGAGAGTTTATTGCGTCAAAAAACTTGAGTTATTAATAAATGAGATGGAGGTTGATTTTGGAGACTTGAAGCAAAAATTTTGCACTTTTGACATGAGAATCAGAATTTTATCAATCGACATGATGAGTAGAGTATGACTCATCAACATAAGATCGATTTGGATATTGTCGTTTGAGTTAGAACTTAAGAAAATCAAATTTTTGAACTAGTAAGAAATGGAATGGTTTGTGTTATTGAATGGAAAATGAACAAACAGAAAATTTGAAAAAATCAAATATAAAATATTATTATAATTCCGATGCGCGATTCCTTGTCCGGTTTTTTCTACACCACCTTTATTGATGACCTTTAACTTCAGAGAACTGAGCATACAACAATAAATTATATTCATTACAGAATAAAAGTAAAAATTTAATAATTAAATCATAATTTACACTACAAAGGATCATAAGCACTATCGAGTTGACAGTTTAAATTGAGTTTACATTTGGTCTTTGCCATACTTCTTGTTATGTTATCACGAACTTCAGGCATTTTTTCCAAACCATTGAACAATGCATCAGTTGACCAAATGAAAGGTATGGATGCAGTTTCAATCACCGTGTTACGGGCTTTGATAGCTTGCTCAAAAACAAAGTAAAAAAATTTCCAGGGAAGAGAAAGTTGCTCTGAAATGATATGTTAGACAGTTAATTATCTGGTCAATAAGAGCAGTATACTCATATTAATATCAACTCACCATATTCGAAACAGAAAATGCAAGGAAAAAATCGTGGTTCAACTTTATCATTTCTTGACCATTCAGTTGTGTTATAATTATCTGAAGTCGACGAGTTCACATTTGTTAGTAAAGTTGGTAATGTGGATGTAACTTGTAGAGGAATCGATGAAACAAATAAAAGGTTACTTTGGCACAAAATACACAAAAAATAAATGAAACAACTTGGTGAATGTAACTTCATTTTTGTTGAGTAAAGAAATGATTCATATAAACTGATTTGTCGATTCGAATGTATTATCAAAAAGTTTGATGAAGTTATACGGATAACAAGTGACAGTAAAATAGGTTTCCATCAAAGAGGACTCTCTTTCAAATAGATTTTATTTGGTCAGCAAAACACTAATCCGGTTCCGATCATGTTATTCACAAAATATAACTTGACTTTTAAGGTTCACTCACCAGGCTAAAAATTAAACAAAAATCATTGAAAGATGCGAAGATTAATGAATAAGTACAATTTTTATTGAGTTATTCAAAAAGACATATAATTCGTTAGTTTAATAACAGTTTCATCAGACAGCAAATAGATTTTATTAACATGTGAAAATGTGAAACAATGACAAGTTGAATCACTGCAGAATCGGTGTTAATTTGATTATTTTGCTGACTGTTGATCGATTATCTGAAAATTATTACATTTCAATAGTTTTGTATTTCGACTGCACAATAGCACTGAGAAAATTGATTGATTTTAATTGGTATCAGAAGCAAAATAGTCTCATTGAGTAGATTTCATTTAGATCATGTTATTATCTACAGATAGCACTAAGAATTGTTTGCATTTCTGTTTTTCAAATACATGTCCAAACGTGCGCCAAAATAGTCGATTGCATTTAGGTTCGGTTGATTATTCTTAAGAACCTCTTCGATGATTTGTACTGGAGTCAATAAAGACCATAAAAACATCGGAATATTGATCAACATGTAAAGTCCTGAAATATAAATATTTTCATTAGAATAAGTTTATTCAAACTTCATTTGATACACAGCCTCTTAAAATAAAGTCAAGAACTACATTAAGCTATGTTATGCACTAGTAAAAAAGGATTGCGATAGACTTTTGGAACATAGATTTCATGGTACTTACCAGGCATAATTTGCCCTATGACATTCATAACTGATGTTTCACGTTTTGGTAAAAATGGATGTAACAATCGGGCTTCACTGAGTTGAGATACATTGGCCTTTGGATCAACCAAAGTGACAAATTTATCTGTTTTATTAACATTTGATGAAGTTGATTCTGATGATACAGATCGTGTAAGCGAGCCAGACCAAACGATTAAAGTACAATGGCATAGCATCATAACAGTTATAAAAATTATTTGCTGAGATATCAACATTGTTGGTTGTTTGATAACTGTAAGTTGAACACATGAAGATGGATCTAAACGAAACAAGAGTGATGCTTCTTACTTGCCTACTATAAAAGCCTATTGATTATTGAGTAACATTGCCACTAAATATTGACCTGAACTTGTCCAACCTGATCCGGTTCGGTCATTTTTTTCAGCTTATTTGAACTTTAGTTCCGATTCTAACTTAAAGTCAACTTTAGTTCTCATTTCCGTTATTCATCAGTTCCATTGATTTATTAAAACAGAGAAATGCAGAAAATAGAATTTTTTGAAGTTATATTGAACAAGTGTTACCCCTGTCAATACACCTTCTCTTTTGAAAAAGTTCAAATCAATTGAAAAGGGCAGAGGCTTGCACTCTGATGCAGTTTATTTTAATGCTGTGTTCACTCTTTTATGCTAGTTTTTTGTCGATGACGAAACTGTCATTAAAAGTAATCCAAAGTTTTCTATGCTGAAAAATATTGCAGCTGTACTAACTTGAAAATGTCAAGAATATATGTTGCTGCGACTGGCGACCCTCGTCTGTCCATGCATTGTACACCCTCAACTGTGGTGCGAGAAGCCCGTAAATGTGCGAAGATTGGCGAGAAGCTATTGGTAATAACAGCCAGCTTCAATGGTATAAAAAATGATAATGCACACTCTCGTTTGGTCATTATACCGCAATACCTCATATCATATGACGGTGTATGATCCTTTGGTACCCCTAGAAGTAAGCCCTGGCAGTATCGAAAAAATCATTGCCAAAAAGTTGTATATCAGATATGCTGATATAGCCAGTGGAACGCAGAAACTTGGTGAAAGAACCTGCGTTATAAACAGCCTTAAAAAAGCTATCGAAATTATGGCTGGTTAAGATAAACTTAAAATTGTAAAAAATATGATTCTGTTTTGAAAAAATATATTCAATAAAGTATTTCTATCTTTAGTTGTTGTTTTGTTTATTTCCCCTTTTTCTTTCCCTTTACCAGCTTGGCATGCGCGAGTTAAGGCCTCCCCTTAAGTTATCAATATCCCCTACTTACTACGGATCTGAATAGAGAATTTTTCATTGAAAATAGCTGCATTTTCTGGTTAATCAGAAAAAGTTACACCAGGAAAATGAGTTTCATTAAAAAATCTTATTTAATTATTGAAATAAAGGCGATCGAAGCTTCAACTTTGACCTCAATTTTATCGAAAACTGGGGACTCAAACAAATTTTCAATAGCACTGATAGACTCAGTTTTTATACCCCTAAAAACTCACTAAGTCTCAACTCTTAACGGTGAAATCAAAGTTTTTGGACATTGTCCTTATTGATGAAAACCATTGTCGAGAAAAAATAAAATAAAATTTGGTTCAACATTTGAGGCAACATATTATTTACCCAACTCTTTACTCAAAAAATGTTTTTACATATCATTCTAATTTTAACAATAAACCATCAACCTGAATAACCAAAAATTTTTCCCCCAAAGTCAATGGTAAAAGATACGGATTTTTCCCCCTACCCTGTTTAAACGCTTATTTCTCAGGTACCTGAATTCCGATTAAGTTCAGACTATTTTTCGTGGATGTAGTTTAATCATGACTTTCAGTCTGTGAAAAAATTTTCTCCAGAATCCTTTTAGTTTGGCCCCAATCTTTACGCAAAAATTTCATGTTTTGACTTTATATATTGTATGTATGTATGTATTGTTTAGATGTATAGATGTATAAATTGAAAAAGAGATTGTAAGAGGTAGATTTAATGAGTTTGAAGCATGATTTATCGGACGAAATGTTAAGTTTTTAATTTGCATTTAATTTTAACTTCCAACTCAAAAATAAACTTCACTATGAAAATTAATCAAACGTTCTCAGCTCGAAATGGAAATTTCATTCGACTCCAAAGGTTAATCAAGTTCACAGCTGGAGTCTTGTTCACATTTAGACTTGAAAGTTTCCCTTGTTTTATGAACCAGTCGCAAACTCAAGACTCATTGGTCAAGGCATTGAATCGATGTTGATTGTGCTTAATTTATCTCAAAAAATTGACTATCGGTATGCTTGGATACCAAACAATGCGCCAAAGATATGGTATCGAGGTCTAACTCCATTTTCGCAGCTGTATTGTTTCCAAACCAGTGAAAAATTTATGAGTTGACCAATTAAGAGGACGTGAAACTGTTCCAACTACGAAATTAAGGGCTTTGAAGACTTGCTCAACAGCACCCCAAAAAGCCTCTACTATAAAAACCTATTGATTATTGAGTAACATTGCCACTAAATATTGACCATAACTTGTTCAACCTGATCTGGTTCGGTCATTTTTGTCAGCTTATTTGAACTTTAGTTCCGATTCTAACTTAAAGTCAAATTTAGTTCTCATTTCCGTCAAATATCCGTTCCATCGTGCAATTAATACAGAAAAATGGAGAACAGAACATTTTCCTCGAAGTCTTATTAAGTTTAAAAAGATTACTATTAAGCTACTTTTAATACTTTTAGAGGGTAAGAAGTAAATTAATAAATAAAGCATGATTTATCGAACAAAATAGTTTAGTTTTTACTGTAAATTCATTGCAAATTTACAATCAAAAATGAACTATGGGAATTAATCGAACAATCTCAGCATAAAAATTAAGAATATAATTTGCTCAAATGTTAATCAAGTTCACAGCTGGAGTCTAATTCACATTTAGACTTGAACATTTTCATTGTTTTGTGGAAGAGTCTTAAAGCATTTGCACCTATTGTTTCCAAACCATTGAAAAATGTATCAGTTGACCAATAGAAAGGACGTGAAATAGTTCCCACCACGGAATTACGGGCTTTGATGACTTTCTCAAAAACATCCCAAAAACATCTCCAGGGAAATGAAAGTTCACCTGTTATGATATACAAAAGACGAAACAGTTAATTTTCAAGTCGATGAGAACAATATACTCATGATAGTTTTCAAAATATAGACTTACCATACTCCAAACAGAACCAACAAGGAATCCCACCTCGAGGTTCAACTTTACCAGTTCTTGACCATTCAGTTGTGTTATAATTATCTGGAATCGATGAATTCACATTTGTGAGTAAAGGGTGTAATGTCGATTTAACTTGTAGAGGAAGCGATGAAACAAATAAAAGGTTACTTTGGCACAAAAGACACAAAAAATAAATGAAACAACTTGGTGAATGTAACTTCATTTTTGTTGAGAGAAGGGATGATTCAAGATAACTGATTAGTTGAATTTAATGGTTGAAATTTTTGTTAATTTGAGGTTTTTGTATCATTTCCAAATAAATATAAAACTGAGTTGGGCATTTTGCTGCAAGAATAACAAGTATCTTTGAGGACTCACCTTTGAAGACACATTAGGCCAGTTAAACAACAAATCCGGTTTAGATTATGTTATGAACGAAATTTGAACTGACTTTTTATTTACTAATAAAGGTCTCGACTTTGTCTTCCGCATGCCAAAGACGAAACATTTCAAGAGCGTAAATTAAAATTATTCGAGTTAATTTAACAAGAAATAGGAATGTTACTTTTATACCAAATGTGTCTTTATTGATACATAAAAAAGTATACTTCAAAAACCTGAAGCAATGAAAAATACAGGCAATTGTTTCAGAAGTTCAATCAGAAAAGATTTTCGCTTTAAATTAGCATTTCTGTGAGAATAGACCTTAATCAATAATTTTTTCATCGATTATGTCTGTGTTGAATCATTTTAAAAACTGATGAAAGTTTTTTAAATCAATACGTATCGTGTATTCATGATCAGACTCGCGATTTCGAAGTAGTTGAAGTAAAGTTTCAATGATACAATTACCTTTCTTTCATTCAACGATTCAACTAAGGATACTTGATATTTGCAATGTCAGTGCCTTTTTCAGTGAGTGCAATTCTTGACCAGCACGCTGACCAAAGTATTTGATTGGACCTGGACGCAATGGGTTCTTCTCAATAACTTTATCCATGATGAGCCCTGGTTTGGTGAAGAGCGATAAAACTTTAGCCATCTCAAGAACTAAAAAATAAAATATAAAGTTTATTAAATTATGTATATTAGAATATTTAAACGAATATTGTGAATTTGTTGAGTAATGTGGGTACAACAAGTATCGTTAGACATTCGAAACTAAAACTTTAGTATACTTGCGTCTTTTGGGAAAGAGAACCACATTTTGCACCAACACAAATGCATCATCAATCGATTTAAAAACTGTAGGAAAACATACATTTTAAAAGCTTAATTTTATTTGTTAAACAGTTTCGAGATAATAAATATTATAAGTTTGTAAAGTAATAAGAAAATAGGACTTCACATGAGTTTTGAAACTTAATCATACTTACCTTTAAAAGATAAAGAAAACATTCGGGCTTCAGTCGGTTGGGATTCGCTGATATTTTCGGCCTTTGAATCAATCAAAATAACAAATTGATCTGTTTTATCAACATTAGATGAAGTTGATTCTGATGATACAGATCGTGTTAACGAAACAGACCAAACTATCAAAGTACAATGGAATAAAATCAGAACAGTTATAATGCTTATTTGTCGAGGTATCAACATTGTTGGTTGTTTGAATTTAACTGTAAGTTGAACACATGAAGATGGATCTAAACAGATGAAGAGTGATGCTTCTTACTTGCCTACTATAAAAGCCTATTGATTATTGAGTGAAATTGCCACTAAATATTGACCTTAACTTGTTCAACCTGATCTGGTTCAGTCTTTTTGTCAGCTTACTTGCCGTTTTATTCTGACTATACAATGTAACTTGAAGTCAAACTTAAATTCTATTAAATATTTTCCTATTTTATTGATTAACTCATTGTATCAAATCATTGTGTAAAAAACAAATCAAGAAAATCTTAACATTGTAATAGAGGAGATAAATTGTCAATCAATCAACAGGCCTTCAAAAACGAGAGTTTATTTCGTCACAAAAAGCTTGAGTTACATGAAATGAAGCAAATACATTGGTTGACTTTGAAAGATAAAAATTGTCAACTTTTGCCCTGAGATTCAGTATTTAGTCAATCGACATCCTATGATGTTTAGAGTATGACTCTCTGAAATAATGTTAGATCATATTAATATTAATAATATACTCTACACAGGATCATCAGCACCATCAAGTTCACAGTTTAAATTGAGTTTACATTTGGTCTTTGCCATACTTCTTGTTATGTTATTACGAATTTCAGGCATTTTTTCCAAACCATTGAACAATTTATCAGTCGCCAAAATTAAAGACCCGGATATAGTATCACTCACCATATTGCGGCCTTTTATAACTTGCTCAAAAACAAAGTAAAAAAATTTCCAGGGGAGAGAAAGTTGCTCTGAAATGATATGTTAGACAGTTAATTTTCTGATCAATAAGAGCAACATACTCATTTTAATATCAACGCACCATACTTGAAACAGAATAATTCACAAGAAATCCCACCTCGAGGTTCAATTTTATCAGTACTTGACCATTCAGTTGTATTAAAATTATGTGGAATCGATGAGTTCACATTTGTTAATAAAGTTGGTAATGTGGATGTAACTTGTAGAGGAAGCGATGAAACAAATAAAAGGTTACTTTGGCACAAAAGACACAAAAATAAATGAAACAACTTGATGAATGTAACTTCATATTTGCTGAGCAAAGTGAAGATTTATATAATTAGTCGATTTGAACTTATAAAAATGCTTGGTAATGTTAAGATTTTTATTTTGTTTTCAAATAAATAATATGAACATATTTAATGGAATCTGGCATTTCTTGCAACAAGGATAACAAGTGATAGTTGAATAGCTTTCCATCAAAAAGGACTCTCTTTCAGATACACATTCTGGTAGCAAAATCCGGTTCCGATCATCTTGTAGTTACAAAATATAACCTGACTTCAATATGCCCTCACCAGGCTGCAAATTTTACAAAAATCATTGAAAGATGGGATGACTCAATGAATAAGTACAACTTTCATTGAATTTAATAATTTTCAAAAAGACTTTAGTTTAATAACAATTTCATCAGACATTAAATAGATTTTATTAACATGTGAAAATGTGAAACAATGAAAAGTTGAATCACTGCAGAATCGGAGAGGGTTTGAATATTTCATTTGACTGTTCACCGATGATCTTATTGCTCGGATTTCGACTGCACAATAGGCACTGAGAAAATTGATTGATTTGAATTGGTACCAGAAGCAAAATAGTCTCATTGAGTAAATTTCATTTCGATCATGTTATTATCTACAGATCGCACTAAGGATTGTTTGCATTTCTGTTTTTCAAATACTTGCCCAAACGTAAAAGAAAGTAGTCGATCGCTTCTAGTTTCAGTGGATTTTTCTTAAGAACATCGTCAACGATTTGTCCTGATCTCAATAAAGACAATGCAAACATTAATGGAACATTAAGCAACGTCGTAACTCCTGAAAATATAAATATTTTTATTAGAATAAGTTTGTTCAAACTTCATTCGTTACACAGCTTCTTAAAATAAAGTCAAGAAATACATTAAGCTATGAGTAAGTAAAGGGTTGCAATGAACTTTTGGAACAGGGATTTCATTGTACTTACCATCCCTCAAATGCTCCATGACTTTCCAAAATGAAACTTCACGTTTTGATGAACGTAACAATCGGGCTTCAATGAGTTGTGATACTTTGATGGGTTTAGCCTTTGAATCAACCAAAGTAACAAATTTATCTGTTTCATTAACATTTGGTGAAGTTGGCTCTGGTGATACAGATCGTGTTAACGAACCAGACCGAACAATTAAAGTACAGTGGTATAGCATCAAAATAGTTATAATACTTATTTGCTGAGGTATTAACATGTTTTAGTTGGTTGTTTGATAATAACTGTAAGTTGAACACATGAAGATGAATCTAAACTCAAATCCGGTTCCCTTCACGTTATTAAATATAACCTGGCTTTTAAGATTCACTCACCAGAGTCCAAACCTCTCACCTCAAATTTTCATCAAAAGATGAAGATCTTGAGTTCATCAATAAATTCAATTCTTATTGAGTTAATTATCGATTGAGATCGATTTAATTTGACAGAAAAGTAACTCCTTTTTGTTGGGCAAAGACAAGATTCAAATGAAATACTGATTCAAGTATTAGTTTATTTAATGGGTACAATCTGTTTGACAATGTTATGATTTGTATTTCAATTTGAAATGAATGAATATCTAAACTAGTCTAACGGTATTGGTAATGATACCAAGTATTAGTTGAACAAATTTCCATCAAAAAGGACACTCTTTCAAATACACATTTGGTCAGCAAAACACAAATCTGGTTCGCTTTTGCAAAAGGTTTACATTTAAAATGTGAAACAATGAAAAGTCAAATTCCTGTTCAAAAACCAGTGTCAAAAATAACAAGATACAAGTAACTTTATTCATTACAGAATAAAAGCAAATATTTAATAAATAAGATCATAATTTACACTCCAAAGGTTCAAAGGCACTATCAAGTTGACAGTTTACACTCAGTTTACATTTGATCTTCGCTATTCTGATTTTTTTTCCTCTGTATTGCTTCCAAACCATTGAACAATTTATCAGTTGACCAAATTAAAGGACGTGCAACACTTCTCAATATGGAATTACTGGCTTTTATAACTTGCTCAAAAACAAAGTATGAAAATTTCCCGGGTAGAGAAAGTCTCTCTGAAATAATACGTTAGACAGTTAATTATTTGGTCAATAAGAGCAGTATACTCATATTAATATCAACTCACCATATTCGAAACAGAAAAAACAAGCAAACCCACCCCGAGGCTCAACTTTATCAGTTCTTGACCATTCAGTTGTGTTATTATTATCTGGCAACGACGAGTTAACTTTTGTGAGTAAAGTTGATAATGTCGATGTAACTTGTAGAGGAAGCGACGAAACTAATAAAAGGTTAGTTTGGCACAAAAGACATAAAAAATAAATGAAACAACTTGGTGAATGTAACTTCATTTTTGTTGAGTAAAGTTAAGATTTATATAATTAGTCAACTAATGGATAAAAATGTTATCAAGATTTTGTTAATTTGTAAATAAATAAATATGAAAACTAACGGAATCGGTATTCTTGCGGCAATGATAGCAAGTACAATTGTAAGTGTATTAGTTGAACAACATTCCTCCAATAAACTCCCTTTTACACATTGGGTCAGCAAAACATAAATCCGGTTCAAGTCATGTTACTCACAAAATGAAAGGCCTTACTATGAGTTAATCATCAGGCTTTGTAACCATTACCTTCAATTTGATACTGAAAGATCTCAAGATACTAAATTCAGTTAATTTGTCAAAAGCATTGTGGTCACACAAATGAATCTTTATTTGATTTTAAAAAAATGTTTACTTATACTATTCAAATTATAACAATATTATGCTATTATATTTTTGAGTTCATTATTGACAAAATCGAAATCACCTGTTAAACAAAATCATAAATTTCTCGACTCAGCACTTTTCTTAGATATTTAAAGTTACACAAGAAAAAACTTGAAAAATGTATTAGTATGTAGAAAATAGATTTTAAATGAAAATTTTAATACAAAATTAAACCTAACTCAATTAAATTTATCCGAACAAGTGTATCATCATTATTCAATGTTATTTAAACCGAAAAAAATATTCAATTCCAATAGAGTATTAGGTCATTCAATAATTCCGCGAGGAAATTATGTTCTTCCGGTTTGATTTTTTTGAGTCTACAGCAAATTGATCATCAGACCATTAAGGGCTTGCTATCGGTAGCACAGAGCGTCAGATCCACCCTATGCCGCAAATTAGGCCTTTTTCAAAATTGCCGTTTTTTGGCGACAAAATCGTATTTTTTGGCAATAACTTTCGCCCCGAAGGAATTTTTTTAGGTTTAAATTCAAAAAGAAGTCCCTGTAATGCTAGCAAAGAGGGTCGAAAAGTTTTCTGACAAATTTGCAGCTCATCTTGGCCAAACAGGCCATTTTTAGCAAATTTCAACTCTTGATTCGAAGCGGTGAATTACTGTATTTTTAGTGTGCTTTTTTGACCTTTTTATGGAATATTTCAGTAACCATTTTAGTGATTTGAATAAAACTTCATAATATCAGCCTTCAGTGTTGTAGCTTAAAAAAAATATTATTAATAGCCAGCAGTAACCTTAAGAACATAATTTTCACGCGGAATTATTGAAGGACCTAATATTGTGTTAAAGCCAAAAAAAATTGTCCCTCGTTTTCCATGACTGTCATCCTCAGGTTGTTCTCAGACCTGAGAACAACCTGAGGATGACAGTCAAATGCAATGGAAGAAAAAGTAATAAGTTTTATTTAATTTTTTCAGTCTTTTTCACGTCCAAAGCATTTGTTTATTTAAACAGAAAAAATATTCAAGCAAACTATTAATTAAATATTCATCAATGATTAAGTTTGATGCATCATTTCACTCAGGCCTGAACCTGAGGCCTTAATTTCTGTACGTTGAAAGCATTCTCACGTTCTCAGTCTATTCCAAATGACTGAGTACGATTTGGCAGTTGAAAAGTAAATTTAAGCAATTTTTACAACATTCATATCATTTGTAGTTAGCGCCAAAGGTTCCTTGCTTTATTTGTATCCAAGCTAACTTTAAGAAACTTTTACCAAGATAATTATGAATTACCCAAAAAATAATTTGAAATGCAAAGATTTTATTATTGACGTGCCTCCAAGTTTTTTCATCATTTTAATATAAATGTGTTGGATTTACATCCAGAATGGAAACGTATAAAATTACCTTGTGTGAGGATGGCATAAGCTATTGACTACTCTATATGGAATTCACACCTTTCAACAAAAAGTGACACGCTTTCGGAGTTGGCCGAAATGTTAAACAAGCTAAGAATATTTGTTCTTTTCATTGATATGCAAAATTAAAGTACAACAATCGAGAATTCTTGTTGGTAAGTTCATATTCAATAATCTAATCAATAGTTCAATCCATTCAAATGCAAAGCAAATGAAGATTTTGATGGTCAAGAGGAGCAAGGCGAGAACATAGATGTTTAAGATGGTGGTGGGACAAAGATGGTGCTTCACCTCCAACATCTTCGTTCTTGCCTTGCATATTGCATTCAACAATTATCGCCTTATTGTGATTTTTATTTGACGAAACGTAATACAGAATATTTTTTCATTCTTTCAGCCTCCTTCCATATTAAGTTTTCCGAATATTCGTAGATCGCACTATTTGATAGCGGCCTTAACAAGTCTCCTGCATTTATACCCTTCTTTTAACCGGCTACATCTGATCCATAAGGATATAACAAAGAGAGCGAATTCTGGCGATTTGGGTGCAACAGAGGCAGTTGATGGCAGATATCTCTGGACAAAATTGCTATACCAGATTCACAACAAATATCACAAGGTATCAGTCAAAGGAAGACTTAGGTTAGAAAATGTGAACTCCCGCGCTGAAAGATTGGCACAAGCTCCCTGGATTTTCACACCATACACTAGTAATCAAGATGATCTTGTTCTGCACGATTTGCTAATTGCAAATTTATGTGTGAAAATGCGTGATTTTTGCGATTCGGATTATGGAAACCCAGGAGGCTTAGTGGATAAAGCATATCGTCAAATTTTGACAAAGCTTACAAGCGAGCATCCAGGATGGATAGATGACTTTTTTTACAATTGAACTGCACTACAGTCTGCGATTCTTTCAACAAAAAGGTTGAGAGTGCAAGCTACAGAAATCCAGTTCTAGCTTTGCCCATATATGTTTCATACCAAGAGGCGCTGCACAACCTGCAAGCAACCATCAAAGCTCAGCAACTGCATTGTCGAGCTGTAGTGCATAGTATCCAATGTAATGGTTACGTACGAGATGCCATAAATACAACTCTAAACCATGTTTCTGAAGTTCTTGCTTTCAATGTTGATCACAGGCAACGTGATCGCTTTGACATACCTGATGTGATTAACCTGAGGCATCATGGTTATCCAATTTACTACACGCGATTTGTTGATACAAACTCTATTACATGTTATAAGAGCGAAAAAGGGATAGATTATGGCGATCAGTATCATAATAATGAAGAAGGGGACATTGTTACCGGATACTATACTTTTTTGACATTCAGAACTTCAACCGGCCTCTACGATGTCAATAATTGTCAAATTTATAAACCTCATGAAGACTTACAGGATAAAGTGACTGAAGACAGTCTACATGTCTATCGCAGACTAAAATATAATGCGCTCAAATCATCAATCCCCCCTACAACTTCAGTAATCTATCCGATTAGGAAGAATCAACGTTTTCTGAAAAAAAACAACGATAAATCATTAAAAAAACATTCAGCAACGAACAAATCTTCATGATCATTGTTTCCCTATTTTTTCCTTATAATCTTATCTTTATCTTTAGTATTGTTTTTCGAGAAACAGATAATTCGGTATAGTGTGCCACATTATTCAATCATTGTCAATTTCAGCTTTAAATCGCTAAATTGCATTATTAATCGTGTTTCGTTTCTGTTGCTGAGAGTTACTTAGTGGCTTAGGCAAATTAAAGCTGACTAATACTGACTGTGTAATCCTAACAACAGTCCCATGTATTCCCTATCTGTTTAGGATTTGATACAATATCGAACTGACTCGCAACCTCAGGATTACCTCAGACTGACACATACTGAGGTGCAGGGTTGTTTTGAAGAAACGAATTGTTTGATAAATCGGCTTTCAATCGCTAAATTGCACGAGAAGAGCCTAACTTTTGCTGAAATAACAATTCAAAGTCGCACTTTAGTAAAATTCACATAAGCTAGGAAGCAGAAGCTTTTGCTGAGTTTAGAACAAAATATAAAAATAATTATCAATTCAATGAATTCTTCCATTCTTTATTAAAATATAAATAAAATCAGAACAATAAATAAATATCAATAATTTTAACTTTTTACGTTCATAAATCTTCTTTTTCAGCTTTTGACTCTTCAGCATTGTATTTTATTCTTGTTTCGCTACGTTTGTAATTGGTTATTATATTGGTTTCTTGAATACTTTTGTCAAGCAAAGATTTCCTTTGATTAAATCTCATTTCTTTTATATGGTTCTGCAATAAAATTGTATTGAAAGAAAATTAAAAACTGAAAAACTAAAAATTTAGAACAGACGCACCTTGTTAAATTTGTCCTGTGAAAAGATATCGTATTTTGGTAGGCCCGTGAGATAGTGGTAAACAATCAATGATGCGTTATTAATGGTCCACAACTGTTGTTGTCATCTTGTTGCGGAGTGTTCACGTGATTTAGGTAGTTAAATTCAACATTAGGGAAGCAATGTTTGATTATTAATTCAAAATTCTGTAAAGCTTCAGGATCAGCACTCTTCCTGGTGTCATAAAATTGACAGTTCTGCTTCTGTTGTCCAGAACAACTAGAGTCCAATGGTTAGGCATATGCGTTGGAAAAAACATTAAGTCGTGATTAGAAATTGGTGATGGCCAATCGACTGTTCCAACGACTTTTTTTGACACTTTTATCATTTTCTTTCTTCGACCCTTTCCCCGACGATTTCGCTGACTTTCTGGGTTTTCCAAAATTTTACTTCAGGTTTAAAGCGAACATAGAAAAAGGTATTAGCACAATAAACTTTATTATTTGATAGCTTTTGGTGCAGACAAAAATATGGATTAATTATCTCGTCTGAGTACCAGTTGTCCTTTGCTGTCAGGTTTGTAATAAACTTTTTTGAAACATGATACTCGTCGATTCTTATTTGTTTGTCCATCACGCACAGGTTTCGCAATTCAACAAGATTAAAATAATGAATAAATAAATTAATTTTTCCAAACATTGAACAATTTATCAGTCGCCAAAATTAAAGACCCGGATATAGTATCACTCACCATATTGCGGCCTTTTATAACTTGCTCAAAAACAATGTAAAAAAATCTCCAGGGGAGAGAAAGTTTCTCTGAAATGATATGTTAGACAGTTGGTCAATTAGAGCAACATACTCATTTTAGTAGTACATTGGAAGCGCGGTGTCAAAGGGGCGGGTCAAACATAAGGCAAATGAATCGAACAAAAGTTCTAAAGTTCAAATTGTTTTATTTTTTTCGATTAAAAACTACAATTTACGTTTTTTGAGCAATGCTCAACTGAGTAGTTCTCGAACTCTCTCTTTCCCTCTTTGTCCTTTCGTGTGAACGGAAAAATATTACAGTTTTTTGATAGGAAAGAGGGAGGTCGAGTTCGACTGAATCAGACGAAACTGAGGATTCGTCATCTGAATCACTTACTTTATCGTCAAGTTCAGACTCTTCAACAAATGACAAGGGCAATTTTGTGGGGGTGGCGGAAAAGAATTTTGCGCGGTAGCAGAAACAGTTATTGTGCCATCGCTGACATTAATCAATAACTTCACAGTGCATTGCTGCCCCATGGCGATGGTCGTAGCTGCCGTAACGGAGGAAAAAACGATTTCATGCGCACTCATGATAAGAATTGCATGATTAAATAATTGTGAAACACAAAATAATTGAATAAATTGATAAAAAATGATAAAATAATTGAAAAAAAACCAAATCAAGTTGAAAATAATTGAAAATGAAGGGAACAGAAGAGAGGTCAAAATGAAATGTCAACTTTGACAAACTTTGCTGCAATGGTATTTTCTACCGATGTGACTTATTCTACCTGTAACGCTTTCTTTGTTTCAACTTTAAATGCTACATTAAATGACTTTATTTTGTTTTCGAATAAATAATATGAACATATCTAACGGAATCTGGCATTTCTTGCAACAAGGATAACAAGTGATAGTTGAATAGCTTTCCATCAAAAAGGACTCTCTTTCAAATACACATTTGGGTAGCAAAATCCGGTTCCGATCATCTTGTATTTACAAAATATAACCTGACTTCATTATGCCCTCACCAGGCTAAAAATTTTACAAAAATCATTGAAAGATGGGACTCAATGAATAAGTACAACTTTTATTGAATTTAATAATTTTCAAAAAGACTTTAGTTTAATAACAATTTCATCAGACATTAAATAGATTTTATTAACATGTGAAAATGTGAAACAATGAAAAGTTAAATCACGGCAGGACCGGTGTTAATTTGATTATTTTGCTGACTGTTGATCGATCATATGAAAATTATTACATAGTGGTCAGTCTTGTATTTCAACTGTACAATAGGCACTGAGAAAATTGTTTGATTTTAATTGGCATCAGAAGAAAAATAGTCTAATATTATCTACAGATCACACTAAGAATTGTTTTTATTTCTGTTTTTCAAATACTTGCCCCAACGTGAAAGAATGTAGTCCATCGCTTTTAATAGTTCCAGTGGATTTTTCTCAAGAACATCTTTAACGATTTGCCCTGATTTCAATAAAGACATTGCAAAGATTAATGGAGCATCAAGCACCTTCGCAACTCCTGAAAATATAAATATTTTTATTAGAATACGTTTTTTCAAATTTCATTTGTTACACAGCTTCTTAAAATAATGTCAAGAAATATTAAGCTAAGAGTGAGGAGTGAGTAGAAAAGGGTTGCGATGGACTTTTGGAACATGGATTTCATTGTACTTACCATAACTCAACATGACTTTCCAAAGTGAAACTTCACGTTTTGATGAAAATGAGCGTAACAATCGGGCTTCACTGAGTTGAGATACTTTGATTGTTTTGGCCTTTGAATCAACCAAAGTAACAAATTTATCTGTTTCATTAACATTTGGTGAGATTAATTCTGGTGATACAGATCGTGTTAAGGAACTAGACCAAACAATTAAAGTACAATGGCACAGCATAAGAATACTTATAAAATTTATTTGCTGAGATATCAACATGTTTTAGTTGGTTGTTAGATAATAACTGTAAGTTGGACTCACGAAGATGAATCTAAACGGAAGAAAAGTGATGATTATTACTTAGCCTCCAAAAAGCCTATTGATTATTGAGTATCAGTGTCCAAATATTGAGTATAACTTGTTCAGTCTGAACCGGTCCAGTCTCTTGTGTCCTCTCACTTGTAGCAAAATTATATTTTTTACTGCAAGTTAATAGCTAGTTCGGTAACTAGTGAGGGTCACCTGTATTAATCAGGAGGTGACCGAGAAATAATAGGCCTTCGAAAAATAATAGTTTATTGCGTCACAAACTTGAGTTATTAATAAATGAGATGGAGGTTGGTTTTGGAAACTGAAAGAAAAAATTTTGCACTTTTGGCATGAGATTCAGAATTTTATCAATCGACATGATGAGTAGAGTATGACTCATCAACATAAGATCGATTTGGATATTGTCGTTTGAGTTAGAACTTAAGAAAATCAAATTTTTGAACGAGTAAGAAATGGAATGGTTTGTGTTATTGAATGGAAAATGAACAAACAGAAAATTTGAAACAATCAAATATAAAATATGATTATAATTCCGATACTCGAAATTATCCAGTTTTTTCGTACACCACCTTTATTGATGATTTTCAACTTCAGAGAACTGAACATACAACAATAAATTATATTCATTACAGAATAAAAGTAAAAATTTAATAATTAGATCATAATTTACTCTACACAGGATCATAAGCACTATCAAGTTCACAATTTAAATTGAGTTTACATTTGGTCTTTGCCATACTTCTTGTTATGTTACCACGAATTTCAGGAATTTTTACCAAACCATTGAGCAATTTATCAGCTGACCAAACGAAAGGTACGAATGCAGTTTCAATTACCGTGCCACGGGCTAGCTTACGGGCTAGCTTAGATAGCTCAAAAACAAAGTAAAAAAATTTCCCGGGTGCAGAAAGATGCTCTGAAATGATACGTTAGACAGTTAACTATCTGGTCAATATTAGCAGTATACTCATATTAATATCAACTCACTATTCTCATCACAGAAAAATTCACAAGGCAACTTAAAAAATCGGGGTTCAACTTTATCAGTTCTTGACCATTCAGTTGTGTTATTATTATCTGGCAACGACGAGTTCACTTTTGTTACTAAAGTTGGTAATGTGGATGTAACTTGTAGAGGAATCGATGAAACAAATAAAAGTTTACTTTGGCACAAAAGACACAAAAAATAAATGAAACAACTTGGTGAATGTAACTTCATTTTTGTTGAGTGAATGGATTATTTGTATAAACTAATTTGCCGATTCAAATGTTACATAAAAATGTTTGGTAAAGTTATAAGGATAACAAGTGTTAGTAAAATAGGTTTCCATCAAAGAGGACTCTCTTTCAGATAGATTTCATTGGGTTAGCAGAACACTAATCCGGTTCCGATCATGTTATTAACAAAATATAACCTGACTTTTAAGGTTCACTCACCAGGCTAAAAATTACACAAAAATCATTGAAAGATGGGAAGATTAATGAATAAGTACAATTTTTATTTAGTTATTCAAAAAGACATATTATACGTTAGTTTAATAACAGTTTCATCAGACATCAAATAGATTTTATCAACATGTGAAAATGTGAAACAATGAAAAGTTGAATCACTGCAGAATCGGTGAGGATTTGAATATTTCATTTGACTGTCCACCGATTATCTTATTGGCCGGATAATTATTACATTTCAATAGTGGTCAGTCTTGTATTTCGACTGCACAATAGCACTGAGAAAATTGATTGATTTTGATTGGCATCAGAAGAAAAATAGTCTCATTGAGTAAATTTCATTTCGATCGTGTTATTATCTACAGATCACACAATTTTTATTTCTGTTTTCCAAATACATCCTCAAACGTGAATTAAAGTAGTCGATCGCATCTAGCTCCGGTCGATTATACTTAAGAACCTCTTCAATGATCTGTACTGGGGGCAATAAACGCAATAATATCCACGGACCATAAAACAACATCGAAAGTCCTGAAAATATAAATATTTTTATTAGAATAAGTTTGTTCAAACTTCATTTTTTCCACAGCTTCTTAAAATAAAGTCAAGAAATATTAAGAGGTGTTGTGAGTTAGTAGTATTATATAAATAGAAAAGGGTTGCGATGGACTTTTGGAGCAGAGATTTCATTGTATTACCAAACTTCCACTGCTCTATGGCATTGCGAACTTCACGTTTTGATGAAAATGAACGTAACGATCGGGCTTCACTGAGTTGAGATGAATCGGTATTTTTGGCCTTTGAATCAACCAAAGTAACAAATTTATCTGTTTTATTAACATTTGATGAACTTGATTCTGATGATACAGATCGTGTTAACGAAACAGACCGAACTATCAAAGTACAATGGGCTAAAAACAGAACAGTTATGATGCTTATTTGCTGAGGTATCAACATTGTTGGTTGTTTGAATTTAACTGTAAGTTGAACACATGAAGATGAATCTAAACAGATGAAGAGTGATGCTTCTTGCCTACTATAAAAGCCTATTGATTATTGAGTAACATTGCCACTAAATATTGACCATAACTTGTTCAACCTGATCTGGTTCGGTCATTTTTTCCAGCTTATTTGAACTTTAGTTCCGATTCTAACTTAAAGTCAGATTTAGTTCTCATTTACGTTAAATATCAGTTCCATTGATAATTAATGCAGAAAAAATGCAGAAAATAAAACATTTTGTTGAAGTTATATTGAAATGAATAAGAGATTGTAAGAGGTAGATTTAATGACTTTGAAGCATGATTTATCGAACGAAATGTTAAGTTTTTAATTTGCATTTAATTTTAAATTCCAACTCAAAAATAAACTTCACTATGGAAATTAAGCAAACGTTCGAAATGGAAATTACATTCGACTACAAAGGTTAATCCCGTTCACAGCTAGAATCTAGTTCACATTTAGACTTGAACATTTCCCTTGCTTTATGGAAGAGTCGCAAACCAAGTGCATATATTGTTTCCAAACCAGTGAAAAATGTATCAGTTGACCAATTGAGAGGGCGTGAAATCGTTCCAACTACGATATTACGGGCTTTGAAGACTTGCTCAACAGCATCCCAAAAAAGCCTCTCGGAGAAAGAAATTTTATCTGTTATAATATACAAAAGACGCAACAGTTAATTATCTAGTCGATGAGAACAACATTCACGATAATTTTTCAAATATGTACTTACTTTTATCTTCACAGACAGGGCAAATAGACAAAAATCTGGGTTCAAATTTGTCAATTCTTGACCATTCAGTTGTTTTAAAATTATGTGGAATCAATGAGTTCACCTTTGTTAATAAAGTTGGTAATGCGGATGTAACTTGTAGAGGAAGCGATGAAACAAATAAAAGGTTACTTTGACACAAAAGACACAAAAAATAAACGAAACAGCTTGGTGAATGTAACTTCATATTTGCTGTGTAAAGTGAAGATTCAAGTTAACTAATTAGTTGAATTTAATAGTTGCAATTTTTGTTAAGGCTTTTGTATCATTTCCACATAAATATGAAAACTGAGTTGGGCATTTTGCTGCAAGAATAACAAGTATCTTTGAGGACTCACCTTTGACACATTAGGCCAGCTAAACAACAAATCCGGTTTAGGTCATGTTATTTACAAAATGCGACCTAGCTTATAACTAACTTACAAAGTTTTGACTTTGTCTTACCTTTGCAAAAGACGAAACATTTCAAGATCGTAAATTAAAATCAATCGAGTTAATTTAACAAAAAAACATGTTAACCTTATAACAAATGTTTCTTTATTGACATTTAAAAAAGGTTTACAGTTAAAATCTGAATCAATGAAAAGCTTAAAATATTTAATTGAAATTGATTTTGAACTTAAATTATTATTTCTGTGAGAAAAGACATTAATCATGAGGTTTTGCGTTTGTTTTAAGTCATTTTAAAAACTGGACAAAGTTGAATCATCTCCTGTATTAATGATTAGACTCTCGATTGCTTCGAATCTAAAGCACGGATACTACAAAAATGGTAAAATTACATTTGTTTCATCTTGTTTTCATTCAATGATTGAATTAAGGATACTTAATACTCCCAATATGTTGCCAAGCTTCATCAGCACGCTGACGAAAGTATTTGAATGGACCTGGACGCAATCGGGTCTCGCTCATAACACTAAGAATGATGCGCCCTCGTTTAGTTAACACCAAAAAAATCGGAGCAGCTTGTGCAACTAAAAAATAAAACAGAAGCTAGTTAAATTATATATTACATTGTATATTGTTTAGAATATTTAAACGAATATTATGAATTGGTTATAAGTAATTCGGTACGAAAAATTATCGAAAGACATTCGAAACTAAAACTTTGGAATACTTGCGTCTTTTGGAAAAGATAGCCACATTTTTCACGAATTCAAGTGTATCTTTAATCGAGCGTCTTTCTGTAGGAAAAAAAATACATTTTAAAAGTTCAATTTAACAGTGTTTTACATAAAGTCAATAAATATAAGTTTGTAAAGTAATAAGAAAATGATGTTTCACTTGATTTTTTAAAATGAAACTTGAGCACTTTACTTACTTTTAAGGGCTTCAGTCGATTGAGATAGATTGGTATTTTTGGCCTTTGGATTAACCAAAGTGACAAATTTATCTGTTTTATTAACATTCGATGAAGTTGGTTCTGATGACACAGACCGTGTTAACAAAGTAGACCAAACTATCAAAGTACAATGGCATAACATCAGAATGCTTAAAATACTTATTCTCTGAGATATTAACATTATTTAGCTGGTTATTTGTTGATAACTGTAAGTTGAACATGAAGATGGATCTAAACGGAAGAAGAGTGATGCTTCTCACTTGCCTACTATAAAAACCTATTGATTATTGAGTAACATTGCCACTAAATATTGACCATAACTTGTTCAACCTGATCTGGTTCGGTCATTTTTGTCAGCTTACTTGAACTTTAGTTCCGATTCTAACTTAAAGTCAAATTTAGTTCTCATTTCCGTCAAATATCCGTTCCATTGTAATACAGAAAAATGGAGAACAGAAAATTTCCCCCGAAGTCGTATTAAGTTTAAAAGGATTCCTACCAAGCTACTTATAATACTTTTCGAGGGTAAGGAGTAAATTTAATAAATTAAAGCATGATTTATCCAACAAAATAGTTTCGTTTTTACTGTAAATTCATTGCAAATTTACACGCAAAAATGAACTATGGGAGTTAACTGAACAATCTCAGCATAAAAATTAAGAATATAATTTGCTACAAATGTTAATCAAGTTCACAGCTGGAGTCTAGTTCACATTTAGACTTGAACATTTTCCTTGTTTTGTGGAAGAGTCTTAAAGCATTTGCACCTATTGTTTCCAAACCATTGAAAAATGTATCAGTTGACCAATAGAAAGGACGTGAAATAGTTCCCACCACGGAATTACGGGCTTTGATGACTTTCTCAAAAACATCCCAAAAACATCTCCAGGGAAATGAAAGTTCACCTGTTATGATATACAAAAGACGAAACAGTTAATTGTCAAGTCGATGAGAACAATATACTCATGATAGTTTTCAAAATATAGACTTACCATACTCTAAACAGAACAAACAAGGAAACGCACCTCGAGGTTCAACTTTTTCAGTTCTTGGCCATTCAGTTGATCCAAAATTATCTGGAATCGATGAGTTCACATTTGTTACTAAAGTTGGTAATGTGGATGTAACTTGTAGAGGAATCGATGAAACAAATAAAAGGTTACTTTGGCACAAAAGACACAAAAAATAAATGAAACAACTTGGTGAATGTAACTTCATTTTTGTTGAATGAAGGGATGATTCAAGCTAACTGATTAGTTGAATTTTATGGCTGAAATTTTTGTTAATTTAAGGTTTTTGTATCATTTCCAAATAAATATAAAACTGAGTTGGGCATTTTGCTGCAAGAATAACAAGTATCTTTGAGGACTCACCTTTGAAGACACATTAGGCCAGTTAAACAACAAATCCGGTTTAGATTATGTTATGAACAAAATTTGAACTGACTTTTTATTTACTAATAAATGTTCGATTTGTCTTCCGCATGCCAAAGACGAAACATTTCAAGAGCGTAAATGAAAATTATTCGAGTTAATTTAACAAGAAATAGGTAAGTTACTTTTATACCAAATGTGTCTTTATTGATGCATAAAAAAGTTTACATTGAAAAGTACAAACAATTGTTTCAGGCGTTCAATCAGAAAGGATTTAAGTTAGCATTTCTGTGAGAAAAACAATCGATAGTTTTGGGTCATCGATTATGTCTGTGTTGGACCATTTTAAGAACTGATAAAAGTTTGTTAAACCATTACATCTCGTGTATTCATGATCAGACTACATGGAGTACTCTGAAATCTCGAGTCTAAAGTACTGATGATACAATTACATTTGTTTCATCTTGCTTTCATCCAACGATTAAACTAAAGATACTTTGCAATTCCAGTGCCTGGATCAGTGAGTACAATGCTTGATTAGCACGCTGACCAAAATATTTGATTGGACCTGGACGCAATGGGTTCTTCTCAATAACTTTATCCATGATGAGCCCTGGTTTGGTAAAGAGCAATAAAAATTTAGCCATCCTAAGGACTAAAAAAATAAAATATGGAAGTTTATTAAATTATGTACATTAGAATATTTAAACGAATATTGTGAATTCGTTGAGTAATGTGTGTACAACAATTATCGATAGACGATCAAAACTAAAACTTTAGTATACTTGCGTTCTAGGGGAGCGAGCACCACATTTTTAGCGAATACAAATGCATCATCAATCGGGCGGATAACTGTAGGAAAACATACATTTTAAAAGCTTAATTTTATTTGTTAAACAGTTTCAAGTCAATAAATATTATTATAAAAGTTTCTAAAGCAATAAGAAAATTGGATTTCACATGAGATTTGAAACTGAAACTTAATCATACTTACTTTTAAGGAATAAAGAAAATGTTTTACCGTCTTCTTTCGGTTGGGATTCGCTGATATTTTTGGCCTTTGAATCGAACAAGGTGACAAATTTATCTGTTTTATTAACATTTGATGAAGTTGATTCTGATGGTACAGATCGTGTTAACGATACAGACCAAACTATCAAAGTACAATGGGCTAAAAACAGAACAGTTATAATGCTTATTTGCTGAGGTATCAACATTGTTGGTTATTTGTTGATAACTGTAAGTTGAACACATGAAGATGAATCTAAACGGATGAAGAGCGATGCTTCTCACTTGCCTACTATAAAAGCCTATTTATTATTGAGTAACATTGCCACTAAATATTGACCTTAACTTGTTCAACCTGATCTGGTTCGGTCATTTTTTTCCAGCTTACTTGAAGTTTGATTCTGTTTATACAATGTATTAATAACTAATTAATAACTTGAAGTTAAACTTCTATGAAATATTTTCCTATTTTATTGATTGACTCATTGTACCGAACCATTGTGAAAAAACAAATACAGAAAATCGTCTCATTGTAATCGAGGGTATAAATTTCGAGCGATTATCTATCAATTGTCAACCAAATATTAATAAGCCTTCGAAAAAAAGAGAGTTTATTTTGTCACAAAAAACTTGAGTTACATGAGATGAAGCAAATACATTGGAAGACTCTGAAAGGGAAAAATTTTCAACTTTTGGCCTGAGATTCAGTATTTAATCAATCGACATCCTATGATGATTAGAGTATGACTCTTTGAAATAATGTTAGATCATATTAATAATATACTCTGCACAGGATCATAAGCACTATCGAGTTCACAGTTTAAATTGAGTTTACATTTGGTCTTTGCCATACTTCTTGTTATGTTATCACGAATTTCAGGCATTTTTTCCAAACCATTGAACAATCTATCAGTCGCCAAAATTAAAGGCACGGATATAGTATCACTCATCATATTGCGGCCTTTTATAACTTGCTCAAAAACAAAGTAAAAAAATTTCCAGGGGAGAGAAAGTTTCTCTGAAATGATACGTTAGACAGTTGGTCAATAAGAGCAACATACTCATTTTAATATCAACTCACCATAATTGAAACCGAAAGGACCAGCACCTCGAGGTTCGACTTTGTCATTTCTCGACCATTCAGTTATGTTCAAATTATGTGGAATCGATGAGTTCACATTTGTAAGTAAAGTTGGTAAAGTCGATGTAACTTGTAGAGGAAGCGATGAAACAAATAAAAGGCTAGTTTGGCACAAAATACACAAAAATAAAATGAAACAACTTGGTGAATTTAACTTCATTTTTGTTGAGTAAAGTGAAGATTTATATTATATAATTAGTCGATTTGAACTTATAAAAATGCTTGGTAATGTTAAGATTTTTATTTTGTTTTCAAATAAATAATATGAACATATCTAACGGAATCTGGCATTTCTTGCAACAAGGATAACAAGTGATAGTTGAATAGCTTTCCATCAAAAAGGACTCTCTTTCAAATACACATTCGGGTAGCCAAATCCGGTTCCGATCATCTTGTATTTACAAAATATAACCTGACTTCATTATGCCCTCACCAGGCTGCAAATTTTACAAAAATCATTGAAAGATGGGACTCAATGAATAAGTACAACTTTTATTGAATTTAATAATTTTCAAAAAGACTTTAGTTTAATAACAATTTCATCAGACATTAAATAGATTTTATTAACATGTGAAAATGTGAAACAATGAAAAGTTAAATCACGGCAGGACCGGTGTTAATTTAATTATTTTGCTGACTGTAGATCCATCATATGAAAATTATTACATAGTGGTCAGTCTTGTATTTCAACTGTACAATAGGCACTGAGAAAATTGTTTGATTTTAATTGGCATCAGAAGAAAAATAGTCTAATATTATCTACAGATCGCACTAAGAATTGTTTTCATTTCTATTTTTCAAATACTTGCCCCAACGTGAAAGAAAGTAGTCCATCGCTTTCCATAGTTCCAGTGGATTTTTCTCAAGAACATCTTTAACGATTTGTCCTGAATTCAATAAAGACATTGCAAACATTAATGGAGCATCAAGCACCTTTGCAACTCCTGAAAATATAAATATTTTTATTAGAATACGTTTTTTCAAATTTCATTTGTTACACAGCTTCTTAAAATAATGCTCAAGAAATATTAAGCTATGAGTGAGGAGTGAGTAGAAAAGGGTTGCGATGGACTTTTGGAACAGGGATTTCATTGTACTTACCATAACTCAACATGACTTTCCAAAGTGAAACTTCACGTTTTGATGAAAATGAGCGTAACAATCGGGCTTCACTGAGTTGAGATACTTTGATGGTTTTGGCCTTTGAATCAACCAAAGTAACAAATTTATCTGTTTTATTAACATTTGATGAAGTTGGTTCTGATGATACAGATCGTGTTAACGAACCAGACCAAACAATTAAAGTACAATGGCATAGCATCAGAACAGTTATAGTACTTATTTGCTGAGATATCAACATGTTTTAGTTGGTTGTTTGATGATAACTGTAAGTTGAACACATGAAGATGAATCTGAACTCAAATCCGGTTCCCTTCATGTTATTAAATATAACCTGACTTTTAAGATTCACTCACCAGAGTCCAAACCTCTCACCTCAAATTTTCATTAAAAGATGAAGATCTTGAGTTCATCAATAAATTCAATTCTTATTGAGTTAACTATCGATTGAGATCGATTTAATTTGACAGAAAAGTAACTCCTTTTTGTTGAGCAAAGGTATTAAGATTCAAGTAAAATATTAGTTTTTTAAAATATTTGTTAATGTTATGATTTGTATTTCATTCAAATGAATGAATATAATAACTATTGTGTGGCAATGTGGCCTTTTGTGGCAATGACACAAATTATTAGTTGAACAACTTTTCATCAAAAAGGACTCTCTTTCAAATACACATTTGGTCAGCAAAACACAATTCCGGTTTGCAAAAGGTTTACATTTATTAATAATATGTGAAACAATGAAAATTCCTGTTCAAAAATCAGTGTCAAAAAATAACAACATACAATAAACTTTATTCATTACAGAATAAAAGCAAATATTTAATAAATAAGATCATAATTTACACTACAAAGGTTCAAAGGCACTATCAAGTTGACAGTTTATATTCAGTTTACATTTGGTCTTCGCTATTCTGATTTTGTTTCTCTGTATTCCTTCCAAACCATTGAACAATTTATCAGTTGACCAAATGAAAGGACGTGCCACAGTTCTCACTATGGAATTACGGGCTTTGATAGCTTGCTCAAAAACAAAGTAAAAAAATTGCCCGGGTAGAGATAGTTTCTCTGAAATGATACGTTAGAAAGTTAATTATCTGGTCAATAAGAGCAGTATACTCATATTAATATCAACTCACCATGCTCGAAACAGAAAAAACAAGGAAATGCACCTCGAGGTTCAACTTTATCAGTTCTTGACCATTCAGTTGTGTTATAATTATGTGGAATCGATGAGTTAACTTTTGTTAATGAAGTTGGTAATGTGGATGTAACTTGTAGAGGAAGTGATGAAACAAATAAAAGGTTACTTTGGCACAAAAGACACAAAAAATAAATGAAGCAACCCGGTGAATGTAACTTCATTTTTGTTGAGTAAAGTGAAGATTTATTTAATTAGTCAACTAATGGATAAAAATGTTATCAAGGTTTTGTTAATTTGTAAATAAATATGAAAACTAACGGAATCGGTTTTCTTGCGGCAATGACAGCAAGTACAATTGTAAGTGTATTAGTTGAACAACATTCCTCCAATAAACTCCCTTTTACACATTGGGTCAGCAAAACATAAATCCGGTTCATTTCATGTTACTCACAAAATGAAAGGCCTTACTATGAGTTAATCATCAAGCTTTGTAACCATTACCTTCATTTTGATATTGAAAGATCTCAAGATACTAAATTCAAATAATTTGTCAAAAGCATTGTGGTCACACAAATGAATCTTTATTTGATTTTTTAAAAAAAATGTTTACTTGTAAAATTTGAGCAAATCTCTATCGAGCAATATTCAAATTATAATAATATTAAGCTATTTTTGAGTTCATTATTGACAAAATCGAAATCACCTGTTAAACAAAATCATAAAATCTTATTTCTCGACTCAGCCCTTTTCTTGTTAGATATTTAAAGTCACACAAGAAAAATCTTGGATATTTGCTATATATTTGCTTTCGACGTCTAACAAGAAAAGTATTATTAATAGTTTGAGGAATAAGATTTTCTAATACTGTACAACAGTTCGCTTCGATTTTGTCAAGAATAAACCCGAAAGTGGCTTAATATTAATTTACACTTTTGAATGTTGTTCTTATGAGATTTTGCAACTCAACGAAAACCGATGAGAATCGGAGTGAATGGAGGAAGAGGAATTTGTATGTAACTCGAAAGACGCCTCATGAAGTATATGAATGGACCTGGACTGATAGGATTTTTATGCATGAAATCTGCCACTTTCTTAAAGTAATCCTCCGCAGCTGGTGCAGCTTCAACTAGTTTGCCGTAAAATTTGCCGTTAGCTTCTGAAAATATGAATGTTGATATTTATATTAAAATATGTTAAAACTGTTTAAATTTCATTCGTTACTCAGTGTGTTAAAATTAAGTCAATGACTATTATACGTTATTCATGTGTTGTGAGCTAATAAAAAATAGAATCGTAATAGACTTTTAGAACTGAAACTTCATTATACTTACTTTTCAAGAGAGATGGCCCTAACAATCGGGCTTCACTGAGTTGAGATACTTTGATGGTTTTGGCCTTTGAATCAACCAAAGTAACAAATTTATCTGTTTCATTAACATTTGGTGAGATTAATTCTGTTGCTACAGATCGTGTTAACGAACCAGACCAAACAATTAAAGTACAATGGCATAACATCAGAATAGTTATAATACTTATTTGCTGAGATATCAACATGTTTTAGTTGGTTGTTAGATAATAACTGTAAGTTGGACACATGAAGATGAATCTAAACGGAAGAAAAGTGATGATTATTACTTAGCCTCCAAAAAGCCTATTCATTATTGAGTATCAGTGTCCAAATATTGAGAATAACTTGTTCAGTCTGAACCGGTCCAGTCTCTTGTGTCCTCTCACTTGTAGCAAAATTATATTTTTTATATAGTTAATAAGCTTAGCTAGTTCGGTAACTAGTGAGGGTACTTTCATTGTGAAGCGAATTTTTATTCTGACATTTCTGATGAATCGCATGATATCAACGGAATGATACATGATGATTTAGTTACAATTGTCATACAATCTATAAAATAGAAGAAAATGCTTTGATCAAGAAAAATCGAGTTAAGAGTTGGAATTTTGTGGACTTGTAGGGACATAAAAACTCATTCCATTGGTTCTATTGTAACATTACTTCGATCTGCTTTAGTACAGTTCAATGATCAAAGTACTTTTTCAATTTATCAACCGCTCTCTTGATTTTGGCCATTGGCCTAAATTTTGAGCATCAATATCTAGAGAATGGTAGCGCAATCACCATTCTTTGGCCAATCATTAGATCTTATTATGAGCTGTAACATAATGTTACTGAATACCGGAGAAAATCTGAGCTAATTAATTCAATAATGAATATCCCTTCAACACAACATAAGATTTGTGTGCGAGCAACCATTTACCTTTAAAAATCGATTTTCAAATCTGACAAAATAATTAATATAATGTTATAATTTTTTTGTAGGATCTTGAATGATCTGAAATTTCAATATGTTATGATTTATTTTATTTATTTTGATTAGGTTATGTTAATCGATGCGAACTTTGAGCTTACAATGTTTAGAGGTTGACAAAGGTTACGATGGACAGTGTTTAATTTGATAAACAGTGTATTTAGTGGTGAATTTGGGAATAGAGATTAGTTAATTTAATAAGTGTTGCCTAGTAAATTCAATCTAAATTTTGTTTCCATATCATATTTAAACGGTTATTGATCGATAAAATTGAATAGTCTAGATTGTGAATAATTTAAAATGTAAAAAATTATCGATGGTCTGGAAAACGTTCAAACGATGATATAGTTTTCGTTTTGAATTGAAATGGTATATATAATGAATATTTGAAAAAAAGTCAGTCTTCACGATAGTACAGAATCATATCATGAAATATTGGTTTTGGCCAGTATAACCTTTAACATGACACGAAACGAAAAACAATACAAACAAGCAAAAAATTCGTACTTTCAAGGCAACTAACTCTTGCTTGAAGTTGATTAAGAAATATGGTGAGTAAGCCCATGGTCTTGTGATAATTTCAATGAATTATAAGACGAAAATACCATTTTGTTGGTGATCGAAGTTTCTGTTTACATATTTCCTGCTCTGTTAAATAACAATATTGCTACAGAGGATGCAACCAGTCTCTTCAATTTGAAAGAAAAAAAACGATAAAAAAAGAGGCTCAGAGCGATCTGATTGAAAAAAAGAAGATCACGATAAAAAGACAGATAGACATTGAGAATACAAGTAAATGAAAAAAATTGAAAATAGTGGTATGCAAGATTAGGCATAGTGAGACTGGAGAGAAAGCGTCTTAAGTATCAAAGATGCTAAATTATATATAGTCAATTTACGTTTTCCTAAAACATGATCATTTATAATCTTTTAAGGGTCTTCTTTTTGTCTTTTGCAGGATTGGACTTTGTCTTAAGCCTTTTAGCTGGTGGTAAATTATCATTATTTGATTCATTATTTGTTGTGCTCTTGGAGCTTGTTCCTGCAACATCACTATCAGTGGTCTCCTTCTTTTCCTTTGGTGCGCGAGCATGAATTTCTGTCATCATCTGGGCCCTTTTGCAATAATCATCATAATGGTCTAATAACAATTTACCGGCTTCTTCGTTAAGAGCTGATTCTGGATTTGGAACGATCAGCAAACATTTGATTGTCTGAAAAAGAAAAAACAAAAATATTTTAATGTCAAGATAAATACGAGTAGTGAATATAGAGAGGTTGGTGGATAGGAAAATTCAAGATAACATTCAATAACGAAATGCGAAGAGGTTAATGCTAAATAAAAATGCCCGACCATGAGACTAATTACGAAAATTATTTGTATAAGAAAATAGAAAGAAAACAGAAATCAAAATTGTTGTCAAGGCTAATGATAGGGACAAGGCAAGCAACCTGGTAATTCACTTTTTGACCATGAAGCAATTCACAATTTTGAAGCAAGCCTTGATCTGAAATTAAAGCTATGAATTGTCATAAATTAAGCTAAAAAAGCTAATTTATGCAACAATAAATCAATCAGGAAGAATAATCAAGAGTATAATAAAAAAAAATTATAACAATCTAAGATAAAAAAAGGATTAGTAACAATAGCAAGAGACTGGCCAGATGAGTAGCTGAACAACTTAAGAGTGCTAATAAAACGCAATTAACTCATGATTTGAAATATGACTTAAATCAGGTGAATATAAATTATAGAATGAGAAGACAGTACAATAATCATTGGACCATAGACCTATTTGACTTTTCAATAAAAAAAAGATTGCCAAGAACAAGCTTCACCAGTCAAGCTTAACAAAGCCATCATTCAGGTAAGCAGTAACTTGAAGGGCTCAAGATTAACATGGTGCTAAATGAGTAGGAAATGGCAAGATAGGCATGAAATGATATGTGAAAAGGGTAAATGGGAGATGTTAAAAGTAAAATGAATGATTCTTACAAGAAGAATATGCTTAATACCAAGATCAGACTTCCACTCCTTTTTCAAGGTATTTACACAGATTTCACCATTTCTTGATACGTTGGGATGGAAAACTTTAGTGATGAAGTACGCTTTAGGAGGTGCAGAAGGGAAATCTTGCACTAGTACCAATCTAACCCGAAAAGATCCTCCAGAATAAGGTGTTCCAGCTAACCAATAGCCCAATAATACATAGGTAAAAAAGAGAAAGTAGAAATTAGATTCAATTGAGATAAATGAACAAAGCAAAGATAAAGAAACCAATGGATGAGTATTGGATTTGACAGTTGAACCAGAAAAGTGAAAGACATTGGCAATGTAACATCTCACTGAGACATACCTGGACCATCAATAATAGCTTGAATATTTGTAACGTCTTCATCATTTAGAACTACTTTAATCCCTTCTAATGGTTCAGTAACCAATTTGTGAAGTTCTTTAGTGACTTGCTTAATTACATGAGGAGATAAATTTTCTACGTTTGAAGATGTCTAAAGAAGAAAGGAGAAGAAAATGGTGATGGCAAACAGATTTGGTTAAAATCATTAAAATCAAAAATTAATGACATTAATTAATGAAACCTTGCAAAGGTGATATTAAAAGAGGCATACTTACCGAAGACATGATGACAAATTAATCACCAATTTGATTCAAAAATTGCTTTTGTTGGGCTAATGTTTTTAACAGTCAAAAAAATGAATTCCTACCTGTAACAACTGATTCTTTCAAACACAAGAAAGACCAATAAGCAAGGAGATCGTTATTCAACGGTCCCTAATACCTTTCTTTGACGTCAATGCCATCTGCTGTTTGAATTAACAGTTTCAGTCATTTAAATTCAACATTCATTGCTTTTTACGGTTACAATTAATTAACAAGTACTTTTTAATCATATTTAACTAAAAAAAGTGATTAATATGCAACAATTTTGTTAAGATTGATTTGATATTTGACATACGTTCAACACAAAGGTCTTACTTAATGATGTCAAAATTAAAATCGATTCCAACCATTGTCCAATTCAAATCGGAATCTTTACTTTGTGCCTTGGAATGAGTTATTGAATTGATTTTTTGAGATGAGATATTTTACAAATGAACTTGTTTTGGGTATTATTTGATTAGCTTTAAAATCCAGCCAGAATGAGAGTGAAAGTGAACCCAAAATAATCGGAATTGGTCATTTGCTTTTGTTTTTTCTGTTTATTCTGGTCAACGCAACTTAATTCAAGTATTACAAATGATCAAAATAAATTTTTGTAAACTGGTTCCTGTCATTGGTTAACGTTACAGTAAATAAGGCATCAGTTGCCGATTCAAAGTGGTATATTGAATTCGTTCTGTTAACTGTCACCTCTAAGGTTACTCACATTTCCGTGTTGATAAAAATGGATGATCAAGATAAAAAGGGTACAAATGAAGATGGAGAAGCATTCCTGTTTCCTAAATACAGAGTGAAAATCAACGCATGAAAAATTTAAACCATGTCTTTAATTTTTTAACATTCGATTGCTATAAAGACCATTATAAACTATAGTGATCGCTTCGAAGTTGTAATCAGAAAGCATTAGGAGTTATACTGTTGTAATACTGTTTAAAGGTTGAATCATTTCAGATAAAGGAGTTCTCACCAACACTCACTAGCTCAAATTGCTGGCTGAAATTAGTTAATTTGGCTTATTAATAAGATCGAAAGTCTAGACTTCTTAGCAAATCCTAAATCCAATACTAATTGGAGGCAGAAACAGTACATTTAATTCGTCATTAGCTTATTAGAGTCCCATTGTTTACGCTTGTTACTAATAAAAAGACTCGTTTAACACAATCATCAATTTTTTTCACGAATTGAAAGAAATAGACAGCAACCGAAAAAGACTATTTTCTTTCAAATTTGGTAGTGCTTTAGTAGGACTTTGGTGGTTTGTATGGACGTGCAAAATGAGTCTATTGGTGCTATTAAAAGATCTCTGTAATAAACATTTTTCGAGAAAATCGCGTTCGAAGTTGAAACTTCGATTGCGTTTTCTACGATTATGGAAGCACATTTCTTCATGAGACTCATAGAACTGATGTAACTTTTGATGATCAGTTAGGAAATGTATTCATTTTGATGCATAGAACTTTTATTTTTCTTTGAAACAGATCAGTTCGATTTTCAAATAAACCGATCGTTTTCTATGACCATAAGAGTTAGTGAGCTGAAACTTATTGTTAGTCTCTAAAAACTTGTTGCCTCACACCATGAATGAAAAATTTTTTTCAATAGACCAACAGTTCTAATGATATTGGCCATTAGATCCATAACTTTGAGCTTCGATAATTCGAGACTGGCATCACATACAATCATCATTCTTGCACCAATTTATCTCTTTACTAATTAATAATGCAATACAGTTCAATTACTCTCCATTAGCGAATTTGCAAGATGGTATTTGGGTTGTAATGGTACGAGTAACAACTTATTTAGCAAAACAAACTCATATAAACCCATATCTTGATAAATAAAGCAATTTTCTGGTTAAACTTGCAAATGAAATGCAGAGAATGCTGCCAAAGGCTCAAACATTTGAGTTGTGATTCGAGACTTAGTGGCGTTTGTAGGGAAACGGAAACTACATCCATTGGTACTAATAAATGATTGATCTGATGAACAGTTTTCGAGAAAATCGAAGTCAAAGTTGAAACTTCGAACGTCTTTTGTACATTTAAGGATGCAGATTTTTTCATGAAACTCTATCTAACTGATGTAAATTTTGATGAAGAACAAGAAAATTTATCTATTTAGAGCAATAAAATTTTCGATTTCCTTTAAAACATATAAGTTCGATTTTCATTTAAACCGACCTTTTTCATTAACCATAATAGTTAGGGAACTGAAATTCATAATTTGTCAATAACAACTGTTTGTACACATCATAGATTGAATATTTCTTTCAGTTCATCAACAGTTCTCTTTATTTTGGCCATAAACCTAAAAACTTTGAGCCTCGATATTTCGAGAATCATATGACATACAAGCATCATTCTTTCACTAAACATTGAATTTTACTATGAGCTATAACATTGCATGACTTAACACCCAATAAAATCTGAACAAATTCATTTAATAATGAAGATCCTTCTAACGCATAAGATTTGTGTTTAGCTTTATAAACCAAAGTCTCAAATCTGCTAAGCTAAATATCAAAAGGGTATAACTTTATTTCTAGGATCTTGAATGGCTTACTATTTCAATATATTATAGCCCAATATTAAATTCAATGTTTCGTGAAAAAATGTGATTGTAAATGATACGATTATCGAAATATCGAGGTTCAAAGTTTTTAGGTTTATGGCCAAAATAAAGAGAACTGTTGTTGATTTGAAAAAAATATTCAATCTATGATGTGTACAAACAGTTTGTTTTTGACAAATTATGAGTTTCAGTTCTCTAAATCTATCGGTCAAAGGACAAGGTCGGTTTAAATGAAAAACGAACTTGTATACTTTACAGAGCATCGAAAAATTTATTTCAAAAAATAAGTGCACTTTCTGGTTCATCATTAAAATTTACATCAGTTCTATGAGTTTCATGAAAAAATCTGCCTCCATAAATGTACAAAAGACGTTCGAAGTTTCAACTTTGACTTCCATTTTCTCGAAAACTGTCCATCAGATCAATCATTTATTAGTACCAATGGATGTAGTTTTCATTTTCCTACAAATACCACTAAGTCTTTAATCACAACTGAAATGTTCGTGTCTTTGGCAGCATTCTTTGCATTTAATTTGCAAGTTTAACCAGAAAATTGCTTTATTTATCAAGATATGGGTTTATATGAGTTTGTTTTGCTAAATAAGTTGTTACTCGTACCATTACAACCCAAATACCATCTTGCAAATTCGCTAATGGAGAGTAATTGAACTGTATTGCATTATTAATTAGTAAAGAGATAAATTGGTGCAAGAATAATGATTGTATATGATGCCAGTTTCGAAATATCGAAGTTCAAAGTTTCGAAGCCAATGGCTAATATCAAGAGAACTATTGGTCTATTGAAAAAATTATTCAATCCATGATGTGAGGTAACTAGTTTTATCGACAAATAATAAGTTTCAGCTCACTAACTCTTACGGTCGTAGAAAACGATCGGTTTATTTGAAAATCAAACTGATCTGTTTTACAGGAAAATAAAAGTTCTATGCATCAAACCGAATACATTTCCTAACTGATCATCAAAAGTTACATCAGTTGCATGAGTCTCATGAAAAAATGTGCTTCCATAATCGTAGAAGACGCAATCGAAGTTTCAACTTTGAACGCGATTTTCTCGAAAAATGTTTATTACAGAGATCTATTAATCGCACCAATAGACTCATTTTTCCATGTCCTTACAAATGACCAAAGTCTAAATTTGAAGGAAAATGATTTCAACGGTTTTTGCTCATTTCTTTCAATTCGTGCATAAGTGTGATAATTGTGCCTTTTTAGTAACAATCGTTGTTACTTGAAAAATTTTTACGAGCGACATTTATAAAAAACTGATGGCTGAGTTGAACGTTCATTGTAAACCCAATTTGACTGATAGAATCGAGTCAAAAACTTGATGGTTAATGGAAAATAAATATTTTATCGTCAACATCACCATCAATCAAGAAGAAAATTGCATTATTATTTCAAGTTTTGAGCTTATCAAGCAATATTATTGGAGCAAGATGTAAAAGCAAAAATGGAAGATGCTCTTCAAGAATATTTCTGCTTGAATGAATGAAATTGGTTGCATGGTTCAAATTTAAATCAGTATCAAATGCATGAACACAACTAGTAGTTGTCTGGTTAATTTGATATTCAGACATTTGCAAGGTTTTCATTACATTCCGTTCGCAGCGGGCAACAGTACAATACAATCCCGACCATTATTGTTTCTAGCTCATGGATTCGCAATTATAATGATAACCATTGGATTGATAAAACCCTTTGAGTTAATGTTAAGCGGAATCTGAATAATGGACAAATCATTTTGAACAAACATTACTTTCATTGAATCTTGTCCATAATTGAACTTGAGATTTCATTTCAACTCTTAATGTCTTACAATGGCAAATCGCTATGATTGCTGCATTTCTTGAGCTATTATTTCAAGTTTTGCTAAATTTTTCACCGTCTTGGCTATTGTCTGAAATTATTGAACAGCTAAACAACAAATATTATAAAATATTAAAATTAATTGCCCATAAAGAAGCTGAATTTGCTTGAGGTCAGTAAATATGTATTTTTATTGCAAACCAAGCATGAGTACTTTTATTATATCGTATGCCCATCGCCTTTATCTTGATCATCCAATGTCATCAACACGGAAATAAAAGGAAAGCAAAGTTAATTTAAGATGACAGTTTGAATTACAAGTTTCAATTCAATATATCACTTTGCAAATTTATATCCAATTAAACTGTATCAATGATGGTTAGTCAAGAAACCAGCTCAACTTTCAAGTTAATTAAAATACCTGAATAAATTGACTGAAGACACTAACATACAATTAAGCCAGACAATCCAATGTTTAGCCAAGTGCCACTTTTACTTCTTGAGCTGATTCAAACAATACAAAAGCTAGATGATTAAAACTGTCAAGCTGATGCTATCAACAATATTGCCCTTCAATAAGCCCAGTGAGTTGATTTCAACTCTTTGATTTAAAAATGCTGTACTTAATCAAATTACCTGATGTAAACATATTGAACAGACAATATTACACCACTAAATGTGATGTGTAATGATTTATTTATTTTAGTAGTTTCACTGAACCAAGTTTCCATGCTATCAATAACTAGTTGTAAAGTTATTCAGCAAATGTATACACATTAACTAAATACTTGGAAACCTAGTTACTCGGATGAAATATTACAAAATACATGAAAACATTGAGTAACGGTTGCTGTCTTTGATGGGTTGAAAGGAGAGGGGAAAAGGGCGAGAACCGGTCAACAAGAAGTGCCCTCAAGACTCGATCAGGTTTAGTTATCTGATGAAGATAGCCTCAAGAGATGATGTCAAGTACCAGGTACACTTCAATGTATTTTATCACTATTATCATTATTATTATTTAAATCCAGTTTGATTCACCATTAAACAAAATACAAAGTGTAAGGCCTAAGGCTCGGTTAACTGAGCCACCCGCTACTCCTTTTACGGGCCTGTCTTTGCTCTCTTCCTCTCTCTCTTGTCCCTCTATTTTCATCTGTGACTCTTCCTCTCTTACCTTTAATTTTGATGGTGATGGTCATCATTTGCTCTTAACCATTGATTTGATTAGCCATTCTTAAAAGTTGCCTTCATATTGGTTTATCCATCGTCGTTTACCAATGTTGCTACTGTGGACACGACTTCATTACTAGCTTTAGTAACTCAACCAATTGTCCGGGCTTCAGTCTCCGGACAATTATCAATCAACTACTTAAAATATATTTTTAACAATTCCAGTTTAATTTATTGTTGAAGTCAACGTTTTGTGCCATCAAAATGATTTGGATTAATTTATTTTTATACTTTACACTTCTGGTAAGTTTTACACCTTTCAATGTTTCCCAGTCGTTGTGTGTTGGTTTGGGTATTTAGTGTATCTGCACTCGAACTGCCATCACACTTTTGGTTCTTGTTTTGGTTCGTTTTATTGAAATTAACTACCATTTTCATGTAAAAGTTTAGGATTTCATACCTGAGCTTGAGTTAGATTTCAATGTTATATATTACAAGGATTGATAGTTATTTAACTCTAGCGTATAATAAAGTTGCCTGGAAATGTATAAAGTTACTTGAAAGCTGGTTCACTTGAATCAGTCAAATTGTTATTTTGAAAAGCGTGCTAATAGCGGAAGATAACTTGAATTTCATTTAAATACAGCTCAAATTAATCTTACATTTTAAGTAACAATCCTTGATTTAAGTTATTCCTGTAATAATAACTTAAAACGTTTTCAATGTCAATGTTTCACAACTTGAAACATTGACACCTTCAATAAACATTTACAACCCAAACTCAGATTAACTTGTCAATGCTTTTAATGAGTGATTTAATATTCAACAATTAACAATATGTGACCGTCTATCAATGAGCGATCAACATCTAGGAAATATTTCATCAACAAATTCGTTTGTATTTCAGAGTAATTTATCAACATTACTCAATGAGATTGAACAGTTGAAATAATGAAAAGCTCAAAATGATCATGAAAAAGAGCGTCCTTGGAATGAGAAGTTCAATGTTGTCTGTTATGAATTAGAAACATAAAAAGTGAGAAGTTAAAAGATTGTATTTATTTTTATGCTAATTTCAGATTTTGTGTGTCAATGGCCATTGGAGTGATGATGGTCCAACTGGAAATGGACTTGGTAAACTTTCAGCTCTTGATGTAATCTGTGGTAAAGATCATATGACGGTGCGAGCTGAATTTGCTGGACCATTTCACGGAATTGTGGCTTCCAAAGGAACTTATGGACAAGATAATTGTGTCTACATCAAACCCTATTCAGGAGTAACTCATGCCACGTTCAAAGTTTATTACGACCAATGTGGAACCAAGCCTGATCTTCAAGGCAGATATTATGAGAATACAGTTGTTATTCAATATGGAACCGATATTATTGAAGCTTGGGATGAAGCGAAGAGACTTCGCTGTGAATGGTTTGAAGCTTATGAGAAACCAGCCACCTTTCGTCCAGCCATTCCTGTTGCTGATCTTGATGTGGTTGAAATGAACTTCCAAGGCGATGACATCGATTGTTGGATGGAGATTCAAGAAGGAAAAGGACCATGGGGACGTGAAGTTTCACGAATTGTTCCTGTTGGACAACCCATGACCATTGTGATTGCTATCAATGATTATGGAGGGGAATTTGACATGAGAGTTAAATCATGCTTTGCTCATGATGGCATTAAACCTCCAATACACCTGACAGATGAACATGGCTGTGTTTTAAGACCTAAAATGTTGACCAAATTTGAGAAAGTAAAAGATCCAAATGGCAAAGCAACTGTCATTTCTTATTCACATTTCTATGCGTTCAAATTTCCAGACTCAATGAATGTTCAAATTCAGTGTACTGTTGAAGTTTGTCGCCATGGTTGTCCAAATGCCTGTCAAAAAACACCTTACCAGCATCAACCTGACAGACAATTTAAACCGCAAGTATCTTTCTCATATGATCAAAGATCAGCTCCATCAATCTCCAACAAGCCACATGAGGTAATCAAGGAGCAACCAGAAGTTCAACAAGACTTGCAAGGATTAGCAACAAGTGATGTTTCATCTCTATCATCACCTCCACCGTCACCACCGTCACCACCACCATTCACAGTTTCACAGACATCACAGGTTAAACCAGCTTCATCATTACCCTCTGAGCCAGGATTATCTGTTCAACCATTTCCAACAAAAACTTTTGACTCGAAACGATTACCCGTTTATTCACACCAGGAAGACAAAGTACAAAATAATTCATCTGAAAATGTTAACAATCAAAATGTTGCCTCCAATGAAAATGATTCAGATGCTGATGAAGAGCCCATTGCCGAGGAAGGCGAGCAGAGCTTCAAGACGTCTGACTATCAACCACAATCATCAACCGATAATAAAATGATCGTTCCACAGACACCTCATCACCCTCCTCCACCTCCACCTTCATCTGATCCTTCAACCTCTTCTTCTTCCCAAGAAGATGATAAACCAATTTTTGTTCCTGAAAATGAACAAAAAGAATCAATTTTATCAAAATTTGCCAATGACAATCTTGACAAAGCTTCTGAGCTTTTCAAAGATCTTGGTGTTGCTGATATGGCTGAATTTGCTTCAGGATTTATCCACGGAATCGATCCCAACAATAAGCCAAATATCGCTTCATTATTAGAAAACTCCAAAGTTCGAGACATGGTCGAAGCAGCGGGTATTAATTTGAAGGAAACGAATCATTTGTCTCCTCAAGTTCAACCCTTGATAAGTAAACCAAACCAAGAAAATAACGATCAAAATGACGATGAAGAGCAATTGGCTTCTGAAGAATCATCTGCTGCCAATGAACATTTGACATCGCCCGTTCCAACTTCATCTTATCCTAATTCATTATTAAACAGCAAAGAAGCAGGTCACTTGCAACAGCAAAATCAACAACAGACTAATGAACAATTTAAAGAAGCAACCTCAACAGGAACTCAAAGGCAAGTCAATCAAAGTGATCAGGAAGAAGGTCAATTATCACAGATTAATAATAATATAAATAATAACAACAACAACAACATAATTTCCAATCAACAAAGTTCATCTTTTGGCTCAGTGAAGCCCACCGTTATCAAAGTGAATCAAAATGATAATCAAAATGTGAGGCTTGGTATGCCTAAACTTGATCAAAATGCGAACCCTAATTTGGAATCTTCAGAAGGAATTAATCTTGCACACAAGAACCTTGAGCCTGAAGCACCAACGGGATTGAATGTTGAGAATCCGGTTGCTCAAGTTGTTCCTTTACAATTAGGGATTGGTCCAATCAATGGTTTTGTCCCACCTAAATTCAACAACTTGATACCTCAGCCTCAGGGACTGCAACATCCTTTAATTCATCACATTCCGCAAAAACAGAAGCTTCAACTTGTTAATCGTCATCACCCTCATTTTCAACAAAGACCAATAATAGTTCCTGATGGTGTCCAATTTAGACCACCGCAAAGACCAATCCATCCGAAGCAACCATTGAATGAACCACCACAACGACCACCGCCATCTAATTTACCAAATATACCTTTACATCGAGCTGCATCACTTTTGGCCAATTTTGCCGGTTTATCCAATCTTAATTTACCATTTTTAACATCAATACAGAGGAAGGATAGTCAACGAAATAGCTTTCCATCTTCTCCGGTAACATCATCGGCATTTCCACACGGACCTCGATCATTTCGGTCCAAGCGATCATCGTCTAAAGAACCCATGGTTAGTGTTAGAAAAGAGTTTCAAGTGGTCACTTCAATTGATCTTGATTTCAACCCTAATTCAACTGGTTTACCCGAAATTTATGAAGGCCGAAGAGAGGAAATCATTTATGGTGTTTGTATGCCTTTTAATGGTTTAATTGTTTCTTTATTAACCATCTTAGCTATCATTGCATTTTCACTTATATCTTCATTTATTTTGATACGAAGAATCAATAAGATGAGAAAGGATAAGATTCAACTTTCATAGTTTAAATTATAGATTATATCTTGTAAATACAATAAAAGATTTCATTCTGCACATATTAACCATTCTCACATTTATTAGGAAGATTAAACCGACAATTAGTAAATCCAATGAGTATTTTATCATTGAATATCTTGTAACTTAATTGTAAATTGTTTTTTCACGAAAATGAAAAAAGTAAATCTTAGGAGAGCGAAAACTGTCAAAGATTAATGCACACTGACTCAAGAGTACTTAGAAAAGGAGCCCCATCTTTTAATTTCGTCGATTTGGCCAGTAATGACTAATGAAATGACAAAATGTGGAAACAAAATATACCAAAAAATCAAGTTTAATTGAATGAATAAATGAAAGATGAGAATGTCGAATACAAAACTAGGAATGAATTCAAAGAAAATGAAAAGAGATTTCATTTAAATTCGAACGAAAGATTCTTGCCGCCACGGGTTTTTACCAAAATTCTGGTTCACCAATAGGAGGTGGTAAATGTGCAGGAGTTATTTTTACAGGGTAGTTGGGACATACAAAATCCAGAAAACAGTAAGCAACAGTATATGCTAAGTTTCGGGCGCAATTAAAGGTACCTATGTCTTTGTGGTATTCACAGCATTCATCAGCAGGTGGAAGGAGGATTTTTTTATTAAAGTTATCCTTGAAAATTGCATACGCTCGATCTGCACTCTCAGACTTCAATCGACACGCAAATTTGACCATGTGAACGACATCCATTACTTGGAAACCTTCATAGAACGACAAGTTTTTAGCTTCCGAGGCCAATCGTCGAAGACATCCATCAGTTTGAACAACTCCGGCTTCTTCTGTGGGATAACTAAAAACAGGTCGAACATCCAATCCCGGTCTGCCTCTTTCCGCTTCTCTGTAAACAACATCAGGTTTTACAAATTCATCAATTCTTTTGATAGCCTCTTTTATAGCAGTATGATAATCTTCCGTGTCATCAGCTCTAGATGATTTTTGACTGTTCTCCAAGAATAAATTGTAATTTTTCACGGTGAATCCATGTACCGGTATACCATGATAATTTAGATACAGATCCTTTGCTGTTGCTGCATAGCCCAACGGTACCCTTCCAGGATGGATAAAGTCGTGATAGGAATCTTTAATTCCATCTTTGATGCTGAATTTAACAATACCAACCTCGATCGGAACAAAAACATTGCTGCGAGTCCTGCAACTAATATTAAACTCCATTGCATAGAAATCTTTATTAATCATGGTTTCCATTGTTTCTTTGGCGAAGAGCTGGTTAACAAGTCTTAAGCTGGCAGTTGGGTCGAAAACTTGTTCCTCGTCTTCATTCTGATACCATGAACTCATGATGAAAGTTAATAAGAATGGAATTAAGGTTTAAACTTTTTAACAATAAATTTTTAAAAATAACACAACTTGACCGTTAGTCACGATAAAGCACTGGTTAGAAGAAGTAGAATAAGCTATTTTTCGATTAACTTGAGTTTAAATAGCAAAGGCTAATCTCACTAAGGGCAATCGTAGGAGGCTCCGACTGGGAGCAGCAATTACAATAATTTCAAAGAATAAGTTCAATAAATAAAGATAAATGTATCTTAATAATGGATACTTTTGTACTTAAGTGTTAATATTAATATTTATTTCAATATTTACATTCTAGAACAATTTACTTGCCAACAATTGCAAATTTATATTAATAATACATTTTATATGTGATTAGATACATGGTTTATTGATAGAGATTAGTGAAATTTACTTTAATTCGATGGTCAATGGTCGAGGGGAATTTAATTTTTATTTAATTCCTCTATTAGGTCATAAAAGCTCATCACAAACCATTTGGCTTCATTACGAACACTATCCCTCACCTGGTTACCACCAAATCCAATAAAGGCATCCTGAAACGATCAAAATTAAGGAGGGAAATGAGAAAAATGTTACATTAGATAAAGATTGTCAAGTAGCTGTTGAAATTAATTGAATAGTAACATTTTGTAAATAGAGGCGACAAAAACTCTCTATTGACAAGCACTTACAGCAGGAGGACAAGCCAGTAAGTCAGTGGCACCATCACCAATCATGACAACTCTCTGATAACCATATCGCTTCTTCAGATAATCAATAACTTGTGCTTTACCATCTTGTTGTGATGTTGGAGCTTCCTCATCAAAACCAGCATAGCTTCCTATAAGTTTTTATGAAAATGGAAACATGACAACATTTTAGTTTCAAACTTTTACTTTTTGGTGTAACTTCAACCTAAAAAGAGTTAAACAGTTAATTACCATCGTAGTAGAACTTGATTCTGTTGGCAAAGATATTTTTCACTGGTATGCCAAGATCTTTTGCTAAGGGTTCAATAATTACATCAAATCCACCAGAAATAAGGTAAACGTCAATATCACGATCTTGAAGTAAACTTATCAGTTCTCTGAATTGAAATAAGAGGGAAAAGGAAAACATATAACAAATGTAAATAAGACTTATAAAGGCTCAATTTTTGTGTCAATTTTCAATGTCTCACCTTATTCCTTGGGTTAATCTTAAAGGTTTTGTTGTGATAAATTTTTCCACCATATGTTGTGAAGGTTTGATTAACTCTAATCTTTTGGCTAGAGCGTCTTGAAATGAGCAGTCACCTCGCATAGCAACTCGAGTCCTGAAGTAAAATGTCAGAACGAGAAAACATAGTTGGTAAAATTGAAGAGTAATGCAAAGTGAAGATTAAATGATTTTGATTTAATAGTAAACTTACATTTCGGCAACTTCTTTCTCGACTCCAGCAAACTTGGCCAATTCGTCTATGGCTTCATCACGGCAAACAGTTGAATCGACATCAAAACAAACAGCATCAGCTGATCGCCAAATGGCTCGAGTAAGACTTTCTTGTTTTGTTGACATGATGGAGCTGATTGAACGATGCAAGGATGAAACAATTTGATGTTTAATTGAGAAACTTTTCCAGAACAGATTTAACACTATTTAACTCCTTTGTATCAGCTTAACCAGATTTTAACGATGACTGAAAACCGTACTTATATATGTTTATGTATATATAGATCAACAGCGGCTAACAAATGGTTTACGTTCAACAAACTTATTTGACCAAGATAATTGTTGAGGTTGATCGTAGATTGAGATACGTTGGCTGTAGGAACACGAAAAAAAACACAAGTTTTAATCAGAATCAATTCATAAACTGTTATAACTCTCTTGGTAGGGTTGTTGTTTATTCAGGGAGAGGGAGAGGAGAGGAGGAGAGTTTTGTTTAAAGAAAGAGGAGAAAGAAAGTGTGGGAATTTGAATTGAAAAAAAACTCAATCTTCTTCTATGACAGGTCTGAAGTGAATTTCAGAATCCAACAGAATCTGTTTGATTTACTAAGAAATCAACTTTTTTATCAAATGAATTGAATTGCAGACTGGTGAGCGCATTAAATTACAATCATAATTAGATAATAATCGAAAGATAGACAAATAATCGTAAAGCAAAAGCTCAAGGCTGATTATTATCAAATATTAATCTTTTTCGTTTTTTTTCCTTCCAACAATCAACCAACAGATTAATTGTAATGTTTGTCATTTATTTAATCACTTGTATCATAGTTAATCGTCCTCTTTCTCCCCTTTCTTCTTCCTAATCTTAATCTTGAAATTATTGAGAATCGCCAGATAATCATTACATCGATAACATAATGATTTAACCGATATCGGTGTTGATATCAAGTCAACTGGCTGGACAGACTGACAACCATGGACTTGTAAAAGTTAACTTGATCTATCTATGAATCAAAAAGATTGATCCATGAAATCAATTAGCTTGATAATCACTGTAACATGAACAGAGGAATCTGATAAAATGAAAAACAAAAGCTAAACATTGCTGAAAGACGTCAGAAGGAAGATTTACGACATTTTATCTCATCATCATCATGTAATCATTAACTTATCATTTACAATCATAGTTACAATAATCTCTTTTCTAGTTAAGTGGGGTTAATAAAAATAGAAACTAAGAACCCTAAATTGTTCAATCAACAGATAGAAATGGAAACATAGTTTGCTAAAGCAGAACTCAATCAGCCAATCACTCAATCTGTCTTTCTGGTAATACATTTTACCTTATCAATTGATAATATAAATCATAGCAATTAGGCAATGAATAATTCCCTATTAATACATATTAGTAATAAATACTTTAGCCTAGGATTGACAACTCAAGCTAACACTACATAACAACATGGCAAATCTAGGTTCATCTTGATTTACCTTAGTTAACACTAATTTATCTAGATTAGATTAGATAGATTAGATTAATTGATTTTATCATTAATAGAGAAAAACATTCAACACAATCAATGGTTTTTGATGAATGCCGATAATTGATCATACGATCCGTTTAAGGATAAAATATTTCTCTCTTGGAAACCTGTCAAAAATGGGAATCGATTGATCATCAAAATAAATACCCAGGCACGTATTGAGCGCATTCATGAAATTTTCCAGTCAAATTGAAACAACTCTGCAATTATGATTAGGTTCAAGTACTCCGGAAACTTACAATAAAAAATCTAGACGGCAATTCTTGAGATATGAACAGGTTAAACCGGTCACTTGAATGAAAGTTTCTGTGAAATAAAAAATGAGAAAATGAAATGAATTAATATCAGCAAATCATGATTTAGTGTTAATCGTATGATGAAAGTTGCAAATTTGGATAAAATTGCATCAACAACATCCTTGCGGCATTTCGTTATAATATTTTGACCTCATATTGAAGATGAAGTTAAAAGGTAATTCTGCTTTGTGGGTTAACTGAATCAAATTAGTCAATTGCTAGCACGAAAATTTCATTACACTGCAATATTTAACGATTAGTTGATTTCATAAAATTACATAAGCTTCATTTTCTGAAAAAATATCTATTACAAGTCTGGCCTCCGGTTAATCAATTCAATAACCTTTGGAAATTTGATTCTTTGGTAAACATTACATCAACTGGGATTGCCTGGTGGGAAACTAGGCAATAAAGGGGTTGTTTATGACCTCGGGAAGCAATTGAAACATCGTCGACAACACTTTATCATAGATTGAAACTTACCTCATAAAAAGGATAGATGAAAACATGGAAAAGGGAAAACACGATTGACGTTTCAATAACCATTAATGTTAGGTGCAGGTTTCGTCTAATAACCAGAATAATGCTCTGAATAGATGAGTCTAGAAAAAAAATACAAAAAGTGTAAGTCAATTATGAATTAAGTGAAGGTCTTTCCCCCTTAACAACAACACAACCATTTCAAGGCCGAAAGAGTTAAAAAACAAATTTTCAGAGTCACAGGAATGTTCATGATGGGTATAATAAATCATTTCAATGGTAAATTGTATGCTTGTATGGATGAACCATTGGCCAAATCAAAACCTCTAATCTAGGTACAAGACTTAATAGATCAGTAGTTATTCAAGGTGAATCAGTACAATTTCAAGGTAAATGGATGTTAGTTATCAAGAGAAATAGCAATAAACTCTTTTTCGATCATTGAGATATGGAACTATTTGAACATTTGAAGACTCATTTGCCCCTAATGGAAAAGGTTCAACTAATTTAGAAGTCCTTTGAGGCTAAAATATGACAATTTATACGACTGATTGAATGACTCGAGCCCAGTCAGCGCTTAAAACAACCTACTTGGCTCACTGACTGGCTTAACATCTATTCCCAATATTTGAAAACAACTCGAACCAACATTATATTCGCTGTGAAATTTGAGGTTCGACAACTCAATCAGAGTTAAAATTCCAATTCAGTAGAAAATCATTATGTACTTACATTAAATTGGTGGGAAGAATTACCATAAACAATCAACAATGAAAGCTGAATGTGAACAAAAGCAGGATGGAAATAAATGTATTATGGAAAGAAAAATAAACAAACGCAAGCAATAACCAAATTAGTCTTGCAGCTAACTGCAAACATCAGATCAGGAAACAATTAACATTAAATAGATATGTGATTAGATGGCAAAATTTGCAAATGGTAAAATTGACATTTAAGTTCAATGTTAATCAAGAAAATGCAATGCATAACTTTCCTGCCAATTTTTTTAAAGGAAAGCGTCTGCACAGTAAACAAACATTTTTCACCTGCTTTTTTAAAGATATTTCTATCATATATCTGTATCAAGATATGTACACAAGAAGGCAACAAACTAGTATCGATACGTGATAAAAATATCTGTTTGAAAAAATAAACGGTTTTGAACCATTTATTTTTAAGTGAAACAATCTAATTTAATTTATGGAATTATTTTCGATGTAAAAACAGAATTGGCTCCATTCCAACAGAATGGGTAAATATTATGTTCCTTTCCAAGTCATTTGCGCTTGGACAAAATCACCTGATAAACATGGTAATCACCTAATTTAATTTCAAGACTTGTAAATTGCTATCCAGTTAATTTGCTGAATGATTATCAAAAAGCGAAGATGTTACTGTTTAAATAACATGAGACAATAAAGATAAAATCCTCAACATATGATAAAATCGAGACCGTATCCAAGCAACAGTTTTAGCTTTTAACGAGATTCTTCTGCTGAACCTTACCGATTTGTACAGACTTTTTATATGAATTTTTGTGAATAAGAATTTTAATAAGAATTGCTCGTGGATAATAGAGTGATTACTATTACGGTCTGTGATTAGATTTCAAGTTGATAGCTATCAGTTTGTGGTGATTTTCATCTTTTAGTATATTTTTTATCTTACCAAGGAAATCAAGGATCATAGCCCTTGGTTTTGGCTAGTGTTGATTGTTATGGGATTACCTTTATCATCATCTTGATTTCTGATTAATAATCTTCCAATACTAATTGAAAACCTGGTAAGTCTAATAACAATTCCAATAGCTTTCGGTTTCTTAATTGGTTTTTCTTTTCTTCTCTTTTTTGCTTATCTTTGTTTTGAAGCCATCTTTGCCCTTATTCATCTTATGGTTATCTTTTAACTGATTTGTATCAACTTGACTATTGATTTTAGTATCAATTATTAACCTGCCTTTCGGTATCGTTTTATTGACCATTGACGCTTTTGGTCTGGATTCTATACAAATTATAAGCACAAGAAGTCTACAAGTATCTCAAACTCTAAAATGGCCACAGGTTTGTTTTTGCTCTTTCGTATGACTTTCTGACAGTAATGTAAAGTTGAACTGAATCTCATTTCTCGATGGATTTTCTTGTTTATCTTTAAATACGAAAGTATATCTCTATAATTTTCAGAATTCTTACTGTTCATGATGGCAAGATGAAGTTAACTAGCCAGAGAAATTGATTCATTTTTATTTTGCTTCTGCTAAGAAATTCTGTGAAATTTATCATTTCTCTGCAATCGCATATCTATTTTGGGTTTTATTTCAATGCTTCACCCTTTTTAGATGATTCAGCGGCAATATCTATCACGAAACATGGTGATCGCAGATCCTTCATTTTCCGTTTAAAGCTTGTTATATTGCCTTTGAAATCGATGAACAATTTCATTTAAAGTGAATTTATTATCAAGAGCACATCTAACATTGCATTGAATGATATTGATTTAACGCCACTTATCTAGAGAAACTCTGGAGAATAACCATTCTAATAACCAATCGAGTGTAAAGTTGTTTTAATTTTTAATTTCCCTCCTTTTCTTTTAGATGATCTGAGTGAAGACCAAAAGAGCGAACTTTTCAAATTGGCCAAAGATGCGTCAAAATTATCGTACTCACCTTACAGTCGATTCCCAGTTGGGTGTGCAATTTTAACCGCAGAGGGTCAAATAATCACCGGTTTGTTTTCTTATAACCATTTAGAAACAATTTAATAATTCGCTTTTTTATTCAACACTCTAGGTTGTAATGTTGAGAATAGTTCATTTGGTTTAACAATTTGCGCTGAACGAACGACAATTTGTAAAGCAATTTCAGAAGGTAAAAAACAGTTTAAAGCGATTGCCGTTCATGCTCCTGCTGGTGGCCTCACATATCCTTGTGGCGCTTGTCGTCAATTTATTTATGAGGTAATGATTTGAATTGAAACAGGATTATAATCAAGCGAAATGATTTATTCAACTATCTTTTTCTCTTTTTTCAATAGTTTGGACCTACAATTTGGATTTATGTTGTCGATCAAGAAGATAAATATACAAAATCAATGATCAAGGAGCTTTTACCAAACGGGTTTATGTTGTCTGATCATATCAAATAATTGTTCAGACAATCATTCATTTTTCAAGAACCATGCAGCTGTTCGAATTCGAGCTTTTCTGGATAAATTATGAAAATGCAGTAACGAGTAGTTGACTTTTGCCAAAAGTAGATTAGTATTACTTGTCTCAAATTGTATTAATTTATATAAAATAATAAACACTTGTATTTATATATTGCTACGCGAAATGTAGAGTGTTTGAATGTTTCTTTTGGTGATTACAATCTGGTAATTTTCTGGTTTCCAATTGAAAGATAATTTATGGCTATGCTAATGGTTTGATAATTGGTTGCTGGAAATATTGAATTTCACAAAACGGATACATGACAAAACTATCAATTTTCAAGTTCCTTAAATCATTATTATCTTTTATGTAGTTATTATTATAATAATTAATTGTTTATGTTTCCCTAAACATAAGCTGTTAAATTATGGATAAAAGAGATAAAATGATAGCTTTAGTCGCTATCACAAATTGAGATTCCCAATATTCTAAGGCCATCAAATTGATCAAACATTTTATTATTATAATAACACTAATTATAATAATTATTAATAATATTAACAATAATTTTAATAATATGAACAACTGACTGTAAAACACAGCTTGGAATTCAATATTCGCGCCATTTTCATTCAATTGAGTAGTTAAACCATTGAGGATTCCCAATTTAAATGATATCTTGTTTTTTTACTTTTTTGACAATTACATGTTCAAATGAGTGATCAAAGAGTGCCAATTCCCCCTCACCAAGGTGTTGTTGCGGCACCTCCAATGATTTATGACTATTGGAATCAACAGCCTCAACAAAAGCAGTCACAGCAACAACAACAACAAACGCAGCAACAACAACATCGAGCTACCAGCCAAAATATGATGGATTATGGTCACCCGCCACCAATTCATCAACCACCACCATCTAATGTACCCCTTTATCATCCACCACCAATGGTTGGCCCGTTACCTATGCATATACCTCCGAGTCAACATCATCCTATGATAGCTCAAATCCCACCACCGCCACCATCCTTCGCTCCTCCACCGAATGCTCAAATTCAACTCACATCTGTACCTAATCCACAATTTTTCAGTACTGTTCCTCCGCCTCCTCGACCACCAACAACGGGCCCTCCACTTGCAGCACCACAGCCACCCATTATACCTAAAGAGCCAACTCGGCCTGATGCACCTTATTACGAGCTTCCAGCTGGTTTGATGGTTCCATTAGTAAAACTAGAGGATTTTGAATATCAACCATTAGATCCTGACCAAATACGGCTTCCTCCTCCAGCTCCTGTCAGTGAAAGGCTATTGAAAGCAGTGGAAGCATTTTACGCACCACCATCTCATGATAGACCACGAAATGAAGATGGCTGGGAACAATTAAGTTTATACGAATTTTTCCGACTTAAGTCTCAAGCAAAGAATGCTGGTAAAGAGACATAATATTGAATAAATCAGATTGAGCTTGGCTGATTATATTTGTTAATATTTACAATCTAACATATTATTGAAAAATAAAAATGTTTTTCCAATCTTTATACTTAAATCCTCATCCTTACTATCCGTGTATCGGTAAATTGCGGTTCACACTACGTGTTTTGCTAGCTATTAATATATGTATTCATAGTATATGGTTGTTTGATTCGCAATATTATTTGCAATTAAACCGAATTGCTTTGTAGTACCAGAAAGCTAGATTTAGTTAGTCTTTCTTTCATTGGAAATGAGTACTTTAATCCTTTTTTTCCGTGCTTTATAATTGCTGCTGTGTCAATTACTAGATATGGGTATAGTCGTTATGACCTGCAAAATAGAGAATAAATATTCAACAGGATTGTTTCGGACTGATCTATGAACTGATGAGGTGATGTTAGTGTTAATCAGGAAAACGAAGGTCCTAAACTTGAAACCAATCCATCCAAGCTAATGTCCAATAAACGATAAAATCACAGAATACGAAAACATTAGCCATTATGGCAAAACTTCACCCCCTTTGATTTTTCTAATTTTCTAATAAATCTTCAACAGTTAATATCATTTTTTTTCATCAAGATTTTTAATTAACTTTTATATTACTAATCTATTATGAATTATGAAGAGGTGAGCAAAATTTATTACAATGAAGAGTTTGATTCAATGAGTTACTTTGGATTAACACATCAAAAAAGTAAAAAATTGTTTTGAAAAAAAGACTTTGTATGATAGTTTTTATCCAATTTGAATATTTGTGTTTATGAGATTGGAATTTGTTCATTTCATAAAAGATAGATTAATCATCATACTTGATCATAATATCAAAAAATAAAACAATGGTATACTACTTAAATACAGTTAGTAGTAGATATAGATCAGGTATTCAGAACACTTATTTGAAATGATTGCATTATTTAGGAAGAGCCAAAAAATACCAATCAACTTCATGATTAGTAAGATGAAAGTCTACGTCTTCAAAATTATTTGCATTTTTCACTCAAAACAGCCATTTCCCATGAAGTAAGTTTAAATTTGTGTCCAGAAGCGCAAATCAAAATAAGAGGATATTAATCTAATAATGCTAATATTGAGCTATAAATAATGTTCGAGTGATTCAATTTAGTTCTCAAATCAATAAAGACAAAAAATGTAATCTCTGTCGAATGAACAATTCACTGAATAAGATATGCTTATTAAGTGATTTGTTAGCTCATTTTCGTTTTTTATCAAAAATTTATGATAAATGATTAAATTTTATCCAACTTTAAAGAAGTTGAACGATTTTGAATTTTTACAGTCTTATAAATTTTGCTTGTGTGGACTTAAGCATTCTAGCTCTGGACTTTTTCAATGAGAAATAGCTGTGACAAAGTTCGCAATTTTTTCTATGCAAATTTAACATTGGCTCAGCAATTAAGAGAGATTGATGAAACAATTTTTTCGCCCTCCATGATTGATTAGGTTTGATAAGTTCTTTCTTACAAGGAAAGATTTGAAAAATTAATGATAACGAGAAAACAATGTTTTCTAAAAAAATGAAGATACACAGAGTATCGAGATATGTAAAATAAGAATGATCAAAGCTGATCAAATTTCTGATTAACAGTAAAAAAAGTTTCATCAAGCTAGTTTAATTGTTGAGATTCTTGAGTTACTATTTGCTCAAAAAATATTGTGAATCTTGTGTTGTGAAGATTAGTAAGTAACTTGAATCACAAACTACTGACTGTAATCTATTGCATAAATTTGTATCACTAAAGGATTCAATCGTTATGTTAGCTCATAGTATGAGCTGTCACCATGATTAGGTGGTCCTAAGTGCAAGATACCGACGGTGTGATCTTTTGAAGCAGTGACCAAAAATTCATTATAAGGTGAAATGTCCATATCGTAAACATCTGCTTTATGAACCATAACATCACCAAGGTATTCATGGTCATTTTGCATGCGACGAAACCTTTTCACTTTCCCTCCAGCGCAAGCAGAGTAGAGAAGACTTCCATTAGATGTGTATTTGAGTTTCCAGATGAGATAATGATTGATATAATTAAATTTTTTATGTTTTTCGTTAGCAGCATTTTCTGGTGTATAACTTGATATTGTATCACCTCCAATGACTATATGGCTCTTTAAACCATTACTTCTTGATGACCCGTAGTCTTCTGGTGTTGTAGCTATTGAATTGGATTCATATCCAACAGAAAATGTGTGCAAAGAAAGTCCTTCTAGTGTTGTAGTCTGTGAAAAAGATAAATAAACTGAATAAGTATTGACCATAGATAAAACAATTTAAATTTGATAATGAAAACTTACTTTACAAACTCCATCTCCAGATAGGGAAACAAGTCCACTTTGATGGGATTTTACAAATGGCCAACTACGGTTCAAGAAACATATATCTCTGATTACACTAGTGTGGAGCTGAGGAAGGATAAACGAGAAAAAAGACACATTTATCACCTACGTTGAAGATTTTTTGTTAGACATGAAAAATTATAGGCTTTGGCAAACTAAACATAATCAATGTTTTGATGACGGCGATATAAACTAACAAATTGAGTAAAATATTGAACATTTCATGAATGAATAAATCAACTAAAATACAAAAATAATGCAGCCTAAACCAAGGTTTCAGGATGAGATTGTTCAGCAAGGATAAATGTGAAGGACCTACATCGAAAAGAAATTCACATGGCAAAGGCATCCTGATGTCGAGCAGGTTAAGACTTTTTCCATTTGGGCCACAACAAACTACCATATTTGGATTGTTAGGATCAGTGGCTAATGCAGCTCGACCTCTGCAATGACCAACACAGTTTTCATAACTTTGAATTTGGTGACCTCGGTGGACATCTAACACAGCTAGCCGATGCGAGGTTGAAGAAGCCAAAATTTTGGTTCCATCAGGAGTAAATTTAAGACCTGTAATAGTGCGACCTAAAAGAAAGGGGAAAATAATGAAAAGTAAATGAGCAAATGAATAAATGAAAAAAGTCGTATATAAACATGAAGTTACATCAATAGTGGAACCAGGTTAAGAGAATTGAAGAAGGTGAGTGAGAAGTTTATCAACGAAACGGAGAATGAAAGAGAAGGGAAAAACAGGGGAAGAGGCCCTCTCAAAACAGGGCAACTTTTATTGCAACACATCAGAACGCAAAAATGAGAAAGAGAAAGAAACGTAAAAGTCAATCTATAAGCTAAAAAAGAGGCCAACAGATTAGGTTAGCAAAGATTGAGCCTACATGTATTATCTTCATGTTAATTTTAAAAGTGATCGAATCTACGATTGAATAGTGATATAAAAAACAAACCTGTAGTGGGTGAAGCGAGTTTGAAAGACATCTCATGTTTATGGAAACCTCTATTATGAGCTCGGTATATGTTGATTTTTCCATCATTACCTCCAGAAGTGAAAAGATATCTATCTGTTGGACTAAATACAACCCCTTTGACTTCCTTAGAATGGTGGCGAAGAAACATAGGTTTACCTTCGCCTTGCATAGTGCTTTGTTCAGGCTCAATTTTGTTAATGGACGATTATACCCATACAAATGAAAAATTATTCACACGTAATTGGAGGATCGGGCTTATTATTGCTTATAACAATTATCTTTTTCTTATATCCTTCTTCTTTTGGCACTGAACCTTGACCAATCCAGAATGGACTTGATTCAGTGAGTTGAAAATGATATTATTGGTTCATTATGCTTACCAGCGATCAGCTTATATTGTTGAAACAAATAGATAAACAATCTTGAAATGTGGTTACAAACATGGAGGATAACATCTATAGAATAAATAAATGTATTAAAGAGAGAAAATGATCAAGAATGAAAGAAATCAAAGCTAGAAAGCATCAATTCATTGGTTTAAAGCTTCTGAAACGTCATCAAATCAGGAAATGATTTTCTCTTAAATCTTCTTTGAAAGTACGAACAAAAGATGCTTGAGTTAATTCATAATCTACTTTAAAGTAAAAATAATTCGATGGTTGATAATTAATTCACAGTAAAACGATATTAATAAAAACACAAGATGTAAATTCAATTCAGATCTTAAGATGAACCTTCAAAAAGTGAACATAAACAATGTTTGACTCAAACATGAAACAAAAACTGGTTTCTGTGCAGAGCATGTGTAACCCAAAAAAGCATAAAGGACGCCAAATTTAAAAATGAAAGCAAAGAAATTTGACAAATTATTTTATTATAATGGAATAATTAGCACAGATTAAGATTAATTCGAATCATCCAAGTCGGTTTGTTCAAAGAAACAGATCTTTATATTTGATAAACTCTTGATGAGCTGTTTACGATGTTTACTAAAATATTAACAATGAACAAAAATCAAATGTTGTTTAACCGTTCAAATTTTTATTGATTGTTTCCGATTATGAAATTAATATCAATAATACAATACTTTAATAATCTTATATTTTAAGACCTAAAAATAAACTAATATATCGGAGGAATAAAACAATTTCTGTTTTTTTTGTGATTCAATTTAATCTATTTATACATCTTTTTATGGCTCTTATTGTTAAATATTGTAAACAGAAAAGGATTCTTATTCACTGTTTAACAACCTTTTCATGAGATTAACAATCCGAAATATCACCGAGACAAGATAATTGAGACTTACACATACATTGGTTAACAAGTGGTAGAGGCAATTAAGAGCAAGAATCGACATTTAGTTACAGTTTCACTGAAAATAGGTTGAGTAATCAATTAATTGTCTAGGGGGGATTACGCATTTCGAGCGCTGTCTACGTAAGTTTGATTTTCATCTGTCATGGATCGAATTAAAATTTGACCAAAATCTATTTTCTAACCCATTTTTACTGCATTTATTTTTTCCATTTCAACATTTCATCATGATTTCTATCAGTGCAGAGATTGTATGAAGAATCCACCTTCATTCCGCTGAACAGGAGGTCAATCTTTAATTTCATTGACGCAAGTATGTTTCTGTTGAATTTAACAACTATTAATAAACATGAATTTTATAAATCTAATAGCATGAAGATTTCATTGCATCAGGTTAGATAATTTAAAAACACCCTAATATTGTACAATCTAATGATAATCTGCATGATATTTGGTTATCAAATCACAGGACAATAGTTTTCCAATAGACGGAGCATTTAATCTTTAAATTTGCCTGAATTACTGCACTGGAAATAAGTTGGTAATAAATTAGTAAGTAGTTGATGCGAGAGGTCATAACATTTTCATAAAACAATTTAGATTGTTAGATAATTATGAATGAAGTTGTGAAAATCTTTTAGTCGAGTTAAGTTTTATTGTGTTTTGCTGCAACAAGTTGTTAAGTCCTAATTGAAACTGATCTCTTCCAAATCGAAAATGGTTCATCCAGAAAATCAAATCACAACCAATCAAAACCTTGGTAAAATTCATGAAGATGATGAACGATCAACCGGTTCCTCCAATGATTCCTCCAATGATTCCCACAAAGTCCGAGTTCCGTTTCGTTTTTACATTGCTGTCCTTGGCCTTTTCTCATCTTTAATGTGTTTCTCTGTCCGAACCATTTTCAGTTTGGCTATTCTTGATATGCTTGAATCTCCTTCAGAAATTTTGAATGCCACCGGGTAAGTAATATTTATAACGAGTTGAATTGGTAGTTTTCTGTAACATGTTGAATTGTTTGACAGGCCACCAAGACCGTATAAAGTGCGTTGGACTGAGGAAGAACAAGGAATTGTTCTCGGTGCTTATTCGTATACATATGCAGCCCTTCAAATCATTTGTGGACGCCTTTCGGACAAATATGATGCTGCTCATGTTAGCACAGTGGCACACATTTTATCCCTTCTTTGTACTGCTTTAACACCTTTGTCTGTTTACGGAGGACTTGGTTGGGCGATCGCTATTCGTTTAGTTCAAGGAGTTGTCCAAGCACCGATAATCTCAACTCTTTATGTCATCTTTGCTCGATGGTTCCCTCCAAATGAAGTTGGTCTTCCAATTGCTGGAGTACTGATTGGTTCCAATGTTGGCTCTGCGATGGTTATGCCGATAACTGCTTGGTTATGTCCTCTTGACCAATACTGGGAAGGATGGCCACTGTCGTTTTACCTGTTTGCCTCTCTTAATGCGCTCTTTGTCATCTTCTGGATGATTTTTGTTACCAAAAATCCAAAGGATAACAAATGGATTTCACAAGCTGAACTCGAGCTTATAAGCAGTACAAGAAAAGATACTACAAAGAAAAAGGTTTGTCCATTCGACTTTAGTAATTTCATAAAGATGGTTTCGATGTTCACGAACTAATTATTTTTGGAAAACCTAGATGAAAGTTAACTGGTCTGCTATGTTGCTTTCACTGCCTTTATGGTCTGTAACAATAGCTCGAGCAGCAAATTCATTTGCTTACATGTTAATGAACTTCAAAGCTCCACAATATCTTCAAGATGAGCTCAACTTCAATCTAAAAGATAATGGATTTATCAATGGACTTTTTTACATCGCAATCATGACAACCATGTTTGCCTCTGCTCCAGCGTCTCAATGGTTGATAGAAAAGGGCTATTTTTCCGTTACAACAACTCGAAAAATATTTGAATTCATCTGTAAGTTTCACTTAGCCGTTATTAAATATTATTTTAACCAGATTTCCTCAAACTCATTTAATTTCTACCAGGTAACACAGGATGTGCCATATCAACCATTCTCATTCCATTCACTGGTGAAGATCCATGGATCAAAGTGTTTCTTCTTGTCATGCTGATGTTTATGAGAGGCTTTTCAACTGCTGGCGATCAATCAATTATTTCAGAAATGGCTCCTGATGCTTCTGGTTTAGCTTTTGGAATATCCAATACATTTTCTTCAGCAATGGGATTTCTTGCTCCATTAATTGCTGGTTTGATCATTGATGCAAATGTAATTACAATCAGATTTGTAACAATGTTTCTTTTGTAAGTTTTTTCGAAAACAGATAACCAAATAAATATCTCATTACAGGCTGGCTCAGCTCATCCATGGGACATGGTTTGGATATCATCAGGAATCGTCTCATTAATTGGAGGCACTGTATTTGTCCTCTTTGCAACAGCTGAACCTCAACCCTGGGGAACCTTAGACTATGAACCAGGAAAATCAAACAAGAAACGAGCCGTAGGCAGAGAAACAAGTGTTATTCCTTCATCGGAAGTTTACCATGTTGAGGCTGAGAATTTAACACTTAAAAGGAAGAAGAAGGAAGTTGTAACTGAAATTTACACCATTTCGAATGCAACACCAAAGATGGGATCTGGAACTGCAGAAGATAAAGTATAAGTTAGAAAATCTTTCTCATTAGATTTAGAATTCAAGTTAAAAAATGATGCATTTTGTATGGAACCAGAAGGAAGAACAACTAAATGAAAATATTGTAAATAATCAGTCCAATTTGATAACAAGAAATCTCTCTACATAAATATGATTTAGAAGGTCACATGATTGGATATAAATATATCTCCACAGGCAATCTGATCAGTGTAAGAAACAAAGAATAGAAATGATAGCGAAATTGAAAAACAATAAAATAAAGAAACGAAAAAGCTAACCAATCTCAATTCATATTGATTTGACATGACAAAAAGAAACAAAATTTGACTTTTGCTTTAAAACAGAGTCTTAATTTTAAAGTTGTAGATGAAGAGGCAAGAAATTAACTTTAAATTGAAAAACAAATCATCTGGTTAATCCTAATCAGGTAATTCGTTAAGGTGGAGATAAACTAACCTCACAATGGGTATCCAGTCTTGCCATAGGTAAAAGTTTTCAACTTACCAATGATTTAGTATTCATGTCTTTAACTGTGTTAAAATTAGGGAATCGATAGATTGCATTTTAAAGATAGAATCTGGAACTACATGAAGTATAAGTTAGAAAATCTTTCTCATTGGCAAGCTGCTGCGATTCAGAGTTCATTTCAATTGACTTACATTTCATCATGATAAAAATCAAATCTAGAAGGGGCTTAAACCGTTAAAAGTAGCTTAAATAATTGTAAACTTTCTTTGTCTTATCAAAAAACATTGCGGATCGGTTAGGAAGAGCAATTGATTACAGTAAATATGTAAGTTGGAAGACACGAATATTTACCGGGATTATAAAGAATGGAAGAATCCCTTATCCAGCTACCAACTATTTTCGATGTAATTGGAAAATCGATTGGATTCCATCGAGAATGAGTAGTTTAATCCTTTTTTTCTGTGCCGTGATTTATATTAGTATAATCGCTGTTGTATCCATTACTAGTTATCGGTATGGTCGTTATGATTCACTTCATGAGGACAAAGTAACATCTCGTAATAGTAAACTTGATGTAAATAAAAATTTAACAGAAGCAGCGACTGATTCTGATGTCAGTACTGACCAGGAGGATGAAAGTCCTAAGCAGAAAGATTTAGAGCGTGGATCGACCAATCATCTGGAAACCAAGAGAACTAGAAGTAAACGACTTTTGGATTATAAAGATCAAACTGATTCAGATTCAAAATCATCAGACAATAACATTAAGTCTCCGGTACCTAAGAAAAAATCATAAAAAAAATTTGAATTAAAAGCTAACTCAAATTTTCTGCTCAATAAATTATTGAATTATTAATGAAATTAATTGATCACCTTGTATTTTTTTAATCGAAAGATTTCAAGCTAAGAAAGCCAAATTTGACTAAAGTAAATTTTATATTACTATGTTTATTATGAAATATGAAGAGGTGAACAAAATTTATTACAATGAAGTGTTTGATTTGATGTGTTACATTGGATTAACACATCAAAAAGTAAAAAAATTGTTTTGAAAAAGAGACTTTAAATGAGTTTTTCTTGCGATTTCAATATTTGTGTTCATGAGATAGGAATTTGTTCATTTCACAAAAGATAGATTAATCATTATACTTGATCATAATATCAAAAAATAAAACAATGGTATACTACTTAAATAAAATACATCAGTAGTAGATACAGATCAGGTATGCAGAACACCTATTTGAAATGATTGCATTATTTTAAATGAATTAAAAATTTACCAACCAACATCGAGCTTTGATGAAAGTTTTAGCTCTTGATATATGTTTGAACAATTTTATTACTTTGCTAGTTTTCGTCATTTCCATTAAAATCAGGAACCCACTTGAGTCTTTTTTCGTAGTAGCTTATTACAACTTGTGGGCAACGAATGTTGGCCTCTTCAGCCAAAATGAGATCGCTCTTTTTACAAGATTCCCATTTGATTAGGAACATCAGTTTATCTTCAACTCTAATCGCCCCGATTATTTTCTTGGGCTCTAATCCACGATCAAATCCAGTGACTCCGTCTTCTTCCTCGTTATCATCATCGGCTTCATCACTGCTTTCTTGTTTGATGTTAGTGAGCTTGGAGAAGGTTTTATTTTCACTTATTGCTTTCAGGCGTTTTTTCAAATCATTGGACTCGTCATTATCCGAACTAATGCTGTCATCTGAGGGAAAGAAACGGTTTGAGCTAGATCCATTTTCAACACAAGCTGGTGAAGGTGTCCCTGATGAGGATTCGATTACTCTTGCTTTCTTCTTACGACCTGAGAGATCATCCTCAACACGATCTCGACTCTGTAAGAGAAAAAATTATTAAAAATCTAAACTCAATGACTTAAGTTAAAAAACTCACTTTCTTTTTAACTTTCTCCTTTGATTTGAACTTCTTGGCTCTTTCTAATTCTTTTTCTCTTATTTTGGCTTTAGATCTTTCTTTTTTCGCTTGTAAATTTTTCTCAAATTCTTCCACTAGATCAGGACAGGATAAATGGTTTTCTGGTTCCCAAGTATTATCCTCTTCGGGCCAATCTTTCCACTTTATCAGGTACTCGATTCTTCCATTTTTTTTACGCTTATCAACAATACTTTCCACAACATACTCAACCTCTGGCTCTTCTGATCCATCACTGTCAACGTCGTCTGGTGTATTTTCAGTTTCACTCATATTTCAATAAAAAACGAAATATCCACAAACAATTTACTAGTAATAAAAAAGAAACACAAGGAATATAATTAAAAGAAATTTTTTGATGTACACAACAGATAGCAAAAAGAGAAAGTGAAAAGAGAGATCGCGAGGCAAAACTTACATTGATATATAACAGCAATAAACAAGCCAATCCAGAAAATATTAATTCACAGACTGAACCCAGTTGAACTAACAATATGATATAAATAAAGAAACACTAATTAGATAAATGAGCGGTTGAATTTGGTTAATCGGACATATTATTGAGATGTTTGTTTGCTCTGAGCATAAGTAGATTCTGCAGACTGTTTGCCGCAGACGCACGCTTTATTGAAATAAGAGACATCTGATGGAATAAAAATTAACTCGCAAAATCTCATTAAATCTCATGGATTAAACTTTGAATTTTAATCTAGTTGCTCGATCACTGTGTAAGCAATTATCAAGAAAATTAAGCCTGGCAACAGTCATAAAGCAGCAACAAGATCTCATTGTTTACCGATGATAAAAAAATGACAATAAATAAATTATCAACATTATCAGAATGAATTATCAACATTGTAATCTTTTATTCAATTTTAATCAAAATTTTTACAAGATTGATGAAAAGAAAAGGCTAATGACAGTTATTAAATAAATATAACGATGAAATGAGTAGATAACAAATGATGAATCAATTGTGACAGTTCGTCAATTAAATAGAGGAGTCCGGTTGACCGGTGGTGTATTTTACATTTGATTGAGATTTGGGTTAAAAAGTCTTAATTGTTCTAGAAGGATGGTTGATTCCACAGATTGGACATTGGTCTTCATGGTTGGAACCTATTTGCTTAGTCCATCGCCAAATGCAGTCGATATGAAAGTCATGGCCACAGACATAATGCTCTCTGATTGATTTAAGAGGAAGACCACATAAATCACATTCATGACCACCTTTAATATCAATCTCACTTCCAGAAATTGAGGAATTCAAAGATGATGAACATGAACTGAAAGACAATTTTCGCTCTCGACTTCGTCTCCGAGATCGATTGATAGCAGCGTAACCAGGCATGGGTTTTAGATGGGTAAGCTTGGAAAATAGGAAACCAGAAAAAAATGGAACCAGTAACTTCAAGATTTACTTGTTGACAAGCTAATTTAATCTTTCCAAAAAAACACAGCTGACAAGATTTGGTGATAATAACAATATTTTACACAAATATTAGCTTTTAGTCAATTTATTAAACGTCCTTTTAACACTTTCACTAGATAGACACTTTTGGTCACAGAAATAGTCAGTCATGTTAGGGCTTAAAAACAAGCTATCCATTTGGCAGGCATTGGTTGATCTATTTTTGAAGTCATTGGTAGAGTCAAGACGCACAAACAAATAGAGTTATTAAGAGTTAAGAACTTGTAATATGTTTAAATTAATTCCAATTCAGTTGATTATTTGCTGTATTCAAGTCACTATAAATTGATCACTAAACAAACTTATTGGTTCAATTTATGGGTTTCATTTCAACCTGCTCACTCATATTTGGCTCCCAATATTTTATTTCTCACTCGACTGAGGTTTGCCTTTTTAATCTGAAAATCACAATCAACTGAAAATAGCAGTTTTATCATTAATCGTTGCTTTCTTGGTAATTTGATGGTTTACACCAGACAAACAACCGGAATCCGAATCAATAATAAAATCCTAAATCATGAGTCAAGTGTATTAAAAACAAAACAAGACATAGACAACAATACAGCTTGAAGGTTACTTTAATCAAAGTTCAATCCTGACATTTAGTTAGACAATCTAATTTAGCCAATTTTTGGATGAATTGTTAAAATTTTCCACTCCTTGGACTATCAATTATTACTATTGATACCAGATGTTTATTGTAATTTGATTAGTGGTATTGAGTCACGTAGATTGGCTATTATCATTGTTTTTATTATTATGTTTTAACCTTAACAGACCTTTTTTTCTGGTACAAATGCAGTAATTTCAACCCAAATTGTAAACTAACATACTTAGATTGTTGATGATGATCTCATTATGGGTTGATCACCGTAAACCATTATTTAAAAGTTCATCATTCAGACTATTCTGTTTTGCTTTTCAATGAATGTCAATCAATGTGAGTGTCAATGGCAAACAATTTTAATTTACACGGAATTACCATTAAATCCTGTTGACAATTTATATTGCAAGGTAAATCTGTAAGTATATTCAGACAAAATATCAACCATCCAACTGGTAAACACATTTGAGACAATTTCTTATGACTAATTTCCTTCTAATCATAATCATATCGAAAATATTGTTGACAATTGGTTGATACAAATTGACGTAGATTACTGAACAATTGATTACTAATGAGAATCTGCAAATGAATACGGAAAATCGCCTATTGAAATATTACCAGTTTGAATGTAATTTTCAATACTGATTTGGTTCCTTGAAAAATCGCCAAACAGGTGAAAAATGAAGCTTATCCTTTGATCTTTTTTTGCTGAATGGTTCCTAAATTAAAAGAGATAATCAAAACAAGTTAGATATTCGTAATCAGAAAAAAAATATGATTCAGAAGAGAAACATTCAGATTAATTACAAAAAATAACCGAGAACCGGCGACTCTGCTGATCCTCCTTAGGATTTACGCACGAGATTGTCGTGATTGTTGTTTTTGTTGATTCATACAAGCAATTAGTAATTAAATTGTTATCAAGCCAATCTCTCGATAAATCAACAAAACATATTAGTCAGTCAATTAACCAATTTGAAGGTGCAAATCAACAAACATTATTATTCATCTATCTGTTAAAATCACAGACAATCTGGTAAACTTGTTAAATCCTAGATCAAATGGCGAGTTTCACGAAAAGATGAAACAATTAAGACTTGGTAGCTAAAATGAACGGTTACATTTAGCGTCATTATTAATAACAATCTAATAATAGCTGTTAAGTTTTTTGTTTAAATATAGTCAACATCAAGGTCACCAATCAGCTTCATATTATTTTGCAGGTTAACAATCAACTAACGGTTGCCATCTTGTTTTTGGGTTTATCAATGACCAGCTCTTTATGATTACATGAATAGCATCATGAAACCACCATTTAGCCTCACTCTCGATGTTGCCCTAAAAAATATCCACAACCTAACCTAACCAACATCATTTGATTCCATCATTTTAACGTTTTAACTCTAATGGTTAGTGGTGCTTTTCTGGTTTCTTAGTGCCTTTGTTGATTACCAGTAAATTTTAAACCTTTATATTACCTCATTAGATTACTCAGGTGGCTTGGATCACAGTTGAAATGCATATTAGGGTAAGTTAAATTTTGATTTCATTTTAAAAAACCAATGTTTTATCTATTGACTCGTTCCATTGATTCAATCCTGTTTCCATTCCAGATTTTGATTTTGATCAGTGTGATGATGATTGGCATAGGTCATCGTCAATCAACAGAAGCGGCGCCATTATTTGGATTCGGTAATCATGGCCATTTACCAGTTGAGAGGCCGATTCAGGGGGAACCAATTAGTCTATGTGATGGTGAAGTTATTGGTGGCAAAATTTGTATCTACAAGTGTAAATTATGTGACATGCCAAGAATGTTTGTAATGAAATATGCCAGTTACATCGGTTGAAACGAGAAAAAATATAATGCTGAGGAAAAGCTTGAGACTCCAAAAATAACCAAAATCAAACTACAGATGAAATGATTCATAAAATAAACATGTAAATCCATGTAGTACATGTAAACTGTATAACCAAAAGAGGATATTATTAACCAATTGGAATTATCACACCAATATGAAATAATAAACTGGTTGAATCAGTTGGAAAATATTGATACATTTAATATGAAATCAGCAATTGATTCACGCAAAAATTCCGCGAAAAGATTCCAATCTTTAAACATGTTAACGTATGCAGGTGATTGTTATTGATAAGAACTGCAAGTTGATTAATGAAAGAGTTACACTCTTTGAAATAAAAACACAATAGTAATTAGAAATTAAGATTTATGAAAAATTGAAATCAATGATTAACTGAATTGAAATATTTCAAGAGGTGTTGATCATCTGTGAAAGAATCAGGTTGAACGAAATCAAATGTAAACAGTTTGGGTTTAAATGGTGACAAGCTTTAATGATTTGGGTTTTATTAATTTAACTATCAATTCATTTCCCATTTAACGATGATTAGTAATTAAAATTTATGAAAACTTGAAATCAAAAATTTGAAAGCAATAATCAACTAGATTAAAGGGTATTTCAAGAGATGTTGATCATCTGTGTAAGAATCTGGTTGAGTTCAAACACGAAATCAATTACAAACAGCATGAGTTTCAATGGTGACAAGCTTTAATATGATAGTGGGCTTTATTAATTTAACTGTCAATTCATTTCCCATTCTTCGCTAATTATGCTAATTCGATCATTATTAAAAGATGAATTGATTAAGGTAACAGTTTGTATTTCATTTTTTTTTTGTACATCAATAATCCATCCCTGGTTACATCTTGCTCGCTCGTTTTCAAGTCATTTACAACATAGAACAAATTAAACAATCTATTGAACAAATTTGATTTAAGATTGTTGATTACGATCATCTTTTCAGGTTGCGGATTTAGGAGAGGATAAGAGTGCTCAAGACATTGAACTACAAGGAATTCGAGGTGCACCCATTTGAATTAGGACTCGGTCCAACCATTGTAATGGTCCATTTAGATGTAGCTCTATCCAGCATGGCGTACATGTTACTGTCTGTCTTCTGTACTCAGCTCCCCAACCTTTAACAAAACTTATACGAATAGTACACATTCTGGTGAGTGCGAACACAGCTTCAAAACCTTGACTGACCGATTGAGCGAGTAGATCGGCGAAGTCTTGATTTTTGAAAATTTTCAAATTGCAACCTTAAAATAAGAAAAGAAAAAATGTTTTTTAATAAAAAATAAAGACAAAAATTTCTTAAGAAAAATCAATTTCAATAAAAATCCAACATAATATTACTTGATACAGATATTCTTAATATTCAATTCTAACATCAATTATCTTATTTATACCAAAGAAGAAAACAAAATTATCAAGATAGATAAAGCTCAAAATTAATTTCTTTCGTAGATTGAGAATGAAAATATGGACAAGATTATTGAGAAAAATAAATTAAAATAAGCTCAGAAATAATCAAATAATATTAAATCATATGAAGTAAATCTGATCAAATGTAATCATTCTGATTTTAGTTAAAAAAGATATAATGAAGAATTGTAATTTGTTTCTGTAAAGCTGACTTACGAGGAGGTATTTTGCAAACGGTAGCCGGATGCCAGCCGTACATTCGATTGCAATTAGGACTTTGGACGAAAATGCTGCTCTCACTTAGGCATTCGGCATAGACGTCCCCACCAATATAATACAATCTGACGCCCCGACCTTCGAAGATTAGAAGATAGAGGCAATAAAAAAAGACATAAATGATGGATTTCAACACAAAAATTCCATAGACAATACTCAGTGGGAGGCAAGGGAAGAATCAAAAGGTATAAGAATCAAAAAACCTACTCACCAATGTGCCTACGAGTTTGCTCAACTAAACTACCTCGGTTAACATTTGAAAGTAACCCTAAACAAAATCTTTCTGAACTTGATGGATCAGTGAATCCATCCACCGTTAGTGATGGCTGAGATGCGTGAAAAGTATCACCAACCCTGTTCTTCAACTCATAATATGCAACTGAACACCAAAATTCTGGTTCTGTATATGATGATGGTCGAGTATCAATAGTAGGACTTGGAGGACCAATTTCTTGACTGATGTCACTGGATTTATTTTTACCACTGAATAAGGAAGTTAGATTGAATAAAATAAGATCATTACACACTAAAACTATTTACAAAAAATGTGTAAAGATGTTGTAAAGAATCAAATGATACCTAATTTTGTCATTGACACGTCTGTCAATAATGTTTATTTGAGAGCTGGTAGACTCTATTGGTTCATCATCTTCCAACAAAAATCTGTTATCGTCATGTAACTCTTTGACTTGATCTTTGGAAATATCCTCAATATTGTAATCGTCTTCGGTTTCTTCTAAAGTCAGTCTTAAGTAAGGATCGTCTTGATTTCCATCAGAATCAATAAGATGTTCTTCAGTATATGATGTACCACTCACTAAGAAGAAAAAAAGAGAAAATAGTCCAGTTATTGAATGTGAATGAAAATGGCAACAGGCTCATAAAGAGCATCAAACCCTTTAAATACTTAATCTGAATTGAAATGATTTGCAAACAATAATTAGAAATGCATAAACATCGAGACGAAGATAGATGAACAAAGAAAAAAGGAAGATGCAAGACAAAGAGGAAAAGTGAAAAAATAACATTTGAGAAGCAAGAGGCTTGATTGTATACAATGATTTACTCACTTTTTATTAGAAAATGGTATTCCGTTGGTAAAAATTACTAACAGGTCAACACAATTTTTCACTGGGAAAAAACATTCAGTATTCACTGAAATTCAAATAACGTGAATTTGATAGATAAAAGAAATTAATTTCACAGTAATTAAAGAGAACCCAAAACAGAATCAGAATTAGGTTTAGCTGATCAATAGATTCATTGCATTCATTACATTGTATGAATGAACTGCATTTGCCCTTAGTGAATCCCCCATTTAAGGTGGAGCAAAACAATTTTAGCGCTGTTTTTGATTACAATATATTTTGATCAAAAAACTGTCAATAAATTGTTGTGAGCCATTAAATTCCGAACCAACGAAGATTTTAGAATTTCTGAGCAATTTAATTCAATTTACATGTTAAATGATAGTTTTAGGCATGATAATAGCTTGAAGCACACACAGTCTGATGTTTTTCCCTGAACAGCCAATCTTGTGTAATTTTGAAAGATGGACAAATCCAGTTTGCCTTAATTATACAATCTTGTGATTAAATATCTAACAGTTCCAGCTGCGGCAGTTGTAGCGGCAGGACGTGTGCTCTGAAAATAGATTTGTTAGATGAATGAAACAGAACCAAGCCAAAAGTCTGAACATTTTATCATTCTTAGGTTCATTACAGGTTTTATCTGAAATTGAAAATAGCTTTTGAGTTTCAGTATTGTCTTTATCTCACAATATTCACAATACCATTCAATAATATTGAACCAATACCTTAACAATATTTTGATACTTCAATATTTTCAATTTATCAATATTCATCAGACTAATATCAATCAATACTTCATGAAAATATTTTGGTAAACACAACATTAAACGCTACATTGACATCACATGTTTTTGTTTTATTTTGGTTTTCTTAATGTTGAGAAACCATTCTCATGTGTTTCTCATCTCATCAAGTTACCTTCTTTTTGTTTCTATTAAGAAATTTGTCAATTTAAATTGCTGTGGAAGGATTGGACATTAAATCACAGTTATATTTACATTACTCTTGGTGTTTAGTTGATTGTTAAAGATTGACACTCTAGGTATGTAGTTTTAATTTTTCATTTTGAAAGATTTCTTTTAGATACAATTATTGTGAGTCAAATTGACTGTTTCTCTATGAACATTTTCCCTCTGATTTTCTCATTGAAATAATCAATGACTAATGATTTTACTCATTCTCTATTCTTGATTTTGATACCAATCATTTAGAAGTAACTCCCTAATTGAACTTTTGTTTTAACCTTGTATATTTTTCTATTCTTTTCTCAGGCTCAGAATAATCAACCCACCTAGATATTTATCTAATGACAACTCGTTATGTCCGGTCTTTTTGGATACAGGATACTGCACTGGGGACCTTTACTTGCATTCCTGATAATAAAATGGGTGGCAATTACTACATTATACATGACAAGCATGTGGATGCCAATATTTAGCTCCTATATTTCAATAATTAATTATCTCATATTCTTGAGCTTTGTGGGATTAACTCTTTATAACTTCTTTAGTGCCATTTTCATTGGCCCTGGTCATGTCCTTTCCAAATGGACCCCAGACAATCCTTCTATCTCTGAAAAACTTCAATATTGTTCAATATGCCAATCATATAAATGGCCTCGCGCCCATCATTGTCGAACATGTAATAAGTGTAACTTAAAGATGGATCATCATTGTCCATGGATTAACAACTGTGTTGGCCATAAAAATCACCTCAATTTTACTCTTTTCTTATTATTTGCTGTACTTGGCGCTCTACATTCAGTTATACTTCTTTCTATAGCAATCTACCGAGGTTATCATGCGGTAATTTTCAAAACTCCAACAATCCAAATCTTCCATTTCTCATTATCTTAATTTTTTTATATTGACAGACTTGGTACTTTTATCACAGAGGTCCAGAGTCAGTTGTTCTTTTGACGTTCGCCTCTTTCCTTTGCTCAGTTTTCAGTATTGGACTTTCTATTGGAGTTATTATCGCCGTTGGTGGACTATTTTATGTACAAGTAAGTTTGAATTTGAAATGCCTCAATGTTTATTTTTTAACAATTCCAAATTTCTTTTCTCACTCATTTAAGATGAAAATAATTTTACGGAACCGCACATCGATCGAGGAATGGATCGTTACTAAAGCAGAGGCTCGTACGAGGACAGAACCATTCGTTTATCCTTATGATCTAGGTTACCGAAAAAACTTTATGCTAGTTTTTAGGGACAGTAAATGGATGGATGGGTGCAATTGGCCTATCAAAGAGGGATGCACTCAATATACCTTAACATACGAGCAAATCTTACAAAAAAAGGAAAAAAGACAGCGATCTAGAACATACAAAGTAATTGCTGAATATAATGGTAGTTGGTTTCCTTTATTCAGTCAAGGATGGCGAACTTGTCTCAAATTTCCCTTTAGTGACGAAGCTCGTATTTCATTGAATGTTAATGATGTTGTTACTGTCACACGATGGAAAAAGCATTGGCTGTATGGAGAGAAGATTCACCCGATCAATGAAAATATAATTAAGCCTAGAGGGTGGTTTCCGAAACAATGTGTTGTTGAAATTGCTGAAGACATACGTGAAAGAAGAGGAATGAATTTTTCAGAAGATCACTCCGCCAAATCTAGCCGACTCAGGAAAATCCAATGACAAACACTTAAACCTAACAATAAATTAAGTCGTCGCAAGGCTCAATGAGAAATTGAAAAAGTGCATAATACATGAGTGAGATTACTGTTGTGATTGTGGTTGTGAATTTTTTTCTTTTATATTATATTTCTTCACTCGATTCAAGTTCTGCCAAGTCTGTTGGCCCGTCAATTGTCCCTCTCTGTTATTTGTAATATACATATATTTAAAAGTCATTTTTTTACAAAATTCATGAAAAAATAACACCAATTTCCAGAACTCTGTTCAGACAATTTGAATTGCATAAAGTGTTATTAATTTTGGCTATTAAGTGTATTACACAGAAGGGTAATACACAGAAAGGTGAAATTGAATATCAGTTTCATCATTTCAAGGAAAGTAAAAAACATATGGTAAATATTATGAATAAAACAAATCGCGGTTGAGTTAAAGTGATTGGTATTAATCATTGATGGCAATGTATTTTCCTAGAAAACGAGTTACTGGATCAAGCTCAGTGAAATTTCAAAATAACATCAAATGTTAAGCAATCTGATGAATATGTTAATAAATTTGTCCTTATTATTAATTGTGATAATCAATTTTGAAAGTTGTTGGACATTTGGATCATTTTTAGAATCATCTCATGAAAACTTGAAGAACTCATTGTTATGGACGATTCATTTGGATCCTTATCACGGTTTACTTAGTGGACCACAGAGAGTGAATGAATCAATGTATGATCAAGAAGTTCATCTCCAATTGGAAATATGTTCGTGCTCCAAAAACCATGATGAAAACAGAGACTGGACTGTTAACCCTCAAACATCTTTTAAATCCATCGGAAAAAATTTGAAGTGTAGTTTTATTTGCGATGAAAAGGAGAAGCAATTTAAAAATAAATTAATTAATCAACCTGCAGATAGTACAAAGAGGAAAAAAGATGGTAAATATAAAGTTTTGCTCATTTCTTTCATTATAGATGAAGATGATTTTAACGAGGAAAGTTTATATACTTACGAGAAAAGCTTAATGACAAGCTTCGATTGTATCAAAACTGGAAGATGTCAAAATTTTGAAAATCTCAGCTTGCAAAGTGAATCATCCGATCACCATATAGCGAAACGATTTGCGAAGAGACTTTTCAACCGAACCAAAAAGAAGAAACCTGGCAAGAATGTAAAAAATGGAAAGAAAAGTCAACCTCGATCAGAAGCAGTCAAAGCATCATCGACATCTCGTTCGGATTTGCGATCAGGAAAACAACAAAAACAGGATAACAATAAAGCTCCATCTGCTTATTCCAACATGGCACAATTCAATCTTCCAAGTGATACAGATATTCGTGATCTTCAGTTACATCCAAAAGTCTGCTTTATGATTGTTTGTCCAGAACAGCAGACAATTAAGAATGGTAAGTTTTGTGTTTATTTTGTGGCCATTTTCGTTTTAATGAGGAAATCTTCGTTTCTTTCAGTTGGTATTCTGGATGCGAATAAAAGGCCAGTCCAGAAAAAACCAATATCTAAGGCTCCTTCATTTAGATCAGCATCCGAGGATCATGAATCACACGATAATCAGAAGGAAACCCAATCAGTAACTTCAACAACTGTAAAACCAACCACACATAAAGAAACAAGCACTAAAATCCCTACCCGACCTACAGAGAAACATACAGCAAAAATAATGGAAACTCGGCATATGGAATTCACTACTCCGTCATTTACAGAAACAAAGGCACCAAGTTCTAATGAGCCTGAAGAAACAAAAACAAAATCTGATAGTAATGAATATTATAGCGAATAAAAAGATAGTTAAGAGAATAAATCTAGTGTAAAATTATTACTAAAAGAGAAAGAAATTTGTATTTCTGTTGTCATTAAAGATTCAAAAGGTGACGGTGAAGTATGATTTTATCAATGGATTTTAATTTAAATTCACAAGTTTAACTTAATATGCTTGGATTTAAACAGCATTTTTTATTCCATGTCTGAATGTTTGAAAAAAATATGCAATAAATTAAACATCAGACAAAAAATCAAGACAAAAAGGCTGTATAATATGAATTTTAAACTAAAAAATACATCAATCAAGCAAATTATCCAATGTCTTAATACATGTATAGTCATGTAAATACGATTTTTTAGTTGAGAGAAAAGTTTCTTAGATTATTGATGGATCGGTTAATATCAATCAATTATAGATTTATAATTTATCAATTTAACCGAGTTTGATGAAGTGAGAGATTAATGGTATTTTGTATCAAGTGTAGTATGTTGGTAGAGCTTTACTGGTGGAGTCAGGGACTTAAAAAAATGCAACTATTAGATGGAATACTATTAGAGTTGCATCGAATCCGCAAGTTTAAAACTTCTTGACCTTTTTCTTGCTCTTGGTTTTCATATTCCTGTATTCCTCATAAACTTGCTTCTCCTCGGGAGTCAGGCTCTGAAAATAAACAAAAAACAAATGTCAGAACGAGGCTAGAAATACAAAAGATGAATGTAAACGTACTTCTATGAAAGCGTTAAGCTCTGTTTGGTATTTCAAAAGCATTTCCTTGTTTCGAGCATCAAAAGAAGCCTTTTCTTCCTTGGATATTACTTGACTCCAAATTCTTGCAACTTCGGACATACGCTTTTGGGGTTCAACATTTACATATTTAGCCAATTGTTCAGAGGTAAATAGAGAGTAACCGTTCTTGGGTGGCTTTTTAGGCTCTCTTTTCAACAAATCAGCCAGTGAAATATTGGAATTGACGAAAGAAGATGCAGTAGCTCGGCTTCGCTGTGCTGGTGGATTATTTGCTTGGCCATGATATCCCCGAATTTTCAGTTGACGAGCTAACCCCATTCTTTCTACTGTCCTTAAATATTTAACTTTTTTGTGGATGTTTAATTCAAGATTCCATTCTTTAACAGCAAGTGTTATAAGTTCATGCTGGCTTTTGTCTGGATATTTTGCTCCGAGAGTTGAAACACGTTCAGCTTGATAGAAACACTGAGCAGCACCTGAGATATATGGATCACTGTCAAGCTCATCTATAGTATGTTCTTCACTCATGTCGCACTAAAAATTGAAGAACCCACAAGCAGATTTATGAACTTTAAAAAGAAAGAAAATAAGTAAGAGAAAATGAGAAAATAAAACAACAATATGGATATCAAAAGCAGTAATTTATGAAGATTTAAAACCAAAACAAGTAAAGAAATAAAAATACAAGGAAAGAAACAAAGATATCGAGTAGAGGAAAAGAGCAATGATGAAGAGGATAGCAAAAAAGTTTCTTACACAGATTAGAGTTGAAAAAATACCAAACGAATCCAGAGTTATTAATTCACAATTAATACAATTAGATAATAAGCAATAAAGTGAAACAAGACATTAATTTAGAAACACAAGCAATAAGAATTTTGAGCAAACCAAAAAAAAATATTTTATAGACACGTTTAGCGCCATCTTACTTTTAAATGAACAAACATCACAAGCCACAAAGCCATTGTAACTCTTTGAGTTAATTGTTAAGCGTGACTATAGTGATGTGCGATATTTATCCGAAGATTTGGCCAAAATATGGATGATTATCGATAATTATATCGAAATTTAGCATTTGTTTCAATGGCGAGCAAAAATAGCGATAAATATCATTGATAACGATAATATCGCCCATATAAATGTATACCGAAGTGAGTTGGAAGTCTCTCGGCTCACTAACTTGGTGATATTTTCAACTCAACTCAACAACTCAAGTCGACTAATTAGCTTACATTGTTAGTTTTAGATGTATTTTTTACTTTATAACTAAATCTTATTATTATAAATTGATATTCAATTCATAGTTATCACAGTTTTGTTTAACAAATTCAAAATTGTCATGAATGAAAAGATTTTTGTTCAATTTTTCAGGAGTGAGCTGTGATCTTTTTTGGTAAATGTCAAACCAACTATTGAAAACACTTGAACTTGAGTTCGTAATGCAAAGTCAGTTATTTTAGTGAGGTTTTAATTGACTCACTAAAGCCGGCTAAGTGTAAAAATCGACTAAAACTAAAGCCGACTCACTCACTCACTAGGCTCACTAAACTCACGGTAACCAAACAACTTCGGTATAAAATCGCCTATCTTTTCAACGTGTCACATTTTTTTCTTAAAATTCTTATTACTTGAATTTCTAAATTAATGTTTTGTTTCTTTTTATTGCCTATCTAATTGTATTAAATTGTGAATTAATAACTCTGGATTCGTTTGGTACTCTCTCAACTCTAATCTGTGTAAGAAACATTTCTGTTATCCTCTTCATCATTGCTCTTTCCTCTACTCGATATCTTTGTTTCTTTCCTTGTTTTGGTTTTATATCTTCATAAATTACTGTTTTTGATATCCATATTGTTGATTTATTTTCTCATTTTCTCTTACTTATTTTTCTTTCTTTTTAACGTTTTTAGATCTGCTTGTGGATTCTGCAATTCTTAGTGAGCCACCAGTGAAGAACATACCATAACTGAGTTTGACAGTGATCCATATATCTCAGGTGCTCGTCAGTGTTAAAAACTGCTTTTGCTGATAATTGATTCTTATTATACTGGTTACATAATATTTTAATTCTGAGGTTGATATGGATGGTAATAATGATTCAGACAAAAAAGTATTTGATAATACTGCTCCTGTAAGAGTTAAAGTAGATTTGAGTAAAATAGATCCAAGCAAAATAGATGATTTTAGACCTCAGATTAGAGCTCAAGAGGAAGAAATGAAACGTCGAGAGCAACAAGAAAGACTTGCAGCTGAAGAAGAAGAAATGAAACTTCGAGAGCAACGAGAAAGACTTGCAGCTGAAGAAGAAGAAATGAAACTTCGAGAGCAACGAGAAAGACTTGCAGCTGAAGAAGAAGAAATGAAACTTCGAGAGCAACGAGAAAGACTTGCAGCTGGACTAATAAGAATTTTGTGCATATTTCAAGGAGCTGCAGTTTGGCTCAAGATATTTGCAGCAGAAAGGAAGCTGAGAAGAACGACATAGACGTGCATAGGGGGACAGAGACTTGAAGAGGAAAGACGGGAGAAACCGGGTGCAGGGTCTGCCTGTAGAATTATTGCCTAACAAGAATAATGTTATTGTTAGACAGTACAAACAAAGCTTGTTAATTATGATTTTGTCGTGGTTAAAGAAAACAAAATAACGCAAATAAAACATAAGTTATGAAATAAATTATCTATACCAAAAATACCGAGTCTCTTCTTATTACATAACAACGATCAAGAGTTAAACTGAAGAACAATAACAATCCTGAAAAAAAGGATTCTTGTTCAAAGTAACTCTCATCTTGTAAACAAGACCAGAGATCATGTGGTTTCTGCTTTTGGATTTATTTAAGGATTTTTGGGGCGCTGCGCGAACGCAAACACCCCGCTACAATCGGTTGGTAGATGACAGTGCAGGAGGAAAGAAAAGAAAGAGAAAAAAGAAAGAATAAATTAACCTCTTTGAATGATTTCTTCAAATTAAAAGTTGATTTTCTTTATAATTTTTCACATAATGTACAAAAAATGTCATATACACGTAGAGATGGGCGATATTATCTTTATCGATGATTTTTAACGATATTTCAGCGCTCAATATTTATCGATATATTGCTCGCCCATTGAAACCAATGTTAAATATCGAAAAAAATGAATAAAATTTATTCAATAAATGAATGTATCGCACATCACGTCTAGCGCCATCTTACTTTTAAATAAACAAACATGAGCCATGAAAAAATCAATTAATTGAATAATCATTACAATTGAAGGATGATTAAGAAATAATGCAAGTTGTAAGGATCAAGAGAACCCTTAATCACAATTGGAAATGACTAAAGCTAACAAAAATAGATAAAACTTGTCCATCAATACTTAATACTATTGGCCATGAAATCCTTTATTTATTTTGGCTACATTTCTTGTCTGAATGTGATTGGTTATTACAGGTAAAATTGAAAATAAAATGATTAACCAAACAAGTATTTTTAATTAAAAAACTAAAGTCTATTGAATGAGTATAAATTGAAGATGTTTAAAATTATCTAAATGATGATTCCAAGCAAAGTAAATTCAAAGCCACAATCATAGTCTCTCACTAGAGTGTATATAAAGCAAGTAAGAATCGGCTCAACTCATACTTACCTGGCTCCGAGAACCCCGTGATCAAAAAGGCGGGGACTCCGGGTCGAGGCCCTCTCATTGCACTCCGAGGGTGGCTGAAGCCCGCCACTAACTCAAAACGAGCTAGATGGGGAGTGAAATTTTTGGTAGCGGGGTGTTTGCGTTCGCGCAGCGCCCCAAAAATCCTTAAATGAATCAAAAAGCAGAAAGCACATTAACTCTGGTCTTGTTTACAAGATGAGAGTTACTTTGAACAAGAAATCCTTTTTAGGATTGTTATTGTTGTTCAGACTCTTGATCATTGTTATGTAATAAGGAGAGACTCGGTATTTTTGGTATAGATAATTTATTTCATAACTTATGTTTTATTTGCGTTATTTTGTTTTCTTTAACCACGACAAAAATCATAATTAACAAGCTTTGTTTGTACTGTCTAACAATAACATTATTCTTATTTAGAGGTAGTTGTTGAGAGAGCATTGCCACCTTCACTAGCTGAAACATTCACCCCACAATCACCGCCTGGGGTTTGAGGGCATCCTTGTGATCCACCTCCATTTGCACCGGTACCGCCACTTGGAATCTTCTCTTCAGACGATTCTCGCATTTTGTCAACATACTCCGTGAATATATCTCGAAATTTAACCCAAGACTTTTCTGGAATGGTGATTGACGAACGGAAATTGTTTTTTACCTCAGATATTCGCAAATAGATTCCTAGATTATTTTGCCCAATATCGAAATAAAATTTTTTACTGTCAGTTCGAACTAACTTTCCTTCAGGCAGTTCTCCTTCAAAACCCGAACTTGAAACTTTATCTTCTTCCCGGCAACCGTCAGAGTTTCCAAATTCGTCAAGCAAATCAGTCAATGCATCGCGAAACTCGATCATTCCTTGGGCAGGAATAGCTATTTGAGCACGCTGAACTCCTCTAGGCATTGTTTGAGAAACCCTCAAAAACCTTCCTCTATTATTTTCCTTTAGATCAAGATAATAACGTCGATTATCTTTTACCATGACTTCTGATTTTAATTTTCCATCCTCTGGTAGACTATCAGGATTTGGTGGACCCAAAGATGCATATAGTTCACTGAAAGCAGTAAGGTGATCTCTAAACTCGCCTGCTGTAGACATAGCCAATGATAGTCGACTTTTCCTACCAGCAGTTCCAACCTCAGCAACTTTGAAGAACCGGCCTCTGCGGTTTTGTTTGACATCCAAATAAAACCTTTTGTGCTGAATTTGAAGCATCTTAGTTGCTAATTCTATTTCATCTGTGGATGACATTTGTCCAGCTAAAGGAGAGGCAGAGATAGAATCCATGAAAACTAATGTAAGTCATGCTGGTTGGGAGTAATATTGGGTTGTATAAAAAATGAACACATTACTCACCGAGATAGACTTTTGATGTACCAACAAACACAACAGACTAAAATGAAACCAAAAAAAGGGAAAAGAGGCAGTAGTAAAAAAAGGCAGAAAGGAGAAAGAGAAAAAAGACAGGGAAAGAGAAAAGAAAGAGAAAGATGTCACAGACCTGTGATGTAAATTAATTTTTCAAATATTTTATGCTTAATTTTCAATCTTAAAATGAGTAATTATTTATTAATTTGAAGGTTACCTTGAAATTCAAAAACTTAAAAAGATTTAATTTAACACAGAGAAAAAAAGAGAGTGAAAGAGACACAAAAGTGCAGAAACACAAGTAACAAACGAGCAAGAGAAGATAAAGGTAGAGACAAAACTATGGTGATGGTTGGTATCTTCAATCCCACTGGTTAATTTGAGATTTTCAGTTGGACAAAAACAATTAATTTATAAGTGATTGACCGAATCAAAGAGTAAATTGAAAAATAAAATAAATTTAAATGACAGAAACAAACCTAAACCATCCAAGAAATAAATGTCTTGTACAAGAAGTAAAGATGAGAAGATCGATTAATCTCAAATCAAATCTTTGGTAAACCCGATCAGAGCATGAATCGATCTTTATTTCCTTGCCAATCATTCGATTAAAGATCGTCTGTCAAAAACCCATTTTTTGGTGAAAAAATGTAACCTTTTTCAATGAACAGTTATCTAATTGATTAAAATCATCTATTTTTGAAATTACTATTTTGCTAGTAGATAAACGTTTTGTTTACTCAATGATTTCATAAATCTCAATTTTATCATTTCTTTATTTACTATTGAAATGATAAGCACCTAGTGACATCTTGTAATAACAAAAGTACCTGAAATTGGAAATTTCAAGTCAATTCAATACAAAGAGTAAAATTGACTGTTTAATTGACGTTAATCTTAGATTCAATATTTAATTGAAATGTCAACAAAATTTCAAGCAATTATTCTTCAATCAAAAAAACTCTTTCATCAGGTTGGTTCAAATTTACGTTCGCTTTGAATCTACTCCTCAATCTAGTTGCACATCTGATTTAAAAGTGCATTGAAAAGATTTGTGTCAATAAATCAAGAGCACCATTTTACTATTCTTGTAATGATTGTTGGTTGATTTAGCTTCTTTACCAACTTATCATCACATCTCGCCCAATGAACAAATAACTTAAATCATTGAGCATTAAAATTGACTATTAAAGGAATGACTTTTATTCATTGCAATATAAACACAGAGAATGCAATTTCGGTAAAAAAGCCAAATGTTTAACTGTGTTTTTATTCAATTAATGATTCTATCCATCGATAATGATATTGAATTGTAATTTTTAGCTCGACACTTTAATTAATCTTGAAACAAAGATTAAATTACTTTTCATAACACAAGGTGTCACTGTGTTTCAGAATATATTTCATCTGTTTGTTTTTTTTGTGTTGAATCTGGTTAATTCAGAATTATTATTTAAAACAATTTGTCAAGTGATATACTAATTAACAATTCAATCTATTTTTATTTTCCAAATTGCTCTTTGATTCGGTCAATCGTTTAATAAATTAATTGTTTCCATCTTGCTGAAAATCTTATGTTAACCAGTGAGATAAATTTGAACAAGCCAACAACTGTAGTTTTGTTTCCCAGTTTCTCTCTTTCTCTTACTCGTTGCTTCTTTGCCCATTTTCTTCCTTTCTCTTTCTTTCTCTCAGTATTTTTAATTAAATCTTTTTGAATTTTGAATTTCAAGGTAACCTTCAATTTTTTAAATTATTGTTCATTTCATGATTGAAAATTAAGCATAAAATAATTGAAAAATTAATTTGTATCACAGCATTTGTGACATCTTTCTTTCCCTTTCTTTCCCTTTCTTTCCCTCTTTCTTTCTCCTTTTTTCTCTTTCTTTCTCTGTTTCTCTCTCTCCCTGTCTCACTTTCTTTCTGCCTTTATCAAAATCTAATTTTCAGTCTTTTGCTTTGCTTTTTTATTCTATTTGTTTCTACTGTTACAACAATAGTGTTTCTCGGTAAGTAAACTGTTCACTTTAATTATTAACATTCACAACCAACATCATCTGCGAAAAGTTGATTCGCTTTGATTTCCATGCATGTTTTATCATTGCTCTGCCTTCTTTCTTTATCTCTCTCAGTGTCTTTTTGTTTGGTTCAGTTACACCATTTCCTAAGTTCTCTACATAGACTGTTGGCAGTCTGTTTTCTCAACACTAAAATCACAGTTTTACCATCCTTGGTATATACTTCCGTCTTTTCTTCTCCTTTCAACTATTTGTTAATTATTGGATAGCTCTAAATTAAAAGCTACTATCATGGCAGAAACTGTTCTCAGATTTGGTCCTGAATGGTAAGTTTCTCCCATCTATATTGAATCTTCTTAGCCACCATTCTCTATTTTTAATCCATATTCCATTCTTTCATTCAAGGCTCCGAGCTCTAACAGATGGAGGAGTCAGTCATCAGAGTTCTTCTGTTAATCCTGTTTCCAGTCACCAGAATACCCCATCTTCAGCACACACCATAACAACAGACAGCTCATCTTCTATTTTGCCAAGTAACAAGTATAAACTGGCTCAGTATCGTTATGGTCGTGAGGAAATGTTGGCTTTATTTGATAACGATATTGAAATGGCCCCAGAATTGAGGGAAATACCAACTTTGACCGTGGATAAATGTCAGCTACCTCTAGCTCTTATTCCGATAACGGAAGAAGAGCATCGTTTGTGGTCAAAGTCTGTGAATAGTGAGGCTATGTTGAGGCTTAATAAGATGAATGCTACTGGTAGCAGTGTTGAACGTGATCGAACAGAAAGAACTGCTACTGTAAGTAGTGTTAACAATGAAAGAACAACTGGTCCTCCCATACGAACCATACGAGGTGGTATGACCAGCGAAAGAAGTAGAGGACGAGGAAGGCCTACTTATTATCAAAGAACAGGAACATTTGATGAGAATGGAGAGACGGGTGAGCCTCGAGAAGCCTTTAGAAAAAACTATGAAAAGAGCACTAGCGTTAGTGAAGATGGGCCCAGGGAAAAAAGCTTCGATAGATCCTTATCAAGAGGTGAAAGCAGTGATGAAGGCAATAGAAACAGGAAGGACGTAAGACTAGCTGATAATTGGAGATCAGGCGGTCGAAATGATGATCGTAATAATTGGAGAGCTCGTGGTAGAACTGATGATAACTGGCAAAGAAACCATGACTCATGGAGAACTGATGACCGCGATGGATTAGGAGATGATAATCATAGAAATGGTCCTATAATGCGAAGAGGCTATGGCAATCATTATAAAAGAAATTCTGAAGGCTGGGATGATGTTGATGACGAAGAACGTAGAGGAAACTTACCAGAATGGAGCTTAGATGATGATATGTCTTGTGAAGCAAGAGTGGGTACATTCGATGCATCAGGAGCATTTCGTGAAGGGACCATGGATGATGACTTGAAAGATATTTCATCTGGTCACAACTCTAAAGAAAATAGTGTGAAAAAGAATACAGTGGATCAGAATAGCTCACTTAGTTCTGATAGTGTAAATATGGACAAAAATGAATCATCACAGAATGATTCTAAATTACAATCTAATTTAGATGAAGATCGTATTAGTACTCATTCTTATGAAGAAAGTAAAGGTATGATGGCTCCACCGATTTCGAACTTACCTGATAACAATATTGATTCCCAATATCAGTTGCAATCTCAGTTATCCAGTCAAACACACCAATCATCATTATTGCCACAAATTCAAAACCAGCTGCAAAACCAACAAATATCATCCCAACTGCATTCATCTTTGCAACAGCCATTGCAATCTCAATTACAAGCTCAAGCTCAAACACAGTTCCAGTCCCAGATGCAACCTCAACTACAGTCCCAGCTTCAGTCTTTAGCTCAATCTCAAATGCAACCCCAACTTCAACAACAGTTACAATCCCAGCTTCAACCTCAGCTTCAACAACACTTACAATCCCAGCTTCAATCACAACTTCAATCACAACTTCAGCCACAGCTTCAGTCTCAACTTTCTTCTCAGTTGCTTCACCAGCATCAGACTCAAAGTTTATCTCAGCAACAGCCACAATCTCAACACAACACTCAGCATCATCTTCAATCTCTCTTAGAAAATTCGCATATTAACCATAAACCTCATCCCGAGGAGGATGGTTTATCTCATCTAGAAAAGGCTGCAGAGAACATGGTCGCTCAATGGACTGCTGAAGCAGACCAAGAAGAGAGAGTAATGAGAGATAAACAAAGTAATAAGATGACTGTTGTCCCACTCCATCATGATGATGCTTATAAATGGTTCTATCGTGATCCTCAGGGTGAAATCCAAGGTCCTTTCTTACCTCAAGAAATGTATGAATGGTCTTGTTCAGGCTACTTCACTTTAGATCTACTAGTCAGAAGAGGATGTGATGAAAGATTCTCTCAGTTGGGTGAGCTAATTAAAGCATGGGGTCGAATGCCTTTTATTACTGACAAAAATCCTCCTCCGGTAGTAAGCATAACACCCCAAACACAACCAATAAAGCCTATCAATGCAGATGCAATTCCTTCTGCTCTATCGCCAAACTCTCTCTACTCGTAAGTTTTATTTATTTTAATTGATTCTTGCTTGTTAGAAACTTTATTTTTACATATCATTTCTTAAATTTTCAGTCAAAACCCATTTAGACAACAGCAAATCATCCAGCAGCGCCAACAAGATCAAATACAAAGACAGCTTTTTTTGAATCAACAATTACAAATGCAAACTCAATTAAGACAACTCCTGGATCAATTAAAGAAACAAGATGGGTTTTCGACACTGTCAGCGCAAGAACAACAGTGTGTTCTTGTTCAGCAATATGTAACTTCTCAACATCAAGCCGACCAAAGGCGTATGCAACCCACTCCGCCTCAACCGACGAACATTCCTGATGAACCTAAATCAGTGATGGAACAGCTGTCAAGACTTGGTGTACCGGTTGTCCGTAGTGGTCCTCTCCTTACTCAATCAACATCAAGCATTTGGGACTTGAATGGTGGTGTGATTACCGCTTCGGCATTAGAAGAGTTACAACGTAGAGAAAGAGATAAATTAGAGCTTGAAGAAAAGAAAAAGCTTCTGGAAAAAGAACAACTAGAAGCTCAAAAAAGAGCTCAGCTAGAGGCTCAGCGTAAGCGAGAAGAAGAAATGAGAATTGAAGAGCTGACCCGTAAACTGGAACATGAAAAGAAACTCAGGGAAGAATTACTTAGGGATCAAGAAGAACGTAGGCGTCGGGAAGAAGAGGAAGAAAAACGGAGATTAGACCAAGAAAGAATGGAGCTAGAACGAGAAAAAAAGCGTTTAGAAGAAGAGAGACGAAGACATGAGGAAATGCTAAGAGCAGAAGAGCATGCCAGAAAACAAAGAGAAGAAGAGCGACAAAGACGCCAAAAAGAAGCTGAAGAAAATGAAAGAATCTTACGACAAGAACAGATGCAGCAAGAAATGGTAAGTTCTTTCGATTTGCATATAATAAAAGCAGAATAATATTTCATTACTAATTTTATCATGATCATTGATTTTACATCTGAAATTAAAATTCAAAATCAAATGATTACTGTTCGATCTGGCTTTTCTTGAGATAAATTTTTGCAGTCTGATTATTTGCATTTATTTAGCTTAATTAATTCGGATTATTCTAAAAATTTATTTGCTTTTATTTAAACTATTCTAATATTTTTATTCACTTCAAGCAGACCCGGAAATCAAAACAGTCAAGCCAACAGAAACAAAACCAGCCAGCTCTACAAAAGCAACTTCAGGCTCAGCAAAATCAACAAGGTTTGTTGAGATTTAATTTAAATTTATCTGTTATTCATCTGTTTATTTTATCGTTGACCACGTTGACTCACTTCGTCATCAGTATTTGTTGTTGAAATTGCAAGTAGCTCTTATTGTAACCCAACGTGGCACTTTCTATAACAATGTTTTAATCTTGCTTGAATATCAGATTGCTTTCATGCTGTCTGAACAAGATGATTCTCTTGAAACCCTCAATTACATAAACTTTCATACTATCACGATTGCCCGCTCATCAAATACTTTGAATATACCTTGATATAAGCAACGGTTTTATTATCTCGATAACTGATGAGTGCAATTTTATTAGATCACTTTTGTTTACATTATTTTAATAATTTTCATAATTTTAGAAGAATTTTTGTTCGTTATCTTAATCGCTCTTTATATGCTGAAGACATTATATCTAATTTCATAACTTGTACTCCCTAACATTAATTATATTTTTTTGTTTATAAAGTTAAAGAAAGAAAAGAGAACCAAAAACAGGTACAAAATCAACAAGCTCATTCGCAAAAAGAATCCAAGAGAATCTGGCCTGATCTAGCTAAATCCGAAAAGAACGATGGCTGGTCTTACAATAGTGATTCCCCAAGCCCTGATCCAAATGCGGTATCCTCTGTCGAGTTCCCATCTCAAAACCAGCTATGGAAACCTGATAATTTATCATCTGAGAAACACATTTGGGGTCAAGCCTGTTCAAAAAACTCAACAACCATATCTCTAGCTGAAATCCAGCGACTTCAAGAGGCTAAAGAAAGAGAGGAAAAAATTAAGCAAGCTCAAGCTCAGACTGAACGGCAAAATATTTATTTGTAAGTCATTCTTACATTATTTTTTATGCTCTTCCATTGAAATTGGATTTCTGACTTTTTTAGCGATATTCTTTACAGAGAAAAACAATCAAATGCCCAACAGTTATTTGAGCAACAGCAGAAACAGCAAATGAAGAATCAGTTGACTTGGGCCAGAAGTCACTTACAACAAACGCAAGCTCCTGTAAAGACATTGACTGAGATTCAAAGAGAAGAAGCGCAAAAGCTTGAGAAACAAAAAAAGGTCGAAGAAAAGAAAACTGTTAAGCAAAACACTGTTACAAGCTGTGGAATATGGAGTAATGCAGCAAGTCAGTTATCCTGGAAAGGGTCTTCCACTAATGCCTGGAATCAATCCTCTGTTAATACCGGTTCATCAAATCAAACATCATCTTCATCGGGGCCAAATTTTTCAAGTAACATGGGTGAAGCTTTTTGGGAAACACCCGCTGTTAAAGAAAGCAAATCTAATGCACCAAAACAGCAAAAAAGTAGTGCCTTGCAGCACAGCAATAAGTCCAGTGGTGGTAATAATAGCGGGTGCAGTGGTAAATCTAAATCTAGAAAAGATGAAGTGAGTAATGCTTAGCATTTGTTTTAATTCATTAATGCTCAGTTTTAAACAAAATAATTGACTTATTTTTCTAACATTGACTTATAGGAAGCTGTAAAAAAAGTGTTTAATCGGCAAAAGACAGATGAGTTTACTCAATGGTGCACCGAAGCACTGAGCAAATATAAATCATCTATTGATAGTAAGTGTATTTAACTATTCACTAATTTAGTTTGAACTAATAATTACTAATCTTGTTTTTATTTTCTAGTTCCAACGTTTGTTGCATTTCTCAAAGATGTTGAATCTCCATTTGACGTTAACGATTATGTAAACTCTTATTTGGGTGACACTAAAGAAACAAAAGATTTTGCCAACCAGTTCTTAGAAAAAAGATCATTTTTCCGCAATCAAGCTAAAAAAGAAGCATCAGAGGTGAGCAGATAAAAAACTTCAAAGATAATTGAAAATTATTCATTACAAATTTTTCATTATCTCAATCTTTCAGGAACTGATGTGGGGTCCAGCTCCTGCTATAACTCCGTCCGTTATTAAATCCTCACACAATAATCCTTCATCCAACAATGGAGGAGATGGTAACTCTGGGGCCGCATCAAAGAAGAAGAAGAAGAAGGCAAAGAAAGTTGCTAATTCGATCCTCGGATTCACTGTTCAGTCTGATCCTGACAGAATTAATGCAGGAGAGATTGAAACGGTGGATAAATAAATTTTTGGTCAACTTTTCTGATGATAACAATTAGAACGCGGAAATTTTTCGAGAACAATGTTTTGATTCAAAAAAAAGCTTCAGCTAATATCGCCTTGCTTCACAGTCATCTCCGCTAGTTCTGTCGTATTATCTTATTATCCCGTTATGCTGTTTCAAAGATTGTCTTTTTTAGTCTGGCTTCCCTTGACTGATATTCATTTAATTAATCTGTTATTTTGATTTGCTTTATTCTCAGAAATTTTAGCTTATCAAACCTTTTTTCGTCGACTCAACCAACTAAACAGAAAAGAATTTAATTTAAGGAAAATTATTCCATCAAAAAATCATCGTTAAATTGATTGTAAATTGTTGTATAATCACAATGATGAGGCAGCAAATTTCGGTCAAATATTGATATCAATCAGATTTGGTAATTCGTTGACCTTATCTTGTCAAGTTTTTATTGTCATTAATATGGTAAAACGAGATATAACAGTAGCAAACAGATTGTAAATTCAAAAGATGATTTATTGCATTTTGCTCTTTGGGAAAAGAATACGAAAAGAGGCTTTTGAATGTGCCTCATGTTAACTCTATCCTGTCTTCATTTTGGAAATTACTCTCAGGCGCTGAGATGAGACAAAACGTGACAAATATGTTGTAACAACCTTTAAAAAAAGACTTTGTAAATAAGATTAAAATCAAATTGATTAGAACAAAACTGTTTTTTATTTTAAAACCAATATCGTAAAGTAATGGCGTTTCCCATTAACGATTTATTCAAAAGTTAAATAAGGTTCGCCATTACCTTCAAATTACAAAACACTTGCACAATAATCATTAATCATTTCTTTTTCTTTCCCTTGGAACTAGGTGAAGATGGACTTGATGATTCGTCTTCTTTTGTTGATTTTGTTTCTTTCCTTCTCTTTTGCCATTTAACTGGATTCCTTCTATACATAGGCCAAGGTGGAAGAGTAATCTGTTGACGTAGAAATAGATTGATAAGAGTTTGCATAAACTTGAGTCACGCAAATGATTACACAAATTATTTAATCCTTTTGTTGCCTAACCTAGTTAAATTTCAGTCATTTACAAAGAAATTTGAACTCTATTAAGCTGTGGTAAAATTTGAGACTTAATGGGAAAGGAAAAATTATATACAAATTGTATCTCATATTATAAAAGCTGATTAATAGTTTAAGATTAATTAAGTTTTATTTAGTCTAAACTTGTTAATTGGCTAATTTTGATGACTATTTATCAACGTCTAACATATGGAGGACTAAATTTAGCATAAGTCTTTCAATGCAAATCATGAATTTTTAACTCACCAAACAAGAGATGACAAACCCTGCACCAAGAGAGTAAACAGTATAAGAAAACTGTTCATAGTGATAGCCAATCGCGAGACCAATAACAGCAGCAGCTAGGATTAAGGTTTGGAATAATTTCTCGGCTTTTTTCTGGCCAACGAAGTCCTGAAGATAGGAATGATCAATGATATTAGTGTAATAAAATTTTCCTTCTCAATGCTTCGCAATAATCAATATGAACATTAAGAAACAAGGCTTACCATATGGGTAGGAATGGAATCGAAAAATCCCGACATTGTATGAATTTAAAATAATGGAGATCGTTATAAGTAAATTTATCAAAGAACCAACAGAAGACTAATTCAAAATAATTGAAACTTTAAATTAAATAAATTTAGTAAACCTGTCTGTCAGTGATTGGTTACTAACTTGACAACGATTCAAATAGGGACCATTTCTGAATTGAATCGATTTTCCTAAGCTCATTCATTATTAAGGAAACCCAAAGATATGTTTTGTTTTGCTCTCTGTCCTTTCATAATATTTCAACCAAAAAAGTGGGTTTTCATGATATTTAATTATTAAAAGCATTATAAACGAGATAAAAATTTGAAGATTGAAGCAAATTTAATTTGTTTAATATTTAATGAAAGATTATTTGATTTTTCAAGTGAAAAGAGTTTGTGAGTTTAGACACCGAAGTCAGTCGATACTTGGATCGACTGACTGACTAAGGAATCTTGAGTGACTGACTGATTCGAGATTTGATCTGATTTGAACAAGAAATTCTTTTAGGGTTGTTGTTGTTGTTCAAATAGACTCTTGATCTCTTAATGTAATAAGACGAGACTCGGTATTTTTGGTATAGATAATTTATTTCATAACTTATGTTTTATTTGCGTTATTTTGTTTTCTTTAACCACGGCAAAAATCCTAATTAACAAGCTTTGTTTGTACTGTCTAACAATAACATTATTCTTATTTAGACAATAATTCTACATTCAGACTCTGCACCAGGTTTCTCTCACGACCATAGATCTTCCCGTCTTTCCTCTTCAAGTCTCTGTTCCTCCCTCTGCACGTCTCTGTCGTTCTTCTTCAGCTTTCTTTCGTTCTGCAGATATCTTTAGTCCAACTGCAAGTCTTTTTTCTTCCTCGTCAAGTCTCTTACTTGCCTCTTCACGTCGTTTTCTCTCTTCAATAAGATCGTCAAAATTGTCTATTCTTATTACATCTAAATCACGCTTATATATTCTAGTCCTTCTTTCCGTTGGATCAGTACTCATTGGAGCATTACCAATTACTTTTTTGCCTGAATCATTATTACCATCCATATCAACCTCCGAATTAAAATATTATGTAACCAGTATAATAAGAATCAATTATCAGCAAAACAGTTTTTAACACTGAGCAGCACCTGAGATATATGAATCACTTTCAAACTCAGCTATGGTATGTTCTTCACTGGTGGCGCACTAAGAATTACAGAATCCACAAGCAGATCTAAAAAAAACGTTAAAAAGAAAGAAAAATAAGTAAGAGAAAACGAGAAAATAAATCAACAATTTGGATATCAAAAGCAGTAATTTATGAAGACATAAAACCAAAACAAGGAAAGAAACAAAGATGTCGAGTAGAGGAAAAGAGCAATGATGAAGAGAGAAACAAAAAAGTTTCTTACACAGATTAGAGTCAATCAAATACCAAATGAATCCAGAGTTATTAATTCACAATTTAATACAATTAGATAGGGATTAAAGTGAAACAAAACATACAAGTTAGAAATACCGATTATTTTGTATACCGAAGTTACTGGTAGTGATGTTCCTTTTTATCGATTGTATCGATATTAGTCGATAAAAAAAGATATGATAGTCACTCATACAAGACTCGATATTAGTCAAAAGATATCGTTTGGTTTCTACATGCTTATTTTTTTCATTTTACGTGCTTTTTACCTTAAATTCTTACAATAAATTATTGTTAGTCCATTTAAATGATGCCAAAGCGTTCAAAAGTGTGGGATTTTTATGATAAACAGCCAGATTCAGGGGTATGCAAAATATGTAAGTCAAAAGTGAAAAGAAGTGGAAATACCTCAAATTTACACAGTCATTTGAGAAACTCACATGAGTTATTGTATGCTGAGAAATTTGACAAACTGGACACTACCGATCAAACTGATATTGCTACCAGCTTTAAAAATATTCAATCGGTAAAAAGTAAGTTAATTCAAATATTTTATACATCAAACTATTATACTAAATTGTGTTTTCTTTAACATATAGGTGGTCACTTTAAAGAGCAAATCGATATGGCTTTGTTTTGGTGGATTATTTCTGACTGCAGACCATTCAAAATTGTTGAAAGTGCTGAATTCGTGTCATTTATCAAGTCCTTAAACAGCCAATATGTGCTACCTAAGAGAAAAGCTGTAACATCTAATATATTGCGGTTATATAAAACCAAAAAAGAACTGGTTGTAACACATCTAAAAACAATAGAAATGTTTAGTCTAACAAGTGATATATGGACCGACCAAATGAATTCAAGATCTTACATTGGTTTAACCCTACACTACCTTGATGGATATGAACAAAAAAGTATTTGTATTGGTGCTAGAAATTTTGACGAGTCTCACACTGCCATCAATATTGCTGACATTATTACATCAATCTTGTCTGATTATGATATACCAATGGAAAAAGTAATATCCTTCACAACAGATTCAGCTTCCAACATGATTGCAGCAGTGAATCACTTATCTATTCCTCATGTTAAATGTGTTGCACATAGAATAAATCTCCTGGTATTGGATTCAATGGAAGAAAGTGAAAGTTTACAGTTAACTAGTAAAGTGAAAAATATTGTTACTTTTTTTAAGCAATCTAATCTTGCAAATAATATGTTACGTGAAGAACAAATTAAAGACAGTGTTGAACCATTGAAACTCAAGCAAGACTGTTGTACCAGATGGAACTCTACTTTTTTTATGTTGGAGCGATATTTATTTTTGCGTAATTATGTATCAATAGCTTTACGTAAGCTTAACAGAGAAGATTTGGATATTAATTACGATGAAATTGAAATACTCAATGATATGGTCAAGTGCCTTAACCATTTTTATAAAATGACTAATGATATAATGGGAGAGAAATATATTACTATTTCACGAGTGATTCCTTTGGTTACTGGTGTTAATTTTGTGTTGGAAAAAACTCATTGTAAAACAGAACGAGGTTTGAAACTAAAAGCAGCATTGCAAGACAATTTGGAGAAAAGATTTGGAATGGTCGAGAAAAACGAAATATTTGCTTTTTCTACTCTTCTTGATCCCCGATTTAAAAAAATAGATTTTCGTTCACCATTGAACTGCTCTCATGCTGTAACTAAGCTTAATGAAAAATTGCGAGTTGTTCCACTTACTCAAGAAATACAACAACCAGTAGATGTTGAAGATTTGTGGAGTTATCATGAAAGTAGAGTGAGAAGTTTATGTGATGCAAGTTATGGACTGAATTCTGGTTTGAAACACTATTTTGAGCTAGTCAATTTAGCTATCGATGATAACCCTTTGAATTTTTGGAAAAATAATAAAGGCAATTGGCATCATTTGCACAACTTAGCATTAAAATATTTGAATATTCCAGCTACTTCAGTTCCATGCGAACGCTTATTTTCCAAGACAGGTTCAATAATTAGTGAAAAAAGAAATAGAATAAAACCTGAACTTGTTGATGCCCTTTGTTTTCTTGAATCACTGCCTATTATGTTTCGTTAATTAAAGATTTTTTTGACTATATTCGATAAAGAATGACTATTTTTTTCTAACGATATTAGTCGATATTAGTCGATAAAAAACTCAATCTTCCGATATTTATCGATAACATCAAATTAGTCATATCGAACATCACTAGTTACTGGGTGGATAAAAATATAGGGAAAAGGGTTCGGTTTAATGTTGTCAGTCTTACTACATATCAGCTCTGTATTTACAACGTAGACGAACCAAATTTGTCTTCTGAGCAACAAAAGGGGGTGCTTTCCCCTACAGTGAAATACCAGATAATGACAGTAAAGTCAATGGTTCCTAATTAAGGAAGGGTTTAAAAAATCTGTATTTTTTCAATACACTGCCCGGCGATTAGTACGAATAAGCTATTTCAAGTTACTGTCATTATCTGGTATTTTACTGTAACCACAATTTTTATCCACCGAGTAGTGAGTTTAATAAGTGAGTGAGCCGGTTATAATCCGACTTTAGTTTTAGTCGATTTTTACTATATTACTCTTTGGTTGTTGTTGTTGTTGTTCAGTTAGACTCTTGATCGTTATTATGTAATAAGAAGAGACTCGGTATTTTTGGTATAGATAATTTATTTCATAACTTATGTTTTATTTGCGTTATTTTGTTTTCTTTAACCACGACAAGAATCATAATTAACAAGCTTTGTTTGTACTGTCTAACAATAATTATTCTTATTTAGACAATAATTTTACATTCAGACTCTGCACCAGGTTTCTCTCACGACCATAGATCTTCACGTCTTTCCTCTTCAAGTCTCTGTTCCTCCCTCTGCACGTCTCTGTCGTTCTTCTTCAGCTTTCTTTCGTTCTGCAGATATCTTTAGTCCAACTGCAAGTCTTTCTTGTTGCTCTCGAAGTTTCATTTCTTCCTCTTGAGCTCTAATCTCAGGTCTAAAATCATCTATTTTGCTTGGATCTATTTTACTCCAATCTACTAAACCTCCTCCAGGAGCAGTATTATCAAATACTTTTTTGTCTGAATCATTATTACCATCCATATCAACCTCCGAATTAAAATATTATGTAACCAGTATAATAAGAATCAATTATCAGCAAAACAGTTTTTAACACTGAGCAGCACCTGAGATATATGAATCACTTTCAAACTCAGCTATGGTATGTTCTTCACTGGTGGCTCACTAAGAATTGCAGAATCCACAAGCAGATCTAAAAACGTTAAAAAGAAAGAAAAATAAGTAAGAGAAAATGAGAAAATAAATCAACAATATGGATATCAAAAACAGTAATTTATGAAGATATAAAACCAAAACAAGGAAAGAAACAAAGATATCGAGTAGAGGAAAGAGCAATGATGAAGAGGATAACAGAAATGTTTCTTACACAGATTAGAGTTGAGAGAGTACCAAACGAATCCAGAGTTATTAATTCACAACTTAATACAATTAGATAATAAGCAATAAAGTGAAACAAAACATTAATTTGGGAAATGCAAGTAATAAGAAGTTTAAGAAAAAATGTGACACATAGAGATAGGCGATTTTATACCGAAGTTGTTACCGTGAGTTTAGTGAGCCTAGTGAGTGAGTGAGTCGGCTTTAGTTTTAGTCGATTTTTACACTTAGCCGGCTTTATTGAGTCAATTAAAACCTCACTAAAATAACTGACTTTGCATTACGAACTCAAGTTCAAGTGTTTCAATAGTTGGTTTGACATTCACCAAAAAAGATCACAGCTCACTCCTGAAAAATTGAACAAAATTCTTTTCATTCATGACAATTTTGAATTTGTTTATAACAAAATTTTATTATTATAAATTGTTATTACAATTCATAGTTATCACATTTTTTAAAGTAAAAACATAGTCCATAACAGCCATCAGGCTATTAATTACATGAAAATCATTATCCTGCTAACTTGCATTGTTAGCATTAATACAATAATAAGATATCATTGATACCAGCAGATGTCTTAATATAAAGTATTGATATTGATTGATACGAGGATTATATGATTAGTAGTATTTGTTTATTTCAACAAAATTTTATGGATAATAACTTTACGATCATCAGCACAGCTTGCTAGTAAATAGTGCTCGTCAGGTTTATTTATTCCAGGTTTGAAACGTAATTTTTTGATCTGCGAGGTATGACTAAGAAAAATAAGGATTTTATTATTTCCACAAAAATGCAATTCAATATTTTAAACATTAGATACTTACCAGTTGTCAATTTTAAGCTTTAATTTCCAGCCAGCTTGCAATGACCAAGTGTAAAGTAAAATGATTCCGGTTTCTAATCCAAAAGCAACCGTGTAAGGAGAATCTTGATCATAAGCAATGTCAATAGCCATAATCGGGTCAGTTAAAACTAGAGTATGATTTGCCATTGCCTTGACAGGTCCAGTTTGATTTGCAGTCTCAAAGGTTTCATCTAAACTCCAGATTATTGCTTTCTTATCCCGAGAACAGGTAATGAAAAATAAATTATCAGGAGTCCATGCAACGTCCCAAATAATTCGACTATGCAAACAAGTCTTTTTATCAGTATTAGAAACTTTGATTACTTTCAGATCATCGTCAATTTTTTTAACTTCGTAAAGGCACCAGGTTCTGTCTCTTGATACTGAAACAATATATTTATCATTCGGAGAGAACCGAATTTGAGTAATTGTTAAATTATGGAAATGAAGCTCTTGTAATTTCTTGAAATCACAACGAATATCCCAAAGAATCATATTAGCGCTATCAGCTTTACTTGCTTTACAGGCAGTTGCTAATAAAGTTCGTTCTTTATTACAGGTTGTAGTAAAAATCTCGTAGGAATGTCCGTATAATTTTTGAATTTCAGGCCAAAGAGTATTTTGTTGCAAAATCTCTTCCAATGGAGGCTTATCCAGGACAACTGTTTTAAAATACTCGTCCATATCAACTTCACTGTAAATTGCTTTATTAGAAAGGCCTAAAGGAGGTACACTGGCACATTCAGGAAGATCTCGATTGACTTTAAGTTGATTGGATAAATCAATATTGGATACATTGAAAAAACTTTGAAGAAATGATTTAGTTCCACCAAATATTCTCACGACTTTCTCTTCTGCTCCTGAAGCAAAAGTTAAACCATCAATCACAGTAAGACAATTTAAATCATAGCCATGAATCTGAGGTCTGGCAATTTCATGCCAGGTAATTTCTGAATCTTTATTTGACCAAGGAGCATGCAAACGTGTTGTTTGATCCAATGAACAAGTTAACAAGAAATGGCCATTTGGTTCCCATGAAAGATCAGTGACAAGTTCCCAATGACCACCTAAGCCAATTTCAGGGCTCCATGTGTCAGAATCTTTATTACGGTACCAAAAATGTAAGGCACCATTGAATGATTGTCCGATGATTTTGGTTAAATCAGTATTAATTTGAGCCCCAACAAAACCCAAAGCACAGCCTCCTACATCTCCAACTCGGATAGACTCAGACCATATTTCATCATCATCAGATTGTTGCCAGAGCACAATACTTTTATCCATTGAGGCTGAAAGTAAACCAATTTTTCCACCATGAGTATTGACAAATTGAACGGAATATATCCACCCTTCATGACCAAGTAAAACAGTTTCAATCTCAACCTCGAAATATTTTCCTTTTAAATTGAAAACTCGACCTCGTTCTGAATGATCAGAATCAATTTTAGAAATTTTCCATACACGAATGAAATTGTCTTGTGATCCCGTAGCCAAATACAATGTATCTAAACAAGAAAAACGTTAGACAGTAATAACAAGGACTTCTTATGTCTTACCGAAAAACTTACCAGAGCCATAAGAAAGCAGATCGATGGATTGAATCCAATTTTCATGACCACTTAATTTCATTAAATTATGAACGTTTTTAAAGTTGTCAATAGCCACAAGATGAACTAATGAATCGCTACCAACAAGACCAATGAAAGCAACATCATTGCCAAACATAAGCTGTTCATTTTGCATCAAACGTAGGTCAAAAATGAATTGATGTACGTTAATGGAAGCAACCAGCTCATCATTGAGCCAAAGTCCTAATTGTTCACTATTGGATGATGCACAAGTTAGATAGTTTACATTGTTACTATTATTTTGAGATTGAGATTGAAAGTTCATTGTTGTAACAATAGAGTCCACAGCTATCAGTCCATCTCCAATTCCAGAACATTTGTATTTTTGAACATAACTATCACCCTGTTTAGTCCAAATAATAGCGAGCCCATCCAGTGAAGAAGATACAAAACTATCAACTGAAGAAGCGAATATTTTATTAATTTTAATGTCAGTTGATCAATAAAACAAATCTTACCTGATTCAATCCACCGAACACAATTAATCGGTTTTGTATGTCCATTTATAAGTTGAACATGTTTTTGTTTGACAAAATCATAGATACATATGGAGAGATTTGAAGGATAAAGAAGTAAATTGTTTCTAATATCGAAAGCATGAGGTTTGCGATTACAATTAGCTGATAAATAGCTAATTTCATGATTAAAAACTTCACCTTTCATAATTAATTGAAAATTAAACGATACCAGAGACAAAACAAAATTCAATTTAACCACACATTTTCCATGCAATGTTTTCAAAACAAACAGGTGACTAAAAAAGTAAACTAAAGATTATGAGAGGGAAGCTTAATAAATTTCGCTCCATCTTCAGAATTTCTCTCAATCTCAATTTAATCGTCTAATCTGTGTAATAATTTACATTAAGACAATAATAAATGAATCGAAATTTTGAAAATTTTATAAAAAGAGATATGTCTTTATGTACTGAGAAAACAACAATAGACAATTGAACAGTAAAAATAAACAAACAAATGAGTTGAATTTATTGAATTTATTAATAGTCAATAATAACAACAAGTATATCAAGCATCTCGGTGAGTGAAAAAAATTAATGGTACATCTTCATCCAAATGGAGATCACGGGTATCGTCTTTGTCCATGTTGGTGGACACATTTTTCAATTTAGGACTAGTTAATGTGTCAATTTGGTCATTCCAATTTTTATCAGCCAATTGAGCCATGGTGCAGCTTTTACGAAGTGTTGATTCAAAATTTTCCGATGTAACCATGGTTTGGCAAGATTTAGAAACTCGGATGGAACAATCAGGAACATCAGGAGATAATAAGTACCTTTGTGCAGGCTGTGACTGTTTTCCCTCAGATTTACCAGCTTTACGATTTTCTTTAAAGTTTTGGTTTTCATTGGCGTTTTTATTTGAACGAAATATCTGTGAACCAACACTGGAAAAGGATTTAAAAAGTGAAGGAATAACTTGGAATGGACTTTTCAATGAATTATCGGAGGAAACTTTTCTACTTTGGGTCAAATTCGACCCCATTGGTTCATGATTATTATCAGCTGTTTGATCACTTCCATTTTCATGGCCAGTAAGCTCTCTAGATCCAGATAGATTATTCGATTCGTCGACATGAAGCTCAGCATCTGAGCTTACTCCGACGCCTATGGGGCTAGCTGTTCCTCCCTTTGGTATTTGGGTTCGAATACTTAAATTGGATGACGCTCGACTGCTCTCCGGTTCAGGGTATAAAGTATATGAATTATCATAATCTCGTTCAGGACTAAATAGATCATCATAGTCATCATTGAAATCATCATCATCGGTACACTCAATTTGAATCTCGGTCAATGGTGAGCTTATAGAGTTAGATCGACTGGACAACATTTGGGTATCGGTTGCTATACTGTCTTGTAATGATGTTTCAGTTGTCTCGTTTTTAATGCTTTCACCTGTTCGGATAAAAAAATAAACAAGAAAAGATTAATAAAATAACAAAAAAATGTTATTTAAATAAATGTTTCACCTGATGACAAGACGAAATGTTTTTCCTTTGAATCTTTTTTATCTTTCCGAGACAATTCAGTTAGTTTATTGAAAAACTTATTTGAATCTCTTGATGAGGCGACAACAGCAGCCATCATTATTTTTTCCGTTTCTCGGCCATATTTGGTCGTCAAATTGTTGACATTTATACTGGTCGAAGCTTCATTTTGTTTCATCGTTCCTATCCGAGAGCATTCAGGACATAGAAATGTTGCTTTAGCTGATGATGGTTTGAAGTTTACCAATGAACTGACAACTGAATTTGACCTCTGTTTTGAATTAAAAGTGAGCAGATAGTCATCAGCTATTGGAAGCCTCGCAGGACCCTTTAGATCATGACGAAAAACAGCCGATGAAGAATCACTGGAAACACTTGACCGAGTTGTGGACAATTTGCGAGTTGATGTTGATGAAGAGGCTGTCCAAGAAGATCGACGTCTAACCATAGCAGCTGATCTTTTGGTAGTCAATAATTGCGGTGATATGTAGCTGTGTCTCCATGAATCTGATCTTGATGAATAGTTGCCACTTGAAATTGAATCCAGGCGATTATTGGGAGCATTGGAACGTCTTTGAACACTGCCTGAATCTGTTGCATCCAATTTACCAACCAGATCTTTGGTTACTGATCGTCCTTGCCACCATTTGGTAGCCATTTTACGGAACAAAGGTTGCCCATTGCAACTACCATTAGGTAACAATTTATTGATAGAGACAGTTGATTGTGCTGTCGAAGCTAAGCCACATTTACAGACAAGTTGATTACTGTCTCCAGAGCTCTTCTTGTCTGCCACAGAATTGGTATTAACAGGAGTATGACGATTAGAAAAATTGGAACTATTTCGACCCCGTCCTATTCCTCGGGTAACTCTTGATTCCTCTATTCGTTTGCACAAAAGGATGCAATCTTTTTTAAATTGTTTCGTGAAAATGGCATATAAAAATGGATTGGCACATGAATTGAGAGGTAAAACAAAAACGGTAAAAACTTTGGCTTCAGCGAGTGTGATAAGCTCATAACCGGCAATCGCTGTTAGAGTAAAAAACGCAATGGGAGCCCAACAAAGAAAATCCGTAAACACCAACAAAGCCATTCGTTTGGCAATTCGAGAATCATTTGAATTCCAGGCCTGAGATCCACGGATGGCACAGTACATGCGAAGATAGCATCCCATGAGAATGAAAAAAGCTAAACCATTGACGACAATTAAAGAGATGACATAAGTTCTGGACCAAATGTCTGTTATCTCAAAGGGCAAGCAAACAGCAAATTTACGATAATCTGAGACACCAAATAGAGGTAGAAGAGCCATGATAAGAGCAAATGTCCAGCCAACAGCCATAATGTAAGCAGCATGTTTCAATGATAAACGTTTATTCAGATGCATGGCATGAGTTATGGCATAATTGCGTTCAGAGGTTATAACGGCTAAAGTGTAAACTGAAAGTTCGGTTGAAAGGACTCCAAGAAAGCCAGCAATTTGACATCCAAATGATCGCTGCCAGGGAAGTGCATATACTTTGTATTGACCAAGTGTGGCTGCATCTACAACGGCCAACATGCCAAGATAAATGCCCATCAGGAAGTCAGCCATGGCCAAATTACAGACGAGAAATCGGGGAACATCGAGTTTGGATCGTCCAAAAATTAGAACCACAACAACAACTCCGTTTCCAAGAAGAGCAAGAAGAAAGACTATCCATACTCCACAACGAAGTGTCCACCAATCAAACAGATCCTCACAGGGTGTAAATGGACCTAGAAATAAAGTGAAATTGATATTAATCTATTAATAATTAAAATAGATTGTGATGATATTAATGCGAAAATGAGGCGAGAAAGAACGAAGTGAGGGAAAAATGTAATACAAAAGAAGGAAAAAAGCAAAGAAAATATTGATTTATCTTAATGCTGATCGATTTTTCAATGTTAACATCTTGATAAATGGTATAATAGTTAATCGAAAGTAATCAACTCTTCATTCCCAAGTAATCAAGGTCTAGATCCAGGTTCATGGTAAGACAAAAACCATATATTCAGCAACACCTCACCTAGCTTTGAAGTAAAGTTGATAAAGGCAAGTATTTTTTGATTAAAATTTGAAGCAAAACAAAAAATTCAATCTTGAATAATGAAGATTCCAAGATTCATTTCAAGAAAAATATCTTGAATAAAATTGATTGAAATTGTCCAAAGTAAAAGCCAAGATTCATGTCAAGTCAAGATACAGATTTATTTGTAATCCAAATGTGGCTGAAAAATGGCCACTAAAATGACCATCTTATAGTCATAAAATTATCTAAATTTATTTGGTAAATAAAGACATGTTTACCTGATCAAAAAGGTAGACATTAATGTCGAAATGAAACTCCCTGTTGATTTGTTGTTGTTTCATGGTGGGAGGTTGATTAAGGTAAAAACAAAAAGGTAAATTTAGGGTCAGTAAACACAAGCCAATGACCAAGGTTTAATCAAATTGATATTGCTATCCCAACAAATGAAAATGAATTGGGCAAACATGAATTAAGGTAAAAGGTAAATCAATAGATTTAAGATGAAGCAAAATGAACATTGAAAAGGTTTCAACAAAAGTAAATAGGAAAGTTGAGAAACGAGAAGCAAAAATTGATTCAATTGTATTGTAAATATAGAGCATTAAGTATCATATTTAACCAGTTAATTTGTATGTTTAATAGATCAACTATCTTACAATTAAGTTAATTTATTATTCACATTTAAATGCAACCAATATCTTGTAATTGGCCAGGAATGGTAAATGTAAAAAGAGCTGAGAAGCAGACAATTTAAGTGTCCAGTTAACTTGAAATGTAAAGCTTTACAATCAGCTTGAAATATTGGCATCAATAATGGAAAGCTTAATTTTGTTGCTGTTTGTCTTGAATTACATTTAGTGTTACTATTTGATGAGAATCGTTTCAATGATTGTTACAAGTCAATTGTTGAACCTAATTTAAAACTGGGAATAGTTACAATCAATTGGCATTCATTGATATTCAACTCACACCAACTGATCATAAAATGGGAAAACAAGAAATGTACATTCACTGATGACAACAGATGAAAGTAAACTCTTGTTTCAATTGTTGATCATTTACAATTTAAAAATAGCAATTCAATTGTAAATTTAAAAACAAAAAGCTGTTTAGTGACCAAATTGACTGGAAGAAATGCTATTAAAAAACCATTTTCAATGTAAACTGACAACTGAGTAAATTCGGGGTGAATTGAGGTGAATTAAGGGTCAATTTAGAAAGAAATTTAACTAAATTAAAAATAAATTGCTAGCGAATTGAGTCTAAATTTACTCTTAAGTCAATATCAATTGTTTAACAAATGTTAATTGCTTTTTTTGCCTCAAAACAAACAACTTGTTGACATTTTGGCTGCTTTTTAGGCCTGAGTTTTTTACTCAACCTTTCAAATGCAAAATCATTCAACATTTTGATCAAATAATTGCATTAATCATAAGAGTTTATTAAAAATATTCATTGAGCGTTGGTTTAATGCATTTCATGCAACAGTTGAGTTAACAATTAAATAGCAATTGCAATCAATTAGAGACAGTAATTTGAAACTAACCTACAAATTGACCAATAAACAATTGACAATGACTATTCATTTGGATGTTAGACTGGCCAGTTAGCTTGTATTTAACATCCAATGTTTACATTGACCATTGGTAAAATCATGTTTACACAACAATAAATCCACTCAATTACCATTTAGCCAACAGTTATCAACTCTCATCATAATAACTATTATCATTCAACCTTTTATTGACCTCAAAATCCTCAAGAGTTAATGGTTATTACAATTGATGTTATAATGCATTATCTGTATCATCATTTTGTTGGCCATAAAGTATCATAATAGACACAATCAAGTTGATACAAATGTAACAATTGAAGGGACAATCAATTGAATAAATTAGCAAATTCAATCAACATTGATTCATTGGTTAATGTTTGCCAAATTCAATTATTATCAATGAAATGGCTTCATAAAGTTGAGTCAATTTTTCAGTTGAAAAAAGGTTGACATTAAAGGTAAAGCTGATGAAAAGTGTACTTAAATAAATTGAAATGATCAAGTGAGAAAATAAATTATCGAAATTACAGGGAAAAATAATGATGATCATGAATATGATTATGAATGTTATTATGAATACTATTATGATGATGATTATGGTTAGGGTTTTGTTAATGGTTATGTTAATGGTTAAATTGAAAGTGAATTAAACTTACTTGGTTGAGGAAGGCACTTGATGGGATATTTGAAGACAATATTGTCATAATTAATCTCTGTCTTGTAATCATCGAGATATTCCTCTGAGAATTGGCTGATATTCATGAGAAAGGAATCAGTTTCCGGAGACCAAATTGGGCTTGAAGATGAATTGATTCGGGTTGACCAAATATTGGGCCAACTTGTATTCCAAATGGACATGTTTACATCATCCCGATGAAGCCAGATAATGTCTTCTTCAAAGTGATTGATTCTGTTGGTTGAGGACGATGAGGAAGCTTCATCGATCAGATTATTGTACGAGCAACAATGATAGGCATAGGAAAGAGCTAATACTTGGATTGAAGGGAAAAATTCTGGTCCCGGGAATGAGATTAGGTAAGGATTATTGTGAACTTTAATTTGTTGAACACCTCGCAAACCAATTGTGGGTAATGATGAAAATTTGTTGGCCCCTAAATTGCTGTTGATTAAAGAAACAGACTAATTAGTTAATTTAATTGGGCGAAGCAAAAAAACAAGAATAAAATGAAAAGGTTAATTATTCAGTAATTTAGTTGACATTATTTGTCAAGAAAAGGCCTTAGATTGGGTTACAATGACTTATTAATAGACTCGGCTAATATCAATTAACCCTGATATTGAGAAACCAGAAAAACCCAAAATGAAACAATGACAATTAAATCATTGATTACCATTGGTTTGATTATAAAATGAAAAGGCAATTATCAAATCAACCCAAATAACATTATGACCTAAAAGGCCTTACATCAACTGGTGAAAATTGGGTTTACTTTTAACCCATTTTGATTTACTCTGGTTTAAAGGTTTAACATCTTGAAGGTGACCAACAATCAATATTGGGTTTAGTAAATGATTTGAAGGGTTGCAGTTAAACCAATGATTTAGGTTTGTATTTACTTTGATAATAAAGTGTTGCTTTGAGCATCTTTTTTTTCTTGATTCATTTTTATAACCATTATTTTATTAAACTCATCTGGACCTTTCATGATATCAATATGATAACATTTGCTTTCACCATTTATTATTATTGTTATTGGCTTGATTATTGGAAACAAACAGTTACCTTCTTAAACAATCTAATACAAGATTCTGATGAAAATTGTTTCATAAGGAAACCAAAGTAAACTTCCCGTTGATATTTCCAATTTTATTTATTCACTCCCAGTGTGATACTTTGATTATTATAATGGTTGACTCAAAATAACAGCAACAACAATTGTTACTTCAAGTGAAAGTAGAAAGGGTTAAGAATATAAATAATTGAATATTATCACAGTATGAATAACTGGACATTTTGGACATTGATCAACAATTACCTTTTAATCAATCTGGATTAATAGAGAGTCAAGACAAAACTTGACTCAATCTTGACTCTTTTGTTTTTTGGGTTTTCTGGTTTCTTTAACAAATATTAGCTTCTTGTAAATTGATTACAATTAAATGTTACAACTTACAGATCTTTGAGATTGAGAAGAGGTAAAAATGAGTTTGGATGGATTGACTTGATTAAATTGTTTGATAAATCCAACATTTTCAGGTTCTCCAATCCTGTAAAGGAGTTTCCATGAATTTCCTGAATCCAATTATGGCTTAAAAATAGGTGAGTTAATTGGCTTTGAGTGATAAAATGTTTCTCTCCGATCATGGTTAATTGATTGTAACTGAAATCTCTGAAAGAAACAAGAATCATTTGATTGAAATCATTTACAATTTGACTTCACATTTACAAATCGAGACACTCATTAAGTTAATTAGCAAATCAGCCAACTCTATAACAATTAGAACCAATTAATGAACAAGATTTAACCAAAAAAGATCTTAAAATTAAATTAAAACCAAATTATCCAAGGCTTAACAGACTGGTGACTGTAACTGTCAATAAATTATCAACTAATTGTGATTCAAACTCAATGGAAATGTTTAAGGAGATTTCCCTGATTTTATGGCTTAAAATACATGGAAACCAGATTCCATTATTTGGGATAAACTATGAGAAAGAAATCTATAAAAATCATTGAATTGTTACAAAAATTGATTCAACTTAATCTACTTTTACACTTACACTTGAGTAAAGTGATACTCAAAGGTTAATCTGATTGAAACAACAATTTAAGTTGCGATAAAAATTGTGGTTTCAAATGAACATTCAAATGATATTTCAAATGTTATAAACCATTAAACCCTTGAACCACTTGAGGTAAGCATTGGCTCAATATTTTCATCTTAATCAATTTACCATTTATTAATCAATGTCAATTTAACAGGAAATTAATTTCATTGTTTCAGTGATTTCAGATGATGAAAGATTCCAAGAAAAGGTTCGGTTGAAAAAATTTCCCTTTCCTTTAATCATTTCCAAATCTTTTCAAGACGATTGAAAATCTAATAAACCATTAAGCAATTAATCAAAACTGATCAAGTTAATCAAGTTAGTTGAGGACATAAGGGTTAAAGAAATGGTTTGTTTCATCAAATCAAATCTAAAAAAGTGATGAATTATAAGCATTCAGATCGATCATTCAAATTTCCTGAATTGTTTTATTATTGCTATCCAAGCTAAATGCGTTGATGTGTTTGAAGGATCAAGATAAAGATGTAAAAGTTCAATGGTCAAGACTACAGCTTTGACTGAATCCAATGAACCAAAAAGAGGCTTAAAAAATGTATAAAGTCAACTGATTAAATCAGCTGAAAATTGAAAAGATTCAGTGTTGATTCAGTGATTTTTGCAGCCTTCAAGTGAAAAGTGATATCACATGAAAATGAATAATTTAATACTTACAGAAGCTCTAATTTGGCACAATTATTTAATGCTGGCAAATATCTTAATCGGCTTGATTTGACAATTCTGTGAATGGTGAAGAGAGGGCAAAAAGTATTAAAATCATTATTCAGGGAATGAGGAATCATTAATTTTATGGTAAAATGAATTTCACTCCAAGTTGTAGGAAAAGGATAATATTTGGATAATTTTTTTCTCCTTGTAAAGTGAATTCAATGATGATTTTGATTACTCCTTTTGAGGTTTATTTTTTTCCTTTTCATCAAATTTTTCAATAAACATTTAGTTTTTGGGTGAAATTAAATTTTGAACCAGAAAATATTTATATAAAATAATAAAATGAAGCAAATCATTTTACATACAAACTTTTCAAAGCTGCTGATGAGATACACAGTAAAGGTGAAACTGTTTGAATGTTGGTTCGATCAAATGAAATATGTTGAAGTGAATTTGCATTGGACAAGTTAGGCCATCGAGATAAGCCATGTCCATCTGAGATTACGCTGATTGGCCAAGGGTAAAGTTGATCAATTTAAATTGATTAGAGAATGAGAAAATGTAAAGTTAAGCAAAAAGGTAAACTTACATTTTACGAAGTCTTGTGCAGTTGAGGAAACTTGAATAATCCAAAGACTTCAATGGATTACCCTTGATTTCAATCAGTTGTAGATAATTGTTGGAATTGAATGAATCTTCATCAATCACTTCAATTCTATTCTTATTGATCATTCTAGATATGAAGGGAAAAGAAAATTAAATTACAATCGAATCAACAAAATCAATGGAAAAGTCATTTTGACCACTTTTGAGCTCAAACAATTTCCAACAAAAACTCAACCTTTTTTCAAATTTCATCTGAAATTCAATCCAAACACCATTCCTTCACAATTTTTTCAGAATTTTTTCTAAATTAAATTCAATTTTCCATTTCATCTGTTAATTCACAGTTTATCATTCCAAATGAGTTGGAGTTGAAGCTTGGAGTTTAATATTTTGTTAATGTCTTCACTCGCATTTCAATTTTCATTTTGCTAACAAATTTTTGCTTTTTGTTGTAAGATTCAAATTTTTGATTCTCAGTTTGACCGATTCAAGGTTGATTAACTTGAATAATTAAATCGGTGAAATGTGATCAACTTGTGAGGTTTAAATATTTAATCATTTGTGCTTTTCCATTAAACAATATGAAAAAAAGAGTAAATTATGATATTTGTCATGAAAAATGTTTGCTTTTCTGTTCCCTTTCTCCTTGGCATTCCTATTCTGGTTAATAGACTGAAAAGCCATTCTCATGAGCATTCAGTCTAAGAGTTGATATAATGTTGAATCTATTTCTTAATCAAACAAACTTATGTCTGTCTGTGACTCTGTCTAGTCACACGTCAATTGATGTTGATTGAATTAAGATGAAGATAAAAGATGAAGCTTATATCATTTCAAATGAGTTTGTCTTGCTGCTATTCAAGGGATGAAACATTTCAATCAAAAAACCATCCCAAGATGGTTAAAGAAAAGTATATAAAGATTATTACTATTATCATCCTGATCATCCTGAGTATATATAAATGAATGGCTAAAATTGTCAATTACCCAATCAATCAATCATTTCAAGAGTAAAACCAATGATCTTTGGTCATTCAATGGAAACCCAATGAGAAAATTTTCTTCCTCAAAAGTGAAAAGATGAACCTAAAAAAAGTCCATTTCATTTTATTATTAAAGTATAAAGTCGAACGAAAATTTCACTTTCAATTGAAAAACCTTTTTTCAATGTTCCATTCTTTTGCTTGTAACAATTTTTATCTCATGATTATATCATGAAAATGAGAACAGCAAAACAAGTAAAAAATGTAAAGTAAAAGCTTGATACAAGTCGAGTTTACTTGAGTTTACATTTTATATCTTTCAACCTTTTTCACTCAAACTCATCTTACTTTTGCATTCATTGGATTATTCAAAGGAAAATTTTCATTCTTCTTCTTTAATCATGATGAAACTGAGTTTAACCAGTTCAACTGGTACTCTTTAATAATGACAACATTTGGTATTAGCGTAAGTCTTATAATATTTTAATATAAATACTTAACTAGGTTGGTGAAAAGATTCAACAAAAAAACATGATAAATAACTTGCACTGAGGCAAAGGAAAAGGTTTCACTGAAACAAGACGATAATAACATTAACATTAAACAAATGGCCATATTTAACTGCTTAACAAAAAGTGCTGCACTTTAAGATGAGATTTAAAGGTTTCGCCTTTGAACAATCATTCCTTTGTTTTCAAATAATGATGAGATTTAAATTGTTAGGATTTAAGAAAAGCTAACAATTGGATTAACACTTGAACAACTGTAATAACCATCAATAATAAGGAAAAGCGAAACATCGCATTTTCATTGAAATCTTTGAAACATTAACACAAGAAATCAAAAATTTGTCTTCACCTGAAATGTAAAATGAATACAGAATAAATCAGATTTTCGCCTCACAGTTCTTGCAAGCTTAATTGATCGACTAAATTCAAGTTATTGGAATTAAATTCAATTGCAATTTGAGCTTTAAAATGTTCATTTCAATGGTCAACTTGAATGGGAAAATGTTTTGAAAATTTAAGGTTAGATGCTTTCTTGACAGAAAAGGTTTGGATTGTCAAAGGCACAAATGACTTGAACAGATTAAGATAATCATTGTTCATGATGGATTCTGGAATGGAAATTCAAGTGCGAGTTTTAAATTTTAAAGATTATCAAAAATTCTGACCGTTTCTTTGCTCTTAATGCGATTGTCAATTTTGATGAAATAATTTTCTAACCTTTCGCATGCTGAGCTTTTGTTTGGGCTTGAAAGGAATCGTTAGGAAAAGAAAGGCGAGAATTTATAATGTGACAAAAAAATATTCAAAAAATATTCAATAAATCATCGTCAATACACTTTACCGTTAACATTATCATTGTTAGTTTCAATGGGTTGCAATGTTTTATTGAAGCTAAACAAAAAGCTGAAATGACAAAACAAGAATGAAAACAAAGCCAAATAATGGAGTCTAATAGAGCAATTCATCATTTCAAATGTAATCTTTCATCATACCAATCATTTTGATCATTCTAATCATACTCATGTTTCTCATATTCATGATCATTATCGTAATATTAATAATGAATCTCTCTATTAATATTTACTCTGGAATCAAGTAGAACTCATTTTCACCAACTTCACTTTTAATGGACAGAAAAGACATTCAAAGATTCGCCTTCAAATTATCACAAGTATCTTTTCTTGGACAAGAAAAATGATTACAAGTTGACCAATTTAATGGTCCAGATAAATTTCAAGTTATATTTATCATTTCAACAGAGCATAAGGTTTCCCTTTTTTATTCATGGATAATATCATTTTAACACCGAAACGTTTTGCTCGTTCAATTTAACCAGAATAGAGATGAAATGGAATCACAAGAAAAATAAAAACAATGAAAAAAGTTGAGGTTAAAACGAGAAACTAAAAGTACAAAAGCAAATTCAGTGAAAAAAAGGATAAAAAAGGCTGAAATGATAAAAGACTGGAAAGTGTAAAGTAAACCTTCAACTGAATATAATGTAAATAACATTTACAGGGAAGATGAAATTCACTATTCAGAAGTTCTGGTCTAGTCAAGGTTATCATTTATTTTTTTATATTCATTCGAGACTCAAGTATTGAAGCAAAAAAGTGACTGGTTAAGATGCAATTCATCTCTGGAGTAAAATGAGAAACGGAAAGAAAGTTCAACGATCAGAAAACTGATTCTGGACAATTAGACTGAAATTAACCAACCATGATTAGCATCATGAGAAAGTCATTACAGGCAAGAGCGATTTTGGTAGAAATTGTTGGCAGAAGGAAAAAAAATGTTCACATTTAATTGAATGCTTTGAGTAGCAATTTTGTGTCTTTGAATCAAATATGAAGGTTTGAATAAAGCAAGAAATGTAATTGAATATTAAATTTTGGATAAAAAAAGTTTACTGACTTTGGATGAATTTCATTCAAGAGATAATCAAAATCGATATAATTGAAAATTAATAAATGAAACTCAGAGAATTGTTGAGTAGGAAATGAAAGGAAATTGAATAGTTAACTGAGCTTCCAATGTTCTGATTTTGTCCTGATTTTTTGTTCTCGATTCCAAAACAATGGAATATTTGTTCGTTTGTTTTCACAAAAATTGTGAATCACTTTGTTCATCATTTCAACTGGAATCATCTTTGGATTGAAGAGGCTCACAAATGGAAATTAATTTCAAATGTTCAGTTTTGGAAGATTTTCAAGTCATTAAGGACAGTTCTTTAGGTGAAAACTTCGAAGGAAAGCAAAAGTAACTTGAACTCAAGAACTTCATAAAATGAGGAAATCTTTGAATGAAATTTATTCAAACTAAGCAAAGATTTGATTAACTTTTTGTTTCCATTGAAACTTGTCTCAACTATCGTCTTTGATTGAATATGTAATAAGTTTGTCATTTGATGAAAATATCAAATGATGAACTAATAGCATTGAGGTTAATAATGAGTCAATCTTGAAATGCGAAAGTTGATCGATAAAAATATGTTAAAATATTCTGAATCAAGTTGATAGGAGTGAGAAAAGTTGACGAAAAAACATTTTAAAATGTTAACTGTTGATGCATAAACTATTGTCTTGATTCAGCGATTCAATGAGCAAAACAAAAGAGATAAAAGAAGGCAAAAAATTCAGTTCTTGGTGCAACAACATTTTAAGCTTTTGCTTCTTTTTTTTCTGTACCATGTTATTCATTTGAAAGACTGAAAAGATGATGAACAAGAGGAAAGTTTATCCAATATTATTATTAGATTCTTCATCTTATTCATCTTATTCAGTGTTTTCAGTTGTTTCTCTCCTTTGCTTTACCCTGTTCGGAGTGAAATGGGAGTTAAATGTTAATAAAATATTTTTTTTCTTCTCGCCATTTCTTCTGATAAAGTTGAAATGTTGAGTGAAAAAAAAGTCGGAAATTGTGTGAAATATTAACATAATTCAACAATGAAAATTTGCTATTTCTGGGTTTACTTTGAATGAAAATTATCATCATTGTTATGAGAAATAAGCGTCTGGTTCAATTATTTTTCATGATAATTCATTTTAAACGAGAATATAATTTCAACAGTGAAATTGAAGATGAGAAAAGCAAGAAAATGGTTTCATCTTTAAATCTAAATTTTTAAACAAAATTAATATAAAAGACGCAAAAATTAATGAATCAAGATAAATTGATATAACCTGAGAAGAGAGTGAACATGGATTAAAGATCAAAAGACGATTAAATGATTAAATTTGATTATCTTTAAAGTAGTCTTTAAAGGATAAGCAATGACATAATTCAGAATAATCTGTTTTAGGTTCACTCAAAGAGATTCAGTCTTTACAGTGAAAAAAATCGTTGATGAAATTCAATTTTGAGCTCTTTGAACATTCACTTTATGAATGAGTGAATAAGCTTTTACTCAGTTTTACCGTAACATGAAAATTTGTGCAAAAAATGGGAAAATATTTTTTCTCATTTACAAGTGAAACGTTAAATTGATCATCGCCCACTTGATCCACTAAAAGTAAACCTACGCAGGTAATTGGTTAAAGGTTAAAATTAGTTTTTGGTAATACTTTTAGCTATGGTCAATGGCAACAAAATATTGGCCAGTGTCTTCAACCTATTGGCTATTTGTCAAGAGTAACAAAGTAAACTTGAAATCTGATAATTTCATTTCATCAGGAAATCATTATTGTTGAGAAAGAAATGAAAGAATGTAATCTTTTGTACTAACGATACTGGCTAATTTGATATTATTGCTGAAGATGCTTGTTGAAAGGTATTCAATTTTCATGGGATCATGTTTTAAACTGACATTGAGATTAGTCTCTTAATATCCACGTGACTGTGATCTTGTTCATTCTTTGTTTTGTTTCAGGGTAAATCTTGAGATTCACAGATTCAGTTAAACATCTTTTCTTGTTCCGTCTTTCCATTTGTTTCCTTTTTTGTCATCTTGATATGATATTATTTTTCTTTCGCTTTCAATGTTTTTGTTACATTTGGCTTCATCTTAAACAGCAGTTAGTTTGATTGTGATGAGAAGCGTATCACCAAAATAGGTTTGGAAACAACAGCAACAGAAAGATATTGGTACAGCCCAGTTTGAATTGTGTTGATCATGAGAAATGACATTTAAGTTTCCTCCTTTAATAACCTAGAAAATACATGAACGTTTTCACCCTGATTCAGTGACAGAGTTGAACAATATCTTTCAATCAACAATGTGCTCAACTTGTTTTCACTTTAACCATGTTAAATGTGATTCTAACTCTATTACTTTCCAAAAATGTTTTGCTCATTTAGACTGTAAACAAGTTCAACAACCTTTTACTTCAACATATACACACACACACTCACAAGCTCACATAAAAACAACAACAACAACAAAATCCTATTCCAATAATATGAAACTGTTTACCAAATCAAGTCTACTTTCATCAAGATTGTATTACTATTACTACGATATCAAATAGTATAGGTTATAAAAGACTCATTCATTTACGAGTTAAGTTGAGCCTCTTCAGAATGCTCAGTTAATATGATGAATGAAGAGAAACTGAAGAGAGACAGAAGAAGAGGTGAGAGACTGAGAAAAAGCATTTGCTTATGAAGACGGATAGAAAAAAATCGATTAATTCTCATGTAGAGATACCTTCACTCTCATTCAGGATTCCCTCTAGATATACCTACGGATTGAATCATCTCAATCTATCTTTCACTCATCTTTACCTCCTTAGCATCACCTTCACTCTACTCCTTGGGCCTATCATCATTTTGCTACTTTTTTACTTTCTCTTACCATTCGAGTGACTCTCACTCTTACATTCATCACCTCAACTCTTCATCCTCTCTCTCTCTGACAGCCTCAGTTATCCAATAATTGTACCTTCATCTAAAAACGTCAATGAAAGCGTAAAATATTGCTCTTCCAAAAATTCTTATTTATCTTCTTCATTTCCTCTTCTACTACTCATCTTCAATTCCAATGTGAAATCATTTTCTTTTTTTGGATTTTCTTTTTTTTCAGCTATTTTCATCTTTCACCATTTTTCGTCGCTTTGAACCTTTTTTTCCTCTTCTTTCTTTCCCTATTATCATCATGGCTTTGCTGTTCTTCCTAACATCAAACGGTGTCTTGAGGGTTGAATAAATAATCTGGGCATAAATTTGAATTTCCATGTTGACAGGGAGCTCTGTTGGCAAAAATTTATCGTCTTACATTTCCTTTAACAATGGAAGCTTCCGGATGGCAACAGGTACCTCCGCCAACGCATTGCTGCTTAAATCTCTGTTAAAAAGGGATAAAAAAGATAATCATGAATTATTTTAAGTCAACTGTTAAACATTACAATATTAAGGATGAAATTTAATGTGATTTGAACCAGAATGATTAATATTTGAGTAATCGTGACAAATAATGTAGACAAAAAACACAAAAACAATATGATAATCATCAGGATATTGTTCAAGAGTTAATTAGAGTTTAACAAGAAAGGTTAACCTTTAAATTATCCATGAACTGTTCATAGAAGATCAATTGACCTTATTGATTGTATTTACTTATTACTAGATTCATGAAAAATCCATTATCAATCATAATCATCAATATATTCTGATATTACCATCAATATCATCATTGAGCCAGAATTGGGGAAAAAGAAAGAAAAACTTGGAACCATCTTAATACGATTAAAGATTATTAACCCGATTCGATTCTTGACTTTACTCTTGTTTCTATCATGAATATATATCAAGTGTATGAAGTGGCCAAAATGACGAGCAAGTCAATAATTAACTAATTAATAATAGAGTGTAAATTAAATTGAAGTTCTGTGATCTATTGAGTAAAAACCTGATTCAAAGTTAACTTGTCAAGTTGCTCAATTGACAAAGTTATATTTAAACTTGATTTATGAGGTTGTTAAATAGCGAAACAGTGACAACATAACAAAAAGCTGAGCAAAATTAACTGATCAATGTGATACATCAACTTCTTTGTGTGACAAAGAAAGTAAAGGTGTCCAAATTATGTACGCAGCTATTAACTAAATTTTGCAGACATAATTAAAGTTTAGAAGAGGTTATTGGATATCAGAAATCACCCAAAATGGCAATTAGATGATATTGATAAGTGGATGGAAGAAGAGTGAAAAAAAAGGTTTTCTCATCAGTCTTTTCGATTCTCGAGCTTGTAATTGTAGATTAAACTTGTCAATTCTAGGAGTTTTTATCGGTTGGTTGGATCAACTAAACTCTCGTCTCTTCAAATGACACAGCCCATGGATAAGGTGAAGGTAAATTGTATTAAACAAGACTTTGCTTTAACTTTTTTTCCAGGCACCAATTTAAAATCTGACAATATAATAAAAGAAATGATATTAATATAATGTGATAGATATATAGAAGTATAAGTTTCAATGTAAATATTGGCAACTCATGAAAGTCATATTTAGATTCAAGTTAAATATACATTTCAAGAATATTATCGAGAGTAGCACAAAAGAGTGTAAGGATTTAATGAAAAGCTTAGGATCATTTTTCATTCAATTCACATATTTAGGGTTAGTTGAGCTTGACTCTTCATTTCATCGTCATCTCCATCTTCACTTAACTTGGTCTCATCCTAATCCTTGCATATACTCAAACAGACCTGAGAGAGGAATGGCAAGTGAAAGGTAAAGAAGATGAATTTATTATTATTCTTGATCTTTTTCTTTCGTGATGGAAATTATTGAAAATCATTTCAACAATTTTTTTTCATCATTTTGTCAAACTGCATGGGTTGATGTAATATCATTACCTTTTCCTCACACTAACTTGTTGATCATAAATTTGAGTGTATGTCTGTGTTTACACTAGCGCTTAATTGTACTCTTGAATAATCAAAATTCAAGAATTGATGGATTGATTGTGATTCAATGAGTACTTAGTCAACTATGTCCAGACTGACTGGCTATCCAACAAGAGTAAATTTATCCATGCATATAAATGACCAAAAACACTTCACTCATGAAGGAGACTTTAGTTACTTTGTTGAGACAGTTAATTGATTAATTTACGAGAAGGTGAAGAGTGAAATTTTTCGTCACCAGCAAAATTTTCGATTCAATCCTTGTCCTTTGAAATTGATGAAATATCGTTGGTGTTGGCAAGTTAAACAGATTATTCAATGAATTGAACTGTATGGGCCATTTCCTATCTACAATCTTCATGATTGATTTATTTAATCTACTCTTAGATCAATAGGATTTCAAATATTAATCATTGGTTTTGCTAAAAGGATGGCTTATAAAAAGATTGAGAAAAAAAATAAGTGATTTAAGTGAAAATAATGGTCAAAAAGGGGAAACAGGCAAAGTTTAAGTGAGATTGATGTAACTTGTAACAGCATTTGTACTTACAATTCCTTTAGCTTAACTAGTGGTTTTAAAGAGTCCGGATCAATTTGATTGATATTGTTATTGGACAAGTCGAGAAGTATTAAACTTTCAAGCCCATCAAACATTCCTATTACAATCTCCTCAATCATATTACTGGTCAAAAACAGATGAGTCAAATCGGGATAGGATCTGAATGTTCCGTTAATCCAGCTCGTTAACTTGTTGAAACTAAGATTTCTGCAGAGAAAAGAAAAATCAATTAGATCTTCAGTGTAAGATTGTCTATATATACTTGGAACACGTATAACTTGTATTTCATGGGTTCTAACAAGAAATTTTTCCACTGTTATCATTGACTGTCTTTGTTGACAAATCTAATACAGAAATAGGCTATGGCGATGAGACGAAAACTGTCATTATGGGTTGATTTGTAGACAAGATTGAACCATCAATAATTGTCCTCATTATTTCCCTCTCTGATTGAAGAAAAAGGTTAAACTTGAATGTCCATCAGATTAATGTATTTTGTCTATCACAATCCATCGAAAATATTGAACAGCCATTCTCAAGAAAATCAAGCATCACGTGAAAAATCAATAACGGTAGATGGTTAAATCCGAAAGGATAATATGGATTTCATTGAAAGGTTGAGAAATACTTGAAAACACGTCATCCATTACTAATGACAATCAGGAATTACATATTTGACCATTGATATTTGGACCAAATTTACCATTTACATCTAAATCTGTAGTAACAGATATTAAGGTGACCAGGTCCAGAGTGTAAAAAAGATGATGCGAAGTGATAGAGCAAGAATATCTTTCCATTAAACAGTTTAACTTGTAAAACAAATCCAAGGAAATTCATGGTCCAGCTATTCCAAATGATGAATCTTTTACAGATAACTTATTGAAGAAATGGTAGATGGAATACGAGGGAAAATTGGTTCAATCAAAATGACAATAAACAATAATATAAATTACATTAGCAACAAATCTTGCAATAAAATTTGTGTAACATGTAGAGGCAGCAAAGAAAAGCTTTGAGTATCACCAATTTGACACTAAGTATCTTTCCAATTTACAATCCCAAGATGGTAATCATCAAAATTTAAATCACAAAGCTTATTATAGGGTGAAAAATCAGGAGCATAATCATAATTAAATTGGTCCAAAGAATTGGTGAATTGTCCGATAAAGTAAAACAAAAATGGTGAAACAAATAAAGAGAGGAGAGAGTCCAATAGATGTTTCCAGATTGATTGTCGTGAAATTGTATTGAACTTGTTTTTCATATATTTTACAAATCAGATTTATTTCTTCACTTAGTTTAATCAATTTTTGATGAAACTGACAAGTTGACATGACAGATTGAGATTTTGTTGAACGTTAACAATTTATATTAATTTGTTGAAGTAAGAATAATAGAAAAAAACTGAAAGCAAATGAGAAACGTAACAAAAGGATTGAAGAAGAAACAGTGTGATTACCACGTGACGTTGATTGGGAAAGGCGCCAAAAAATTGTCTTTCGATGACAGTTTGCAAGCTAATTAAGTACGCTTGTTGATAAAAAGCCATTGATTAACCAGAAAATAAATAAAAATGGCGATGAAAAGGGAAGAAACTTGTCAATATTAGTTAACTGAACTCTCGTCACAGCTAATACGACCAACAGTAAAAAGCTGTTTAAATTAGCATAATATCCATGACTACTTTACACCTAACAAGAGATTTACTACATTTGTGCTTGTGTATAATTAAGTATAGTTTTTTTGGGTTTATAAAAGATTAATAAATTGATTATTGATCAGTGTCAGTGAATAGTTTGATTATTGAATTAGGAATGAGTTGTTGAAAAAAGTGACATTAAGATGGCAAGTTATACGGTTAAAGCAAAGGTTAGAGCAACTTACAATTTTTTGGTTGCCGAGGAAATGTTGCCGGGAAAATTGATTAATCGCCTATTTGAACAATCAACATAAACACCATTACAGGAGCACTCGATTGGGCACTTGGGTGTAACAATTGAGGATAAACCACTTTTCAATTGATGAGTATTACAGCCTATTGGGATGATTACCGAGGATAAAATAATACAAAAGATCAATAGTGTAACACCATTGATATCAATGGGTTGGCGAGTTGGTTGTTGGTGTTGCTCCTGACAAAACAATTGTTTCATTCCAAGGCCTTCAATTTATATTATTGACCTCAAGTTTTTTCATAATTAAAGGTGTAACTGAATGTCGATCGACTATTGTTGAACATTAAAATGGTGAATGGCAAAGTTGGACCGTTAATAACAAGGAAAGCACAACTGAACACACAACTTTTGCTGCACAAGAAAAGAATGGAAAAATTCATTGGCTTAATGGATGGCTTATAAGTTCCTAGTTGTTTTCAAAGTCCAACTGTTGACCAACTTGTAGCAATTTAGGAGATCCATGGTAATTGAAAAGGGTTGTAAAAAAAGATATCACAATTTAACAAAAGAGTTGTAAAAACATTGTACTGTTACATCGTCCATCAACAAACTCGATTAGAGTTTGAGTGAGTAAATGAGGCTAAAGAGAAATGTTTTTTTTTCAATTCTGTTCCATTCAAGATTACATGCGCATTCAATTTGATGAACTATTAATTTTAAGTTTACTCAGTTTCATTCATTCAACTATAACTGAGATTGAAGAACACTTTTAATTGATTCATCTAAAGGTCAGATCTATCATAAATTCATATTCATTGTAACGAGCACTAAAAGTAAAGTGCTGTCACAATCTATTAATATTAACACTAATCAAAACATTCTACTTTCTTTTCTCATTCAAATCAAGTTTATTTGTTGTTGTAAAATAAGTGAACAGGTTAATTGTACAATCTAATAATGTTGATTCATCAAATTAGGAGTTAATTTTCATTAATTGAAAGAACCGCCTCTTGTTATTCAGATGGAGACACAGTCGAAAGTTTTGTTGTGAAAATTCAGATACAAATCTCTGATTCACATGTGAATTTTCGATGTTAATTGTTTGCGACTTAAAAGTTCTGTTATTGTAAATTGTTTTGGATTTCTTGGTTAACAATGGCTGCTGAATTGGTTCAACAAGGAGCTGAAGCGCGAATCTATTTTCTGGATTATGTTGGTTTCCCTGCAGTTCGCAAAGAAAGGTTTATCAAAACCTATCGACATCCACAATTGGATGAAAGATTAACTAAATCCAGAGTGAGAGCTGAGGTCAAGGCAATACACTGTTTAAAAACTAAATCAGCTCTATTGTCAAAATCAATGCCAACCATTCTTGGTGTATCAAATAACGATATAATCATGACAAGAATCGAAAATGCTTCAACCTTTCAAGAAAATATTTTGTCAGGTAATTCGCAAACTTGTTTGAGATTATAAAAAAATGTTCACTCATTTACTTTTTTATTGCAGAAATTACTAAATCAAATGACCGAGTAGAGCAATTATTTGACCAAGTTGGAGTTGTGATAAGTGAAATTCATAAAAGTGGTCTAATACATGGAGATCTAACAACATCCAACTTTATGATTAAAGACGATGGTACAATTGTTCCAATTGATTTCGGTTTATCGTCATTTAGTTCATCGATAGAAGATCAAGCAGTTGATTTGTATGTGTTAGAAAGATCACTTTTAACGCTTGGATTTGACACAAGTCACTTTTTCGCTATACTTCTCGCCCGGTATGAAAAAGAAATGGGAAAACCAGGATTATCTATTATAAAAAAGTTGGATGAGGTTAGAGCTCGTGGACGTAAAAGAGATATGGTTGGATAATATTAACATCATTTTCAAATTACACTGTATAATGTTAAATTTTTATTAAATTTTCTAAGAGATATTGTACATTACATCTCTATAAAACTCTTTGTAACAATAGGCTGTGCGGACTTTAATATTCCAATTTTGAAGTACGTTTATCATGGATTTTAAATTCATTATCATATGTTCTGCTTCCATTTAAACTTGATTTTTGTCTAAACTGCAGAATTTCTACATCGTTTGAATTTGTGTTCCCCGTGCTTTTACATGACTACTATGGATTCTGATAATATTGATGGTTACAAAAAAGAGCTTTTAAATGCCAGAGTAATGCTGAAAGCCAGACGAAGACTTGATGCACAAGAGAAACTCGAAAAATTGGTCGACGATTTAAGACCAAGAGATGAAAATTTATTGCTCGAAACGTTAATAACGTTAGCTGATCTATTGGATGACATGGGATATCATACAGATTCATTGAGTAGAAGAAATGAAGCTGTTGATCTATCGATAAAACTATTTACTGTTAAGCACAAGAAAGTAGCTGATCAGTTGATCGCTCGAGCTAATACAACCTGGACTCTTCTGGATAAACACGAAGAGCGAACTTTGATACTCAAATATGCCAACGAAACTAAATCAAGTATTCGTGATGCAGTTAAATTGTTGAAAATGCTCCCTACTTATCCAAATATTGATAAAGTAATGGCTGATTTGAGACAGAAGTTAACATGTGCCATCATGATTATCGAAGCTAATTCTAAGATTAATGGAGTGATGCAAAGCAAATCGAACCTGCAAAATGGAGGAATTGCTCAGAGTAGCGAGACTGAAGATCAGATCATGCTCGACGAGCCATACGCTATCTAATCCTTGCTGACAGCATATGATACTTCTGGTTGATTTGGTTAAGTCTTGAAATCGATATTTCTTTATAAGAAATAACCAGATAACATGAACATTAAAAAACATTTCATTTAATTCTCATGAATTTATTGTTTAATTTTTATCTAACATAATGAACAATGACCAGGCTACTAAAAACTTTCAAATTTATTCAATAGCTTTAATAATTGCTTCACTGACTTCTACGGCTACTTGAGCGGCAGCTTTTTCCTCTGGGCTTGATGCTTTACTTTCGTCAGTTTGAGCATCCTTCAATGCGTCACGAGCAGCATTGACATCAAGAAAATCCAACGGAACTGCTTCCTCAGCAAGTATCTGCACAGATGAATCTTCATTAATTGTAACTGTTCCGCTGCTCACTGTAAAAATAATTGAAAAGAATTATAAATAACATATTAGCAAACAATAAGGCTGAAGAATACAGGGAAATTAGTAAGCTTGAATAAAAACCCAATCATAATATTACGAAAAAGGTAACCTTTAAGATGATGTTTAAAAGACGATACCGACAAAGACGCTAGCGTTTATACTGTCAAATAATTGTAGCAACAATTGAATCAGAATAGATTATCATAAAAAAATAGGTTTCATGTTCTTGCATATGCTATTATAGACTATCCTAGTTTCCTAAGTTGACTCAATTTAAGGGCAAACCTATTTGAGCGAGCAAAATATGGTTTCGTTGATTTTACTTATTTTAAATGATTAGATATATTTTATAGGATCTAATTGAATTTAAATCTAACAAAATTTACCGAAATATTTCTTAGTATCTCCTTCATTCTCAAAAACAGTTACAACACCGGGCTTCAAGACTGCCAAAGTGGGTACATGTTGTGGAAGAATACCAAATGTACCACTGAATGATGGCACATCGACTTGTTTGACGTCAGCATCTTTATAATGTACCTGTAAAGATTTCAAAACACAAATAGATTAATTAAATATAGAAAATATGAATAAGAAAATAAAAATAAAATCAGTTGAACTTACCTCGTAAGGAGATGCAAAGGTGAAACTCATTGAATAAGCACGAGAAGATAATTTAGTAGAGCTAGCAATTTGGTTCACATTGCTAACACGAGTTAAACCTCGCAATTGAGTTAAAGATGATCTTAGAAGCGATGCCATATTTTTTTGATTTAAAAATTAATAAATACGAACAAGGGAAAATAATATAGTAAATACTTAACCAAATTCAATTTGATCTGACAAGGTCAACACAGCTGATGCAAAAACTGAATGCGCATGTTTCTTTATTTATCTGTTTTATTTGATATTTCAATTCATTTGCCTGAGCCTGCAATTCATTCACTCCTTTTTTAAAAAGTCATTTTATATCTTTGTTTTTCATTTTAACTCGACAAATCAAGATGAATCGTCTATTTGGTCGTGGTAAACCAAAGGAAGCCCCTCCGAACATATCTGATTGTATTGCTAATGTCGACAGTCGTGCTGAATCGATTGAGAAAAAGATCCAAAAACTTGACGCCGAACTGATGAAGTATAAAGAACAGATGAACAAAATGAGAGCTGGACCTGCAAAACAATCGGTGATGCAAAAGGCCATGCGAGTTTTGAAACAGAAAAAGATGTACGAACAACAAAAGGATAATTTATTGGCTCAATCGTTTAATATGGAGCAAGCAAATTTTACTACACAAATGTTGAAAGATACGAAAGCTACAGTGGATGCCATGAGATTGGGTGTGACTCAAATGAAGAAAGAAAACAAAAAGGTGAACATCGATGATATCGAAAATCTTCAAGACGAGTTAGAGGACATGCTTGACCAAGCAAATGAAGTCCAAGATGCCTTAAAAAGAAGCTACGGAGTTCCCGATGTCGATGAATCAGAGCTGGAGGCTGAATTGGAAGCACTAGGATCTGATTTAGCTGCTGATGCTGACACTTCATATTTAGAAGGTGTTCAGCTTGGTGTTCCTACGGCCCCGAGCAGTGAGCCCGGAAGTAGTGAACTGGTTGACGAGTTCGGACTTCCTAAGATTCCTGCCTCTTAAAGCGATTTGAGAAACTGGCATCCATCTTTAAAAGGAAACTGGCGCCTCCTACTCAGCTGTTTCTTTATTGACTATAAAACTGTTTTTCTTATTATCATTTTTTTTGAAAAAATCTCCAAAATGAAATAAACTGTAAAATTATCAGTGATTACAATCTACTTTTGTTTTAATTTATCTTACAAACATTAATAAACTATTCAACTAAATTGTTATCAGATCCGTGAGTATTATTTTGAAACTTTCTCTGTAACATCTATTGTTCAGAGACGAGTAGCCATTTTGGTCTTTATTGTTTTCTTTGTTTGCAACAGTTCCCTTTGTTTGTTTCTGCGTTTTTAGTTACCATTTGTTTATTGTAAAGTTTTTACTTTTTTAACTTGTTTATAAAGGTGCAATCGGATTATGTTAAATCATTTTAATGGTAATTCTTTATAAAGCCAATTCAAAAACATCGAGCTTATGTCTTCGCCAAAAGAGATTGATCTGAAATGTCCCATCTGTGAGAAAGAAAAAACAGCGTTCATTTGTGTAAAATGCATTTGCAGTGGCGATTTCGACAAATCAACCATGTTTTATGGTCATCGTTGTACAGCAGATACAGCTATCGCTTTTGATGCTAAAGATGCCACAATCGTCAAATGTACGATGAAAGATCAAAAGGCCTTCTCTAAGCTCCTGGAAGCTGAACAAACAAAACTAAATGAACGCTTCGAAGAGTTGGTTGCTGAGTACAAAAAATTGGAAGAGATTGAAAGTTATATTGCTGAATATGAGTTTAAAATTTCCAACATTAAAAATTTGATCAAACTTCGCAAGTCGGAGGCATCATTAGCCGAGAAACGTTCCCGTTCAATGGTCAAAGATGAAGAAAAGCTACGTACCCGTATTGAATCAACCCCTAATATTACAAAAGACTTCCGTGAAAGAATTAGTCGGGATAAGAGCCGTTTAGCTGACTTTTATGCTGAAAATAATGAAATCGAGGCCGAAATAAAAAAAAAGAATAGGGAAAATCTCTTGAAACTTAAAGATCTATTCCATTTTGAAAGAAAAGATCCACCAATGTTATATAATCAGGATACTCAAACAAGCTCTTCTACTGATTCGGAAACCGATATCATTAATGATAGATCCCGTTCTTCAGGATATTACACTAGAACGAGTCCTCATCATTACTGTATTGTTGAATCTTGGATTCCCGGAGGCACTGGAGTTTTGGATTATTATGAATTTATGGCACTGCGTAAACAACGTGAAAAGTTAAACAAGGAGTACGAGGATTTGCATTTAAATGATGACGAAAGTACTCGTGATAATCCTGCTTTTCGTATTACTGCTGCTCTATCAAATATATCTCAACTCATTTCCGTGGCCTCTGACATTCTGGATATTCGATTGCCGAAAAAACAAAAATATTTCGATTTTTATACAGCATACGATTGCTACAAGCCGAAAGAGCCCGAACTTTTCCCCTCAGAAAATGAATTATTACATAGAGCTGCCAAACTGAATGCAAATATAATATATCTTTGCCTTTCTCAAAACGTCCATTTTGATTTTTTGAATCCAAGCTCGACGGGTAAAAATTTAAACGCATTTTTTGATGCAAACAACAGTAACCTCGGCAGAACAGGACCCATCTCAATTCCTCAAGATGTAAGTCAAGTTATTGAAGACTGTTTGCTTCCCAACAATAACCTGTACACGGATTTTGAAGATTTTGAATTTATTGAAGAAGGCGATTGGGAAGCTGTACCGAGATCTTCGGTAATTAATATTCCTCACGATAATCAAAGTACTATTAATAGTGAAAGCATCTTGACTAATCTTGCGGAAACATGGTACAACGCGGTAACATCCTTTATTAGAGGATGATGCGATTTCATCTTAATAATAATCAATAAAAATGATTTTTCAGATAATATAATGTTTAAACTATTCTTCTTAAGATTAATCACATGAGAGCAATTTATTTAATTTCAATTGTTAGGCTGTTTTTTTGAGACTTCAATACGAATTAGAGTCAAGAGATCGTGAGCTTAGCAGACGAGGTTATTTAGTAAAACTTCTCACATTGAGAATTGATGTGACTAGCCAAAAAGCTAATTCTATATTGACAATTTTAAATTTTTAAATTAAGCTGTTTTTGTTTTAAATTTATAAGCTTAAAAATGATTAAAAAAAAGAGAGAAAAAAAAGAAATTATTTTGTTCACATAGACCAAGCTGTCAGCTTACGCCACATTAGATAGATTCTCATGAAGGAAAGGGTCTTTCATATAGAAAGGTTCAACTGAATGTTGTGAAAAGTCTCAAAGAAAAATGAATTTAAATTAGCCCAGGCAGTTTGGTTTGTAACTCGATAAAAAAAGTTTCTTGTGACAAGACACTTTCATGAGGTTGAAAAGAAAAGAAGAGAATTGACATGGATGATAATTTTAAGAGTAATTTTTTTGAACGATTCTTATTTTGTTTCCAACACGTTCCTGGTTATGTTCTCCGAAAATGATAGAGGAGTCGGCTGAAAGAAGATGAAATAAAATTTAGTTTGATTAATGTTCAAAAAATGATTTCATTTAAGCAGAAAAGTAAAAGAAATTTATTCCGAAGAAAATTTTCTAACCTCCAACAATTTTCTTCGAATTTCAGTAGAGGATGATATCGTCAAGAGATCGTCTTTAAGTTCCAACAATGTGTATTTGGCAATGATCGGCAGTATTTTGAAGGAACCACTAACCAGGCGATCCCAAAGCCTTAAAAAATAACAAAAAGGCGAAGATGATGAAGATGCGCGATGATAAATTTGCGCGCAAAGGAAAGGGAGTTACAATTCAATTAAAAATCAAGGTTGTCGCTGGTGGCCATCAATTACCTCACTAAGCAACTATCATGGATTATTCCAGAAAAGCATCGACAAAACCATACAGAGATTGGCAAAACGTCTATGGCACCCGTTTCTTCCAAGTGTTTTTCTAAATCTTTGTCTTCAATTGTAAATTTTTGAGCCTGCAAATTGAACAGAGGGGAAATAAATTAAAACAAAGTTCGCAATAAAAATTTAGCAACAATTTACCATTTTTAAAATATTTTGCCTTTGCTCTTCGAGTTTAAGAAGGAAGGTTCGCATTAACCAATAAGTATCAACGAATGGGAAACCAAAATTTTCAAAGCTCATGGCTATAGCATTACATGTAACATTATCTTGTGAAGCAAGCTAAAGTAGAAAGAATGAAACATTATTTTTATTTTTAGCAGTAACATCGTGAATTGCAATTAAATTGATTGGCTATCTCTAGAAAAATGAAATGGGTGCAATAATTCGCAAATTTCTAGTTTCGATTATTAAACATGTGGAAAAAAAGTGCACAAAAGTTCAGGTTTCGCATGGAAAATCAATTAATGATCAAAACAGGTTCTTGATCTTTCACGCTTCTTTCTTTTTCATGGCAAAACACGCTTCCTCACTCTCATCTACGTGTACGATCATGTCCAAAAGGCTGAAAAGTGGAGTCCATAGCAACAATCATATAAGCCATCAACAAAATTCTGGTCTTTAAAATTCAATTCACCATGAAAAAGAAAGATATGTAAAGTTTTATATGCATACTTACTTGCTTATCTATATCAAAAGATAGATCTTTAATTTCTAATATATACATTAACAACAATTTAGTACTGTTTTTGGTGCAACCATTGATCATTGAGAGACTTTTCAAAGCCGATTCGAGGAAATTGCAAGTTTCTTTGTGAATATTTTCGATATACTCATCACCAGGTTCCGTACGAGCTGTGATCCCTAAACAAGAGATGTAAAGAAACGGAAAGCAAAGAAAAAAAACAAGAAAAAAAGGAGCTTTAGAAAGGAGTTTAATTGAAAGGAAAGGGTCAAAAATTAATTACCGAGCAGTGTTTTCCAGGCAATGACTCTTCTAGTAGATGTTAATCCAAACTTGAGAACATATTGTTGTAATTTAGTCAAATTAACAGGTCTCTCTTCCAATAGCTTATCAATTGCTTTAAGATCAACTCCTTTCAAAATTTTATCATAATAAGGTAATCTAAAATTGCGCTCTTCTTCACCGGCCATTTGCATCGATAGAGTAATGGTAAGATCCTATCAATGGTCACAAAGGTCAAATTAGTTAAAAACAAAAAAAAACGTAAAATTAAGAATCACAATTTTGACATAATAATTTCCATCTTCACTATTGATAAATTACAAAAACAGTCCTAGCAACAAGAACCCCCTTTTTTCAGCTCTCAATCCAAGCCCTAACGGAGTAAAAAGCAACTAACCAGGTCTGCCTTTGAATCAATTCAATTGATTCAATTGGTGGAAACAGATGTAGAGACAAGGAAGCGCAAAATTCAATTTAATTTCTGATCTAATAGGACAGATTTTTTATTCACAAACAAATGATTGCAATTCTTAATGAACTTATCTTAACCAAGGAATATTCATATTTCTTTTAGCCTGGTAACTTCTGTAGATTAAATGGTGAAAGCTCGATTTTCATACAATTGTATTACCTTTAAACTAACCGTTACTGTTAGCCTTTTGTTTTATATTTACTTTGCATCTATTTAACTTTCATTTTATTTTATGTTAACATTAACCAAATTGTTTATTTATTTTGATTTATTTTTTAATCCGTGAATATTTAGTTTCTCAAAATCAACCGTTTCAACCGTTACAATTAACAGTGCATGAAACTACTAGACATCAATGTCAACCTTCACCATGGACAAAAAGGATTCAGTCCAACAAGCTAAACTGGGTAAAGTAAAAAAACCAGGAATGTAGTAAATTTTAACTAATACAATCATCATTATCTTCATAATCATCATGATCATCATCACCATCATCACCCACTTATTCAACTTTAAACAAGTAAACATGGTGATAAAGCAAGCAATAGTAGCAAATCAATGTGTAATTGTCATCGCTACTTTACGCCCATGATTGATGGTAAATCAGCTGAAGAGGAAGACCAGTCAACACATACACACAGTCAAATTACTGTGTATATTTTATTGGTTAAAATACATGTTACTGACATTGGTAGATGAAAGTAAAGTCAAAAAATATGCTCTACAGTATGTGTAAAGGTTGGTTTTAAATGAACGTGAAATGAATTGCAGAAAAAGGACTAAATGAGAATGATATTTGTATGAAACAACTTCTCTTCTTCTCTCTTCCCTTTTCCTTTCCAACTCCCAGGGAACATTTATCATGGTATATTTGGAAGACCATTTTGGATGATGAGGAGAGATGAATGAAAAAACATAGTCTCTATTTGTAAGCCGATGTGGACAGTGGATCATCTTTACACCAATATATATATATTTTTTGAAATATATTGTCAAAAAAAATATATTGGAAAGTTGGTTGAGGTGAACGTGAATCGCCTTAAATCAGTAATAGAGTTGATAACTTTTTTTTTCCTCTCTTCCTTTATTATCATTATCATCACCATTATTATTATTATTAGTACTATTATCATTATTACACTAAACATTGATGGCAAAGGATAAGGTAAAAGATGTTGACAAGATTGGCACTTTAGAGGAATCAAAAAATGATAATAATGGAGGCAAGACGAGGTGAAAAAACAAAATGCTTACTCTTCAAAGGAATCACAATGGACTGTTCGTGCCTTTACAACTTCACATTCCCCTGTTTGTCTGGTGTAAAATGTTTACTCGACTGTTGATTCCTGTTGATTACAAGTTTAAAAATCATTGTTCCAATATATTTTTAATCATTGAAATGTCGCCTCATTATCAAGTTAGATGACACAAATAATTTCAAGCTTCATCTTTTCCCTTCTTTTTTTATTTATTCAATTCACGGTTTCATCAGTTGGTCCCCATCATTCAGTTAAATTATCAAATCACCCTAATGGCAATCATCATCATTATCACTGTATTTTCATCATCACCATAATCATCAAGTGCAGTTAAATATTTGCTCGAGAATCTTTCAAAGTTAAAATGAAATCTCAAATTGTCAACATCTAAACATTTTAAGGTCTAGGATGAAGCTTTATGCATAAATCTTGAATTTTACCTTGCAGTTTAACTCCAATGTTAATCAAAAATGGCAACAATCAACTAATAATAAAGTTGATATTGATGGTGAAAGCGCTTGCGTCCAAAATTTACACAACTAACTGATCATTTTCATCAGCCAAATGATGATGTTCATCTCACTCTGAACCATCATCCGTCTTTTTTTCATCACAAGTTTGTCCAAGTTTAGTTTGTTATTGAAACTTGCAAAAATAAAGCCACTAAATCACAATACAAATCACCTTTTATACTCAACTTTGCTTACAATTGGTTTACTTTGTAAAGTTACATATGATTTAATTGACTGTTGTGTTTCAATTTGTTAACAACAATCGGACTATCAAGTGAAAAGTTTCAATGAAATTTGATTATCTCTATCCGATTAACAATAGTTACAGTTTTAATTTGCCTTTATTTAAACTGAAACCCGATGTTAACCTAAAAGGTGAGTTTTAAACTATCAAATCTCAAATCCCAAACAAATTAACCTGAAACCACTTGAAACAATTTGTGCTTTACGACAATCAAAACATTCATATTGTCCGCTTTCTTTCAACTTATTAAGATAAACTATTATTGCAATCAAAATGATTGAAATAATTTGCTACTAACTTGATTATACCTCATTTGTCTTACCAAATAAGATGGATCACCAGACTTAACCATATTTGTTAATCATATCATATCTTTAATACCAATAATTACCAGTTTTATTTAAGAAAGTCTCACGTAATATAACAATCTAATTTATCTCAATCAATCAACCAACCAACTTGATCAATCATTCAACATGGCAAGCAAAAAAACCGAATCTTACAATTATTAGTGTATAACAATTGACAGGGATTATCAGCTGATTTTAACGATTCAATAAATCTAATTGATTTACAATTTTACAATATTTTACTCTATATTTACAATTGACTGATAAATTTGGTTACATAAGCGATGGTAATTACAGTGGAATGAATGTGAAAATGTTTTGATTAGAGTTGATATTGTTTTACACACAATTGATTTCAACGTTTAAGATGATTGCCAATATTTTGGTTAACTGGGTAAATGGTTACCTTAATAGCTTATTTTGTAACTTTTTCATCTCAACTGGAGTCACTTAGAAACTTGAAAACTTGCCTGATGATAATAATAATGATAGGAATGATAATAATTTATATAAATATGTTGGATGAGAGGTTTACCAAAAGGTTTTTGATAAATACATATAAACAAAAGGTATAAACAAACTCATAACTCTTTCCTCATAACCATTTAGATCCGCAAGTTTTTTGTTTGTATCTTGTTTTGCACCTTTTGTTTCCTTCATTGTTATATCCAATTTAAAGACCAGGCCAAAAACCCTTAAGGATTGCGATGAAAATTTCAAGTCATGTTCACAGTTTTGAAATTGAGATATCAATATATACAGCAAGATGAAGATGATGATGATGATGATAATCTTTCACACACACACACAAACATACATTTATATAACTTTCATCAAGTAATAAGATGAAAAAAATATAAATGGAAGGTAAAGTAAAAAAAGTTAACCAAGAAAAAAATGACAATTTTTAAGGTTAACTTCGTTTACTTGTCCCCTTGCATTACATTCAGACAATTTACAATTTAATCTTGATCATTTAACCAAATTACCTTGCACATTAAAATTATCTTGATAGAATTGGCAGGAAGAAAGGAAAGTTGTAAATGTATCTGAATATAATACAATAACGAAACATGTTTCAACAAAACAGTTTACATAATATTTATCAACTGTAAGTATGTTTTGTTGTATACCATGTGTATTGTACAATACGTTGTGATTGTTTAAATTGATTAGTCTTCATTAGATGTTGATAAAAAAACAAATCATCAATCCCCTTGTGTCCATTTACCAGGTAAAAACTAGGGTTTCTTTAGGTCTTTACATTGTCCTTTTCGTCTTCTGGCTTTGTTTCAGTTGATAGAGTTGTTACATGAAAGTCTAACCGTTGCAATAGCCAAGACCAAGTCCATTAAAAGAGAGACTGGAAAAAAGATAGAAAAGATTAATTTTAAAATGGACATTCAACTTGATTTTGTTATTTATATTAATAATATCTCACCGACCAATTGAAATTGACTCACCTATTATCTCTATTAGCTTGGAACAGAAGTTAATTCAATAAAGCCAAAAGATGTTCTCTGGTTGTCTTTGTAGGTTGTTGCTGTTGGTTTATCATTGTTTTTTGCTTTTAACCAAGTAATCTGTGGTGATGGTTTTGCGATCAGGGAACATTGGATAAAAAGAAAATTTTGTTACATGAATTGATCAGAAGAAATTTGAACAAAAATCATCTCATCACATAATAAACCGAAAAAAAAGCTAAACATGAAACTGTCAACAAAAAGTTACTGTTATAAGAAGCTAAACTCACTCTAATAACTGTGAACATATTTGCTCTTTTTTTAGACACTCTTATAGCTACTAACATCAATCTTGTCAGACGAACATGAAAAAACTAAAAATAACAAATCATTTTCAATGTTTTATTTTTTATATTAAGTTTACTCTAGTTATAACACTATTATATCAAATACACCTTTCTAAGGTATCGTCTTAATTATAATTGTGTCCCACAAAGTTATATCTTAAATCATGGATAGACTCAAGGATGAGACAAAGAACGGAGTAAAGGCGCGTATAAAACCACATGTCCACCCAAGTCATGGGCAACATTTCAATAATGGTTTTATTATTAAATTGTGTAACAAGATTTGGAAATCTTACATCGCTATTTCAACAATTAATGAAATTTCAAGTCAATCTATTATCCTAAGCCTTAAGATGGTTGCCTTCAAATTCTGGTTGCGTTATATTTATATTGATATATGAGATAACTCACCACCAACAACATAATCAACAAAGAAGGGTTATTTATCAAGAAGCTTAAAATTTGTTTGCTCAGAACATTAACCAGTCAAAAGGATTCAGATTTATCTCAATTTTTCAATTGTTGAAACATACCTGTTCTGTCAACCACAGAAACTTCATCACTTTGTATTTTCACTTTCATAACAACCCAAAAAAGCTGTTGATGTCGTGGTTTGATTGCTATATCAACAGGAAAAGAGATGATTCAAAGTAAGATTAAACAAATTGAAGATCTAATAATATTAATAATAACTTGTCCAAATCACACTGATTGTTAATATTATTTTAATCAACCAACTTTTATCCATTTGGATGTCCAGATTTCATGTTTACCTTTCACCCAAGTTTTCCACTCTACCCAAAGCAAATATTACAACCAGTACTCAATTCAATTGTATCAATAATATTTTTGTGTTTCAAAATTTCCGCTCTCATCTTCAATAATTATCAATTTCACTGGTTGCTGATGAAAATCCAAATATATTGAACACTTAAACATTAATTTAATACAATTGACGTTTAGGATTGTAACCAGAAAAAAAATAATGACAAGATGGATTCAAATTGAAAAGATTTATTGATTATCATTATTTATGTGAGGTAAAAAAGCATAACTTCAACTCTTGAAATGTATTCATTTAAGGTAAACAGACGATCTCTAACAAGAAAAGGTTAAATCATTTTACCAACCGAATAAAATTATCATTTGATAATCAGATGATAAATATAAACATTTCTGGTTATGGTAAATAGCTGTGAAATGAATTGAAATGAACCACATTATCAATTCAAGTTAATAAGACTTATTTTTAAGCCAGAATCAACTGTTATCCACAAATTGGCTTCAAAAATCTTGTTTAATCATAAGACATCTCAACTTTAAAATTCATTTTCACAATTTAGTGCATTAAACATGGATTCCAATGATCCTGTATTTCATACACTCATATTGAGCATTAGAGTGGTTATGAACACTTTATGCTGTGAAGCAAATTGCGAATCAACGATCTGTTGATTGAAGCCTTAAGATCAAAAATTGAGTTTTAATGATTTTCATCTTCTTTTCTTTTCTTACAGAGATAATTGTATTTATTGTGATGACATTTTTCCTGGTTGAATGTCAACCATCAAACTATTATTTACCCAGCAATCCTAACCAAAACCATCAACCTGCTTACCATAGTTTAAATCCAGAAAGGCCAGAGTTTATTAAAAGTATACCTAATTTATCAATTGTTACTGGTAAAGACGCTGTTATGAGATGTTCTGTTAAAAATTTAGGAAACAATATTGTAATTATCATTTTACTTTGAACCTTTTGTTAACTTTTAACAATTATTTAACAACTCTTTCCTTTATTTATTTGTTTCAGATTTCTTGGCATCATTTAGAAACCAATTCTGATCTCACCATTAATAAACAAGTTTTATCTTCCAATCCTCGGATTAAAATTAAACAGGATAAAAATGATTGGCTATTAATAATAAATAACGTTTCACTGGAGGATAGAGGCTTTTATATTTGTCGTATCAATTGGCTTGAACCTAAGTCACAACTTGGTTATCTAAATGTTGTCGGTAAGTTTAGGCCTAAAAGCCAAATCAAACCTTGATTTTTTACTGGACTGATCATTTGAGTCCCTGTTTGTTGTTAGAATACTCGAAACGATTGAAACAAATGTTGAAATATTAATAAGAAAACTATTGAAACTCATTAAGACAAACACTTGTTTGAATTGTTTCGTATCTTCCAGTAAGCATCGAACCAACCGATCAACTTTGGTGTCCAATTTATTTTATAGAAACGATTCTTTAACCCATTTATTCAAATTTATTTAACTAATGACTGACTTAGTGAATCAATCGCTTAAAACTAGGATTAACATTTAATATTAACTTTTGTTCATTTCCAGAGCCTCCAAGATTTGATGAAAGCTCATTTACAAGTGGCAGTGAAACAACGGTTCGAGAAAATAGTAATTTAACGTTAACTTGTCGTGCTTCCGGTAATCCGAGTCCAACAATTGAATGGCGTCGTGAAGATGGTCGGCCAATATATCAATCAAGTCCAAAAGGATTGTATCCGGAGACAGGTATGGTTAACTAGAGTTAAAAATAGACATGAAAAGATGATCTTCCAATTAGTCAATTGAATGATCCCATAAAGAATATCTTTTGTTTGGTAAATGAAATGGAAAGTCAATTTCATCTTTCTGTGTCTCCTTAACCAGATAGTTTTGCTATTAAGTGTGTGTTACTTAAGATAATCATTGATAATCCATTAATCTGATCTTATTAAAAGGTGTGCCTTCGGTTATTGGTGAAGAACTGAGTTTCACCCCAATAACCAGATGGAACATGGGTTCATATCTTTGCATTGCTTCCAATGGTGTACCTCCTTCAATAAGCCGTCGAGTGATAATCTATGTCCAATGTAAGTATCTAATTAATTTATTATAAACCATCAGAAAGAAAAGTGACTAATTAGTTTCTTATATTTACTTTCAGTTGCTCCAGTAATTAGGATACCTTCAGTAAGTGTTACTGGAACCAAAGGTGCAAATGTAACTCTACAATGCTCAAGTGAATCAAGTCCAATTGCTGATCACAGTTGGCTTGATCAAACTGGTAAACTTATCGGTTCCTCTGGTTTACCCAATCTGAAAGCTGCCAATAAACAAAACAACAAAACGTCTGTCGATGCCAAAACCAGTTTAAAATACACTATTCAATTAATTAAAACGTACCACTTCAAGATTACCTATCAATTGACCCTCACTGACCTAGACTATGGAGACACAGGTCGCTACATTTGCCATGCGAAAAATATTCTTGGATTTGCAAAGTCAAGCATTTTCTTGCAAGGCAAGTCATTACCAAACCTAACTCCAACTCCAATACAAAAAAAACAATATTCAGACAGGGTTAGATTTACATTTTGATAGATTCAGTTGAGTTGAATGAATTGATAAAGAGTTGGACAATGATTTGACCATTAAATGTGAACCAATTTAAAAGATGATTTATGAAAGATAACAAAATGAAGTTCCATTGATAATATTTAAAACAATGTTTCTTTTTGTTGCTGGTTGACTGACAAATGTATCAAAATGTATAACTAAATATTAGATAATAGATTCAACCAAAAGGGACAAACAAAATGGTAAACATATGGATTTGTGAATAATTATGATATTAATAGCAATAATAGCGATAATAATAACGATAATAATAACGATAATAATGATGATAATAATGATAATATATATTGGTAAAGATACAAAATAAATATAGATTTTAATTGACAATTGGAGTTGTGTGTTGAACCTGCAAGTGTAAATCAATTGACAATTGGTTGTAAGTGTTGAGTCGCGATTGAAAGTCAATAAATTGCTCCAATAAAACTAAATAATATAATTGATGAAAGGTTAATTTAATAATATAACACAAGAAAAGGTATACAAGATATGGTCACGATATGGTCACGAATTATCATTCTGATTCAGTTTGCATATCATCCCATGAGACTTTAATAATAACCTTTTGAACAAACTTGAACAGTACAATTTATCTTGCTTTATTATAATTACCTTTTGTATTTTTACCTTTTTCAGTTTCTATTCATCTTTCAACTTTTTTTGCTAGTTTCAATTGATTGAGTTTACATTAATTAAAACTAAACACAATTGCTCTTTTTTTTATATTTTAACCCATTAAACCGATAATTATTATAAAACTGGTCAAAACCCAATTCATATCTTAACCAGAAACAGCAGGAATACCAATAGTCACAGGTTCACCAAGTTAATAATTAGATGATGAAAAGGTATTTGCTGAACCACTCCCAGTCAGTCCCTTAATCAACTCCCATTCAATTGAATAATTATCCAAGTCAACACGTATTTCAATGACAATTTACCTTGCAATTCAGTCTCTTGCTCCTATTTAATATTACAGTCATTTGTTTTGAATCATTAAAACAAGTACTTTACCTTATGTTAACCATTTTAACCTCAACAAGATATCCTTCAATTGACCAATTACACTGGTAAACAGTAGCCAGTGATGGTTAGCTGTTTAACACTAGAAATGTAATCTTTCTGTTTATCCTTTTCAAGTGTTTAAGATTAGTATTTGAGTTGTTGAATAATTGATTGCTATTCAACGTGTTTATTATCATCATGGTATAACCATCATTATGATTAGTAAATCAAACTGATACTTGAGTTTATAAATGTTGATCCAGGTTAGATTTATTCATTAGCAAGATCATTTGGAGGAAGAAAATGTTATTAATAATTAACTGATTCACTGTTGATAATGTTTTACCTTTAAATTATATTTTCATATCAAACTAACTTACTAAATCTAGATTACAGTAATCATCATCAATTTACGCCAAAATTATCTTTTACCTCAACTTTAACTATTTATTAGCTAACAAACCGTAAATCTCATCCCAATGTATAATACAAATCACTTTGAGTTTTTGCGGTTTTACTTCATTAAACATGTAACCATTACTTTTGTTTTAACCCAAAAAACCTAACTTATTGGTCAACCTTTAATACCAATTCAATTTTAATCTAATTTCATCTTCTATTCTCAACAGTTAAGGATTATTCAAAAGCAATTGACAATTCAATTTCAACAAAAGACGATAACAATTTGGATTCAGATTCGGAAGCAAATAGCGCTGAGATTGACAATTCAACCGTACTTCAACCTTCCGAGTTAACCACAATTGCACCCAAAACCAGTTGGATTTCAAGTGATGTCACCTCGACCAGTGAAGTCAATTCAAATGAATCAATCAAAGATTCTGGTTCAATTTTGCTACCAATCAAATCAACTCTGATTACTTTAACAATCTTATTGAATAATTTATTGTTCAAATAAAAGGCTAAACCGCAATTTCAATTGTTAAACACTTTGTTTTACCTGAAAATAACAAAATTTTAAAACTGTCAATTAAACTCCAATGAGAATCAACTCCAAATGTAAAGTGATAATCAACTGCTTTAAACTCAACTTTAGTCTTAAGTTGATTGTTACTCTGGTTAAATTACTGACTAAAATTATTGTTAGTTAACTGAAGTCTCATGAGAAACATAATTGAATTGTTTTAAGGTTTTTTTGCTTCACTGTTGTATTAACAAGAGCAGGTAAAAAAAGCTGGAAAGTTAAAAGTTGCTGGTTAGATTACAATTTAATGGACAGGTTAATCCATCAAATTGAACATTAAACCATTTATCATGAGCATAATAATTTGAATAACTTTTAAATTATAATCATTACAAGCACAAAACAAGAAGCTAATCAAGTTAATTTAACATTCATTTCAACCAAATAGCTAATATATTCATTACACATTTAACCACATTTAAGTCAATAATTATTGGAGTTGTAAGATACATTAGTAATGGCCATTTATTATGATTCAATTCAAAGGTAAAAAGTTAACCAGTCAATTGATTAATGTTTAACTCTTCGTTTAACAGGTTAATTTAAATTTCCACCGTTAATTGTTAAGTCAGTTGACTAAAGATTGATAGACTGTTTAAAGTGTACATTTTTGATAATATTGGATGCATACACAAATGTAATCAAAAGTGGAAGCTGATTATTGAAGTTGAAATGAAATTGTATGTAAATATAAATAACAAATGAATATATTAACTTTGATAGGTTTTTGGATTGTTGTTGTTGTGCTGAGAGATGTTCACAATTGAATCATAAATATTTAAGGGTGAACAATCAAGTCAACAAAATGCCTTTCAACTCTATACATATATTGCAAGTGTTCATCAATCGTCTTAATACTTATTACTATTATTATTAGTATTACTGTTATTACAGTGAAAATGGTTGTTAATAATAATGATAATAATGTGTAAAGTAATAAGTCTTTTTGCTTGTTGAAGGTTTCATATCAAAACTGATCCAATGGTAAGTTATCAGTTATAACAAATACAAAAGTGTTATACATTATACTTTTACTATGCACCTTCATTTTACTCCTTTCAACTCTTCCTATCACCAAACCTTTACACTAAATCATGTTAACATGCAACTGATTATCAAGGGAATTCCATGTGTTATTTCACTAGATTGCTGTATAGGTAAGAATCAACCATTATCTTGCCGTCTTCATATTCACCTTGATTTGTTCAAGTCAACACCAATTGTAGGATCAACCTTTTAAATCATTTTCACTCTTCAACATTAATGCAATCATGGGTTCCATTAAAATAAGCGTCAAATTATTTGGATAACATTTTAAGTTTAATTTAGTTAATTGTTCGACTTACATTTGCTGATACATTTGAATATAAGTCAGTGTTGAGTTAACCTTTTGTTTGTGTGGCCAGCTTTGGACAGCTTTTAAGGCCTAACATTTGTTAGTTGTTTTCCTATCCATTAGTTAACCCTGACCACTACTGTATAAGCTTGCATTTGTTGATTCAATTGTTAAACAGCTATTTTTGTGTTTACCATATCTTTTAATCTGCCCATGAATTAATCATTTATTACTCTCAACTGTCTTATTGAATCGCTTTAATCTTGTTATCAGATTAACCATTTGACGGTTTTATTTCGATTGATTAATCTTTTCATTTGATCCTCAATTAACTCAACTTTTGGCACAATTTTAACATTCTAATCAGCTACAGTTATGGTCACACATGATCATAATTAACATGAGAGTTACATATTACCGTATTTATTTCTCCCATTAAAGACAAACTTTTCATGGATTAACTCATGCAAAACATTGTATTTATATTTATAATGATATTCTGATGAAACCGAGTCGCGTTAATTACCTCAAATTAAGGATGATTAAAATGAGAGAGTAAATTTCATTCAAAATGAATTCATGCCAGGACAATCGTTTTCTTATTAATATTGAATCAACATCATTCAACACTTTTTAACCATTATAGTTTGTTTGACAGGAATATATCAAATTTATGGATAGATTTTGATTTGCTAAAAAAATTAAAGTCGATTTGGTATTCCAAATTGAAAATAAACATTAGCAAATAAGGATAAATAACATAAAATTAGCATTCAATTGTTTATCAGAAAGTTGATAAATGACTACAAATTGTTAGTTTTGACCAGACTGTACAATTTTGGACTTTTATTTAACAATAAAATTCACTTTAGCCTTTGAGATTTTCATCTCACTGAACAAGTGACGGGAAAAAAGATTTACATTACATGGCATTTTAATTACTTTAAATTTACGGACTTTCGATATTTTTGGGGTTACTTCAGCTATTGGAATAATTAATATATTCCTCTTTCTGTTTCTTACTTTTTCTGATTATCAATTTTGTTTTGTTTGTTTTGAAAATATTTCAAAAAAGATACAAAGGCGATTAACTGTAGATAGTGATCGAAGTAAGAAAAATATATTAACTATTCCAATGGATGGAGTAACTCCAAAAATATTGAAAGTCCATAAATTTACTGTAGTTTATAAACGCTCTTTTTAACGATCTATTTCACCGAAAACGATATCTAAAGTACCAATGACGGCCACTACATCAGCAAGGAATGCACCTGCACAAAGTTTATCTATGGCTGCTAAATGAGCAAATCCAGGAGCTTTGATTTTACAACGATAAGGTCGGCTGGTTCCATCGGAAACAAGATAAAGTCCAAATTCACCTTTTGGAGCTTCAACTGCGGTATAAGTTGATCCTGCTGGAACTTGATAACCTTCTGTGAAAAGTTTGAAATGATGAATCAATGATTCCATAGAAGATTTCATATCTGCTCGTGATGGTGGAACAACTTTATTATCGTCAGCTTTAACAGGACCACTTGGCATTTTATTCAAACACTGCTCTATTATTCGAACGGATTGTCTCATTTCGAGCATTCTACAAAGATAACGATCATAACAGTCACCTTTAACTCCTACTGGAACATCAAACTCAAAATCTTGGTAATCGTCATATGGTTGAGTTTTTCTTAAATCCCATTTAATACCACTACCTCGAAGCATTACCCCGCTGAATCCATGATTAAGAGCATCTTCAGCTGAAATCACTCCAATATCAACGGTTCGAGCTTTAAAAATTTCACTGCCAGTTAGCAATTCGTCAATTTCATCAATACGATTAGGAAATTGAGTTGCCCATTGATAAATGTCATCCATTAAACCTAAAGGGATATCTTGATTGACACCACCGGGTCTAACATAAGCTGCGTGCATACGAGCTCCAGATACTCGTTCATAGAATTCACATAATTTCTCTCTTTCTTCAAAAAGCCAGAAAAATGGTGTAATGGCACCCAAATCAAGAGCTTGAGTTCCAATATTCATCATGTGGTTTAAACAACGAGTAATTTCAGCATACAAAACTCGAATATATTTAGCTCTTTTAGGAATTTCCATGTTCAATAATTTTTCAATAGCCAAAGAATAGCATTGCTCATTGACCATCATAGAAACATAATCAAGACGATCCATGTAGGGTAAGGCTTGAGTATATGTTTTATATTCCATCAGTTTTTCGGTTCCTCTATGGAGAAGTCCAATATGTGGATCCAATTTTATGATTTGTTCACCATCAATTTCACAAATAAGTCGAAGTACACCGTGAGCAGCAGGGTGCTGAGGTCCAAAGTTGAATCTAGCATTTTGGATCACTTTTTCATGAGGCTTTTCCCTGATGTAGTCATTACGTTTAGGCCTCCATTCAAGTTCTGGTTCATCGATAGCAACACCTAAAGGAGTTTCCCATGATTCATACCATTGTCTGTCAGGCCACCACTGACGAGCTCCACGAACTTGTTCAATTTTAGAATTAGATAAATTACTTAACACACCACCAACAGCTTGGTGACCTTTGATGAAGGTAAGAGTAGATGAAGTTCTACCACCAAGAGTACGTCCAATGTTGACCAAGTTTAATAATGAAGTCATGGTGGCTTTGTTGGTGGAGTATGCAAATAAAATTAATTTAGCAGAGAAAGATTAAAGAAAACAATTAGTAAATTAATCGTATGTGATTTATTTCATTGCTTTGATGTTTTCAAAACAAAACATTACACATATCGATATCGATAAAAATACAACTATCGATAGATTACATTTATGAACCAATTTCCGGCTATTATATAAAAACCAAGATAATACATTAAATTTTCACGATTAATGCTCAAATTAAATGCACTTTTGGCTTAATTTTAACTAAATTTTGTCCAAAAATTGCTATTCACAAGAAAATTAGTCTAAAATCTGAATTTTTAAAGATCTAATACTGGTTTTGTGGCATATAGATGTCGCTATTTGATTACATGTTTTGCTTAGCCGTAAAAGCTGGTTAACGTGTCTTTTAGCCATCTTTTAAAATAAGGTTGATCACAGACCAAATTGTTTACGATTAGTTTTATAATCAGTGGTATTAATTATGTTTCAATCTAGTATTTCATTAACTTTATTTTTAGTTTTTATAATTCAATTGGCTGATTGCCTTTATTTCCATATAGGGGAAACCGAGAGAAAATGTTTCATAGAAGAGATACCAGATGAAACTCTTGTTGTAGGAAATTACAAATGTCAACTATTTGATCCACAAACTGGTGGTTACATGCCATCATCACCGGGAATTGGAATGCATGTGGAGGTTAGGGATCCTGATGATAAAATAATGCTATCTAAGGGTAAGTCTTATTATGATTATGCTATCCTAAATAGCTTGATTTGATGAGCTCTTGTGATGCTTTAGGCAGCAATGAATGAAGTGTCACTTTTGACTCAATGTAACTGTAATATCAAAACTAATTGAGATTATTCCTCTCTCACAGTTTACAGCTCTGAAGGACGATTCTCATTTACATCTCATGTTCCTGGTGAGCACGTTATCTGTTTGTATTCAAACTCTACTCGATGGTTTGCTGGTTCTCAGCTAAGAGTTCACTTGGATATTCAAGTTGGTGAACACGCTGTTGATTACGCTCATGTTCAACAGAAGGAGAAACTCAGCGAATTGCAATTACGTGTGAGACAACTTCTCGATCAAGTCGAACAGATCACAAAAGAGCAGAATTACCAGAGATATAGAGAGGAAAGGTTTAGACAGACCAGTGAAAGTACCAACTCGAGAGTTTTATGGTGGTCTTTGGGACAAACAATCATTTTGCTCGTCATGGGATTCTGGCAAATGAAACACCTTAAGAGTTTCTTTGAAGCAAAAAAATTAGTATAAAAGATCTATCATTTAAGATCCACGTCAATCGATCTTTTTCACTTGTCAACATCTGTATCAATTATTAACGAAAAGGGAAATTCTTTTCTTATGTACGGTGACAGAGCCTTATATAAAATCTTTTATTTTAATATCTGCCTCTGTTTTGTTGAATTATGTGACAGAATTTGCATTTAAATCTAATTTTTATGGTTAAATCGTAGGTTTGCAAAATTTGTAATTCCCGGACAAAAATACTCAACAATTATCGTGAGGATTCGATTACAGAAAAAAGCGAAAGAAAGTTGATTCACACCTTTCCTTGGTATATTGTTCATCGCTTACCGACCATCAAATTTTACATCAAATTTCGTCTCAACATTTCAACAACCTCAATTTATTTATTTGGTTCAGAATATTTTCTTTGCTTTTGCTTCTTCATTCAGTAAATGGTTTTAACGAGAAGTAAATCTTTACAATTGCTTAAACACAAACAATCAACCTGTCACCAGCCAATATTTAAACAACAAACTAAAACTAACTCTAAAAAATTTCCAAAAACACCGAACAAATTTCCATTAAAGCTTTGGGATATTGTAGAGTCCAAAGAAATACAAGCAGTTGAATGGCGGAAAGATGGAACAGCTATTGGTATTGATCCAGTTGAATTTCAGTATATTTTGAGAACCAATCAGTTGGGTTTTAAAACAGTAATTCTCAAAGCGTTTCTTAGACAACTAAACATTTATGGATTCCGTAAAGTCAATAGCGAAACAAATTATCTTGAATATGAACATCCATTTTTTCGCAAAAACAAACCAATTCTTTCAAAAGTTTTAAGAAATGTATCTTACAAAAATGAATTGGACCAGCCGCAAATAACTTCGATTACATCCTCACAGGAGTCAGGTATCGAAGTCAAGAAAGAAAACTCGATTGGTGAAGAAAATTTAAGCGAAGATCCGGAATCGACAACTCCATATACTCAAGATTCTGAGACCTTGACTGAAAAGACCCCGAATTTATCGCAAAAGAAAAATCTAAATAGTGATTTTGGTGAAGCTAAAGCAAGCTCTCCGAAAACAGTCCAGATCGAGGCATCGAAAGCCCCCGAATCAGTTTATGTTCACTATAACTACTATGGAAAGACTCGAAATGGTAAATTAAAAGAAACGAAGTCCTGCTGGGATGCAACATTTGCCGAAGATTTACCTGCTAATGCTTATTTTTTTTGAGCAACACAATTTAATCATTTGAGTGTTCAATTCCACATTTCACTTTGAGATGCTTCACAAAACCCGAATGCATTAATTAAATATGCTTTTAACTATTAATAAAGATCAAATATTTTGGATTTGTGCAAAAAAAAACAATAGAATACATAATTTATGCAAAGTGCAATGGCAAGATTTTTTTATAAAAAAACCTCAAGTTTTCTGGAAGATGAAAAGTCCAGATTAAAAGCAAGAGAAGACATTGATTGGATGAAAACATTGGTTGACAGAGAAAATTAGAAAAATGGTTTGGATAAATTATCCCTCACTTTGGCTTAGTTTCATGATCTGTTACCCTACGAATGATGATACTATCCTCAGGGATATCTTGGGATTGGTTCGTCTCGAAAAGGAAAGAAGATGCAATAGCTAGATAATTGTTATCAGGTGAAAAAGCGAGTGAACTTATGCTGGTTGGATATTTATGGAATTGGCAAAGTCTCTTCTTATTGAAACCATCCCATATGTTGACATAACCATCAGAGCCACCGGTAGCAAAAGTATTATACACTTTGTGGAACGAGATTGCATTGACAGGGTAAATATTCTCAATTCCTGTTCCTGTATCTTTGTTCCGATGACACTTGAAGGCATACTTTTTCTTTTGAACCTCGGGTGCAGGATCAAAATATTCAACAGATACTCTGCCTTCTATAGAACTGAGAACGTAACCCTGTTTATTAGGGAAACACTTGATGTATCTTGTCTGATATTTCAAAGAAGATTCCCGTCTTTGTTGTACATAAGACATGTTCCTTAGATCCCAAACAAGAACACGGCGACCAGCAGTTCCAACCACAAGTGTTTCACCACATATATTCATTGTGTAGATTTTTTCAGGTTGAGCAAAAGATCCCGATGGCGCGGGTGCTCTTGGATCCCACAATTTGATACAAGCATCCCAACCTCCAGTAATGACAACATTTATCTCTGGTGCATATTCAACACATCTAATTGCTCCATTATGAGTACCAGCAATTGTTTCCTTGCCAGAGACAAAATCAAAAATTTTCACTTGCTGGTCTAACCCTCCACTCCAGGCATGATTTGAATCCTAATGAAATACAAATTTCCAATGAGTTATATTTTACTTATTCACTTGAGAAACAAACAAGAAAGCTTACCTGAAACGCACAATCAAGAACCGGTGAATTATGTTTATACTGGGTTTTCAATTTGTTGACAGAAATATCATATAAACGAACAGTTGTATCCCAAGAAGCAGCGAGTAAAAACTGTGAACTATTCAATCCAAATTTAACACTTTGAATACAATCTTCTGGAGGTGAAGTCAACTTGAATTCGTTATTACTTTCCGAAAGAGTCATGTTAATTAGGTTAAATGTATCTATTAACAAATTAAAGAAATGTTGATCAGCAAACACCAAAAGGAGAGGAAGTTTGTTAACAAAATCAAGACAATGATATTGAATCAAGAAGGCGGTTAACTAAAATTCAAAAAAGCCCCGTGTAACTATAGCAACAACATAAAGGGACCGTTTTTTTAAGCTAACAATTAACTTCGCTTGAATAATCATTTGTTAACGTTTTTACGTTACAAGTCGTTCCTTTTCCCAATTAAAAAACAATTTCAATTCTTAATTTCCATCATCCTCTTAAAATTCCTCAAATTAGCAACCAATCACAACCTAACCAATAAACAGTCAATCATGTAAACTGCCTTCAAATAAACCATATTAAGATTATGATTGCCTGGCGATGAATAAACAGCTGAACACAATAATTAATTGCTAAACACAATATCGCTGGAACACAATTGATTAAATCTTCAGACAAAGCTTGAACAAGGTTCACTGAAATAATACAAAATTGGCAATCATTTCATTTTGTATCACATTTTATCAATAAAAGTGACTTCAATTGCTTATTGACTCTTGAATACCCTAAATCGAGTTGTTAAGCCCTTCTAAGATCACCGATCTTGTTAATTCAATTTTAATTTCTTTAAATTTAGAGGAATAAGCTGACAATTATTAAATCAATTTCCAAGAATTTAATAAATCAAGAATCTTTCAGAATAATATTGTTTTTCGTTAAACCGAAAGATGACGCTGCATATAACGGATAAAATGTTTCAATCAAAGTGAGAGTCAGAGTTTATTCGAACGGTGAACATGTTTATATGAGGATAAAAGTGTTATTCCGAGTCAACATTCAGTTGAGATGTGAATATTACAAGAATTTCCATCTCTTTCTTTTCTCTTCCTCTTCTTCCTTTTTTATTTTACCTCTTTCTCTTTCTGTCTTTGTACACATCTATTTCATTACATTTTATATCACTCAAATGTTGCCTCAAAATGTTAACATTAAAACAATGTTTTACCAGTTATCTTATAATCGGACAAACTTTAACTTCCAGCTCAACTTTAACCAATAGCCAATCATTTTAATTTCCAGTTAATGTGTCAAAAATGATCATCAAGCCAACATTATGCCAAAATTAAGTTGACAACAACATCAATAATTATAAATGTCCACTTTTGTGTTCCTAAAGTGAAGGACTGGAAGAAACAGAAAAGCCAACGAAAAATTTTTTGTGCGTTGCTTACATTTGTTTCAGTGTTTTATTAATGTGTGATATCAACAATTTTCAACTGCTAAACTATCGTCTTAATAGCACACGGATTATGTTAATATAATTGATACACAATTGTAAATCAAAGGTTAAAGTGATGTTATCTTCCATAGTTAAAGTGCTTGCCTTTCACTACATTTTAATGTTAACTTACTCTCTTTTGTCTCAAGCTTATGGTGCGTATTTAACAATGGTTATCCTCTTCCTCCATTTGACTGTTATTATCCTCTCCCCAATATGACCTGTCAATTGTTTAAATTGAACTATCCATCAAAAATTTAACACTCATAAAAGGTTAACAAGATGAGGAAAGCTCGGCGAAAGGGAAGACAAAATTTTGCAAGATAATCTAACAAGTTTAGGCAACCAAATAAACTTTTATTTTCTTCTTCTTCTCCTATTCTTTTCTGTTTCAACTTCAAGATTCAACAATTCTTGAATGGAGCTAAAAATTTCTCTACAAGAATATATCAATATATTGGAAATCGTTGAAGCAGAACAAAGAGACATCAAAATAATTTAGACATTTGTCTTGATTTAAGGCAATGTCTTTACTATTCTTCCTTTTTGTCTTCGCATTTCCCTCCTAGAACCTTATATTATATTTATTTTATCGTTTTCTAGTGACATTCCCTCTTATCCATTATCTATTTTTCCCTTTCTTTATTTTTCTTCAATCTTCTTTTTTCATTTTCTATTTCATGTGATTTATCTCTGCTCTCTCCTTCCCCTTTCCTTCACATTTCCTATTCTGATTTCATCCTGATCTCATTCTGATAGTATTTGTAAATCTCATGTTTATCTTACTTTTTCTTCTCTTTCTCTCTTTTTGTTTTAGGTCAAGCACCATTGTTACTAAAGCGACCGTCCAATGTGACTGTATCACCGGACTCAATGGTATCCTTACGATGTGCTGCCAAAGGCAATCCTTTACCTCAAATAATGTGGACTACTCATGGCTATCCAGTCTCTGATTCAGCTCGGCTTCGGATCGGTGATTATGTTTCCTCAGAAGGTTCAGTCATCTCATTCATCAATATATCTCGTGTAAGCGTTGAAGAGGGTGGCCGCTACGAGTGTACCGCAATCAATGACTTAGGATCAGAATCGGCTCAATCCTGGATTAACGTTATCGGTCCACCATTTATTAAATTAATGAGAAATTTAACTGTTGTTGCTAGTCGCCCAATTTACATTAATTGTCCATACTCAGTCTATCGTTTATCAACATTATCCTGGTTCAAAGGTGAGATACATTGAGATCATCTCAACATCTCGACATTCAGCAAAATGGCAAACATTTTGTGCGGAAAATAATTTGTTTATTCTCATTTTTTGACATGAAAAAAAGATAAATTTACTACTCAAATAATGCCTGAACCTAAACTTAAACTCACAATGGTGTTGAAAAGTGTTCAACATGAAAACCAAATGAATTGGTTGGTTTACAATGGTTAAACAAGACAGCAACATCTTTGAGTTATTATTTCCTCTTCACTCTGTCAACTTTATTAACCAAACAAGAAGTGAAAAAAAGAGATGAGACAAAGTTATCCATTGAAGTTACCAGTTGTAACAAATTTTGGTGTAACTTTTGTTTTCCCTTCAACTTTCCCTTCTTGTTCTGACCGATTCTTACACTTCGATGAACAATGTCATCGTTTAAGATTCAAACCAAAAAGCATTCATGAGATCCCCAGAATACAGGGAGTTGTCCTCGGATTATTTGAACCGTACAAGAAAAGAAAGAAAGAGAGAGAAGCAAAAAACCAAAGACTAATCGTAAATGAGAAAAATCCTCTTCATCCTTCATCATCACCATACTCATGAACATCATACAATTATAATTTCCTATTTTTTACACCAAAACATCAAGTTAACCTTTTTTTCCTCCAATTTTTTGTTCACTTTCATTTGTAACTTTTCTGAATCACATTCAAGTTTCATCACTTCTCAGGAGGAGGCATTTGAAACTTATCCCTGTTTCCTCTGAATCCTACTCGATTCACTCCATGATAGCTAATCTCAGAGTTGATCGGCCAGTCTGAATCTGAGTAAATTTCCATTCCAAAAGCAAACAAAGTCTCAGGAAATTTGATACAGAAAAAACAAAAACTCCCAGTGAGAATCTCACGCTTATTATATTATCATGAACAGAATCACTGATAGACACATAGGCAAAAATATGGGCAAATCTTGAAACAACTGCTCAAGGCAATGAACTGTTCTGATAAGATTCACGAATACAATGCTAAATGATTTGGTTTCCTACTGAAATTAATATCCATTAAAATTATCAGTATCACAGGAAAATAGAGTTTGAAATAAGTTAAACTCTGAAATGGAGTTAATTCTTATTCCAATGTTTATCATGTTTTCTTACTCCCTTCAATATAATGTTTCAGTAAAAATTACTCGATTCATGAAATGTTCAATTTCCTTTCAATTGTATTTCAATTCAATTGTTGAAACTTGAACATTATTTTATTTATGACCAACAATCTTTTCATCCTCTTATTGTTATTGATATTACATATTGTATATTTTGTGCTCAAAATGTGATGAACAATATTATTCATGTTTACTTTGGAAACAAGAATCACCTTCCGGTTGATAAAATTGAAATAAAAGGCGGAAAAATTTTGATAAAAACATATTCAATGTTCAATTCAACATTCAATTTGTTCTTTAATCTCTTTCCTTTTCAGCATTTTCCACTTTTTTTCATTTCGTTTCATTTTGAAACTGTTCAATGTTCAAACAGTAATTAACAGTTCAATTAGCCTTTTTTCATGTTATTTATTCATCATTGACTTTGTAACATTAAACAAATGTTTCATTACCAATTGATAGTTAAGAGTTACAATTGTTTTTAATAATGTTTAATTGACTCGATAGCAACTAATTCATTTGAGTTCTCTTTTCGTTCTTTTCATGATTACATGAAATTTGTTTTTGCCTTCTTGTTTTTTCTCCCTGTATCTTGATTTTGTTTGTTCAGTCGCCATTTCCCAATGAGTTATTTTTCAATGAATCTCACAGGAATCAATTGTGTTTACTCAATACAATAGATTGGATTAAAGGTTTGCATTTGTGCCTTTTGTGCTGTTTAACCACAAATAATTTCTAATTAATCTGATTTAACTTAATTAGCTAACCAGGTTTTCAACCGCAAAGGAGGAGGAAACGAGAATTTCATGAAACTGAATGGCTAGTAATCAAGGAAAAAGCAAACTATAGCAGGTTAAGCAAAAAATAATCACCAAAATCTAAAGAAAAGTTATCGTGTTTGATAACTCACCTTTCATCAAACCACCTTGATCATGTCAATACAAAACTCCAATCAACAACTTGCCTAGTGAAACCTCATTTTTGCCTGATATTGATCCAGAATTCAATGCTTGTCGATAGTCAAAGAAGCATTCTCAATGTGCAAATTGAATGCTATGCCTTACAGTAAACAATCAGCTTGTAATCAGGCAATTGGATGCTAACCATTATACTACCAGAGATTTAATATTTTGTTTAATTGTTTGAATAACATTGAATTGGTTGATGGTTAAATGTTCAACAATTTGATTGAATGATTGAAGATGGCAAAATAGTTTTCCCTCGTTATTGAATGAAATCTGATTGAAAATGCACTTATGTGACAAGCAAGAATGACCGGAGTTCATCCTCTTCCTCTCTTTTCAATACTTAATTGACAATATTTCCTTCCTAATCATGAAGTCAATCATCATCTGTTACCATTTAAAAGTTCATTGAAGTAAAAATAATCTCAAGAATGGAAAGAGATGAGAATGGCAAATGGAAAGAAAGACTGAATGAAAGAAATGATCTATTATTGAAAAAAAAGTGAAACGAAAATATCATTTCTTTCAATATTTCCTGATAACTTAACTTATCCTTTTCCGGATTCTTTTCTTTTCTTCCAATACTTTATTGTAAGCAAAAAGATGAAGAAGAAAGCGAAAAACTTTTAACTTAAATTAATTCCTTTATATTGAATCATGTAATATCTACAACAATAATAGTCATAATAATAATATCAGAAATGATAATATCATGAAATATTTTTCCCTATTTTGCTCTCTCTGGTCAACAATGTTCTGATTAAATTTGACCATAAAAAAAGTGAATGAAAAATAAAAAAGGTCACTTATATTAAACTAATGATTCGTAACAATACAAAAAGAGCATAAATAAAGCCAAATTGTTACAATCCAAACTTTCTCATCTTCAACATCGCCATCTTCATCATCATCTTCCCTGTCAACATTATTGTTTAAAAAGATGAATTGACCTTAATTTTGAAAATCTTTTCAATTTTAACTGATGAGACAAGAAACTCTCTTTTCACGAAATTCTGGTCAACAAACTGATCAACATTTCTCATCTCGTTTTTACACTCAAACTCAACCATTAATCTTAACCCTTGAAACCATTACCAATGATATTTACCAAAACAAGAAACGCAATATTTTGTTGCAAAAAAATGATACAAAATATCAAGAAATGATTTCATTTTCAATTTAAATTTTCATGGTAAAAAACATTGAAACGTTGCTTATAAATGATTATCTGTCAAAAAACTGAGAATCGACAAGTTGAAAGTTTTACAAAATTTTTTCCATTCAAGTTGAACTTATAAAATGTTTCTTTCAGGTGATCGTCAGCTTCCTATTAATCGACGTCAAACAGTCTATCCTAATGGTACATTAGTTGTCCACAATGTTTTCAGGCAAGAAGACGAAGGTGAATATAAGTGCCTAGTTGAAGATAAAGATGGTCGATCAGCTGAAAGACGAGTTTCAGTTCGTGTTCTTGGTAAGTAAACCCTTTAACCAAAAAAAAAGCAAAAAACTTTCTTCACTTGATTACTTGATTGGAGTTATAAGGCAAAAAAGTAAATGAAAGTCTCTCCAAACTAATCATAATATTAATACAAATATCATAATAATAACATGATATACATTGATAAAAACTAATCTAAAGCAAAGTTGGACAATAAGCTTACGCTTGTTTATTTGGTTTTTATTGTTGCATTATTCATAAACCTTTGGTTGACATTTAGATGTGTGTATGTCTCTCTGTGAGTTACCATCATGCAAGGAGTGAATCTATTCATTCCCTGAATCATGATACTACCTTGGTTCAAGAATAGCTCAGTTTGATCCCAATTGATAGTGGAAGAAAAGGATGAGGGCAAGATAACGCAAACATCTTTTCTCATCCTTTTTTCTGCTCTTCCTTTTCAATTCATCCATTCTCATCTTTTACCCTTTCTTCTTGCTTTCCACTCCTCATTTTGCTCATCTTTTCCTTCTTCTTCATCTTCCTTTCAGTCTGTTCATTTTGTTTGTTCTTTCTCTTGTGAAAATTCATTCTCATGATGGTTGACATAATCTATTATAACCTAAAATCCATGGGAAAGGTGTTTAGGGTCACAGTTTAACACGACTGATATTCACAAATCAAATGTCATTATTTAAATTTTAATTGGATTCAATGCATTTCCATTCACTATTCAAGTGGACAACAAACTATTCAAACATTTCACCAACAAATTAGCGAAAAAGATTCAACCAAAATCATTATTTCATAGAAATCTTTTCCAACTTTTGTTCTTAATTGCGTTTTTTTATATCATTTCAAAGTCCTTTTCAAAATTCATTGTTTCCATGAATGAACAATTAGAGCAAGTTTCATCTAATTTCAGTTTCCATAAGTTTACAAAGGTTTGATAGATTATCAAAAGAAATTAAAAATTTAACCCTTTTTCATTCATCACTTTTTCAGATTATTCTTGATTAAACTAGATTATGCAAATATTTTTATAACCAAAACTGTATTCCCATCCTTTGGTCAGTTCATTAAGGATTGATAAAGGTAAAAAATATTGAAAAAACTATCAATTTAAAATGTAAATTGTAATTGTTTTCCTTCAGTAATGCAAAGTTGAATTCAATATCAATTCAAAAAATCATTGAAACACCTTCTGGTGAAGTTTCATTTTCTCGCTTAATATCCATTGAATATCCTGAAAAAATCATCTTCTGCTTGTTATTCTGATATTGCATCTTATAACCCTTTACCTTTTACTATGTTTCTAATCTGATTAATTGAATTTACTTACATCTTATATAAGCTCAGTTTGCTAATTAATGTACCAGCAAAAAGTTAACAATACAAATCTTGAGAGAATTGTTAGTTAATTGTGATGAAAATAAAGTTCTGTATGTTACTTTTTCTCAAATCTTTTTATTAGCAAAAATGAACTTACCTTCCCAGACCTACTGGGAGTTGAAATATAAGAAAGCTGTATAAATAGTATGGGAAGGGAAGAAAGACAATGGAGAAAAGAAGAAGAAGAAGAAAATCCAAACTAAGCTAAAACGAAGCAAAGGTAACGTTTTAATTAGATGATAGATTCACAATTAAAAATGATGTCCATTTATTGGGACGTGAAAAATCAAAGTTTGGTCAGTTGATGATCTTGTTGATTATCAACAAGGCAAGTGACAAATGATACAGCCTTTAAGTCACGTCTCATGTCAATTCAAGTTTTGCAAGATTCATGACTGATTCACTGACAAGGCCAGACAGTTGCTCTTGGAGAGTGACTTGTTAGGCATCAAGATCAGTCAATAGGTTGGCTTGGTTGCTGAGTTGCACTTGAGTTTCATTGAAAATCGACTTTACGAAAATTATTTAACCGTTTCAATTATTTTCGATAAATTTTTTACTCTTGTTGATTGTATTGATTGTTGACTCCTTTTTTTGATCCCTAGACTTAATATAGCAACAAGGTTTACTCGAATCGTTTAAATGTAATTTTTCAAAATCTTTTTAAACCATTTAATGATACAATATTTGATATAATAATGATGGTAGTTTGAGTCAACATAATCAGAAGGCAATCTTTAATCATTAACCTTGTCTAACACAATCAAATGATTGTTTCCAGGATAACAAAAAAGTACAAGTAACAACAAACAATCATGTTAAAAGACCTTTAAGCATTAATCACTTTACCATTGAAAGTTTAATCAAAATAGCTTTACAATGTTTCTCATCATCGCCATCATGATCATAAGAAGAAACAATTCAATTCTGAACAAGATAATTATTATTTGTACAGCTTGATTAAATTCATTTAGACAGCAAAACCTATCATATACACTAAATCAGATTAGTTGGAAACAAAAAACTGGTTAAGCTTATCATTTCAATCACCAATCAAGCAAGTGAAAAAAACATAAAGCAAAGCTAAATCGAGTCAAGAACATAAGGAAACATGAAAAGTGAAAAGCAATTTAATCAATTTGTAAACTTGAACTTTTGAAATTCAGATTCCATCGCCACCCAAACCACCAACAAATCCTAACAAAGCTAATCAACTAATTATCCATTAAAATCTGTCTTTTGTTCAACCTCTTCACTTCAGTTGCACCAACGATAATGCCTTTCAGTTTTGGTGGCAACCTACAGGAGGGAATGAGAGCCTCAGTGACATGTACGATAACAACCGGTGATGTGCCGATTGACATTCAATGGTTTAAAAATGGTCAACCTTTGACGTTAACGAATGACATTCATTTGGAGAAGGTCGACGATTTTATATCAACATTGATTTTCAAGCCACTTAAACAAGACCACACTGGGATATATTCATGTGTAGCATCAAATGAAGCTTCATCCAACAACCACACAATTCATCTTTCAGTCGACTGTAAGTAAACAATCATCTTTACCATCAATTCACATTGTCAATTTATCCATCCTTTTACCTTTTCTTCATTTCTTTCCATTGAACTTTGTTTTTGTTTTTCATGAGGCGAACCTGAAAAAATAGTTGATATATTGATTGATTGACTTTACAGGAAAATGAAGTAACATGAACAATGAATTAGACGGTGAAAGTAAATCAACGTTCAAGTACAAGATAAAGTTATTTAGTTGAAAAACTTTCATTAGTCTATATAATATCGATAAGATTCATTGAGAAGAGGTGAACAGGCAGATGAAATCAAAGGTTTCAAGTTTGAACTTTGACTCAATGAATAAGAGAAACAAGTTAACATTAAAAGCAATTAAGATTTGACCCTTTTACCTCTTCATTCAAACCTTTCAACCTTTCATGATAATGTTCACTCAAGTTTACCTCTTTTGGTCAAAATCAACAAACAAATTTCAAGTTTCCAGGTTAAAAGTTTCATTTGCAGATTTCAATGTTGACCCATTGAAAAGGGCAAAATTTGCATAACTCATTCATGGAAAATTTCATTCAATCTCATGAGGCCAACAATAGTGAGGAAAAAGAGTCAATATTGACCCTTTTATCACCAGAATTGCAATTTTCTCATTTAATTAGCAATTATATTGTCTTGCAAAGATCATTACTTTTGTTGAAATTGATCGAGCTTTTAAAATGTTGCTTCTTTGACTTCACTTTGAGAAAAATATTGACAAATATTTCAACTCATTTCTGACAGAATCATCAAGTTAACCAACAACAGAGAGTAAAATAACATGATAAAGGTAAAAGTTTCAATTGAGAGAGAGAGTCAAACATCCTTTTTATCGATTCAACTTGCAGACCTTTGGTTATCATTAACAAAAAAGATGAATCTTGCCTTACCATTCTCGTCATCCTCGTCATTTTTATCTTTGATCATCATTTTTCCTCATCTTTCATCTTCCATTTTCACTCTTTTTTTTGGGTTTCTCTCACTTCTCCTTTTTATAACTCAGTCAACCATTGACAAAATGTTGAATCACATTTCTCACACCTTATCCATTATTGATCATAAGTAGAGTGTCAGAAAATAATCATCAATCCTTACCTTTTTAAGATTCCTTTATCCAGTTCTCTCATTCCTGTAAACCTTTTCTTCATTTTCTTCATTTTCCTCACTCTCCTCAACTCTTTCCCTTCCCTTTTCAACCTCTCATTCCATCAGCTTTTGCACTTAATTTCGTGTCTTCACAAGTAAAATTTTTACCCCTTTTCATCCACTAAACCTGAACACCTCAAAAATGCACAAAAAGCTTTTCCCGAACTTTTCATTTTTGCAAAATTTTCCTTCATTCAAATTTCTAATTGACCTCTTATCGATCACCGATTCCTTAATTTATTGGATTCATCGATGAGAAGCAACTTGCAAATGTTCAAATCTGTTCCTTTTCCTTTCAATTGTGAGAAGCAAAAAAACTCCCAGTTCAACTTGGAGTTATTTTCTATAATATTGAGCATAATCTTGATATAATATAAAGTAAATCTGTTGAACAAATATAATTCATATTCAAGTGATGGAACTGTTCATTTGAAGAAAATGAAAGAAGTAAGAAAAATGTAAACTTTACTCACCATTAAACAGGGAAAAAGTTGTGAAGATGAAGATGAAAGATGAAAGCCAAAGCAAAAATCTCTACTCAGCTTATTCCATATAAACAGCAAGTTTGATAAGTTAGCTCAACTTGGCTATTTATGTGATTTAAGAAATTGATGATTCTTATCATTTTTATCGCCTCAAGCAGTTGAGATGCAATTTGAGTCTCATGAGGAATTGAAAGATGATCAGAAGGATGATGATGAAGGAGGAAAGAAAGAAAGACTAAGACTGTTGCAACGAAAAGAGAAAAGAAATTTAACCCGAAAAAAAGAGAAAAAAAAACATTGAGTTTTGGTTCTTGCATTTTTTTCACTTCCTTGTAATAGTACAAGATTTAGTGTGAATAATGACATTATTCAAAATAATGGGACAAATATTTTACCTTACGGCACAATATCACAACCCATTATTATTAGCATTATTATTAAACATTCAGATGAGTTTTTGTCGTCAATCGTGATTCCCATTCGTTCCTTGTGTTTACAGTGTCTCTATTAACTGTATTGGGTTCAACAGCAAGAATGTCAATTGCACGGAAATGAGCTTAATAAATATTTCATTTCGTTTTTTTCCTTCTCATTCATCATTATTTTTCCTCATTAAACTTTGTTCAACCTTAAAGATGATAATAATATCTTTAAGGTGTTTCTCATCGTTATTAGCTTATTTTTATTTCATTAGCTTTGGATTCTTGTTTTTGTTTCCAGCTTGTTAGTTGTTGTTTATTGCTTCAGGGAAATGAAAAAAATTTCATGGTAAAAGAATAAAAAGGAAAAGATTTCTATTAATTGGGTAAATAACTCTAATTAAACAAATTATCAGCATTGTTTAATCATTCATTCCTCACTCCCAGTTGCTATAAGTTATCATAAAATCGATTCTTGTTATGAATCAAAATTGCAGGAAAATTTCCGATCTAAAAATTGAAAGAACTCGAATCTCTCAGAAAATAAAAGATTGGATTGAATGGAAATCAGAATTTTCAAGAACTCTGAATTTTCCTCAAAAATTGCACTTTTAGCTCAATGAGTAATTAATCTGAAAAATGACGAAATAAGCTTGAAATTGAAATCATTTTAGTCTAAATTTAATATTCACTTGTTAATCAAATCTAATTGAACTCTCAGAAAATAAATGAAAATGTCTTTCATTACTTTTCCAACAATTTCAATATAAAATATTTTTGAAATGCTCTTAAGGCAGACACATAAAATCATTTAAATTAGTTGAATTTGAATTGAATTTCTTTGACAAATCAATTGAGACTGATAATTTATCGTTATTATTATGATAATTTAATGTCAATGGTAACAATTGTTAAACATTAGTCCAATAAATTGTCTTACAAATAAAAAGTATTGCTCGAGCAAAAAAATCCAAATCTTTCAATGGAAATGAAATTGATAAAAGCATGATAAAAAAGTAAGCATTTTCACTTTTTGCTGATGAGCAACTCAACACATTAGTACAGAAGAAGCAAGGCAACATTTAAAGTAGGCATAAAAAACACTCAAATTTTGGGCAAAAAACCAAGTCAATTTAACTGATTAACTGAGTATGTGAAGAGAGGAAAATGAAGATTTTACTATTGAAAGCGAAGCCAAATTATGATCTAAAAATGTTGATCACTTAAAAGTCAATCTTGTTGAATAGTCTTAATTTGTTTAAATGGCTTGTAAGCCTATTAGTAGCCCAAGAAAAGTACTCAATGGGAATTTTAAACTCAAACTTTTATTCACTTTCATCACATTCACATTTCAATTTATTTCATCTCAGTATTGAAGCAAAAAAGTATGAAAAAAATCTCATTCCTTTGAAAATGGCAAAATATTAAAGGCCCAGAAAAGACACTGAATTAGTGTGTATAAGTGTACAGAGAAAAAAAAGATGAAGATGAAAAAGAAGATGAAAATGAGGAGGAAAAAAAGAGAGAGGCGAACATGATGAACAAAGTGATGAAGAAAATGTTGACTGGGAGTGAATATTATCATCATCAAGACAGCAGCAAAAAAAGAGCGTTCGGTTTGTTTCTTCATATTTACCTTATTTACTTGCGATTAAGAAATGAGTTTGAGAAATGAAAAGTTCATTTGATGATGAGAAAAACGTAGGTAACATAAATCCCATTAAATTAGCTGGTGTAATGCAGAAGATGGAAAAGTCTGCCTTCTTTTCACCTTCATTTTCAATCTAATATTTCATGATAGTTGCTAGTTACACCTGATATATTCAATTTGTTACTTTTTCATGATGATAATGATGATGGAAATGTTTTCCATTTTGTTCGTTGCTTCTTCTTTTTTCCTTTCATTTTCCAAGCTCAAATGATTTTATCAGAGTTACCAAGAAAGTAAAAAATTGAAGCCAAGATTTCATACTTTTATGGATAATCAAAGGTTTTTGGCTTTTCTGGTTAGGTTTGAATTAACATTTTAAATTTGTAAAAATGTGAGTTTTCTGATTAACATTCAGCTCTGGTAGTTCAACTTTTTCATATACATGTTCATAATCATGTTATCAAGAAAACTTCAACTTTTCAAAGAAAATTATTTCTTTTCAAATCAACTCTTTCCATCTCTCAACATCAACATTTTTAAACCTATGACTTGAGCCTCTAAAGATGAACCTTTCAACCTAAAGAGGTTGCCCTTTTCCCATCAAATGTTGAACTCAATGAGACCCTTTTTCACGTAGAAAATCTTTCCTTTTATTGTTCATCATTTTCAGTGCTCTTCCTCTTTTCATCTGCTGAGATTTCTTGTGGTTCCACATTATCATGCATTCTGATAACAATTTAATAAAGGCGAGTTTTGAGATGAAAATTACCATAATTTGAGTTAAAAATGATTTACATAATTTTCCTAGATTCAACTTGATTGTGAATCAATTTAATGTTTATTCACATAGAGTGTGATGAGAAGAGAGAAACATTTGAAATGATAATAATAATGTAAAAAGCTGAACGGCAAACTCTTAATTCTGATTAATACTGATTCCTCTTTTTCCCTGATAACTTTAATCTACTCAAAAAGTGAATCAATTATTTTTAAATTTCAATTTCAACTCCAATTATATCAATATTAACTTTACAAGTAAAATTGAGGTGAAAAGAAACGTTTCAAGCTCTGGAACAAAAAAGTGCTCATTTCATTTCCATTTAGCATTTCAATATTTCTTTTTCAATTCTAATTATGGAATTATTGAAATTTTCATCTTGAAAGGAAAACATTTCAATCTTTTCAGATTTATCATGTTCCTCAACATATTATTCAAATCAGTTCCAATCAATAACTTGATCTCAACCTTGATTGTGAATACGATTATATGAAAGAAGATGAAAGAATGCAAAAAAGGTTGCAATTGTTCATCAGATAATCAAATATTTTCTAATCAAGCATCTGATGATAATCATGTTTACCTAATTCACAATGAAAGTTTGTTTTTTTCATGAGTTTCATCATTTTCTTTTGACATCAGTTTCCACTTTTATTAAGATAGATTCTGTCATTGGCATTTCCATCATCTTCATCTTCCTCTTTTGGGCCACTTGAACTTGAGCTTTTTCTGATTTTCGATTAATTTTTCTCTTCTCTTTGCTTTTCCATTTGCTCATTACAAATAAGATAAAGATTAGTGGTCAATCCCTTTGGATACTTTTGGGTCAACAGATAACATTGAATAATATTGTTTGCTTGTTTCTCTCCTTTTTGTCCAGATGAAGCAAAAAGACTGCAACAGAGAAGAAAAAAAAGTTCATCCAAAAGATCAGGTTATTCTGATTGAGTTTCAGCTTTATTCTCTTTTTCACATTTCTTTAATCATTTCCCAATCTTTTCAATTATAACATTGAAGATGTAACTCAAGACCAAGATTAGTGTTGCTTTAAATACAATCTTGTGTTAAAATAAACTCACAATTGAGTCCGAATTGGTTCAAGAAAAAATTGAATCAACCCTTGATTAGTTGGCCAAATTATTATCTTTAGATTAACTTGTCATATTGACGAGAAAAGCCCTTTTTTAATCAATAAAAGTTTACATCTGAAATCATTTCAATGGGAATAAAGGTGAGGCTTTAACGTCAACTGTGTCAGAATTAAATGTGAATGGTGATAAAAGACTGATTAATGTTCATCATAATCATTAAGGAAGATGAAAAAAGAGCTTCAATCGATTACTTTGTCACAACATGAAAAATGTTTTCAAACGAAAGGTCAATGGCTATGGTCAATGTTTACTAATTGATGGTAAATTTTCATAATTCACTTTCTTAAAGGTCAACATTTTAAACCTAAGAGTTTAATTTAGTTACGATAATTGGGTTTTCACCAAAAATTGTCATCAAACTTGAAATGGCGAGATTACAAGAGAAGACTTTTTTCAAATGGCTTAAGATTAATTATTCAACAGATTAAAGATCAACTCGAATTTTGAAAACTGTAATCTTGTTTAATCTAATTAGTCTTGTGATTAGAAACTGAAATGATTTAATCTGATTAAAGAAGATGTAAAGATTGGCAAAAAAGAGTTGAATCAAACTGTTTTAATGATTTTAAAAGATGAAACAGATTCAACACTTCAACGATAATTACTGTTCAACGAATACAAATTAACTATTGATTGATGATGTTTGATGAAATTTCGTATCAAATGTGTGCACTTTAGACTAGAAATGCTCATATTGATAGACTTTGCCTCTCTCAAAATGGTTAATTTAAATTTTATTGTAAATCATTAATCAGGTAAAAAGCTGTCCAAGTTGGGATGAAAATAAACTTTCACCTTCCAATGATACTTTCTGTATTATCTTGAAATCCAAGTTGTTTACTCTGTTAACAATGGCTAATGACTCCAAATTATGATGGGTTTCAAGATAAACCTTGTAATCCTCTTAAGTTATCATAAGCATCATTAATTGTCTTAAACACAGTAACACATCTGATTAACAAAATGATCAACTAAGAAGATAAACTACAGATTAACCCGAACTGAACATCAAACCATATTGAACCGTTGAACATGCATTCAATTTCAAATGAATTTCGTTCCATTTTACACTTCAAACATTTTCATCTTCTTATCCAAAAATTCAGACTTTCATTTCGCTTGAATTTTCATGAAAAGTTCATATCGTTTGTCTTCGAGAAAATTGTAATTAGAATCATTGATTCATCAAAATTAGCAGTCAAATGATATCAAAAGGTCAAATTCACTTTACTTTGAAGCTGAAAGTGGACTTCAGTTTAGCTTCAAGTTTTTTGCTCATTTCTAAATGAAATTCCAGCTTTTCTGAGTTTCAAAATATTCTGTACAGATAATGATTCTAAGCTGATGGATTGAAATGCTATAAAAGTTTGATGATTGCAAATTGTTGTTTTTCATTTCAGCCCAATATCATTTCATCTTCATTTTCTGGTTCCTCTTGAAGCTTGCAGTAAATTTAACCTTTTGCATTTAGCTTTTACTTTGAAGCTTCTTCACTAATCTCATGACTGTTAAATTTGATTGATGAAACCTGAAAGCAAGAAATGTATTTCAATTGGTATGATTAATTTTGATGGTTTCGCGTCAACTAATTTATCATTTCTCACCTTAACTAGTAAACATCTAAATCTGTTTCCCTGCCTTCATTCACATTGTTATAATGTATATGTGTTATCTATACAACATTGTTATTATGAAACCCCAAACAATATTACATTAAAGTATCCAAAAATGAAGATGAAGGCAAAAAGATAATCAAAAGCATCATTAATCAATTGTTTTCATCATTACTTTTTACTTGCCTTTTCAACAACTTAATACACTTACAGTTGATTTAAGTTTTGAAAGAATCACAAGGAAAAGTTTCACTTTAAATGTTAATGCAACATCTCAATAACAAATGAATCAAGTGGGTAAAGAAAGGCTTTATTAGCATGCAAACCCAAAAGGTTGACGAAAAGGCTTCAATTGTAATTTTAGTAAATTCAGTTCTCTATTCATCAACCCTTTTAAACATTATATTGATTCTCAATTGTTGACAACAATTTATCTTGTCATCATGATCATAATTATCAACAATTTATTCAATCCTTGGAGCACAATGTTTCATCATCAAATATTTTCATGACTCCATTTGTTTGAACATCATCATCTAATATCCTGAACACTTTCAGTTACTTCCGATAAATTGTCACCTTATTTACCTAATTTTTACTCTTTGCATTTCAAGTCAAACCATTTACAAACAAATTGATTGATATGAAAAAACGAAAAAAAAGTAAATGAAAAAAATGTGAAAATCAGCCAACAATTACAAGAGATTCAATTGCAATTACGAGCAATTTGCGTTCAAAATCTCGAGAAAATTGTTGACGAAATAAGATGAAAAGGCTTTTGAAAAACATTTCATTTACCTTCAACTTTTAAAGCATCACTTACTTCACCCTGAGGCTGTTGATAAATATGGACTGCAAGAACTAATCAGACTCTTTGACCGTAAATATTCAGCCATCAACAAGTCAAAAAGCAATGAAAACTTCACTTGCAAAAATTTTAGTTTTTTCAAATTCGATCAAAAAACATCTTTAAATTAATTTCATTTTTAAATCCTTTAATGATTTCAAGCCAAAACGATTTTTTCAACTTAATTTTGATTCTTTTTGATTCCTTAAAATTATATTCTAATCAATTTATGATTATCTAATTGTCTTTTCAATTTTCCTTCTTAGCTCCACCACAATGGAAACTTGAACCTGATGATAAATCTGTTATTGAGGGTCAAAGTTTGGTCATTGATTGTCAAGCTATTGGTAAACCTGAGCCTCGAGTTTTATGGAAAAAATCGACTGACCAATGGTCAATCAATAATTACAAGACAATTATAAGTGGAAGTAGAGTTCAAACTTTGGTTAATGGATCACTTTATTTTATTGAAATTACTCCTGAAGATTCGGGCAGTTACATGTGTGAAGCATCAAACGGAATTGGAACACCTTTAAGTGCAGTTGTCAAAGTAAATGTTCACAGTAAGTTGATATAATTTTTGGAGCAAAAAATTATCTCCTTCATCGGGTCAACAATCATTTCTTTTTTTTCATGAAAATTGTTAGAATTTGATTTTTCCTTTTTCCCCTGATTTTTAATCACAAAAATAATGAAACTGAATGACAAATGTTTTCCTTTCAACTCATTAGTCTATTGATAAATATTATATAATAGTTATAATGAATGTAATATGCATTATTAAGATCTTCAAGCCTCATTAATCAAAGAGAGGGAAAAGAGTTGATCTGAAAAGATTTATCTTCATTAAACAAAATCTTTATTATTGTATGAATAATATTAGCTTATTTATAATTATTATCAACCATCAACATGATTATCATTATTTATGTTTATTGTGATTAAACTTTTTTCTCTCCTTCTATTAATTATCATCATCACCATTTAGTTCCTGCTCGGTTTACTGAACGCTTCCAATCAATCAAAGCTCAAAAAGGTGAGAGCATTGAGCTTGGCTGTGTTTCTCATGGTGAAATGGCCATTAAAATTGTTTGGAGTAAAGACGGTAAAAATGTTAGTCCGTTGATGATGCAGAGTATTTTCGAGGAAAACAATGCTCTTTCCAATGAATACATTTCCAAATTTTTGATCCGTTCAAGTTCGAGATCAGATTCAGGTCTTTACACTTGCACAGCATCCAATTTGTATGGAAGTGATGAACGAAAAATCGAGCTTATAATCCAAGGTAAGTTTCACTTTCAACCTTAAACTCATTTCGATTGGAAATTCATGACATTTCAATTTTGCGTTTTGCGTTGTGACCTGTTAGACTCTGAAAGCTGGTCGAAATCACGATCGAAAAGTTGTTTTATTTAAGATCTTCAAGACAGTTCGCCTTCGAAATTGTTCATCAACTTTGTAGCATTTTTGTAGCTTTTGGTTCAGAAAGAATGAAAAATTTCATTCTCTTTTGAACGAAATTACAATTTAGAGTTTTTTCATCTAAGGTTTCATGAGTTTGTTGAAGTTATCTGGATTCTGCTTTTGATATTTTTAGCACGCAAAAGTGTGAACAATTGTTTCTGCTTTCTTTGGTCATCAGTCAATCCACGCAAAAATGAATTTCAAATTCAAACTGAACACATCCAATTTCGCAGCTAGAAGTTATCTAATTCTGAATGTAAGTTGAGTTTCAGGAGAGATTTTTGTGTCACATTGTTGCTAGAATTTTTATTTATAATCAAAATCTGTCAAACCACTTTAATCACGCAATATGATTTCATGATAGAAATAAAATGGATTTAGACTGTTTCCAAAAGGAGCAACCTCAACATTTTATTATGCTCATGCAACTATCAAAAATTTTATCATCTTAATAACTAATGATGATAATTATTATGATCAAACAAAGGAAAGCTCATTGTTTAATCTTGTAACAAGAATGAAAACAGTTGCTCTGATAAAGATGGTATTATAATGGAAAGGATAAAATGATGAAATTAATGATAATAAGATTAAGGTAATTACTTAATTGATCAACCTACTGTAATATTAAATTATCCGAATGCAAATGGCAGACTTCAACTCACATCAGATTTATTTGAAACTTAATTTCCTCAAGTTATCGCGATAAAATTTACAGGCTTTAATCCTAAACCAAAAACCGACTTTCAAAACTTTTCCTCAAAACTCAAAACTCCAGCACTTTGAAAAAGTGCTGGAGCCAGCCATTGCATATTAACCATACTTTTGACTATAAATTGTTGCCGATAACTTGGGCATTTACAATAAATGTAGTTGGTTGGAATTGAACTTGTATCCAATAAATGTAGTTGGTTGGAATTGAACTTGTAACCAATAAATGGTCAACACGTTGCATTTATTCACCTGAAGACATACACAATTCAATTTGGTCTATTATAATATCAACAATAACATTCATGATGCTCAACTCAAACCTGATATTATCATTATTATTTATTATTTCAATAAGAAGAAAGAATTTTGCTCAGAATATTGTTTTACAGATTTTTGGTTCAACGAAAATTGTTTTTTTTCCCTTCTTTTTCCTTCTCTTTTGACTTGCCTAGCCTTTCATATATTCAAATAATATAAATATCAGTGAAAACTTTTATCATACTTTTGTAGTCTTTCCTTGTTTTTCAATAAATATTCATAACAGTCTCTTGAGAGTAATGAGAAAATAATCTTTAAAAAGAGGAATTCGCTTTTCTTTTGAATCAATGCAATTTCAATGTTCCTGGATGAAGGCGATGAATAAAATGAAAACTCTGAAAAGCCAGCAGCAAAAAATGTGATTCGTGAAATATTGATAATGATGTAAGAAATGATGAAAAATTTCATCATAAAATTTGACAAATTCTGATGAAATTTGGTTTAAAATGAAATGCCTTGAAATATTTTCAACAGTTCAAAAACGAAATGATTAGCGAAATAAATCCATTCAATTTTCATTAATCATCTAATACACAGATTATTTCTTCTGACTAAGATTCGTTGCTCTCGAAAAATCTAATAAAATGGTTCAACATTCGCTTCCAACTCAATATTACCCTGCATTTGAATTTCGATCTCTTAATGAATGCATCTCTTCAAGAATTCAGTGTCCGTAAAAAAGACAGAAGTACGATGTTAGTTTTTGAGACGAGTTCGAATGAAATCGTTTTTTCGTTTGTTTCAAAAACTTAAAATTCATCGATTAAAATAAAATTCATGATTTTGAAGCTAATTTAGCTGAAAGTTGCAAAATAGAAATAGTTGGACAGATTAAAGAAATTTATTGATAAGGTGAGAATTTCAAAGTTGACCTGAGAACGGATTGATGAATTTTCATCATTACGACTCATGATTTATGGTTGAAGAACTTTTTTCAAGTTATTGGTAAGAGTTGAACAGTATTATGGTGATCATGAAAAGAGAGTGGAAAACATTTTCAATTCAAAGATGAGCAAGAAATGATTTGAAATGTGAAAAGGCAAAGGAATAACTTGAAGAAAACTATCAAACATCTGAACTTGATGAACCTCCTGTTGAGACACATCAGGGGATGTTGAGAAGATAAAGATATATCTTGTTTCAAGTTATCATGAAGATGATGATGAGAATCACCAAGTATTGAGTAACTAAAGTTTTCAATAGTTTCTTGTTTATCAGTTTATTCTGTTTCCATTTTACGTTAACATTAACTTTTCCCTTCCTTTTCTTAACATCTTTTACTCCTGAAAGATGAAAGATTCTGGCTTCCATCAATTGGCCATGGAAAGTTGAGGCAAAAGTTTCATTGGTTCAACCATCAACTTGCTCAATGTTGCCTTGAACCAGCAATAATTCCTGTGAAAGATTTTCATGAAAAATCGAAAAAATAATGATAAAGATAATTTCGAGAGAAAACAAAATATTTCAATTTCCATTTCATGAAATATTGTTGAATATATTGAATTTCGTTTATGAATCGCCTTATGAATGAAATGATGAAAAGAAATCTTGAGAAATGAGAAAAAAACGAAAAAAAAAGTTTTGTTCAGATTATTATGACATGGAAATAATGTCAATGTAATACTTTTTTCACTCACTTTTTTCATGTTGAAAATTCTGACAAGTTTGTTTTTTTCATGAGATGGCTTTTTGTTTCTGTAACTTTTTTCAATTCACGATAAGGTAAAAATGAGAGAGAAAAAAAAGATTGAACAAAAAGTTGTTGTTTAGTTGTTCATTTGGTTTAATATAAAAAGTAAACAAAATAATATTAAAACTGGGAGTTTTTTTCCTCTCACTTTACAGGGAATGAACTTGAATATAAATATAAATTTCAAGTCAATATTGTTGATACAAAACTTTACACCAAATGAAAATCATTGATAAAAGTTGCGAACAAGAAAGTTTATTGATTATATTTTTTCTTCCAGAATTGATAAGTTTACTCAACTTTCAACTTCGCCAACCGATAAGGTTATCATTATTATCATTAATATCATCTAGAAATATTTGAAAATACTTTTCATCTTTTCCCATTTTTGCCTCTTCTTTCCGTTGAATACTTTCAGTCAAAGTCATGCAGTTTGAATGTCGACAGGTTAAAATTATTTCGCCTTTTGCTTTTCTCTATCAATTCCCTGTGAAAAGAAAAGAGAAAAAAGGAAAATTTTAATCTGATTAGAATCTGTTGAGGGAAGAAAAGGCGTTGCAGGAGAAAACTCTTTCAACACAAAATGCTTTTCTCTTGATTTCAGTTTTTGCCCAAATTTAACCTAACAATTGGTTTACCAAGTCTGAATTAAAGTTATTACGGAACAGTTAACCCAAATGGGATTGATGAACCAGTTGGAATCACGATTCTATTGAATCATTTCTTGGTTCCTAATCAGGTTTTTTCTTCTTCTTCTTCTCGCTTTTCCTCCATTTTACCTCTTTCAGCTTGTCTCTCCTGACTTCATTCTCAGTGACGAAAAGGATAAAATTCAATTTCAATTCAATATTACATTATGACTTTGTATAACTCAATGAGAAAAGGTGAACAAGAAAAGACGAAATTTTCTCAACTTCTTTCTTCTAAAACTGCAAAACATGACAAAATTCAACATTTTTCATCAACTTGGAACACTTTGTTTTCCCTGAAAAAAACGCAACAAAATTTTACTAATAAACTGATTCAATGAGCTCAACTGTTGCAGAAAATTTTGCTTCCTTAAATTGAGACAAATCTCAATTCTGATTTGCAGCCTTCAAGAGCAATGGAAAAATCATCAAAATGTTTACTGAAAATTTCATGAAAATTTTTACTTCAATCATTATTGAACAATCCATTAATCATTGGAATATCAATTTTTCCTTTTCCAAGTTTGATAACTTTATCGATAGTTTTAAAACATTTTGATATGGATTAATAAAGAGTAATGATATTTACTGACGATCAATTGAAAAATAAGATTGAATAAGGTTGAAGATTCAGTGAACCATTTAAAGTTGAAAAGTTTAATAAGTTTCAAGCTATTTAATATTTAGAATGGCAAGAAAGGAGAAATGATAATTTTAGAGTTTTTTTTGTTCGCTCTTCAATTGAACAAAAACAAACAAAAGCTATTTAGCTAATAGTAAAGTAAATTGAATAAAATTGTTGAAATTATTTGAGGCAAAAAATGCAAATAAAAGAGTCACAATGAAACGAAATTTTCAACCAAGGTTGAGATTCATTATATTCATTATTCCCATTTTGTTATGAATAATTTTGATTGAGACAAAAATTGTTCTCATAAGTTTATTCTTTACTTTGACAAATGATAAATTGTTGATGAAATAATTTATTGAGATTTGCAATCATTAACTTTGTTTAATCATGATCAGTTGAACAGAAGATAATCAAAAAAACGGAGAAACTCGAGCAAATCTTTTAACCATCAACTATGCTGAACTTTTGCTCTTTTCGTTCACTTGTTTTGTTTCCTTTCTTTTTGTCATTTCATTCATTGACCACTCAGTGGACAGATAATGGTGTAGTCAGACAAAAAAAGAGACTCGAGATGAGCAGGAAGATGAAAGATGATGGGAATAGGATATTGTTGGACCAAAGAGAATGAAAAGAAAGAGAGAGAAAAAAAACATGAACAAATGAATGAAAAGATGATGACCAAGTAACATAACTTATATTTGGCTGAATATTTGTCAACATTTTCTGTTATTCTTCATCTACAACTGTTCCAATGTTCTTGATCATTGATCTTGTGATTAATCTTCAGTAATACAGATTTGACCAGATTCACCAATAAAACATATTAAAACAATGAGTGCAACTCAACATAAATATGCTTTTATGGAGTGGAAAGATGACAAAAAGAGAAACGAAATTTTCCACTCAAAACTCAGAAACTGATTAAGAAAATTTCGATTCATTTGCATCAGAGCTTCGATCATTGTTTTTGATTTGGTGATCGATGTTGCCTCGAACTGACTTTTTCAGAACTGATTTTAGGTTGAACTCGACAATTTGGGTTCGGATTGAATGGGAAAAGAGTCGAGACAATTAAGGTTCAAAGTTAATCTTTTTCTCAGTGAAAGATGACTTCAATTTAAAAGCTTGAACAACTTGAGCAAGAGAGTTGTGATTAATTTTCAATCGATTTCAAGATTTCTGTAAAATAACTATTCAAAGTCGAGTTTCAACAATGTTCGTTACCTGTTTATCTTGTAAAATAATAGTTTATTAAATGTCACCAGAGTTGATTGTTTTGCACTTATTTTCTGTATCATATTAAAGCTCAATGTATTATATAAAAATATTGGAAAACAAAAGTCAATATTGTTATAGCATTTGGACCTTTTGTTGTTTCACTTTCTCTACTTTACCCAAAGTCGACTGTTTTTACTGTAAATGATTAATGTTGCGATGAAAATGGAATCGACTGTCAACTAGAACAAACTCGGAAACTGATTCAAGAGCGAAACAGAAAACTCTTTTTTTTACTGAGATTAATGTATTTCTCTTCTCAATGAAATAGATTGAACATTTTCATGATAATGTTTTTCATTTGATTTTTTCTTCTCTCGGTCTTTTTGACTGAATATTCATGGAAACAAGACAAGGAGAAGGAGAAAAAAAGTAATACTTGAAATGAGATTGATTCTAATTCTGTATGTAATAATGTGAGAAAACAAGTCAACAAACGCAAAATGTAAACATTTATTTTCATGTTTTTTTCCCTTTTTTTCTGTACATCAAAACATCGAAAAATGTTGACAGAAATATTCACTTGGTAAACAATGAAATATTGTTGCATTCATTTCAGATGAACCCGATGCTCCAAATGGACTGAAAACAAGCAAAGTAAACAGTCGAAGCTTCCAAATCCAATGGAATGAACCTTTCAATGGAAACAATCAGATTAAAAAGTACATCATCAATTATAAACCCGAAAATGGTAATTATAGTTTCCACACATTTTCCCCTGCCTGTCATGAACAACTTTTTGTCCAATTTTCAATTTCACTCTAAATTAAATGTTATATGAAACAGTAAAGTTAACAGCAAATTTTATCAAGTTGATGGAGTCAAAAAGGAGGTTGAAAAAAGTCGAACCTTTTTTTCATGAAAAAAAAGTTACATCTCTATTCATTGGATACAATGAACATTGAATTAAATATAATAAAAATAATCCTTCAAGTGTTTTCCTTATTGACTTATTGATCTTGTGTTTTGTCCAAATTTTGTTTCTTTTTTTGAGTTTCAGATTAAGTTGAACTTTTCATTCTAAACGGTTCAACCTTTGTTGCTCTTTTCTGGTTCCTTTTCAATCTAAAAAGGAGTGAAATTTTACCTTTAATTTTTTTATCCTGTTTACTTAATGTAAACGTTTCAATGAAACATTCAATGAATTGTTTACTTTCCAGTATTAAAAAAGTTTTCATTGATCTGTTTGATTAAAACTTTACCATTGTTATTATTTTTGTACCTTCACTTTTCATCAAATTTCATCTTAATCTTTGAATCCTCTTCAATTGTTGCTCATAATAATTTATCTTTTGCTCTCTTTTGCTCTTTTTAAAAGGTATTTGGGAAACCAATGGAAAGGAGATTATCATAGAGCCAACTCGAAGTGAGGCAATGATTCGTGGTTTATCACCTAAAACAAGTTATCATATAAGAGTGAGAGCCGAAAATGATTATGGTAAAAGTGGTTGGAGTGAAATTGTTCCGGTTACAACTGATGAAGAAGGTAAGTTGGTAATTTATTAAAGACCATCATAATGATGATGATGATGAGGTTGACAATGATAATGATTTTTCTGCAAATCTTATATTCGGTAATGACCATGACAAAGAGCCTAAGCCTAAGGGAAGAGCTCAATGCATCTGGGTTAATGGTTGATCGTCTGTTTGCCTGGTTACCATCATTCAACTTCATCTCATTTTTCAATTTTACAATAACTTGCATCAATGAATATTTGCATCTGTATTAGGAAGGAAAAGCAATCTTCTTATATATTAATACTGTTTTGGTATTTTTCTGTCAAAATTTCTCCACACTCAAGCGGTCTATGAATTTTCTGTTAATAGCAAATGAAAGGTTTTGGCCTGAATGTCGCCCAAAAATATCAAATTTTTAGAATCCGACCCTGAACTCAGGAAAAGCAGATGGAAAAGAGACTAAGATAGACTGTAAAAAGGAAGAAAAGTCTAAAGAAAGACAAAATGACACTTAACGTTGTGGTACATGAAGAACGATGCACATTAATTTGCAAGCCTAAATTTTTTTGAATGTCTATTCATATCCATTCAATTTGGATTAATTTGGTATTTTAATACTAAATTGAAACAAAAAAGTCTACAACACCGGGGGTTCCCAAGTGGTCTCCCTCCCAAGTACTAACCCGGCCCGAAACTGCTTAACTTCGGAGATCGGACGGGATCCGGTGTTTTCAGTCTGGTATGGTCGTAGACGTTGATTTTGGCTCAAAACTGCAATATAAACATAGTGACTTAATCCAACAGCAAATATCAATATTTTCTTTCTTTAAGCTCAAATTCTGCATTCTAGCGAGAAAAATGTGCATAGAAAACTTTGCAAATGCCTCGAATGCACGAATTTCTAGTTTATTTCATTATCAGTAGAGGATACAGAGACCCGTCAGTAATTTGGACTCGCTTGAAATAGCTTATTTTCACTATTTGTCGAGCAACATAATTCATGATTTTCAATTTTCTTTAATCGAGAAAATTTATTCTAAAATGTTGCTTTAAGCTGATTTCGCCAGTTTTTGCATCAATATTTCACGAATGGAAATTAAGTTAAGTTAATTAATAACTAAAAAAGTCTAACTGAAATTAGGTTAAATCCAAATAAAATTTTGCCCTTTTTCAATAGGGACCATAAAAAAATTTAGTCTAAATTACTGGCAGGTCTCTGTATTTGTTATCAATCAATTTTTACATATTCATATTGAATTTGCCAATTATTTCAGTTTTCGATCAACAGCTAATTTGAATGTCAGAAATCCTTGGGCTTGTTTAGATTTAAATTAAATTGTGATAAATTGTTGTTCGATTTACAACTGGATTTGATTTTTTTTGTAAAATCTCGCAATTCTTAATTGATTGATCTTTTCTTTGAATTTTCTTCATTGAATTTGCTCTTGAAATCTTGTGATTTTTGACTTGCGATTAAAAGTCTAAGTTGAGATTATTTCAAAAATTGATTCAATGATGATGATAAATGATGAGTAAAGATGATTTAAGATGAAAATGATGGAAGTGATGAGGATGAAACAAGTTGAAAATTGTTTGAAGGTGCAAAGAGAAATGAAAAGGTAAAAGTATTGCAATTGATTGTCAAATGAAATTAAAGCTTATCAAAGGTTTCGTTGCTATTTTCAAGGTAAGTATAAGGTTTGGTGGGAAAGTGATGGTTGATTACATGACAGCAATTCAATGTGTCTGTATATTTACACATAAAAAGGCCTTTTTCTTGTACTCTTTGCTCTTGCTATTTTCAATCCCAAGGATTGCTCCATATTTACTCTAAATGTAAGTTGAAAGGTTGCTTCTTATTGGGAATTGTTACTTTGAAAAGCTCTTTGAGTAAAGGTTAGTTTCCTTTGAAATAACATAGTTTCAACTAACCAAATCAAAAGTTCAACCCTCAAGAGGCCTTCATCTTATTTATCGAAATTCATTACTATTGAGTTAAATTTTTTATTTTAATTGTGAAATTTTTGTTCCATCAAATTGAATCAATGGTCAGAAACTAAGAGACAAATTGATAAACTATCGAACAGTAGCTTTTCAATTCATCCAAAGAAAATCAATGTTTACAAGAGTAATTTTCCAATTTCATTATTGCAATTTCAACCTGCCAAACTCAATCGCTACTTTGACCCAAAATAGAAAATACAAAATTCTTTGAAAAATCATGCAATTCGAGTTTATCAGTTTTCCAATCAGCTTGTCAACTCGTTCACATACTGGGTGTTTTTATCCTTGACGCTCGTTTGTTGGCATATTTTGAGGATTTGAAAAGATGTTTAGTTGATGATAAATTGTGCTTTCCGTTTGCTAAATGTTGTTTATTTGATGGCAGCTTTTTTGCTCATCAATTGGATCAATTTACGATTAGATTGAGAGATGAAGTTTGAATTGTTTTGATGCAAGTTGATAGTGATAACTGGAATGATAAAAGTCAAAAGGCACAGGAAAAATGAGCAAGTTTAAGCAAGCAAAGCAAATCCACAGTAAATGGGAAAAGCTTAAGGCAATATTTGGTTGAGTATTAGAGTTAAAATGTGAAATGAATTTGACTTGAATGAAAGGGAAACATTTATCATTTGATTACCAATGAGCTTAAACAGGAGACTTGAAGGTTGGCCACAGGAAGAGATGAGCAAAAAGGATGAATCTTCATCATTCGGATCATCATGTTCATCATTATTATCATCATCATTTTGATCAACAAAAAGGTTCTTGTTTCAATGCTCAATCTTAAGACCATTAGAAGATGATGAAGATGTTGATGAGAAAAGAAGAAGAAGAAGAAAAAGAAAGAAGGTGAAAATGGATGAGAAAGTGAACTAATATTGGTATAAAAATGGCACAAAAACAGACAGAGTCAATGAATTTACTGAATCAACTGTCAATTAAGAGGCTCATTGAATATATATATTCACATAGGAAACGGTTGAAACTGAAAGGCAAGATAAACACAGTAAGATGTGAACTGTTCCCTTGTTCGCAAATTCACCCATTCCAATATTTAATTCAAACTCAGCTTATTTCCTATCCTCAGTTAACGTAAAAGACAAAATTATTTCCAGTACTCAAATTTAGTACTAAATTTTAGTACTTGAAGTTAGTACTAAGAATTAGTACTAACTTTTAGCCCTTAAAGTGAGCACTTAGAATTAGTGCTTAAATCTATTTGAAACAATCCTTTTTAATCTTTTGACCCTTCTGCTGACACCTGGTCAGTCTATCCAAACTATTTCCTCTATTTCCTCTCCAACCCAATAAAAGACAAAGATAATCCTTAAACAAGGGGAGAATGTGTTTTGACTTAAACCCTGACACTTAGCTTCAAACATTTTTCTGTAGACCTTTTTTCTGTTTAAAATAAAGTTTTTTCACTTTTCAATTGAGAAGTCTACAATTTTGGCGTGAACGACAGGATCGCTAAGATGTCAACTAAGTTTCAATTCTATTTTCAACGTGCTGAAAATCAGCAAGTGCATCTTGTGAAATATAAAGTTCATTCAGAAAACGAATGGGTCATGGTTGATCCGCAACATCGACTCATTTCTTCTCATCAAGTGATAGTTGCAAAGCCCTCCGTAGCGTCCGCTCTTGAAAACTTCACTAGACATCGAACTCTGACCGTCCAACTCACTCAGGACGAATCAACACCTTATGTTAATTGTGAATTTGGTAGTGTGCTTAGTGATGAAGGTGATGTCCAGCAAATGTCTGACAACTCCGAGAGCATTCCGACTTCTGCATCGACAAGTTCCAATCAAGACTCAGTTGTGTTACAAGCAGTGAGAGAGATGATGAGGGCTCAACAAGAAATGTTTTTCAACACTTTTCAATGTTTCCAAGATTCAATTCGACCTTTGGTCAATCAAAAAGTGCAACGCATGGAAATCTCTAAGTTCGATGGCAAGACAGAAGATGCAAAGACTTGGCTATCAACATATGAAAAGATGTGTGAGCACAATAACTGGGTTCTAGATAAAGCCAAGATAAATGGTCTTAAATCCAACTTCGAAGGAAATGCATTAAAATGGTTTAATAGCATGATCCGTGATAACGTTCCTGAGGACTGGGAACAATGGAAATCTTCTTTTTTACGGTCATTTGGTCAAAACCGAGTCAGCTCAGCCAGTCTTGCTCTTAAATGGGAGTACCGTAGTGGCGATATTTTTGATTATTACTACGACAAGCAAAGGTTAATTCAACTAGCTTTCCCTGATTTGGATGAGTACAACTTTGTAACTATGGTACTATTGGGGCTGCCTGATGATATTCAGAATCAACTTTCCAATCGTCAACTTCGAACCAAACAGGAATTAAGAGAAGCTCTGGAGATGATTAAACCTGCAAAAAGTGGTAAGCTGAATCATTCTAATGGCAAGAATCAATTTAGACCAAACCCTAAGACTAACACTAACTATAATACTAAACCAAAACAACAATCAGATAGTTTTGTCGCTCTAACCGAGAACCAAACTAAAAACCCAACTGATACCCTTGATGTAATCGAAAATTCATTAGACATGACTGAAATAAGTACTAAAAATGAGTGCTTAGAAAAAGAGCTAAAAATTAGTACTAAAAATGAGTGCTTAGAAAAAGAGCTAAAAATTAGTACTAAAAATGAGTGCTTAGAAAAAGAGCTAATAATTAGTACTAAAAATGAGTGCTTAGGAAAAGTACTGAAATTTAGTACTGAAAATAAATCAAATTGTTCTGAATCTTCAGATGCTTTCAATTGCTCAAGTTTAGAACCTAAAACTGAAATAGTTGTTAATGGTATACCTTTACAATGTGTACTTGATTCTGGTTCTGACAGAAGCTTCATTAGATCAAAGATTGCCTATGAAAATAATTGGAATCTTTTTGATGAATTTGCAACCATAAGACAAATAAATGGTGACTCTTTCAATTCAAATAAAGTTTGTAAAACGGACATTCAATTCAAAGGTAGATTTGCTAATGTAACCTTTTCACTTCTGGATACCCTACCATTTCCAATAATTCTAGGATATTCGGATCTCAAACGTCTAGGGATAGAACTTTGCCAAGTTGACAAAGATGCTTTCTTTTCTTGTCCATCTATCAAAGACACAAATGATGTTAAAGTAATGTTTCCAAAACTTTGCTCTCCTTTATTACCAGAATCCAACAATTTTGTTGAATTCAAGTTGAGAGAAAATCATGAAATTGTTAGGCGAAAACCTTATCCAATGTCAGCAAATAAATTAGCATTCGCCCGAGATAAAATAAAAGAACTACTAAGTAAGAAAATTATTACAAATTCTAACTCTAGCTATGCATCACCTGTTACTTTTGCTCCGAAAGAAAATGGTGATCTCCGTTTCTGCATAGATTACCGAGATATAAATAAACAGACAGATTTAGATCCGTTTCCTTTCCCTCTGATTGACGATATCATTTCTCTTTTTGGTGGCTGCTCTTTCTTTTCAAAAATTGACTTAAAAGATGGGTTTTGGCAATTGCCTTTAACTAAAGAGACCAGAAAATTCACTGCATTTGTTACACCTTTTGGGCATTACGAATGGACTCGTCTTCCATTCGGATGGAAAAATAGTCCTTCATTGTTCCAAAGACACATGAATACAATTCTTTCAGATTTAATTGAGACTGGTAAAGTATGTGTGTACATCGATGATATCTGTTTGGGTAGTCGATCCGCAGAGGAATGTCAAAAACTAACATATCAAGTTTTAACTAGATTAGATAAAGCCAATATGGTTATCAATGTTGAAAAATCTGAATTTGTTAAGCCATCAGTAAAATTTCTAGGTCGGATAATCGACGGCAATACCAAAACTACCAAGCAAGAATCTATCGAAAAAGTACGCAATATGCTTCCTCCTCATGACCTTCATTCACTTAGACAGTTTACTGGATTGACAGGTCATTTTAGGGCATTCATCGAAAATTATGCTTCAATTGTAAGACCTTTAGATAGATTGAAAGGTAAAGATGTTCCATTTGTATGGACTGAAAATTGCCAACAATCATTTGACCGTTTGAAAGAACTCATAACTTCAAACCCTGTTTTAAATTTACCAGATCTGAATTTACCATTTGAATTATGCACAGATGCATGTGGTCTGGGTTCAGGCTCTGTTCTCTACCAAAGAGACATTAAGAGACCAAGAAACCAACAACTTCGTGTTATTGGTTATCAATCTTATACTTTCAACAAACAAGAATTAAATTATTCCATTACTGAAAAGGAAGCATTAGCAGTCATCAAGGCCATAAAGTACTTTAAATCTTATCTTGAAGGGCGCTCTTTCATTGTTCACACCGATCATTCTGCATTAGCTTATTTAATGGAGCTTAAAGAACCTAAAGGTAGATTAGCTCGCTGGCAGCTTTTTCTTATGTCTTATGATATAAAGATTAATCACAGACCTGGAAGAATGCACTCAGATGCTGATGCATTATCTAGACTTTGTTTAGAACCAACAGCTTACGCTTTACTCTCATCAAGCTTATCTTCATTCAAAACTAGTACTAAAAGCGAGAACTCAGATTCAGCACTGAAAATTAGTACTAAAAATGAGCACTCAGAAGGAGTACTCAAAACTAGTACTAAAAATGAAAACTCAGATTCAGCACTAAAAATTAGTACTAAAAATAAGTACTCAGAAAAAGAACTCAAAACTAGTACTAAAAATAATCGCATGAGTAGTAATAAGCCTAAGCCTATTGAAAAGGCTCAAATGAACCAAATTCTTAAAGCATATCATGATGACCGTGACTCAGGAGGTCATAGTGGTTATTGGAGAACTTATTTTAAAATTAAAATGCGTTTTCAATGGCCAGGAATGAAACGTGATATTTTTGATTACATCAAGTCGTGTCACCTTTGCCAAATTAACAAATCCAAACCAAAATTTGACCCACCTTTTCTTCCAAATCATTCAAAGATACCATTCCACACAGTACACATAGATTTCGGTGAACTAGAAAAGAAATCCGATGTTAATAAGAAAACTAAATCTTTCTTGCTATTGGTTGATGAAGCTACCCGCATTATGCATGGTAAAGCCATGAAAGAGTCAACATCTGCAGTAATTAACTTTCTAAACTCTTTTAACAGAATTGACGAAATAAAAGTCATAATTTCAGATAATGGTACTGCTTTTACCTCAAGAGAAATGAAAGCTTGGGCTGCACTCAGAGGAATCACTCTGCGAAATACTTCACCATATCATCCAGCTGCTAATGGGCTAGTTGAACGGAAAATGAGAGATGTGAAATCCTTCATTGGCATATACAAAGGCTCAGGTGGTGACTGGAAAGACTTATTAGCTTCAGCCATACGCTACTCAAATCGTAGTTATCACTCTGTTATCGGGTGTACCCCGTGGTTCAAACTTTATGGACAAACTCCTTTGTTACCCGCCGATGAAAACTTTGGCCTCACATTACAAGATTTAACTGAAGAAAGTCCAAAAGACGATAATCAAGTAGCCAAGACCCGACAATCAAACGACAAAAGAAAATCTGGGAATTTTACCATCAATAAAGGCGACAAAATATTAGTTAAATTGGGCTATCATGGTAAAAAGAGAGTGCAAAAAGGACCTTTTGAAGTAGCTTCAGTCAAGTATTTTGATGGTAAACCAAAGACCATCATTTATCTGGACGAAAATGGAGATGAACATGTATCTCACATATCCAATATTTCACTTTATCACGAACGGAGTCGAGATTTTCCTAAGTAGGGGGAGATGAACTGTTCCCTTGTTCGCAAATTCACCCATTCCAATATTTAATTCAAACTCAGCTTATTTCCTATCCTCAGTTAACGTAAAAGACAAAATTATTTCCAGTACTCAAATTTAGTACTAAATTTTAGTACTTGAAGTTAGTACTAAGAATTAGTACTAACTTTTAGCCCTTAAAGTGAGCACTTAGAATTAGTGCTTAAATCTATTTGAAACAATCCTTTTTAATCTTTTGACCCTTCTGCTGACACCTGGTCAGTCTATCCAAACTATTTCCTCTATTTCCTCTCCAACCCAATAAAAGACAAAGATAATCCTTAAACAAGGGGAGAATGTGTTTTGACTTAAACCCTGACACTTAGCTTCAAACATTTTTCTGTAGACCTTTTTTCTGTTTAAAATAAAGTTTTTTCACTTTTCAATTGAGAAGTCTACAAGATGAATCCTTTTGGCAGCTTCATTTATCCTCATCATCTTCTTGTTTACCTTTAGTAAACATTAACCATTCATTTAGACAATAAAACAGCTTTTCCTTGGCTAACTCTTAACCTTTAACTTTCTCCTCATTCCTTCCTTACCTAATCAGTTCCAGATAATCCTCCAAGTCACCTTCAAGTATCAGCCACAGGATCAACAAGCATTCGTGTCTCATGGCAGGTAAGATGATTATCATTATCATATCAACACTTGACAATCAACTTGTGAACAAACGAATAGAAATACAAAAAACATTTTCTTCTTTTGTTCAAACTCTGAAGAGTCAAAACGACTTTTCACTTTTAAAACTGTTTTAACAATCAACTTGTAATCACTTTAGTTGGCATTTTGTTGGTTTTCAATTCAATTTAAAACCTTTTCCACCTCAAAACATGATAATAGATTTGACTTTATCAATCGTTTATGGATTATTCAGCCTTTTCTTTCCAGGGTAAAACTCAGAGGATGAAAAGTCCTTAGGAAATTGTTTTCAAATGATATCATCTTTTCAGTCTTTATTGTTTTCCAGATCAACTTTATCAGCTTTTTTTACATGTTTACTTGAGCTTATTCATTTTCATCACATTTATCTTGTTTATTGTTCAACTTTTTTTCATTCCAATATAAAAATGAAAAGATAAATAATCATATTAATAATGATGGTTAGCAAAAAAATATGGAATATGGAAAAATATCATTTTCGGTGAATTGATAACTTTCATTTTCTCACCAACATCACAAGTAATCAGTTTTACAGTTCTCATGAGCTTCAAGAATATCAGTAAATAATCTTTTTTTTGAATTTAGTTTATTGATCAATGATCAATATTGAGGAAAGATTTTCTTTTTTCCACCTGAAAAGTTCAATATTAATTGAATGAGAAACATCAGAGAAAAAAATAGAGTTTAATCCAAAAAAGTGAAACAAAAGTTGATAAGATTAACAAACAAAAAGGTTAAAAGTTGTTCATTTCAATGACAGTTGAATGTTGGTTCAACTTTTTTCAAAAATAATTATCTTTTCCATCATTTGTGTCAACTTTAAGAATGTTCATTAAGAAATGAAATTAACGTCACTTGTAATGAACGTTTCAAGACTTAGATTTTCAGCTTTCAAATGATCAGTTTAATGCGTAAAATGAGATTAACTTTTAATGCACGGAATTGCATTCTGATTATGTTTATGCGATTATTTAAAGTGACAACAATTTAAACTTTTTTCTGTTTATTCATTGCTCAGGCTCCTGTATCCAAACATCGGAGTAACACTGTTACTGGTTATTATATTGGTTACAAGAAGGTTGACGATAAACGAAGTGGTTCGTTTATATTTAAAACGGTCAAGGCTGATCCAAGTAAGCAACATTTTACCGAAGAGTTGAGTGGACTTGAAAAGCTGACCAAATACACGATTGTGGTTCAAGCTTACAACAATAAAGGTGCTGGACCTTTGTCGGAAGAGTTGTATGTAAGTACAACCGAGTACGATAAGCCGAGTTCACCCAACTTGAAAATACTATCAATTGGATCACACAACATTGAGCTTGCTTGGGATCCACCGAGTGATGACAATCCAATATTTGGCTATTTCGTTCGCTACAAGAAGCAAGATGAACACACTTGGCATGAAAATCAAGTTGCTGGTGAGGTTACATCTAATACTCTCATTGGCCTTGATTGTGGTTCACCTTATCATCTCTCCTTGTTGGCCTACAATTCAATGGGACGAGGGAAAAGCTCAGACATTGTGTCTGTCAAGACTCAAGGGTCCATTCCTAGAGCACCTGAAAAAGAGTCTCTTTTAACGTCCAACTCTAGTTTTCTGATTGTCCACCTCTCTGCCTGGATGGACTCGGATTGTTTGATAGACTATTTTTCAGTTCAATATAAGAAGGATAAAAGTGAATTATGGACCAAGTTGGAAGAAGGTTCACTCATGTCGGATAAAAATTTGTACATTAAAGGATTGGAACCAGCCTGTTGGTACAATATTTGGATATCGGCTCGCAATGGTGCCGGAACCACTGAAGCCGAATACAAAATTGCAACTCTAACGGAAAATGGAGGTAAGAATTTACAGGGAGTTGAAAAATTCCCTCCCAGTTTTGATGCTTGTTATCTTGTAAAAGTCAGAATACGATCAGAATAGCATGAAAAACTATTTCAATTTTCCAATCATTTAGAGTTTTCAATGATAAAAAGAGAAACTTGAAATTTTATAAATGAAACGGAAAGTGCCATTCATGGAATGAATAAGAATCTAAAAATCGATAACTCGAAACATTAAATTTTTTGAAAATCGCAAACTTTCAAGTTCGATGCTGACGAATGCAAAATTTTGCCAATTTTGACACATGTAATTAATTAATTTCTCAGGTGTTCTTTTCATGTTAAAAGGCAAATTGCTATCAATCAATGAAACCATTTACAATTTACAATTTTCGATTTTTCGGCGAGTTGAAGACGAATGTAATCGTTTTAAAGTCCAATCAGTCAAAAGTCATTATCAGTTTACTTTGGTAGGAACTCATCAAACAATGAAGTGATATTGTATTCAGTTGGTTGAAATGGAGATGAAATTTAAATAATACATCATCTTTTATACGTTTTTCTTGGTTCAACATTCCTTTTCTTTGTTTCCCTTTTTGCGGCACTTTTCTCATTTCTACTGATGATACTTTCCAACACTAACTTTGTGCACAGTTGAATGACATTTCAATTTGATAATGATGATGATGAGGTGATAAATTATTTGCCAGTTTACTCTTTCTCCTTCTTTCTTTTCTAAGCCTGATTCTCGTTGAGTATGAAAAATTGTTTTCGTTGAACAGTGAAAACCACAATAACTTGGAATAAAAGTCCATTTCAAATGCTATTTACCCTCAACTCTTATTTTCAAAAGCTTATCCACTTATCCAATGTTCACTTTTACCAACATTTTCCTCGTCATTTTCATCCTTTTTTGTTCAAAACTATTTTTAAACTTGAATAAACCATCAAACTTATATTTCTATTCCCATTCAATTCGCTCTTTAAATGACTTTCATTTTTCCTATTAACATTAATTTTCATTTTTGCTCAAACATCCAACTCAACTCATAATCAGCAGATTATTTGCATTATTGCTAACAAAATGATTTCAATGCTGAATCACTAAGGTGATCATGTCGATAACTTAATCTCTTTGACTCAATAAAATCGTCATTAGACGAGTTTGACTTCAAGTAAAAAACCAATAAAAGTTCAGTTTATTAACAAACGAAGCTAAAAAATCGAAAAGTTTGATTTCTTGTGTATTTGTATTAACGATTGAAATATTGTCTCAATGTGAACTTGAATTTGTTCATGAATTGTATTTAGTTGATTAGTTATAGTCAATATTTTTTAAGCTTTTTTGTGATGAAAAAAGAAACCTTTTTGGATAATTTGTGTAATTTTCAAATGGAAAAAATTCAATTCTTTTCTTACTCTTTTTGCTCTTTGATTGCCAGGGAATGAAATGGCTGAACAATTTGGTGAGAATGAAATGTTTTTCTCTGAGATTCTTGATAAGTAGATTGGAATTGACATGAGGAATCTTTTTCATCTTTTGTTTCATCTCTTTTTGTTTCACCTTATTCTTTGTACAGAGAGTTGAGTGTGAAACTATTTCAATGGAAGCAAGAGAAAAAAGATATTAAAGTGTCACATGAATTATAGAAATATCAAGAATCATGTTGATTATAAGTTCACAGGAGGTCGAATTATTATAAATTCAGAGGATTTCATTGTCTTACTGAGGCAATGCTATGAAATGAAAAAAGAGTAAAACTTGCGAATTGCAACTTTTCCAAACTTTTTCACTTTATTTTTATAATACATTAACAAGCAGCAGAAAATTTTCATTCTTCAGTTTCATTCTGAAAGTCATTAATGAGGATAACTCGTCTTTTTTTGTCGACGAAAAAAGCATCTAAAAGAAAAGGGTTAAAATCTCATTTTTTTACTATTCATGCCTCAGCCTGCATTCAAATGGTTAATAACAAATTTTGATAAAATTGGCAAAAGAATAGACAATTTTCAATGAAATGTGGTGAGAAGTGGAAGAAGGAGAAAAAAGGAGAAAAAAGAAAAGTTCTTTTTTGTGCATTTTCCCATGAAATGATAATAGTTGAGCATTCTTTCATTATTTTTATCAAAATTTAAATGATTATCAAAGACAGGAGCTTGTTATATTTGTATGTATAAAATTGTTAACCAAAGAAAGAGACAGAAAAAAATGTCAAACTTTAATCTTTAATCTTGATAACTTTTACTCCCAGTTTAAAAACAGTTCTGACTTTATCTTCATATTCTTTGTTCTTACTCCTTCCCATCATCATCATTTTCTTTATCCCATTAGCTTCTGTATTAAACAAGATGCGTGATTTATGATGAACAGAAAAGTTCAAAACCATTTCAGTTTGCAACAAAAAATAGAGCAAAAATGAAAACAAAATAAAAGCTTTAACTTGGGCTTTCTTATTAAACTATTATCTCGATTGAATTACTATTAAAACAAACTTAAAGTCAGTTTGTTCCACTGAATACAAATAAAGACTGAAACAGTTTATCTTTTATCGTGATAAGGCCAAGCTCGAACTTACCTTATGTCTCAATCAATTATCGATTGAACTTCTTTAATCTTTCGATAAAATTCATAATAAATTTCTTATAACATCAAAAATCTCACAGAAAAATTTGCAATTTCAATCTTTTGAACGATTTTTGACCTCATGAGTTTTAGAAGTAATGCCAGAAAAACTTTTCGCTGCAAAATCTTTCAGCTATTAGGCATGGGAATAAGCTTCGCCTTTCCTTATAACGATCGATTTTCATTGGTTCACTTTCCAGTAGCCTGTGATTTCTTGTTCTGGTAAATGTTTAGGTTGTGGATCTTTCACAATGAAAAATTATGAAGAAAAAAATTAATTTGAGTTTCCATCTGTGAGTACTCTACAAGGAGATGAGTTGTAAAGCAACAACATGATTTGATTCAGTATAAAATTTACTTACATTGTATTTAGATCTCAGAACAGTTCACTTTGATTAAATTTCAAGCACAATGATGACACAAAGGTAAAAGCACAGATATTAGAGGCTCAGCATTTGAGTTTAATACTCATCAATAAACTGAACAATTTTCTTGAGACAATATCAAATCACACATTAAAATTACTTACTATTGACCAGTACATCAAAACAAAGGAAAAGGAAAAGGCTAAGGGAAAAGTGAGGGAAAGCTAAAGGGGTTAACTGTTAATCACAAACTGGAAAATAAATAAATAGTGAACAGATCCCTTACACATCAAAGAGTCTAATTGATGACTTGAATGCAATACACATTTAATTTTGTAACGAATTTCCAAATTTCCAGAAAAAGGTGAAAAATAATTATAATTTCTTCGAATAGATTATACCTAATATTGAGACATTGAAACATAACATTGAAAATGAACTTACGAGATATTTTCAAAATGAAAAATGCTATTCAATTCCAATTAAAGAGATTCTATTTGAAATAATGCAAATTCAGTATCTTTTATGTCAAAAATTTTCTGTTTCAAAAGATTCTCATTAGCGTTTAGTTTCGTTGGACTGTAACTCGGAGTAAAATCTACAGTTGATCAACCAATTGAAAGTTTTGACGACAAACAGATTCACAAATGATCAGACAATTGAACATAATTGTTATTTTATTGTTGAAAAATCAGGAAGAAACAATTATTAGCACAATAAATACAAAATTGCATATAAAAATGTATTAACAAAAGATGGAAACAAAAAGCTCAAAAATAGCACAATAAAGGAAATTTAATATACAAAGTTTGAATAAAGCGAATAGACGAGAGAAAGGTTTACTATTATATTAACCATGAATGGCAATTTAATTCATTTAACTTGTTCAAATAAAACATAAATAATATGTAATGTTTTAAATGAACATGATAACTATCGGGTTGAACATGAATGAGATGGAACAGCAAGAAAGGCAAGCAAAAAAAACCTAACCTAACCTAATTCAGGTTTTATGGTTCATCAAATTTATTCATTTTTCCATTTTTTCTCTTCTTCTTCTTCATTCATTCTCATCTTCAGAGTATCTCCATCAACAAGGAGATTCCTCAAATGCTCAAATAATATCGTTAATAGTGCCTGTTATATCTTCATTTGCCATCCTATTTGCTCTCATCATAACAACTTTTGCACTCGTCTATTGTCACAACAAATCACGATCATCTTCAATTCAATGTAAGTTTTTTTTGATTCCTCAACAATAATCATTTCCATCATTTCCATGACACTCATCATTCCATTGTCTACAAGGCAAATTAATATAAATTAACTCATTAACCAACCATTTTGATTTCATTATAATTCTCATCTCTATCATCCCCATCCATCTATTCATCATTTTTCATCTCTCTTCATCATAATTATATTCTCACTTAGAGAAGAAAAAAATTACTAAAAAAAGAATCAATTCATTTTCATTATTCTCATGTAAATATTATGCTTATTGTCACTTATCCTTTATCATTATCCTTTCATCATCCATATTAAATAATCATCCTCATCAATCTGTCATTATCAAATTATTTTCAATGATTTTTTCACCCTTCAATTTCATTTGAACATTTCTTCATCCTTTCCTCACTTCCCACCATCATTATCATGCAATTTATCGTCAAACATTCCTTCTGTTGACACAATGTTAATTATGATGGAAATGAAAACAATTTTTAAAAGCAAAAAAATTTGATTCCTTTTGCATTAGATGGAACCTCATCTTGTGGTGAAAGCCAACCTAAAGCTGAATGCCTTGCCTTGGATGACATCTCAATGGGTAAACCCAATTACATGGATAGTTATTCACGATCCGATGGACCTGATCCAGAGGCTATTTACTTAGCCTCACCTTATGCCTCTTCACGCCTTGGGACACCCATGGTTGACTCGAGTGACCAACTGAGAGAATGCAATCGTCCAAGCTTGAATAAACATTTATTACCTCGTAATTCACTTCAGTCAAGCAACACTTATGATGTTCCCCAGCAACGAAACCATCCAGCTAAAAGCACAGTAAGAGGTGCCCTATCATATACCTGTAAACATGAGCGTATCAATTGAATGTGCCAAAATACAATTGAACCTTGTAATCAGTCATAATCAACTTTTCAACTTGATACCAGTTCATTGATATTCAGCATCGCATGGTTACAAGTTTATCGACTGAATATTTTTCTGTTGAATTCAAGTTGAATCAAAGTTTATAATCACTGATAATAACCAATCATTACCAATGGTGACATTTGAGATGTGCTTTATTGACGATAATCGTGCAATCAAAAATTGCATTTTTCATGAAAAAATAATTGACCTTCAATCAATCAGTTCTCAACTTCCAGATTGTTCAGAGTTTTCCGTTTTGAAATTGATTTTCGAAAAGAATAAATAAGAATGAAAAAGTTGCCAAAATGTTGCTTCTCTTTCAATGTGATATTATCAATATTCACTTTTGAAATGTGAAACTTCATCTTGAAACAAAGTCTAAACATTGGTTAGATATTTGATGAGCAGCAAGATCAATCAGAAAAAGATATTGAATGAAATTGAGAACATGGCAAAATCAGGTGAAAGTAGAATTGAACGTTTTAAACAATTTTTGATACGCTTTGAAAATAACAACTTCAGGGAGTGAAACAGGAAGAAAAGTGATAAAACTAAATTTTCATTCATTATTTATGATTTTCAGAAACAAAAGGCGAAAAATTGAAAATGAAAATTTTGCAAACAATTGATGGTCAACAAGCTTATCCGGTAAGAAGGAAATTCATGACAAAGAACTTCCTTCCGGTAAATGTTTACTCTAACATAACTTTTATGATTATCATTATATTCAGTGATATCATGTATAATATGTACATATAGGTGATGTAATATGACAGGGAGTGAAAATGACATTTCATGTGTTATAACTTTACAATCTAAATAGATAGTATTCAATATCGAATTATAGGTTTTTCAGAATAAGATGGAATGATGAGAAACAGAAGAAATGGTGAAAAAGGGAAAATATGAGAAAAGAAAGAAGATGATGAAGAAGATGAAGATGCAAGGGAAGAGAGAAGAGGATTATATGAAGAAGATAGTTGGAATCATTAAGGTGAGAGACAAAGAAATGAGAATGAGCACGATAATGATTATGAAGACTAGAGTATGAAATACCTTGTTTGTGATGATGATGATGATGAAGATGGAAAGAAAGCTTGAAATGGATGTGAATAGAATTTTGCTGTTCAAATGGTAAATCCATTTTGAGTCGACACTGTAATCCATATTTTTGTCCCATTTTCTTATCATCATTTTCATCTTCCTTTAGCATCCTCTTTTACCAATAAGGAAGGAAAAGTAGGAAAGGTAAAAATTGTTCCGTCAAAACTTTACTTACTAAAGACAGGGGGAAAGTTTCAAATGAAATGAATCGAATAAATTTTGAAAAGTTTCATTCATTCTTTTTTTTCACCATTTCATTTTTTAATATTTGCATTTCATGATAAAAAGGAAATGTATTCAAAGTTAAAAGTAGCTTAACCATGAATTTTCAAATTGCTTTTGACTTGATGAGTGTGTTAAAGATGAAAATAATGAAGTTGAAGATTAAAATAGATGAAAATGTTTACCGTGAAAAAGGTCTCACTGTATGTTCAGTTGATAGGGAAAAGTGACTTCTCTAGGTTGTGATATGCTCTTCTTATGGGTTCAACTATGAAGCTCAAAATTCACTTTAAAATGTTTTTATTTTCATACCAATCAATGGTAAAGCGATAGTTTAATATCACAAATGTTTCAACTTTGAACGAACTTCAAACTCGAGCAAAAACGTCGATCGATTCAAAGTTGACCATTCAATGAGTTTCAATGAATATGACAAGTCTCAATAAAGGAACTGAAAATTAAATCTTTAAACCTTTCGATCAAAAATCACAGAATGAGTGGGTCAATGTTTAACGTAAAAAAGGTCTCACTGTGTGTTGAATTTGATGGGGAAAAGTGACTTCTCTAGGTTGCAATATGCTCTTCTGATGAAGCTCAAGATTCACTTTGAAATGTTGGTCCATTTCGACTGTTGATCAATCAACTTTTTCATACTTTCTTCGTGTTCGGGTCAATGTTTTATTGTCCACTTTTACTCGTCTCTCGATTGAAACAGTTTGCAGCTAAATAATGATGATCATGATTATTATGATTATCCTGATGATAATGGTGAGGGTAAATGTTTTGAAAGTTTAAGGATTCAGTTTAATGGATGGAACCTTTTTTTCAATTTATCAATCAAAGTAAATAACTCTTGGTTATGGTTAGACTTTTTTATCATCCAATATCAATTCTTCTCGTTTCCCGTTCATTTGCTCGGTTCAACTTTTGCTCAAATTGTTTCAACTTTGAGCTGTGACCATACCGTGGAAATGATTAAGATGACTTTCCAATTCCCAACTAGATCCTGCCATCTCAATCAGACCTGATTAATAGACTGTTCAGGTTTTGAAAGTAGAGAAACAAAAAGACAAACCATTTCTTTTTCATCTTTTTTCGGACACTTATCATCGTCTTCAATTGTTCAGTTGCATTAATCAGATTTAAAAAGCAAAATTTTTCACCCTGAATCAGCGAAAAAAAAGTAAGCAATAATATATCATGAAACCAGAAAAGGGAAAAAAATTTCCTTTCTTTTCATGAAATTATGTTTATAACCATTCCTAGTCTTGACTTGAACATCATCTTGTTACTCATCCAACAAGAGTCACCAGTGATGATGATACTGATGATGATCACTCTTATTGATGATCCTTATTGCTCTTGCTTTTTAAATCACTTTTGTTTTTTTCTGCTGATTCCATGATAAATACATTGTATTCAACTGGGTAAATTCAATATTGAATGTTGGAACAGAAACAAAGAACTCAAAAGACTCGCGCAAAGAGAAACATCAGTCTCTCAATAACATGCAAACTTTACCAGTTTTTATTATATTTTGTTCACTTTCTTCAAATCATTAATCCCATAGTTTATTGATTTTCATCCTTCGCCTTCCCTGTTCAGCACGACATTCACCCTGATTTACAGACAAAACAATGATTCAATCAAACCGATAAAGTGTTCTTATTTTCCATCTCATGGAGTGATAAAATTTTCACTCCCTTGATATAACTCCCAACATAATGACGACAGTTTAACGTCACCTTTCGAGGAAAAAAACTTGAAAATCTTTCATTCAAATGAACCTTTCCAATTGACAACATTTCGTTCAACAATCAACTGAAAATTGAAACAATTTTCTCCTTCATCTTAACATGAAGTCCAATTCGCTTCTTAGGAATGATAATTATATTAGCAAAAGAAAAACATTTAGCATCATGTGTGATAAATATCATGATAATTGAAACAAATTATCAAAGCATTGAGAAGAAAACAATTTTTCGAGTTTCGTCTTTTGGGAATTTGGTCAAATTACTTTTCAACTCTTTTCATCTTTTCACATGTAAATGTTACGATAAACTTTTAAAGCATGAATTGATGAAAAATTAAACAAAGCAAACCTTTTGGTTAAAGGTTTCATTAAAAATGTAGAAACCAATTTTCATACAAAAACTTTATAATGAAACCTCAAAGATTAACAAGGTTAATCATTTGTTTCACACAGCTTTTCCTAGTCACTCTATTAATCAATTGATTCATCCATTTTATGCTCATGAATCTCTAGACAATTTTCAGTTGAAACTTTTGCCAATCCAAATTGGCTTCAAGCCGAAAACATTTACAATCAATGAGAAGAAGAAAAAAGCGTGAAAAAGACAAAAAAATGTATTCCAAGCCTTTCCAACAATCCATACAAACGATGCTATTTAAAAAGCATAAGTTGATTAATACAAATTTACACTAATGAGATGAAATGTTGACTGGATTTGATTTGTAAGGGAAATCATGGTGAACTAATGAGAATGAAAACAATTATTAACGATGAAAGAGAAGGAAAAATGATGACAATTTAGTCTGCGATATTTATGTTTTCACTGTCATCTAATTGCGTTAACACGTTAATATTCATATTCATGATTTGATGCGTTTAATGAGCTTGTTCAGCTTTGCTTCAATGGAAATGTTTCACTTTGAGTTTACATTAAAAAACAATTGAAGTAAATTGGGTTCTTTTTTGTTGCCTTTTAAATCAAAAGATTTTTGTATCAATTCAATTGATATTGTGTTTGCTTTAGTTTCACAGCTTTTCTTTGGCAACCTCTTTGTTTGGGTTAAAGTATGCAATTTCAGTGTGTAATCATTGGTAAAAATAGTTAATTGTTTGCCTGGTTGAACAATTTTAATGATTACATTTAAGTTTATCTTTAGTCTAATTGTATGATGATGATAAATAGGGAATCTTGTCTTCTTCTTGTTCGCTAATTTTGAATTACAATCATTTCTAGTCACAATTTGAGGCTCTTTTTGTTCATGTTATTGTCAATCAAGCTGAACAAAACAACATTTGTAAAATGTTTTCTCCTCTGTTTTACATTCAATTTTGGTCGACTTCAAATTATTGCTCATTGCGTTTCATTTTTATTATTGTTAATCATTTTTGCTCATTTTGTGTTACTGTTGTCTGAATGAAGATGGTGAAACTGTTTCAATTGAGTTTCGGATTCATGTTAGGAAAAGATGAAGGAGAGGAAACAATCGATTTAACATTGTAAACTAAAATAGAAATGAATTGTTCAAAAGAGGAAAGTTATGATGAAAATGATGAACAGAAAGGCAGTGAGAGGCTGAAAAAAACGTTGGCAAACTACTTAAGCCTTTTAATATCATTATTTGTATTATCTTGCAACATTGAACCTGGAATGTTGTATTCAATTTTGTTCTAATTATCGATCCTAACAGAATCATTCAATCTTAATATATTTTTTTCTGCCAGTTAACTCAGTTTCCATGAATTCTTTTCCTGCACTCTTTACGGCTCATTTTTTTGCATTGCTCACATCTTTACACTCGCATTGTCAGTAAAACTGCTCATAATTTAACGATGAGCAAAAATTCAGTAATGATTAATGAAAGTATTACATTAAAACTATGCAAAAGGTTTACAGTCTAGTTACAATGACTTGACATTAAGGCTGAAGTGAGGGAAAAGTTGATGCATTAGAGTTGGACTTGCAAGACTGACTGAATCGTCTGGTAAGCTCAAAGTCAAATGTCAATAACTAGTAAAAATCAGACTCCAATTTAAGTCAAGTCAAGTTGACAGTCTAAAGCTGCCCAATGGCAACTAAACTTAGACCCAGATGAAGCTTTACTTAAGGTCAGAACAACTTGTTTGGTTAGGGTAAAACTTACGCTAAGACCTGAATGAGAAGCAAAGTTGATGCAGAAGAGTTGATCAGTCAGGTTGATGCAAAGTCTCTGTTAGGTCCTCTTACAGAGACTAAAGTTGCAACTCCAAAGTTTTATTATTTTAGTGAATAAACTTTTTAGCGATTTTCATGAAGTTGTTGAAATGGTTAATGAAGTATTTTTTATTTCATTGATGCACTTTGCTCATCGATTTGATAAAGGTGGCTGGAAAAATGGACTGTGTTTATAACTGAAGATTTGATTTGGACAGAAAATGTAATGGATAAAAATTAGGGCATTTATTTTGCACTTACTTCTGTTAAATTGGTGAATAAGTAGATGATGAAGTTAGGGATAAGATGATATAAAGGAACAGAAATTGGATAAAATTCAGATATAAAATATCTGTATCAGGGTCGAGAAAAGGGAAGAGAGAATGATAATAATCCATCTAATAAGATGGATTCCTGTGGTGAAATAGATGACCCTTCTGTATGATTTGAGTGAATCAAATAGAATCATCAATTCTTGATTATTGCTTTTTCCTTCTCATCTTTTTCGTCTTCTTCATCATTCTTCTGTTCACAACATGATGTATTCAAACTAACATCATGTTAAACCTTTATGATTCCATCCAAATGTAAGAGGTAAGTTCATTAGAACCAGCTTCTCTTAATCACGACTTTGATATGAAATTCAGATATAGAAGGTAATAATGTTCACTCCCAGCCATTTAATAGCCTCAATATTATCCCAATGAATGAGATAGTTAAGTGACTATTAAACATTTAGTCGTACAAAAGTTGATTATCACAAATTAACGAATCTTTTTGTCAAATTCCTTCCATTGATAATATCGGTGAATTAAACTTACGACTATTCCAGTTGAATCAACTTGAATTTGTTACTCTTTAGTCAAATAAAGTTAACAAAATTTTAAATCGAGCAAAGTTAATCCAGTAAACTTGCAAAATTCAACCAAGTTAATCCTTAGTTGTAACGTCAATGTGAATAATGATAACGACTATTAAAGACAGTTCAATTGTAGGCACATTTGTGAACTTAAATAACGCTCAAGGAAAAATGATTCAAAATGAGATAAAAAAGTTCGATTAAACTTCTAATTTAAACTTTTCTTCAACTTTTTTTCAGGACGAACTGAGAGTTTCTTTTCTTGAATGCATCAAACAACAAGGTATGTTTGGTCAATCATTAGCCGGCAATTAATTGTTTCAAGCTAACCTTTTTATCTCATCTGTAGATGAACAAAACAATGCTAAACGTCGAGCGCAAAGTCAAGCAAATTTACTGTAAGTTGAAAAGTAAAATGTTGTAAACATTAATGAACATTTCTCACTGAAACTTTATCATCCTTCAGATGGAACTCACATGGTTATTCTTATGGTCACATTTTATATCCAACAAACTCTAGTCCTTTGAATCAAAATTATGGTAAATATTTTTCCCTACTTTATCATGTTCATGAGGGTTAAAGTGAAGACAAAAGTTAACAAGCGATTTGCGTTTTTATCCTTTCATTGTTGCTCAGTTTTATACTTTTTTTTGTTTCTTTCGTTGACAAAAGAAGTTGACTTGATGAAGTATAATGATGATGATGATGATGATGGCGATGATGATGATTAAGGCTTGGATTGATCTTTTTTTGCTCACCAATGATTATAAGATTAATAAATGTTGATTCAGCGGAAAGCTTATTGTCAGCTTTATTCCAATCTTTCAATCTCAAGTCTCATTATTGATTCTATTGCTTCAGTAATCACTTTTGCTTATTATTAGTATCATCATTATTATGAGATGGAAGACAAAAAAAGCGCAACTTTTTCCCAATGAACATCAACATTAACTCGCGATAACAATCAGATTAGTATTGTATGTATTGTTCAACATTACAAAAGCTGCTTTGTCAGCTTCGTATCATTAGCTTAACCATAAGTTAATCATCAATCGTCATTTTCAACGTTTACCCTTTTCCAATCAAAACTGAAGCAAAACAAAAGCAAAGCAAAAATGAAGAGAAAAAAACTGATTTGTTCGTCATGTTTACTCAGGTTGAAATGAAACTGAAAAAAAACTTCTTTTTCCTTTCCAGGTTTTCGTACACAAAGTGAGCTTCTTCAGGCTTCACTATTGAAGTAACAGGGATTGTTAATGGTTCAACCTTGATATTGTTTGGAAACGATTCAAAGGCAACTCAGAGTAAACTTCAGCCGACGAGTTGGTTTCAAGCTGAAAATAAACTGGTAAATTGAATCATTTTCATTATCTTTTCTTTGGTTTTTGATGGACTTTTGTTTCTTATCCGTTTTCATCAGATTTATCGTTTTGAATCGAAGCCAAAGAGTTGTGAAGGAAACGAGAAAAAAGCAGCCAATCAACCATTTGCTTTCCACTCTGTCTTGGTGAATGAAAAATCATCATTTCTGAGGCTAACACAAACACAAACAACAATACTAATAACAAGCTAATAAAAAGCAACTGTGATAAATATAATGTATATCTGTATAAATATATCATGTTGTGATAACTTTCACTCCCTTTCCTTTTTTCGCCCTCCGCTCTTTATTCAGAATTTCAAATTCTTCTTTTCGTCAACAAGAATAAATTTTTCTTTTCCTTTCACTTTATTACTTCTTTTACTATTTTTTTTACTTCATTCCTTTCGACTTTATCCTGCTCTTGTAATGATGGCTCAAGATGATGCTCATGATGATCAACATGATCCTTGAGAGACTGATAGCTATTTATTTCCGGTGAATTGTTACATTTTTTTCCGGAATCAACTTGAAGATGAGGGTAATTATTATCATGAAAATAGCCTTAATATTGACGAATGAACAGTAAAAAAAAACTTTATTTACACTTGAATTGTGAAATGAGAAAATGAAATTTGCTTCATTTTTTTCCTTCGTCATTTAATATCCTTTTAATCGACCTTGTTTCTCTGTCAAACTGTTGAGAAAAGTTCAATTCAATATGACAGGAAATGCTTTGAATGTTTCAATTCGCAAGTTTTCTTATGAAATGGACCAAGTAAAGAGTTTGAATGTTTTGAAAAAAAGTTTTGAAAATTTTTGTTTATTCATTCACCAACAATCGTACGTTTATTGAAATTCATAGTTAACTTTGCGGTTGCACTTATCAAGTTGATCCTACGAGATAAGCTGCTCTGCGTTGATCAAAAGTAAATAAATCCGCCTTATTTTAAGTCAACATTTACATTTACAAGGAAACACAACTCAAGTTTGTGTTTACATTATGCAACAATTTCCTTTTCGATGAACAAAATTTCGTTGCCAAAACTTTATCACGTTTATTTGAAGAGTCGAGAAATAAAAATTATGATGCAAAATCTTAAAAAACCGATTAGATGGGGTTAGATCATCAGGATTTCCAGAGTAAATTTCAATGAAAATGAAAAGCTAGCGAAACATAAGATCAAGACAGTTAAGATGCTATGTAAGATTAAAGGTTATCTTGGTCCAGAACATCTCAAATGATGTCGATAAACTTGTTCCATATTGGGGGTTGCATTGCGCGTGAGAGGTGTGAGATTCATTCAGAATGGCAATAAAACTCCTGGTAAGAAAATGAAATGTGCTCCGCAGTCGGGGCTAAACAACTTGCTTGGTTGATGCAACAAGATGGACCTTTCCAGGTTGATCATGAGCCTTTAGTTAGAGTCAAGGTTTGGTTATGTTTTTGTATCCAAAAAAAACTGAGTAAGGCAAGTTGGATTTGAGGGACCAGATGAAACTTTGTCTGAACTTGAATGAATCAAAAATGGGTAATTATCAACTTTTCCGCCATCAAAGTATATTCAACTTATTGACACTTGAGATCAACTGAAGCTCATCATTTTTACTTCCTCTTCATCATCTTTTATATATATCCAAGATAATTTGATAACTTGTTCAATTCAATCAATTTTTTTCCTCTTCTTATTTATACATTAACATCATCCTTACAATCTGATGACCAATTTTTTTTCTTCCTCTGGCTCACATTATCATCCATCTTTGCTCTTTTTTGTGTATTTGTTTTTTTCTTCCTCTTCTCCTTTAGTCTTTACTCTCTTTCAATATCCTTCCTCTGAATCAGAACTGAACATTGAACACTAAAGAAGGCAAAAAGAAGGAAAAACAAATTTTTTTTCCAATCGATTCAATGAAATATATATTACTGGAAAGTTAACCGACAAAATGGATTCTTATGGACATTTATTATGATAATCCAATGTTATTAAATGTTGTCATCTCTAGACTGGTTGTAAAAAAGGGAAGCAAAGAAGAGAAAAGTTCCAGTTCAGAATTGCGTTGTGACTAAACAGATTAAGAATGTTAGCCTTTTTTGTCCATGCTTGTGAGTCTTGATAAATGTCTTGCTCAAACCTTATAAATATCTTATCAAAAGTCATGAAAAGAGAAAAGAAAAAGGCAGAATAAGAATAGCCTTTCGAATTGAAGGAAACAGAAAAACAATGACAAAAACTATTTGATAAAGAAAAGAGGAAACAAAATAGTAGAAAGAATATTTCTTTTTTTCGATGTTTTTCTTTCATCATCAATTCTAATGGAATAATGGAAACTTAACATGAAAAAAAGCAAGATAAATGGGATAACAATATTTCCAATATCAGGTTAGTTATCAAATGAAAAGATTAAATTCAATATCATCTTGTTATCAAATAAAACCTTGCGCTTGCAATTTACTTGAAATTTGAAGGTAATAAAACTTTACTCCCAGCTACAGTTACTATCAAGATATAAGTCGAAATATGATGAAACAAGATTAACATTATCATTAGCTTTTTTATTGAATTGCAATAGATGAAGCTCCAGACTATCAACGTGAAATAATGAATCAAGTGGGCGGCTAAGTTAGGTTTTGGAGTGAAAACTGGGAGTGAATTTTTTATGCGCTATTTTGTCAAAGTTTATTTACAGGGCTATTCAGCCTCATTTACTTCACGGTTTATCCAATATCTAAAGAAAGAACAATGCTAGGTTACTTATACCTGAACGCTATGCTTTTGAAGAACAATTTTTAGAAGTTTCAAGGTCATTCAAGGTCATTCAAGGTCATTCATTTATCTGACCTCTAAACTACTTCTGAAGGTCATCTTGGTATAGCCCATCCTTTCATCGCTCTAATTTCATCTCAAAGTACCAAAAGTAACTGAAATGAAGATATCATTCACGAAGTATTTATCGCCAGAATTGAATGAAACTTGTGTAACTTCTCAGAGAAGAATGCAAACTTTTATGACATTCATTTTTCAGAGTGAAAAAGTGTATGGAATCTGAAAATGACATCTAGAAGTCGTTTAGAGGTCAAATAAACGGATAAACTTGAATAACCTTGAAACTTCTAAAAAATGTTCTTCAATTCTCAAAAGCATACCGTTCAGATATAAGTAACCTAGCATTTTGGATCAGCATCATTTCGATTTTGGATAAACTCTGAAGTAAATGAAGCTGAATAGCCCTCTACATAGATGGATAAGTGATACAGAGACGAAAAATATTAGCTTTTTAATTCCGCAATTGTTTTTTGAGTAACAATTAAGTCAATAGTTATCTTTTTGTGTATATTTTCAAGCTATTGATAAATATGAACCAATAGCACGGCTTAGTTGGTCACGACCGAGCGCAAAATATATATTTTTGTCATTATCGTCATCTGCTGACGCAACTGAAAACCCTTTTACATCAAGCGCGGATCATATACAAAATATAATAATAGATCACCATGACGAACCTAGAGTGCCACCAAATGAAATGGAAATACGAGAATCGCTTGATTCTTATTGTCATGATTACTACTGTGTTGACATCGACGAAGAGCTTGTAATGCTTACCAACATGGGAATAGACCCCCAGGATCTTCAACTCCAACATTCAAGCCCTTGGCTCACATGTACGAATTTCAGTAAAAAATCAATAATGCATATTGTTTGTTTTATAATGCATGAACCTCTTTTTTTGGATTTTTATATTCGGTTTTAAAACTTCATGATTGTTCATTTCTAAGACATTCCTTCCTTTTTACAAGATAGACACTGCATGTAGGCAAATGAATTGTTCAAAAGTGGCGTGAGTTTAACCCGGATTCTTCTTTAACTTTGTTATAATAATCTCAAAAACAGTGATTCCTGCGACTAAGTTAATAAGTCTGTAGTTAAAAGCTTAGTTTTCGAGGATGAAAAACAAAGCTCTAGATTATATTGACTAAAGGACAACACATATCTTCGGTATAGCGGTCTTAAAATAGTGTCATTGGTTTGAAAAGTTAATATCTCTGGTAAATGTACGCATTCCTTAAAATCTAGGAATGAAATATTATCAGAAATAAAGAAACTAAATTAACCAAACAAACTTTTATTAAAAGTCTTTTTTGTTTTTAAGATCCTGCATTGATTTAATAGAGTCGTTATCGTATCTGTGAGCTAGTTCAATGAAATAAATGCGGTGAGATATTGTATCATTCTGTAAGGGGTCTACACACTCATTAATCATTTCCCCTTCACAAATTATATCATTGTCCAATTATAACTCTTTACTCATTTACACTAACCTTATTGGTCAAGATGAACAATCTTATCATTCAAATAATTTGTATATAAAGAAATCCTTTTTACTACATCTTAGTCAGTTGTCACTTATAAGTCAGTACACACTCGTCAATCAACAGTCAGTCACTGGTCAATCACTGGTCATTCCTCAATCATTATACTTGATACATTTTTATCCTTACCTTACAGTATTGTACTCAACCTTCCGTATCCTTTTACCTTACTCTGTACTTCCAACCTTCATTCCGATTTGCCCTTCTGTGATCAATCTACATTCAAGTTTAAACTTACAATAAACGTGCTCTCTCTAGTTAACCTTATACATCTTAAGTTGTGACTTTATTTGTTGTTAGCTGTGTACACATTTTCCTAAGATAAAGCTTAAAGCCTTGGCTGATCATCCCTCGATCTCGATACACAATCGGTCTTTGCATCGCTTGTGGTTCTTTCACGAACCCTGACCCTAAAAATTCTTTTTCACGTGTTTTAGAAAAAACAAGGATCGCGAATGAATCCTTGGAAAGATTCGCGTATTTCTTCGCAATCAAGTCCGAAAATCCGAAAGTCCGATTTCTCGTAATCCATTGCAGCTAAAAGTTCCGATTTTCGCCATAATTAAATTCGATCTTGAAACAATTTTCTGAATTTGATAAGTTTTCTATTAATTATACGTAAATTGCCCACCACCAAAAACATTTAAACTTTAGATACAAATAAAGATGAACAGAATCTGAGTCAGATGGAAGAGGTGAAAGATTTCCAGTAATGAAAAAGAGAGGAGATAAATTGTGAATAAGATAATTGAATAAAAACTGATTTGATGAAGCGTAAGAGAGAGAAAAAACTGTTCCTATCATCTGAATCATCCATATCATCATTGTCATCATCAGTGTGCTCATCTTTTATTAAACAATCACTTGTTTGTTGGTTTTGGACAAACTTTTTGACATGTAAGTGTCTCATTTGACATCAATAAAAAACCATTGGTCCAAAGCATTATAAATAACAAGTCAAATAAAAAAAGTTGATAAGTTAACATAAAACTAGCAGATCATCATTATTTTTGTATAAATTGCAACAATGGAAGAGAAAGAGAAGGAGGAAAAAAAAGACTCTGTTCAAGAGTAAAATTTGTTCATTCTTCTAGACTCATTTCACCCATACAATTCATGTGTGTTTGTTTAACCATCGTTATCATGCAAAAGGCAAAAAGTCACAAGTAAACAATTGACACCAAACTGGATCCATAAAAAGGTTCAACATTAAAAGTAAACAAAAAAATCCAAATCAACTCAAATGGCTCTATTTATGTAAAAAGTTAAACTTGAAATTGGTTCATCATTGGTTGCAACAACAAAAAGGATTGAGGAAAAAAAAATTTATATCGAGTTGAACATTTGTATCTTGACCATCATCATCATATTCATTGTTGACTGAATAACATTAATTTTGCCTTTGCAACTCCAACTTATCATTCCCAGCAAGTCCAACTTTCAACTTTTACTGACCAAATAGTAACTCGTTTTGCCTCATTTAACCAGCTCATCATTGAACGATTTTTTTGTATTATTTTTTCCTTCTTCTTCAGGTTCATGATGACTTTTAGTTTTATTGCATTCTTAAGACTTATTATCTCATCACTAATAATCTTAGTTGAATCATAAACCAGTTGACCAATCATTTTATCAATCAGTTTGATAAGCTTAATTTGTGATTCTCATCATCGTTATCTTCATCCCTTTAAATCGTGCCTGAGAATGTTCATGGAAATTCATGCGATTATTCTGCCATATTTCACTGCATTCCCAGTTAGACAATAATCGTCTTTAATCAAGTGAACATTATCGGATAAGGAAGTATATTGACATTTACGATTTGGCTCATTTGAATTGTTCCCTAATTGGATAACAAATGAACTTTTGGTGAACAAATTTCATCCATTGTTCAACAATTATCGCGAGCATGTTTAATCAACTTTTCGTGATTCAGTTGATTATTCATTGAATATGATGAACATGAATAAAGGGGAAAGAAACAAATGATTAGCTTTTATGATGAGTTCATCGCAATTGACTTTAGCCTGTTGGTTGATGATGAATAAGCAAATGGTTTCATGTGGTAATCAAATTTTGAATGCAAGATAATGTAAATGATTCATGAAATGAGAATCATAATCAACATGAATCTGATATTCTGTGATTGGCCATTATCCAAGATTGATGATCAACTCATTGATAGCATTTGTATCTTTTTAGTAGCTACACCAATCAGTTGGTTGACTTAATTTACATTTAGAGATACAAATTTGGTAACGATTATTTTCTGGTGGCAAATGAGTAAAGAGCTGTTTCATTATCATGATTAATTCAGGGAATATTATTATGAAAATATTTATTGACCTTAACATTAATAAAAACTTTTACTTCTCGCCTAATTAGATTGTTAATCGAAACCCATCAGTGGTCAATTGATGGGGAAAGCAGCACAGAGTCAACACAAATTTACCATGAAATACATTCCAGAACATTGAGTAAACATTTCAACCAATAAGATCAAACCATTGATATATTTCATCAAGGCTCAAATTATCATAGTTTCATGCTAAAGTTAACTTTCCTTTTCAGGTAAACAATATTGCTCTTCCAATAACGAAGACTTTGTGAGCTTCTCTCATTAGCAGTGTTAGTAGTGCGGAAGCTCACGCTTCATGTTGACATTAGGAACGAAATCCTGTTTCAGTAGAAAATCAGCATTTTCGAAAATTCGTAATGTTCGATTGAAAATGTTTGCACCAAAAAGGCAGCAAGGAAGGAAAAAAACAAAGTGATCTTTTCTTTTTACACATTTCTTTTCATCAGAATTCTTCTCTTTTGGTAATGAAATTCGATTTCGTTTCCAACTGAAATGAAACCCTAATAATGCATCTCAATTAATTTTCATCATCTCGAATGGTGAAGAAGCAGGGAAAAAGGAGAAAATGAAAATATGAGTTTTCATTGAATATATTGAAGGAAGAAAACAAGAAACAGCAATTAGTATTGACAGAAAAGAGGATTGATGAAAAAAACATGAATGATAATATCGATACAGAATTCACTGGGAGTAAAAGTTATTGTTATTAAAGATTGAATTGCGAAAATTTGCGGTGTTTTGAGTCATTTGCTTAAGGATGAAAACTTTTATTTTGGCCAATGATGAACAAAATTTTGGAATCTCAGTAATGCTCTTTTGTCACAATTATCATATCACCATCATGGTAATATTTAGACATTAGAATCGGAGAAACAGACAAAAAGAGGGAATTGTAATTTGCTCTGAAACTAGTCTTCATTTTTATCGATTTTCATGGCATCTTCTTCACTTTCATTTTCCAATTTGGGTCATCAAAAAATTTTATCGAATCATGATGATAATGATAATGAATATTTATATGTTTGTATGTTTATTTTCATGTTTTGCAACAAAATATGAACTTGATTGGAAATGATAACTTGGCAAATGAAAGGTTATTAAGCTTGTAAAGCGAAATTAGGAATTCAAATGAGCTGATTCCAGTCAGAATTGATGATAATGATGGCGATGGTAACGATGAAAATAATGATGATAATGTTAACAGATGAAAAGAAAAACGATAAAATCTAATTCACTTGTACACATTTGCATATCCAATGATGTGATGCGAAAAACAAATTTTGATAAATTTGTTGAAAAATCGATTAATGGTTATCATGTTTATCCTCTTCGTCGTTACATGAAAATATTAAATAAAGGAGAAACTTATTATTTGCCGATAAAAACTGTTGGCTATAAACTATAAATGAACGAACACTTTTTCAACTTTTCACGAGTTCTCTTGATTTCGGCCATTGTTGAAAAACCTTGAGCAGCAGTACCTAGATAATATAACACATGCATACATTTCTTTGTATTATTTTTAATATTAACCAAGACTAGGCAAATGTGAAAATGTAATCAATGTGAGCAGTCTTTATGTATAGCATAGATTATTTCTGCCGATGATTTTTAATGTTTGCGGTTTGCAATTCGAATGAATGAACGAATTCTGTATAAATTAAAGGCAGATTAAAAATGCCAATGCATCCCATTGAAATTGTTTCAACTTTATTGCAACAATACTTTTGTTTGCTTTTCGTATGTTTATGGTAATGTTGAAATATTCATATAACAATCGTACAACAATAAGGCCAACTGTAAAGTTACTAAACACTCAGTTTCAGTGATCTTTTAACATTGCAAATGAAATAAATGCAATATACTTCATTAACAGACCAATTGATATATCAGTTCAATGAGCGAAATAATCAAATACTGAAACGTTAGAAGGCTCATTTATCAACGTGTTTATTAATTAGTAATGAAAGACATAGGACGGACTAAGAATCGATTTAGTAATAGGGTTTCCAGCAAGCTTTAGGAGCCAGCTTTCCAATAATGTCATTGTATTTGAGGGCTTCAGTGTAAAGGGTGAGCGATTCTGGACCTTCTTGACATTTAGCTTGGAATCCAACCAAGTAATGTTTCTTGTTGTAGGGACGAGCTGCGAATACTGCTTCATCGCAGTCGACAAGTTGAGACCCATCAGCAGCGAGTAATGAAGCACAAGCTTGAGTGTTTGATAATTGGATTCTACACTCTCCTTCAGCTAGAAAGTGAAACGGAATACTTTGGTTAGTTATATTTTTATGCAATTACAAGATATAATTCTCTCCAGAAACTTACCGAAGTTGTCAAAGTATTTAGTTTCGATACTGCTGTTGAGTAAAGGACTCATACGAATACGTAAAGCTTCAATATCTGGATTGTCTTGTAGAAGACAAATTGGTG